GCGCGGGCCTGGCGACGCTGTTCGGCCTGGCCGCCACCTGGAAGCGCGTCGGCCAAAACCCGGATGCCGTGGGCGGTGCTGCGTAGAGGTATTGGGTTATGGAAGCTTTCAAATGCCATCCCGACGTCGCCCAACTCGACAGGCTGTCTGCCTCGGTTATTGCTGCTCTCATCTCATTACTGGTCATCGTCGCCGTTATTTTTAATTTCATCTTTGTTTTCACTTCCATCGACTCCTGTTGGATTGCCTTCACCCCCTGTATTAATCTTTGTTATTTTACTGTCGTGTATTTGTTATGCATCCATAGTAGCAAGTAAATCTACCATTGGACACCCAAGCCGGTATGCTGCCCGTTTCTCCGGACGTCCTTTTTTTAATCCTAGAAAATTTTGCCCTTGGCCTGCGTCCCCTTTTCTCGAGCACCGGCACGCTGACGGCCACGCGATGGACCTGGCAAAGACGGTCGCAATGGTCGGCGTCTGGTTGAGGCCGAAGACGAGCAGCCGCTTCTGGAGCGTCGTCATGTCGGCCACCACCACGTTCAGCGTGTACAGCAGGCCCAGGTACGTCCCTAAATGCTCTGCTCTTCTTTTGTTGGTTCCCAGATTTGTCACCCCCAGGGACTACAACAGACCTAGGTAGAGTGAGCAAACAAGCAAAGGACAAACAAAAGACAAAAACGACAAACAAATGACAGAGACAGAATGCACAGTTCGTTTCCGTCGAGCCAGCGCCAAGTGGGCCTGTGACTGTCCTTCAGAGGGTGTCAACATCACAAAAGGGACCAGTCTGCGGTTGGTACAGGCGACATTGGCTTTCGTCATTACGTTTCTCTTACCGTCTATCCATTCGTGCGCTGCGCATATTGAACTTTCGAGGACCTTTCGTTTTATGCTGCATATTATCCGACTACATACTGTTGGATTACACAATGAGATAGACAGAAGACCAAACAAAGCAAGCGACTACGCTCCCTCAATCTGCTCGACACCGCCCACCTGCACCTCCTTCCCGTCCGTCTCCAACCGGTGCACCGCGACCGCCGTCACACCCGCCGCATGCGCCGTCTCGTAGCGGCGACGGGCGGCACGCGCCCAGACCGGCGCCCCTGCGTCGAACAGCAGGTCCATGTCCTCGAGCGTGACGCCCTTGGTCTCGGGCACGAAGAAGTAGGTAAAGACAAAGCCGACGACGATCCAGGCGGCGTAGAAGAGGTAGGTGCCGTACTGGATGCTGTTGACCATGTAGGGCAGGCTGTAGACGACGACAAACTGGCCGAGGTACTGGGTGCAGGTGGGGAACATCATGGCGAAGCTGCGGACGCGCGTGGGAAAGACCTCGGCGGCAAAGATCCAGGGGATGGAGGTCCAGCTGGCGCTGTTGGCGATGATGTAGATGTAGATCATGGCGAGCGCGGCCTGGCCGCCGGGGCTGCCGCCGCCGACCTGGGCGGTGGCGGTGGCGGTGGCGGTGGCGGTGGCCGGGCTGCTGCCGACAATCTTGGCAAAGGCGCCGACATAAAACATGCAGACGGCCATGACGACGGCGCCGACGAGCATGGGCGGGCGGCGGCCGAAGCGGTCGACGACGAAAAAGGAAAACAGGACGCTGCTGACCATCTTGACGATGCCGTAGACGCCCGTGGCGAGCAGCGCGACTTCGGTGGTCGAGTAGCCGAGCTCCTGGAAGATGACGGGGCTGAAGTAGTTGACGGCGTTGATGCCCGTCAGCTGCTGCAGCATCATCAGGGCGACAGACAGCAGGACGCGGTTGCGCACGCCGGGGGCCGCGAGCTCGCGCCACAGACGGCGGTGTTCGCGGACGACGCCGGCGGGAGGGCGGCGTCCGCTGCGTCCGCTGCGTCCGCTGCTGCTCCCCACCCCCCTCCCATCGTCGAGCTCCTGCTCCAGGGCGATGCTGGCCTGCGCGTCGGCCAGCTCGGCCTGCACGAGCGCGTGGTCGTCCGGCAGGTGGCGCACCCAGGCCAGCGCCGCGCGCGCCTCGTCGACGCGGCCCCGCGTGAGGAGCCAGCGCGGCGACTCAATCATGCAGGGGACGCTGACGATGCAGAGCACGGCGGGGATGAACTGCAGGGCAAAGGGGATGCGCCACTGGGCGCTGCTGGTTGCGCCCGGCAGGTTGCGCACGACGCCGTAGTTGACCCAGAAGCCGAGCACCAGAAAGACCTGGACCATGATCTCGAAGATGGCCACCAGGCGGCCGCGGATGGCGTTGGGCGCGACCTCGGCAATGTAGATGGGCAGCACGAGCATGGCGCTGCCGACGGCGAGGCCGGTCAGGGCGCGGCCCGTGTACAGCATGGCGACGTGCGCAAACAGCTCCAGGATGCTGCCGACGACCATGGTGGCCATGGCGGCCAGGAGGGCCGGTTTGCGGCCGACGCCGAGCACGGCGCCGGCAAAGTAGCCGACGATGGCGCCAAAGAAGGCGCCCGCCTGGAAGGTGGTGACAATGTTGGACTTGAGGCCGGCGAGCGCCTTGGCGGAGGCGGCGTCGTCCAGGCCAAAGGCGTGCTGGAACGACGGCAGGGCCAGCGTGCCGCCGATGAAGCCTCCATCGTAGCCATAGCAAGCGGCGGCCTAGGGTGTGTCAGGATGGAGGTGGTTGGTAGAGAATGGCTGAATTGAAGCTCAGGATGTCAGGATGGCGTGACTCACCCAGGATGCGGAAAACGTCACGAGATAGGGCCGCCAGCCAAAGACCTCACGTGGGAGGCCGCTGCTCTCTGGGACGGCAAAGGGATTGGTGAGGTACTTCATTGCGGTGACGGGCAATGGAGGGATGAAGGGGGATAGCAATGCAGACAGACGACGATCGTCTCGTGGGACCGTCACCTACTTATAGCGATGCAAGTCAACGCGGCGCGATGGCACGAGGGATCCCCATGGGGTATGGGTGTCGGCTGCAGGTGAGACGAGTACCATAGGCAAAGGCAAATGGGATTGCAAGGGGACCTGAGTCGCGCACTCCCGGCAGAGTCGTCGGTGGCCGTCTGGGCCGTCTGGGGATGGTACGAGACGGCAGTGCATGGATGGTTCGCAGTCGCTTCGGAATTCGATGGACAAGGAAGAACGAACAGACACAGAGGAGAATTCACTAGCGTCGGTTGTCAGCTAGGCGAAGCAGGGGAAGTGAGGAGAAGGCGGAGCCATTCTGGGGTAGGCTGACATTTGTCGGGAAGCCGTCGGAAAGCCGATGACGTGAAGTTGTGAGGCTGGTGGCAAGAGACAACGCCGACTCGGGTCCGTGTCGACGGCACGCGAGCGAAGGGCCGAGAACGGACGATAAGCGACTTGAAAAAGACGACGGTGATGGATTTGAGATGGAGATACTCTGTATATAATGCGGCAAAAGTGCTTGGCCTTTTCGTGACATTTTCGACATTGCGCCCTGCATCCTTTCACAACTCCAACAGACATTGCCTTCACTCTCCGTTTCCTCCATAGCCGACATCTCCCCCCCCCCCTTATCACACTGACACCGCGAAAATCTCCACTATGGAATCCAACGCCAACGGCTCTTCCGGCCCCATGTCGGCGTGCGCGCGTCTGCGGCAGATGCTCGCGCAGCCGGACCACATTGTGACGGCGGTGGGTGTCTACGACGGCATCTCGGCGCGGTTGGCGCTGAACGAGGGCTTCCGGTGCCTGTACATGACCGGCGCGGGCACGGCGGCGTCGGTGCTCGGCATGCCGGACCTCGGCATCACCAACATGACGGACATGGCGACCAACGCCGGCATGATTGCGGGCCTCGACCCGACGGTGCCGGTCATTGCCGACGCCGACACGGGCTTTGGCGAGTCGCTGGCGGTGGCGCGCACGGTGCGCGCGTACATGGCGGCGGGCGTGGCCGCGATGCACCTCGAGGACCAGCCGCTCAACAAGCGCTGCGGCCACCTGGGCAGCAAGGAGCTCGTCGCCGAGGACGTGTACCTGCGGCGGCTGCGCGCGGCCGCGGCCACGCGCGACGCCCTGCGCGCCCAGACGGGCCAGGACATGATGATCGTGGCGCGCACGGACAGCCTGCAGGCGCTGGGCTACGCGGCGGCGGTGGCGCGGCTGCGGCGGGCGGGCGCGGCCGGCGCCGAGGTGGCGTTCCTCGAGGGCATCGTGACGGCGGAGCAGCTCGCGCGCGTCTGCGGCGACCTCCGCGACACGGGCATGCCGGTGCTGCTCAACATGGTGTCCGGCGGCGTGACGCCCGAGGTCAGCGTGGCCGAGGCGCGCCAGCTGGGGTTCCGCATCATCATCTACCCGTCGGCGGTGCTGAGCGTCGTGATGGAGGCGGCGCAGGCGCAGCTCAAGTACCTCAAGGAGACGGGGCGGCAGCGGATCCCCGCGTCGCGCAAGCACCAGGGCCCCAAGGTGCTGTTCCAGGCCATGGGCATGGACGAGCGGGTGGAGTTTGACCGCAAGGTGGGCGGGCAGTCGTACTCGACGGCCATTTAGTGTTGCTGTTGTGCTGTTGTACTGTTGTGCTGTGATGTTGATAGGTGCCTCGTGAATATATCATCACGTGTTTACACGTGTTTATGGCTACAAGTGATATTGGCACTGTATATACGTGACTTGGCACAACCACCGCAGGATTCATTTCAATAAACATACCAGTCAGGACACAACATGCCCTCTGCTACCGTCCTTTTATTCCCGTATTGTTCATCTCGCCGACTGACGATTTCCGTGGAAGACGCTATCACATCGGCTTTCCGACAGAATACCACTAACACAGCTAGTGTTGATTCCCCGCTTTCATTGTCGGATTTCCGAATCCTTCGTATTTGGCATGACCTGCTTTGCACATCCCGTCTGTGGGCATTCGGCATTCGGCAATCGTTTCCCATGGCGAGAGGCTGTCAGACGGGGTCGTAATGAGGACGGTCCAAGACAAAGCACGACACGACTCGGCACTGCATTGACAGTCAAATACAGTCAGCATACAGTCAACATCGCCACAACATCACCACATAACACCATATGCCTCCATCGACATCCTCTCCGACAGGTAAAGTCGCCAAGCAGCGGCACAGCAAGTCGTGCAAACGGTGCACGCGCCGCAAACAACGATGCCACGGCTTCCCGGTCTGCCGCGCGTGTGAAGAGGCCCGCGTGCCGTGCGAGCCGTCGGCGTATGCGATCCAGCTGCACGGCGAGGCAGGGGCTCCGTCGACGGCTGTGCAGCGCATCCAGGTGCTGGAGACGCGGCTGGCAGGGGCCCTGGCCGAGTTGGCCGTCGTCCGGGAGCAGCAGAAGCATCAGCAGCAGCAGCAGCAGCGACAAGAACAAACACCACTGCCCCAGCCGCCACCGCAAACGCAATCGCAAACTCCGCAGCACACGCCATATCCCGACCCCAACCCGTTTCTCGTCGACCGCGACATGCCGCTCCTGTTTGGCGATGCCGACGCGAGCACACTAGTTGGTGGAGGTGGAGGAGGGCGACATACGGGACAGCACTCACAACGCGTGGAGCAGAACGGCAGCATCCAGCCAACCGTCGAGCAGATGGTGCAGGCCACGGTGTGGTCCAAAGGACTGTTTTCGGTCGGCGACGGAGGACAGCCACTGCCGCCTGTGCCACCGTCACCCATGTCGCTCATGTCGCCGTTGCCACAGATGCCGCCGATGCCGCTGTCGTTTACGGTGCCATCGTTCCAGCCGCAACCTGAACCGCCTCAACAGATACAAACGCAACAACAGCATCCTCACCGTCCTCCGCCTCCGCCTCCGCCTCCGCCTCCGCCTCCACCTCCGCCTCTACCTTCCGATGCCATGGGATGCCGCATGCTCGACGCCTACTTTGCCAAGATCCATCCTCGCTACCCGTTCCTCGACCGTCATCACCTGTTCTCGTTCCACGAACGCGCCCAGCAGCACGACGCCGCGCCGCCGCCCTCCAGCCCCGGCCTCGCCCGCCGCTTCGACGTGTTTCGCCTCAACATGGTCTACGCCATCGGCGGGACCCTCCTCAAGATCACGGACCCGCTGTGCGAGGCGCAGGCCGAGACGTACCTGGGCGTGGCGCTGCGGGACGTGGCCGTCGTCCAGGACGCCCAGTCGCTGTCGACCCTCCTCTGCATCGAGGGCCTCCTGCTCCTCGTCCTCTACAACCTGCGGGCGCCCACGAACACGGGCATCTGGTACCTGACCAACCTGGCCATGCAGACCTGCATCGACCTGCGCATGCACCTGGAGGCGGCGTACCACGACGCGGCCCTGTCGCCGGCGCAGGCGCGGACGATGCGCCGTCTCTTCTGGAGCGCGTATGTGCTGGACCGGTTCATTGCGCTGTCGTTCAAGCGGCCGTTTAGCATCGCCGAGAACGACATTGAGACGCACATTCCCGACGGCGACGACGCCGAGCCCATGTGGCGCCGCTTCATCCAGATCAAGCGCCTCGAGTCGCGCATCCAGACGGACGTCTACGGGCTCGGCGAGCCGCACGCCGTCCGCCGCGCCAGGCTGGCGCCGCTGCTGCGCGCCGTCGACGCCTGGGGCGCGTCCTTGGACGTGGACGCCGAGTCGGCGTCGTCGCCCCAGCGGCAGCTGACCGGCGCCGAGCGCGTCTATCTCCGCCTCCAGTGGCACGCCGCCGTCGCGCAGCTGCTGCGGCCCTTTCTGTCCGTCCTGCCCGCCGACGACCCGCTGCTGGCCCGCTGCCTGCACGCCGCCGGCCACGTCTGCGCCCTCTTCCGCGCGATGCACATGCGCGACGCCTACGGGCACTCGTTTGTCTCGGCCCACCTGACCTTTCTGACGGGCGTCACCATGTGCTACTGCCTGTTCCGGGCCTCGTCGGCCGGGCGCCTGGGCCGCCTGCTCGACCACCGCGTGGCGCACCACCTGCGCGCGTGCTCGTCGACCATGTTCATCATTGCCGAGCAGTACCACCGGCTGCGGCGGCACCGCGACATTCTCGAGGACATTATTGGGCGGATCATGGATGCGCGGATGCAAGAGGGGCAGGGACCAGAGGGACAGGAACCAGACGGACAGGAGGGAGGGGAGGGACGCGAGGCGGCTGGGTGGCCTTCCACCTTGGCAGCGCCGGCAGACGCGTCCGGCGGCAACCGCCGTGCCACCGCGCTGGGACGCACGGCCGACGTGACCACCCCCGACGCGGCCCGCCCCCAGTTCTCCCAGCTGGACTTGGTCGCCGTCCAGAGCCTGCTGGACCTCGCCGCCCAGCAAGAGCCGCCGGCGACGTGCACATCGCCAGCCGCGTCGACAAGGGCTGCGGCGACGGTAACGCCCGAGGAGCCGGCCAACACGTACAGCGACCAGCACCAGCCGGCCAGCGCGATGCTGCCTTATTCGTGGCCGACCCTCGACTTGCACGCCACGGGCGCGTGGGACGTGGACCGCTACAGCCTGGAGATGCTGGGACGGATGATTTCATCGGGGGGCGGACAGATGCGCAGTTTTTGACACTGCCATGTGAAAGACCACGGGGCATGCGTGTCCGCAGCGTACACTATGCGATCGGGCAAATGTCATGCCGACATAAGAATGATAGTCATGGAGTAAAAACGTGAGAGAGAATCAGACCGTGTCGGCCATGCATGTGCAGTTTGTTGACAGCACAGTGTCTTCTTGGGCGCTTGGGACCCTCTCGGTTGGACAAGGTCAATGGGACTTTTGCAAGCGCAATTGCGGCGAGCAATAAGGAAGTACCTGCTTGGCCCGACCTAGAGAGCTGATCCAAACAATCGGCACTCTTCCTGTCTTTTTCGTTGGCCGTCACAGATCATATAGACTGGCGAACACAGTGGTACTTGCGGGAATATACGACCATTTCCGAGTTCAAATTCGACATCGGTTAACCTTCTGTTTATCTGACTGGCATCACTTGTTAAGGCACTTTTCTTTTTGTTTTATTTTATGTCTTGTTTTTAACTTGGTCCCAGTAATTACTCGCCTCTCGCCCGACCCCCTACTTTCTTTTTGCTTTTGCACATTCGTACCTCTTTACCCCAACATTTCTTCCTCGCCAACTAACAGACCCCTGTCACCACGCCGTCCTTTTTCCATTTTCGTTTTTCCGGACCTTTCATATTTCCCGTCTTTTTGCGTCTACTCAGTATTGTCAATCCCCCGCACAAAGAGCGCCAAGCAGGCCCCCCTGTCATGCCGTCCCACCAAGTTCCCAGAAACGACCCGATGCAACTGCAGATGCCGAGGCTCTGCGATTGGAAGAGCGTCAGGGCCAGGCACATGGGATTTTGGCATGCGGCGATGCCCTTTGTGAATCTCGCTCTCGCACCGTATTGCGTATACGACCTGACGACGTTGGGAGCAATGTTGGTACGTTGGACTCTAAGAATACTTTTATTTCTTATTTCGTGCATTTATTTTTTATTTTATTTGATTTTGTGAAAAGAACACAAGAAATACGAATATCCCGCAGGAAGCGTCGAGAGCAAAGTCACTCCCACGTTTGACATGTGCTCTTGCATCCCAACACCATCCGCTTCCACAATTGTCTCCATCACGGGGCCGCCATCGCACTGCACAGCTCAGACCCAACGCTCTGTGCCTCTTCTGTCGTACCCCATATTGCGACGCTCGCGCCCCGTGGCTGCCCCGTGGGGTTTGCCCGCCCAACACCCCGCAAACCCTCTCTGTGTCCGCTCGCCGGTTCATCTGGTGGTACCCTCGCATCGTGAAATATCCAGTGGCCCCCAACGAGCCTCATGCCATCCACCATCCACCATCCACCATCCACAGAATAATGGTAGACGCGGCACGTTACGATTGTGGTTCTATAGTCCGGCTTGTATGCGCTGCGTGTTGTATTCGTTGGCAACGGTAGAGAAAAAAGCAAACTCGTGATAGATCGAGCGATACTAAATCGATTGGGGAATGACCGCCGAGTGCAGGGTGGGCAGAGGCGTTCAATGCAAGATACACCGCCTGAAAAGAAGTACCATCTATTTTGCATGTGCTGCATTGTGTTGGAGCCGACGTCCTTGGCTTCGTCCTTTTGTCTGACCTCACATCCTGTCGTCCCTCTTTCACGACGATGCTTCCAAGACCCGGACAAGCCGCAGGGCCGTTTCGCCGGTCTCCGATGGTCTGCCAGTCCGAAAGAGGGCATTCCTGCGATGCGTACTTTTATTTCTCAACAACTCAAATGACCAAACGAGCCAGCGAGCCGGCGAGCCAGCGAGCGCCCACAGTCTGCTGGGTAACCGGTGACGATCCCCTTTGGAGGTCCACTCTTTGCTCACGACCGGCGTGCTTTGTCTCATTTCTTTTAGTTGTCTCATGAGTCTTCTCTGCTTTTCAGCTTCGGTCCTACCGTTTCTTCTTCACCCTTCCTGCACACGCCCAACCTGTCCGGGATCACGGTCCAGGGCGCATGTTCTTGTCCCTTGCGTTGATTGTTATTTCAGGTGCTTTTGTTCTTTGTTCTTTGGTCTTTCTGTCGGGATCCATTTATCGCCCGTCACGATGCACTTCTGCTCAACATCGTCGCTCTTCTGCCTCCTGCCTCATCGAGTTGTCTCATTTTCGGCCGACGTCGTCTTTTCCTTGTGATTTCCCCTCACGACGGCCCAACGTTATGTACGCCGTCTGTGCGATTCGTTGCGGCGCAGCGATCCGGCGTAGCCTTACGAGAGACGCCAAGAAAGCAGCATCATAGTCAATTTGCAAAGGTGTGGGTGGCCCTGGAATGGGAGGGCCAGAGGGCATACCGGGGGATGCAAAATCGGGCAATGATCGGCCAACGGCTCCGCGTTCTCCGCGCCAGCCAACCAGCCAACCAAGCCAAACAGACCACAGAAGCGGTTCGGAGCACAAGAACGATGAATAAATATATAAAAAAAAAAAAAAAGGCAGCAAGCACAACATCGTCACTTCTGGGCCATGTATTTTGCCCACTCCCCCCTCCTGCTCGCCCACATTCGTCGACCGTTGGCAGTCGCAAGAGTCATGCCCGCGCGCTGCTCAAGTTCTTTCTACACTTCTACTCCTGATGATATTTTTGCCTTGTCTCTTGTAGCCGCCTTAGCCGTCCTTGGTTTTCATGGTTATTTTTTAGTTTTAGTTTTTATTCTTTTGGGCAGAAGCCCCATATTTACTATTCACAAGGAAGGTCCACCAGGCCAAAAGTCCTCCCCGCGACCGACCCCGTACCCCAAGATTCCAACCAGCCGGTGCAAGCTATGCCATACGCCGTTCTCCGCTGAGGCACTGGAAACTATAAAGATGGTCTCAGATCCGCCCCGTTGCCCTCTCGCGATCGCCGCTTCTTGTCCACCAGCCTCTTCTTCTGTGGTCTGGCCGTCCCTCCCTCCCTCTCTCTGACCCTGTCCCGTTTTCGCTCCTTGTTGGCACATACTTTGTCTCGTCACATCCCATTCCCTCGCCGTCATGAAGTCTGTCTTTGCGACGGCCGTGCTGGCCGGCCTGGCCGGCTACGCGGCCGCCCACCCGGCTGCTGCCCCAGCCGCTGCCCCGGTTGCTGCCCCTGTCCCGATCCCCGTCCCGGTCGCTCCCCCCACCGCGCCGCTCGAGGAACGCGGCGTCGGTGTCAGCGTGACCTACCCCGAGGGCACCGTGAACGGCGTGTCGCTGCTCAACATTGACTCGTTCCGGAGCATTCCCTTTGCCGCGCCGCCCGTCGGCAACCTGCGCCTCAAGCCGCCGCAGCGCACCACAAACGTCGGCACCATCGACGGCTCGCGCATCGGCCCCAGCTGCCCGCAGATGTACATGTCGTCCGGCAGCGGCAACGCCATCTTCCAGCTGCTCGGCGACTTCACCAACCTGCCGCTGTTCCAGACCGTCACGGGCGCCAGCGAGGACTGCCTGACGCTCAACGTGCAGCGGCCCGCCGGCACCAACGCGACCTCCAAGCTGCCCGTGCTCTTCTGGATCTACGGCGGCGGCTTCGAGTTTGGCACCAACGCCATGTACGACGGCGTCTCGCTGCTGGGGCAGGCGGCCAAGATCAACGAGCCCTTTGTGTTTGTGGCCGTCAACTACCGCATGGGCGGCTTCGGCTTCCTGGGCGGCAAGGAGATCAAGGCCGACGGCGCCGCCAACCTGGGTCTGCTGGACCAGCGCGCCGGCCTCGAGTGGGTGGCCGACAACATTGCCGCCTTTGGCGGCGACCCGGCGCGCGTGACCATCTGGGGCGAGTCGGCCGGCGCCATCTCGTGCTTTGACCAGATGGCCCTGTACGGCGGCGACCACACCTACAAGGGCAAGCCGCTGTTCCGCGGCGCCATCATGGACAGCGGCAGCATCGTCCCGGCCGAGCCCGTCGACGGCGTCAAGGCGCAGGCCATCTACGACCAGGTCGTCAAGGTCGGCGGCTGCAGCGGCGCCGCCGACACGCTCGCGTGCCTGCGCGGCCTCGACTACCAGACGTTTCTGAACGCGGCCACGTCGGTGCCGGGCATCTTCTCGTACAACTCGCTCGCCCTGTCGTACCTGCCGCGCCCCGACGGCACCGTGCTGACCGACAGCCCCAGCGTGCTGGCCCTCAGCGGGCAGTACGCCGACGTGCCCTTTATCATCGGCGACCAGGAGGACGAGGGCACGCTGTTTGCCATCCTGCCCAACGACGTCACCAGCACCGACCGCATCGTCAAGTACCTGTCCGAGTACTACTTCTTCAACGCCTCCCAGCAGGTCCTGCAGGGCCTCGTCAACACGTACCCCACCGACATCACGGCCGGCTCGCCCTTCCGCACGAGCATCTTCAACGAGCTGTACCCCGGCTTCAAGCGCCTCGCCGCCCTCCTCGGCGACATGACCTTTACGCTCGCGCGCCGCGCCTTTCTGCTCATCGACAGCGTCAACAAGCCCGCCACCCCCTCGTGGTCCTACCTGGCCTCGTACGACTACGGCGTGCCCTTCCTCGGCACCTTCCACGCCACCGACATTCTGCAGACCTTTTACGGAGTCCTGCCCAACTACGCCAGCGGCGCCATCCAGACCTACTACATCAACTTTGTCACCACCGGCGACCCCAACAAGGGCGCCCCCGTCAAGATGCAGTGGCCGCAGTGGAGCGCCGGCCAGAAGCTCATGAACTTTTTCCCCGACCGCGCCGCCCTGCTGCCGGACAACTTCCGCCAGCAGAGCTTTGAGTACCTCGTCTCCAACATGGCCTCGTTCCTCATCTAACGGTCGTGTCGACGGGACGAGGCGGAGTGGAGTGGGGGGCTATGATAACGATGCGTCATGTACATATGGGGTGGTCTTGCGTTTGCTTTCTGTTTGGTATGCATCCAGCTCGTCATTCGGGTGGATGTCGGTTTCGCTAGTTCATGCACATAATTCATGTTTTTGGTCCTTTGCCGAGGTTCCTACTTGACCGTAGTGGTGATTCGTTTGTGATCATTAAGCCAGCCACGAAATATTTCAAAAATTCAGACGGTGTACTTGTAATGTACAATTTATTAGTAATTTATTATTTTAATATCTAGTATCTTCATGGCATCCGACACGATTCATTTATTTTCAAAATTATATATTCAAACAAGTCTTCAAAATAAAAACAGGAATAAAAATAAACGCACATGAAGCACTGTAAAAATTGTAACATATAATGACCAACACCAGAAAGGAAACAACAGGAATACACTCGCTCTTTTTTTCAGGTACAAAATAAACTGCTTCTCGATTCCCCCAAAACCGGAGCCGTCAAGTTTGGCGCAATCAATGTCTTGCACTGGCGGCCTCCCACAATTGGCGCCGCTGACTATTTAGACCATTGTCGTTCATTGCACCCCGGCATCTTGATCCCGGCGGTTCCTTTCCAATCCTCACTCTCCTTCACTTGATGTCCTACTTGGACGCCGAGATGAACAACCTCGGAGACTACCTATACGTCCTTTTGGTTAGTCGCCGATGAACCCTCAATGCTACTCGACCAGGGACAAGCACACTACCGACATGGCACTAATACAACTGCGGTACGGCGTAACCATGAGCAGCTAAAGTATGTCGAACTGCGGAGAGGAAAAGCGGACCTCGGCCAATGTGGCGGTCAATAGTGCAAAATGGCGGGCAATTAGTACATTTTCGACCAGGCGAGGTCCTGTAGACGACATTTGGAACGATGCTCTTATTGGCAGAGGACGACGGACGACGAGGGAAGTAAATAAAGCAAACAAAGTAGGAAAAGTGCATTAGTATCCATCTATTAGTACCGGCCGTGTCTTGTATACGACGACTCCGTGTTTTAACTATTATGCAGTCTGGCTGTTTGAAATACAATGTCGGCCTGTGTGTGAGATGCCTTGCCAAAGAAATGAGGCAAAAACGACGCAAAAATATCATCACCACCCTGACCCCACCCGCGACCTCCTCAAACGCTTGGCGCCCCCGGTGCAGTGGTCGGCTGGCACACGCAGCCCTGGCCTTCAATGCTCGTCACGGGCGGGGCCGCGCACGTGTCGGCGGTGGTCCAGGGCACGCCCGCGCCCGGACCCTTGTGGCCGTCCACACGGTCTGCACGCACGAGCACCGAGATGATCTGGCCCGTCGAGAGGGGAAAGGGGCGGTGGCCGAGCACGCGCAGTAGGCTGGCGATGGCGCCGCTGTGGCTCGTGAAGCTGATCCAGGTGCTGTCGTCGCTGCCAAACACGTCGTCCAGCAAGGCCTGGTTGCGGACGTCGTGGTCCTCGGGCGGCTCGTCCGTCGTGCCGGTCCACAGGGGGTCGTGCTCGGCAAAGCCGTGCTCGACGACGAACCCGGGGAAGGCCTTTTTGATGGCCGTCTTGGTCGACCGGCGGTCGCACGTGTGCGTGCTGACGTCTTCGCGCAGCCGCTCCTTGATGGTCGGCCGGAACGGGCTGTGCGCCGGCAGCGCCAGCCCGCCAAACGTCAGCTGCGCCGTCTGCAGGCACCGCGTCAGCGGGCTCACGTAGTAGCGCTGCGGCGCCGGCTGCTTCTGGACGGCCAGCTGATCGGCCCAGACGTCGTGGGCGCGCGTGGCCTGCGCGGCGCCGACGGGCGTCAGGTGCGCGTCGCTCCAGGTAATGGGCGTCGTGGCCGTCGTGTCCTTGCTGTTGTCGTCCTGCTGCGCCCAGTAGCAGTTCCAGGCCGGCGTGCCGTAGTACGCCTCGGCGACGTTGTGGTCGCCCTCGCCGTGGCGGCCCATGAAGAGGACCTTGTATTTGGCGCCCGAGTGCGTCTCGGCCGCCGCCGCGTTCAGGTCGTCGACGTACCGCGCAAACCGCAGCCACAGGGGCCGGATCTGCGCCGCACTCCCACCATCCTCGTCGTCCGCGTCCACGTCCGTCGGGTACGACCGGGAAATGAGGCCAAAGTTAGTCGTCGCATAGTCGAAGCCGTCGGCGGACGTGCTGGCCTCGCTCTGCAGGAAGACGCCCTTGACGACGGTGTACTTGTATCGGTGACCCTCCGTTGGTCGCCCCTTTGTCTTTTCACCCAAGGCAGCCATGATGCCCGGCGGCGGCCACGACGATCCCGACACGGAGCGCGCCAGCACCAACAGTGTTCCAACGGCCGCCAATAGGGCAAGGACACGGCGAAGGGGAAACGAGACGACCATGAGGAGGAAGGGAGGGGAAATTGGGGGAGACGCAGAAGAGAAGTATGCTGTGATGCGACTGCTACCAAAAACAAAAAAACCGATGGACGAGCCGGGACAGAGTTGAGTGCGGGATGGTGGAGATGCTCGCGTGGCAGTGGAGATAGAACCAAGATATATAGTGTGAGGCGAAAATGGGAGAGACCAGATGGGAAAAGACGATGCTGACGGCGCGGGAAGGAACGTAGGCTGGTAAGGTCCAGGGAAGACCACCAGTAAAAGACGGACCGGGAAACAGGGTTGCAGGGGCTACAGGCGGCAGCTGGCGGAAGGGGGACAAAAGTTCGCTGAAGACGACCTATCATGCTAGGCCATGCCTCATTTCCGCACTTTTATTGGCTCAAAACGGGAATGGTCCGTCCGGGACCCAGCAGCCAGTAATATGTTGTATCTTACGAACGAAAGCTTTGGCCAGAAAGGTCCCAATAGTGGCGCTTGTCACCGACAAATCGCAGCTACCCCACACCACTAACGACACTACACTGGTAGCGGCCTCAGCGGTATCTTGCCGAGATTGCGTGCAGCGAGCCAAAAGAGTATCGCATACGGCAACCAGGATACGGGATGCGCACAGGAAAGACTATGGAAGAAGACAAATTCGTTTGGAATAAATCTTATTTTTAAACATAAGAAAAAAGAAAGTACATCAACCTTTTTAAAAAGTAATCCAGGACAACATTTGTGAGCATCGCCAAATGGGAGATGACCGCATTTGCCGGCGCATTTTATACCATGATCCGTTGCATCGCGAAGTTCCTGGGGTGATTCCAGAGCAAGCAGAAACATTAAAACAGATTTACGTTCCAAATCAGAACTAACAGTGTTTGCCGTGGAGTTGAATTTCCTGGAAAATGCCGTCCACACCCTCAGGATCCAATGTTCCGATGCTCACGGCAACTGCCACTAACAGCAACCCCTCTTCTTCTCCGTCAGCGTCTGCTTAAATAACAGCTTCCATCACCAACGCAATTCTGTCTACAACCAGTCCAGGACAACTGCAACCGCGCACCTCTCGCATCATGTCGAACAACTCTTTCCCAACCGACGGCCTTCCGGCCGACTTCACACCGCAGGCCTTCCCGCTGCCTGTCCCTACTCTCCAGCCCGACTTCCGCCTCGTCTGCAACCTCGACGAGCGGATCCCCATCGGTCCGACTCCGACGGGTGGACAGCGCAACTGGATCGGCATTGGCAACGGCTGGTTTGCCGGCCGCTGGGGCACCGGCACCGTCGTCCCCGGTGGCCAGGACAACCAGGTGGTGACGCCCGAGCTCAGCACCAACATCGATACGCACTATCTCATGAAGACGAACGATGCCGAGCCGGCGTACATTACCGTGCACACCGAGGGCTGGCGCACGGGCGGCCCCGACGTGCTGGCCAAGCTATTCGACCCGGCACAGGCGGACGGCGTCCCACCAGACGCATACTCGTTTCGGCTGTATGTGCATTTGGAGACGGGCGATCCGCGGTACAAGCATTTGTGTACGGGCATGTGGGTGGCGTCGGGCGCGCGTTTGGGCGTGAAAGTCATTTATGATGCGTACAGAATCCGATAGACGGGTGTGTCAAGTGGCCGACGGCCTGAACTCGTCCTTGACAATATCAATAAAGTCCTCCACGTCCTGCCACAATCTGTCTGGCTGCTCAAACGCCGCAAAGTGGCCGCCCCTGTCGTGCTGGCGGTAGAAGACCAGCTGCCCCGTCGTCTCGACCCACGCCTTGGGCACGGGCGTGATTTCTTTTGGGAACCACGAGAAGCCCAGCGGCTTGTGAATGTGCCACCGCTTCGTGCCGTGGCTCTCTGCGCCGGGGCCGTAAAACTGCCGGTACGACCACAGACTCGTGGCCGCACAGTTGGTCACCCAGTACAGCGTGATGCACGTCAGAATGTCGTCGACGGGTGGATCCGCGTCCGTCCAGTCCATGTATTTTTCGCCGATCCAGGCCAAGAGGGCCACCGGGCTGCTCGAGAGCACAAATCCCATTGTGGCGGGCCGTGTCGCGTGGGCATAGGCATAGGCACTGCCCGTTTCTCTGAACAAAGCGTGTCGATCCAGGCCCGCCTGCTCTGTCTCGGTAATCTCGCTTGCCAGGGCGGCCGGCTCGGGCGGCGGCATTGGCCCCGTGTTGAGGTGGATGGCCTTGCACGCCGCATAGTTGGCCGCCACGACGCGCCCGATGCGCCCGCCGAGATCGCCGCCCTGGATCATGTATTTGTCGAAGCCGAGCTCGACCGTCAGGCCGTGCAGGATCCGCGCCGCGCCGTCCGAGTCAATGTTCTTGTCGATCGGCGGTGGTGACGAGAGCGTGTAGCCCGGGAGACTGGGCACGACCAAGTGGTAGGGCAGCGTGTCGGGTTTGTACCGCGCCCGCACCCCGTCGAGGATGCCTAGAAACTCGACAAAACAGCCCGGCCAACCGTGCAGCAGCAGGATCGGGATGGCATCGCTTCGTTGTGAGAAGAGGCCGACAAAGTGGAGGTCGAAATGGCCGAGCTCGCCGTCCTCGATCTGGGCCCGAAAGTGCGGAAACGAGTTGATGTACGCCTCTTGTTCGCGCCAGTCAAAGTCTGTCTCCCAGTGCTGCTTTGTGGCCGAGATCCAGTCGTGGCGAACGCCGAGTGTGCGTTGCTTATTGGGGAGGGAGTTCTCGTAGGTTTGCGGCGCCAGAGGTGTCACTTTGAGCAGTGCCTTTAGGTTGTCCAGAGACGCCTGGGGAATGTGCACTTTCCAGGGCTTAATAGCGTCCGATGCCCCTGTAGGCAAGTTGCCAAAGCCGCCGAAGCCATCGATTGCCATGTCGAACTGAGGAGATTGGTACGTTACGTGTTCTTTGGTTGTTCTTTCTTTTGGATCCTGGTATAATAAGCAGCTTTAGTGCGGAACAATAAACATAATTATAGTCTTCGACCATTGTTTCGAAATTAGACGAGAGCTGCTAAAGAAAGTACTTGTTGACTCTACAGTTTACCATGCTTCCGTAGCGTACCACCGCGAAAGGGCCAGGGCAGTCATTGCTGGCGAGATCGGACTTTGTGCCGCGTTTTAGCTCACTGTCCAGTCAAGACCAGTAGCACTGCGGCACAAAGTCCGCGGTTTCCTATTTTGAATCCCGTCCTGCCACACCCGCTTGGCATAACAGGAGCAAACCTCTCCACAAACGACAAGGCACTTCGCCGAGACACAAAACAAGTCGGCCGACGTTCGTTTCTCCTCACATCACACCTGCCATCATGTCGATACCCACGCCGTCATCGCCGACAGCGTCGGCGCTCGCCCTCCGCGAGTTCTTTGGCGACCGCAAACCGCCGGAGATCAGCCGCAAGATCACGGCCTGTGTCGCGTGCCGCAAGCTCAAGATCAAATGCCATATGCAAGATTCCAGACCGCCGTGCACACGCTGCAAGCGACGCGACCTCACGTGCACGGTCAACCACAGCCTACAGATGCTGCTCGAGAGTGATGTTACGTGAGTACAGGCGCTCTGCAGCGCTGCTGGTCATGGACTCGTCTAACTTTCAACCGCAGATGGAAACGATCCGTCGAACAGAAGCTGCAGCTTATGGAAGAACAGATCGCCAACATCAGCAACGCCACTGCCACCAACCATGCTCCCGCATCCACGGGCCCTGAGGCCACCCCGACGGCCCCGTCAACATCATCTGCAACACTATACGAGCTTCACAGTGGAACACATGGCGAGACACACAGCAATTCAGACACCGACGCAGGTGCAGACAATGCAGCCCGACGCCAGCCCGGCTGGGAGGTCGTCATGGATGCACGACTCAACCCGGCTGCGATGCCCGCCAGCTGCGTGTCTCAAGTACCAGACACATCTCCATCTGGGCAGTTGTCGGAAAGCAGCCGCCAGAACGACTTGATTTCCCGCGGTGCCATCGCCCTCGACATGGCGGAGCAGTTTTTTGAGGTGTACAAAAAGCTAGATCACTACGTTTACGGCATCCTCGCCAATCACGACAGCTTGTCGAGTCTACGTGCAGGATCCAGCCTGTTGACGGCCGCCGTCTGTGCTGTTGCCGCTCTGCATTCGAGCAGCCCCGGATACGCTGCGAGCTACGACGAGTTTGTGCGCGAGTTTGCCGCACAGTCTATATCCCGAAACCACACGCTGGATGACGTCCGCGGGCTCTGCATTGGTGCCTTCTGGCTCAGCGACATGTCGTGGACCCTGGCAGCAACAGCCGCCCGCATCGCCATCGAGATGAATCTCCATCGAGGCGTCTCCAAGGCCAAGCATACCTGCTTCGACAAGCCAATGGCCGACCGCATCTCCTGCTACGTACGCACACGCCTGTACCTTATCGTCTACGTCTGCGACCACCACTTCAGCATCGCGTACGGTCGAGCACCCATGACACGCGAGTTCACAGCACTGATTGCGCCGCGTGCCTTTCATGGCATGGAGCATGCCAACACCCCGGACGACTTTCGTCTGGTCGCGCAGGTCGAGCTGTGGTCTGTTCTTAGCCGCGTGTACGATACTTTTGGCGTCAATACGGACATGGCGATCCCGGCCCACCAGATGTCCGAGTTCCGCAGGCTGGGCGTGGCCCTGGAGTCGTGGCGCATCGACGCCTACGACAAATTGCCGGCCGACGCCGACTCCAAATCCATCGACGTCGGCCTGCACGCGTACTTTGCCAAGCTGTATCTGTGCACACACGCCTTCCGTGGCGTGACGCGCACGTCGGCCGTGCCCCAGGACATGGAAGAGTTTGCCGATGCGGCCGTCTACACGGGCCACTCGCTGCTGCGGTCTCTTGTCGTCAACCCCGACCTGCAAATGCATTTTCAGGGGCTACCTACCTACTTTGCCACCATGGTCGCGGCATCCTTTGTCTTTCTCCTCAAAATGACAATCAAGCGCCCTGCCAATGTCCGCTTTAACAGAGACGAAACGTGCGCCCTACTGCGTCAGGCGTCAGAAGTTTTGATTGCAATTTCGAGAACCATGCATTCGCAACACGTGCTGTACAGCATCGCCGTGAGCATTGCCAAGCTTGTCAACGGGGTACCGTGCACGACCACCAGTCCGCCGAGTTCTGCCATCGGCATGGACAGTATTCAGGTTGCCACGCGCGATCCGACCTTGGAGGCTTCACACCCGCTTATCAGTGACGACATGTCCTGGCTGCAAGATGGCGATTTTGGCATCGATTGGTTCGAGTTTGACCAAGCCTTACACAATACATAGCGACATGGGTCATTTGATGATTGTTGCCGTGGAAGATGACTGCGTAGATTGCCCTTTACGATACGCCAAATTGAATACGTGTTGTGCAGCCATGACTTTCCACTGTATCTTCCATCGCCACCATATTTCTTCCAGGATCAAATCACATACGGTCCCACCTTTCCTTCCAGAAGTAAAATCCCGCTAAAGGGCAACTGTTGCGTAGCCCTCCCAACGATATGTAGGTCCTTTTTGGCGTCCGGGACTCGGTGTTGATGGGACAGCTTGTTTTGTTGGTTGCGGATGTCATGTGACTCAGCGCACCATTTTCAGTTGCACCTTTTCGAAAACATTTGTGCCGTTGGCAAACTTGCGTTCACGTCCAATCCCCAGAACGACCAATGTACGAGCAGGGCTTTTGCTGTTTCCCGTCAATCTTTTGACATTTTGTTCAAGCTGCCATCACCATCTTCGCACTTCCCTTCGCCATGTCCCTCCCTCGAAAAATAGCATGGCCAGTGTCATAAATCCCTTTCGTGACATCTTTTTTGCTGACCTCCGGGACCCGAGCACGGACCTCGGGGGCCTCATCAGCTCGACAAGCATTACACAAACGGTCTTTTACTCTATCGTCGCAGTTGTTATCAACTGCGATAAAACGGCATTCGACATCCAAAATGACAACGGCGAACAAGTAGCGCGAGATGACGATCAGGTTCTTCCAGGCCGCTATCTCATCGTGTCAGACGAGCCCGCCATACAAAGCAAGCGGCCTTTTTTCACGCGAGCCCTGTCTACGTCGGCATCTACGCGGCTCGAGTCCTTTCGGAATCAAGTGCGCGCTCGAGACGGGCGCTGTACAATTACAAAGGTCGCCTCTGTTCTAGGTCCTAGTATGGATATCTGGACTGCCTTTGAGGTGGCACACCTTGTGCCCATCGCTTACACAGATGAGTGGCGTCGCCGTGGATTTTCTGATCGCATCACCGTCCCGCCGCCGCCACCGCGCGAACGGGACACCATCAACTCGGTTCAAAACGGACTGCTGATGCAATCTCATATTCACCAAGCATTCGACGCCTATCATTTTTCCATTTTACCAAGTGTGAGCATCCCTGTCTTGTCGGTCATATCACTTTCAGCGTGTAGGCCACTTTTAAACTAACTTCGCCAGTCCGGGTATAAACTCATTTGCTTTCAGCCCGACATTTTCGGTATCGCGGGAACATATTTGGATCAGCAACTACTCCAAGACCACCGCCGCCCCCCCGACGAGCTGTTGGAATGGCACTTCGAACAAGCTGTTTTGTGCAATGCCCGTGGTGCTGGAGAGCCGAATCTGGAATTTGATTTTCCGCCGGGATCGGATATGGTCGGAGAGATTCTTGCAGGGCCTAAGGCTGCAGAGCGCATGGAGTTCGAGTTGTTTTCGCGTCTTGACGAACTTGAGACGGAACAGGATTGATGAATATTTCCTGCAGCGCAGCGAACACGGGTCCAAGCCACATTTCATTGGATTGTTGAAGAGACAAACAAAAAAATGACACAAGGAGAGTTTGCTTTCCTGTCAGCATCCTTTGTATTATATTCTGATGCAGTTTTGACACTCCTTTGATTATGGTGGAATGCATGTCGGTTCATGCATGGTTAGGCGTCTCCGGCGTTTTGTGTTTATTAAAATTTGATTTGGGCTCCTCACTACTGATCACCAAGAACTTTGACGCGTTGTCGATTCCGCTGTATAGGTTGATACATTATCTGCCAACCAACTACCGGCCCGCCTCGCCCTTAGACCTTTTTCGCCACCGGTCCCAGAGGCACCGATAGATAGCCGCCGAACTCCTTGACAAAGTCCACGGACACGCGTGCATGCACACGCCCCTGCCGGTCTAGAATCCGGCTGTGGTCGTCCAACGGCACCACGGCTCCATGCCAGATGTTGGGGTGAATGTAGAGGCCCTTGCCGCCCGTGCAGCGAAACGCCACGAACTTTTCGGGCGTGACATCGTCGCCGGGGAGGGCCAGGGGCACTAGGAAGCCGCTGCTGTCGTCGGCATCCATGGGGAAAAAGAGCTGCCCACCGTCCGGATGGTAGTTGGCCCGCCAGATCAGCACCTTGTCCCGCGGATGATTGGCCGGTCCGGTGGCGGCCGCCTGCTCCGGCAGCACGCTCCACGCAAAGAGGTAGCTGTCGCCCACGGCGTTGTTGCGCGCGTACAGGGTGTCGCCCTTCCACCAAAACTCAAACAGGCCCTCCGTCACGCCGCCCTGGTCGCCCGAGTTGGCATCGACTGGGCGTGTGCCCTGGGCGGGCCACTGCACGATTTCAATGGGGAAGTTCTTGGGGTCGGTGTCGACAATCTGGCCGTAGCCTTTGATGTTTTCGGATGTGGCGTCGACAACGGGCACGTCAAACACCTTGGTGACGCCGGTCGTTGGTACGTAAGCAATCTCTCCGAGATCAATGTCGACGTCAGCGTCTTTGATGGCCATGTTGAGTGTCCGTGGGATGGGTGTGAGAACTATTGGGTATTGACTGTTTTAACTTTGACGGGTATAGCCAAGACAACATGGTATAAGTACTAAGGAAGCTCCAAGTCTGAGCTGCAATGGCCTACCAAATATCTCGACCAGGACATCAAACGAGGTAGAATTTGTCGTAGCGTATGTGTCGGAATCTCGGCCGATAATCGTTTGCCAGTGTTGTGATGGCAATTCTTCCATGCGATGGTGTCAGACGCTATATCGCGGCGATGCGCCGAGTCTCGTATCGTCGACTTGAACCACACGCCAGGTTTCCACAAACTGGCATACGAGCGGCTTCTCCCCGAGACACGTGGGCAATGCTGAAGGAAGCGTTCATTTCTTAGCCATCATTGATTTGGTACGAACAATTTCTATCCCTTTGCGATTTTTTATTCTGGTGTATTGGTGCATCGCTCTAGATTGTTGTCTTGGCTGAATCTAACAGCACTACGTTGGTCTACAGCGTTACTCCACAGGCTGACTCTTCTCCCCCTTAACCACAGGTGCCTCTATCTCCGACTCGCCCTCCACCTCACGCACGACCGTCACGGCACTGCCGTACAAAATACCCGACTCAATCTCCTCGAGTGTCCGGCCCTTTGTCTCAGGGATCAAGAGCGTGATCAGGGCGACCAGGGCCATAATACCGGAAAACAGACCCAGGACGCCCTTAAGACCGATCTTGTCCGTCGCCGTGCCGAATGTGAAGGCGGCCAAAATGGCACCGGCTTTGCCCGAGGCGGCAGACAATCCATGGGCAGTGGCCCGTACACGAGTCGGAAAAACCTCGACGGGGATCAGAAACGTGGTGGCACTGGGTCCGACGCAGAGGAAGAACTGGGAAAAGGTGAAGAGCGTGAGCAGCCCACCGGCCGATGTGTGGTCGGTGACGCCCGCCCAGATGGCATAGAAGACGGCCACGGCCATGCTGCAAATGACTTGTTGGCGGACGCGGCCCAAGAGGTCGGGCAGGAACATGGACAGATAGTAGCCCGGCAGGAATCCCTAGGACTGTTAGATGCTGGTCATCCCAACGAATATGCCCCGGGGTCTAACGTACCGCGGCACAGACGATTATGTTTCCAATAGCGGTATTGTGAAGCGTTGCCCATGGCGTAGGGCCCGTTCCATAGCCAATCTTTCCGAGAATAACGCTCTGGTTCAGGCTAATACCGTAAAATGCAATATCGCTATAACAGGAGTCAGCTCTATGGTCTGTTAAAGCAAAGGCAGGGTAGATTGCATTGTTGTAACGTACAAGAGAAACCAGGTCGAACAGGTCGCAAACAACACTTTGGCATGCTTCCACTCGGCAAAGTATTCACGGAAATCACGGAGCTGCTGCTTCAGACCACGGCGGCCCCTTTGCAAGCTCGCGTCGGCACCGACATCTATTGCGGTCAATGAGTCGATTTTTTCAAGTATTGTTAACCGTCGTGCTCTACTTACACTCCTCGTAGGGCTTGGTCTCGGGCATGGTGAGCCGAGCGTATACGGTCAATGCCGAAGGGATGATGCCAATGCCAAACAGAAGACGCCACACCCACTGCAGGTGGTCGATGTTGCTCTCCACAGCGCCTTTGAAGGCTTCCAGGAGGACGACGTACACGACGCCCGATGCCATTGTGCCCAGGCCGAGAGACGCAAAGACGAGGAGGACGAGACGTGCACGCGAGCCGACGGGGTTGTGCTCGGCCGAAAGAGATGCCGTCACTGGATAGTCTGGCGTGGATTAGTGGCATTCTGATAAATCGTTTCAAAGACCGTGGAAGACGCACCACCTCCTGTCCCTATGCCACTGAGAACGCGAAAGACGGAGAGCCACGCCACGATGCCGTTGTGCGAAATCGTCTTGGACCAGGGAAGGAGAATCACAAGCAGAGTTCCGATGATGGTCACCAGCAGCTCCTTGCCATAGACGTGTCGCCGGCCCAGTGTATCACCAAAAAGGCCAAAGAGAAACTGGCCGAGGACCATGCCAATGGACAGAGCGCCCTTGATGATGTCGGCAGGCACTGTCGGGACTTTGCTGCCCTCGTCCTGGTAGTAGATGTACCCAATCATGGGCACAACTGTGCTGTCAGTTGTGGTCCGCTTTGTTTGCCAAAAACGGCGCATCGAAACGACGTACCCAAACCAATGCTAACGTTCAGATAGCCGTCACCAAACAGCCCAATGCCTGCTACAACGAGGAACTTTAAATCGGAAAAAAATGCCGGAGCCATGGCGAATCGAATCAGAATAGAATCGTATTATGTGAGTGTCGAGAAGGAGATGCTATGCTGCCTGAATCTGCAAAGTAATAGCCGTCCTCTCCAACACAAATGACCGTCCGAGAACTCTTAAAATATGTTTCCTCACCATCCATCAGCTTCGAATCCGTCGGGCCATCGCCGCTCTCGACTTGGGTTGTCCATGGACACGGTCCTCGAAATCGCCATTGTCGAGACGAAGGGTGAAGATGTCATAAACACAAAACAACGCCACGTGCCTTTCGTAGCAGACACAACTGGCTCTAGAGGCGTGGCGACTAGGATGTGTGGCCCTATAAGTGCTAGTCGATGTTTTGGTGTGGTTTTGGGCCACGGCATCAAGTCCGTGTATTAGTCTGCTGCTGCCGCTGCCATGAAGTAAAATCTCACGAATCTCACTTAGGTCCAGATTAGACACGTGCGTAGCGAAGATGCCATGATGTAGTCTATTCGCAATTTCTAAAATTCTACACTTTTACCATCTACATCCTTTTTCCAACAAGTGACAGCCGAGACTTGTCGCTGCTGAAGTATGTGGAATCCAAGGTCTCCTGGTGCAGCGTAGCCTGGTTGAAGCCTGGTTGGTGGCGACAATCCTGCCTGGTTCAATGACTTCAATGACCTCTTTGTTACGACAGGATCTGACGGACTGCATCGTGCGGTATTGCATGCGGTCACAGTGACAGATCTGGTGCAATTCGAACAGTTGATGGGCATTGACAGCTCCAAGAAGAATCACGAAAAAGAAAAATCAGGAAAAAGTGACACTTTTGGCAAGAATTCACTACGCATACAAACCATGCCGCCGCACCTAACACACGCGGCCCTCGCTCTGGAACCAGCCACAATCGACGATTTGGAGACATTGACACGCATAATGTATGAGGCCACAGAATCGACAGCGCCCGTGCTTTCTGTGATCCATCCGCGCGGCGCAACAGAGGCAATCATCGCCAGCGATGTAGCAGCATACAAGCGCGCATTCTATCGCCCGGAAGTGTTTTATAGGAAGATTGTTGCAAAGAGAGTCCACGGAGACGACGAGATCGTGGCCATTGTGCGGTGGTATCTCTGGCCAGAGGGCCGCAACGATGCGGCCTGGACCCAGCCATACAAGTTCACGGCCGACGCGGCTCTGCCGCCGGACGACATCAATCTAGCTGCGGCCGATGCGTACTATAGCAGGGTTGACGCTATGAAAAAGCGGAACGTGCAAAACACACCGCATCTATGTACGTGGACGACGAGCTGTGTACTGCGAGCAAGAGGGTGCTAACCGCATGTCCCAGACATCTCCCTTCTCGCAACACGGCCCGGACACCAGGGCCATGGTTACGGCAAGCGGCTCGTGGAAGAGGCCGTGGCCATGGCGAAACGTCACGGACTCGACAACGTGTTCCTCTTGTCCGTTTCGGGATCGCGCTCGTTCTATGAGCGATGTGGCTTCAAGGTGATTGACACATTGTCGCTCAACTTGGCGGCCTTGTCGGGTGCACAAGACGATAAGGCAGACAAATGGGTCGATACATATATGATGCATGCTAGACTGTCGTGATCGGCGGCAAGGAGGCCGTTCGTCACAACACAGTGTATTGGAGAGATGCGGTCGCCGTGATCGTGTGCATGCTATCCGGTATCAGATATTTTCCTCCCACTGCGGTCTGTGGCAATTTTGTACCTCATTTCTTTTGAGAGTTGCGTCCAGCTAGTTGCCAATGGTTGGGATTCTCCGAGAAGCGTGAGAAATAAGATACTATGACGAATCGGATAGACGGCACGCCGATTATTCTGACATAAATGAGGGGAAGGCTACATCCACCCTGCAGACAAGAAAATTGCACACACCACTCCTGCTACAAACGTTGCGACTCTGCCGGAGCTGCAGGGCCTGGTCGTTTGCAGTTGGCTAAGTCGCGCCTGGTCTGACGATATCCGAGCATCTTGAAGCACGCGAATAGTCGTATTTAGGAGGCCTTTGGATGTCGGTTACAGCGCACCGGCTGTGCGGCCGTTATCTACCTGCAGGAGATACCCTGGAATGAGTAGCATACTGCCAACCTAGCCACTGAAAGCAAGCTCTGTGGGGGAAAGTCGGTCACTACAATGCAGCAAACAGATATTCTGTAATGGTGAACACAGAATGCCCTCATTAGTGTAGCCCCCGGTGACGCAGCCACCCGTCAATCTTGGCGGGCACATTAGCGACCGAAAGTCCCGTCTTTCCCGCCGCGACCGTTGTAGTCTCCGCCCAATGACGCCTGCCGCGGACCTGGCTAGTGGCGTTTGCCTTTCGCCAATACTTATTTTAGTGGCTGTTGTCTCCCACTGGCATCTTTGGGGCGAGCTTTCCTGTGCTCCGATGTTGCCCACAAACACGACAAACAGGCCACCGGGAAGCGCCAACATCCATACGGCCCTCAAACCAAATTTATTCCCCTAAAAATACTCCGTACAAAGTGCGAAACACTTACTTCTCCTGTCCGGGTGGCCTCTTGTAGCCTTTTGGCCCCCAATCAGGCGGCCGGCGAGGTGGGTTGCTTCTTCTCTGCCCCTGAAGGCATCAGCGACTGGCAAACAACAACAAACAGGCGGGGACACTGCCACCTATCTTTACCATATTTCCGGCAACTAAAGGCACGTCCGCAGAATCTCAAACATTATCGACAACACCATGATGCACACGCACTGTCGTATCACCCCAACCAACGGCCGAGCATTGGTCCATTTACGCGCTGGGCTCACTCTAACATGGGCTGCAGCATGGCCGGCGGTCAAGGCCAATCCGTCCTGGCCTGGCCACTGCACAGCCAATACGCAACCACGACGTAGGCGCCAGGTTGAAACCGACAAGCAGAGACAACAGGCCTCTCAGGTGGGTTGATTGTCCGTGGAGGGTTATCCGTGTTGATGCACGTACAAATTAAAGCACGCTCGCCGAACCATTTCTTGTTTCACAGCATCATCGGATATCCATCCTAAGCAGACACACGCCAGTGATTTGTCTACCTCAGCAACTTCGAACTTACCACGACCATGACAGCCGAATCCCAAACGAACAGACGGACGAGTTCAGGCCGCCAAGTGATTGTCAGGCTCCCTCCACCTGTCACCGCGTCTGGCAACGCAGCTACGCCCCGGCAGCCAGCGATTTCAAGACCACCGATGTTCATATTTGGTTCTGGTCCCGCAACAACAGAAACGACTCCGTCGCGAAGCGACAGAGGATTCGAGTATGCTTTTAGACCTGCCATCAGCAACACGCCCGACTCGCCCTTCGACTCTGCGACTGCATCGCGTCGGGACACCCCAACATCCAGCCGAAGCAATGCCAGTCTGTCCTTTCGCTCCCCGAGGCCCACCTGCCCGCAGGCGCAAGGCCATTCGTTACCACAATCGCCTTGTGAGGAATCGACGGCGTCTCCCATGGTCACATTTGCTACAGCACCGACCAGCCCGGCCGTGTCCACGGTTACAACGACGACGTCGACTAGAAACGGTGCTGCATCCGGGACAAACAGGGCCGCTACCATCATCGTGCCCATCGCCGAGTCTTTGCTAGCTACACACGCCACCGGTTCTGAACTCGATGGTGTGCCAACAACCCTCGCTCCTGGCCTGACACGGCCAGACGTGCCGGAGCTGGCATCTTTCCCAGCACCTCGAGCGGATACTCAACCCTCTCGACCATACAATCCATGCGAAGAGGAAGCCCCAGCCCAGCCCTTCTTCTCCCCCCCAGTGCAAAATGCAATCAAGGATGGAACCCGGCTGGCGCATGATATTTCTTTGGAAATTTCCAGACTCGTCTCCGGTTCCAGTATGGATGATAATATCAAGCACCTCCTCGAAGATGCATGTCGTCTTACGACGTTCCAGGGACGGAGTGACCGTACTATTGCCGTATTGGGAAATACTGGAGACGGTACGTATCTCACGCTTCCGCCCTACTTATACAGTGTCTCATGTTTCTGCAGGGAAAAGCAGTCTGATCAATTCTCTCCTGCACGTTCCGGGTCTTGCTCCCGAAGTACGTTTTTCTCAACATCGCCTACTGTATATGCCGTACAGCAACTGACATGACTCCTCGCCAACCACAGAGCGACAGTGGTCGTGCCTGTACGTCAATTGTCACAGAGTACCACCGCAAAAAGCCGAATCAGGAAGCGCCGTTTTTGATCGAGGTCGAATACTTGAACTCTGCCGGCATAAAGGCCCACTTACAAGAGCTGCTTTGGAACTATCGCCGCATCTACCGTCCGGATATTGACCCAGAGGCATTGGGTGATGCCGAATACAAGCGACTCGAGGCTACATCCAGCACGGCGTGGTCGACTCTACAGACAGCGTTCCGCCATGAACGTGGCTTTAGTTCCTCGTTTGCCCTGAACATGGACGACGGTTCCGACGAGCGCATCCTGGAACAGCTTGTCACATGGGCGGGCCGCATTGAATGGCCACGCGGAAGTGACGAGGGCTTCTGGACAACTACGGCCCTCTCCGTGGACGAGTGTTGTGATGCTACGCGGCCATTCATGGAGGATAAGTTCTGGCCGTTTACCAATCTTATCAGGTGTCTACAAGTTCCTGTACTTCCAACCCATTGCCGTAATTACATTTCACTAACGGATCTCGATCTAGGATATTTCTCAGTGCACGTGTGCTCGACTCCGGTATCATCCTAGCCGACCTCCCCGGACTCCAGGACGTCAACCTGGCTCGAGTCCGTGCGGCCCACGAATACGTTCTGCAATGTGACAGCATTCTTGTCGTGGGCCGCATTGCGCGGGCAATCTCTGATCAGTCTTTGCGGTCATCACTCTACACGTCCCTTGCAAGTCACGCCCCAAACGAGTGGCAGGAACAAGGCGCAGCCCGCCTAAACATCGCCGTTGCACTTTCGCATGCGGAAGACATTAATGTTCGATCTGCACGGCGTGAGATCCAAGACCCAGAAATCAAGGCCAAACTGGATCGCCTCGACATCGAGATAAACAATGCACAAGCCGCAGGTTCCCTTCGAACGGAACAAAATATGAAACTCATGTAAGATGATGGTACATCCCATCCACGGACGTCATGGCACATGAATCTGACATGTTATTCTGTGTAGGCGAAAGCGACTGTTGGTCGAGGAGAGAAACAAGAACGTCACGAAAGGCTTGCAGGATGCTTATGCCTCCAAGATGATCAACCAAAACAGGCAGTTGCCCGTTTTCTGTATTTCCAACAAGTGGTACGAAAAGTTTACGGCCATTGGAAACACAGAGCTCGTGCGGGAAAGTCAGATTCCCGCCCTCCGACGACACTGCCAAGCCATCGCAGCGGATGCCCTACTGGGCGAAGCAAGGCACTACTTACGAACAAGTCTTCCCTCTCTCGTCACCTCGCTCGACCTCTGGGTCACAAATTCCATTGCCACGCAGGCTCTGCAGGGAGACGGCCGACACGACCGATCTGATCCCTCCGTAGATCGCGTCCGCCAAGTGGTCCGCGGAATCGACGACGAAGTATGCTCGACGCAGATTTCTCGAATATCATGCCTTTGTCAATCTATCTAACTGTGCCATAGAATTTGCTAGGCCCGGAAAGTGACTGGGTCGACAACGTCGAAAGTTGTTTCAACGAGGAAATAATGGAATTTTTCGGTACGTCCGACACCCGAGCCCCAACGTCCACTCTGCCTATGATTGATCTCTAACAATGGCACAACAAACAGCCAATAGGGGTGACATATGGAAGGATCAAGCTGTCAACGAAAGCAACAAGTGGACTGTAAAGTCAGGTCCTGTGAGTTCGAAACCGCGCCCATCACCGCCCACCTTGAAACAAGTACACAAGGCTAATGACTCTGATTCTTTTGATGCAGAACTACTGGCATCAAAGTAAGAGAACCAAAACTCAACCCCGTCATCTCGCCTTGGCATGGCCGAATCACTGACGCCGTCTTTACGCAGCCCATTACAATTCATGGTGTCTTCATGATGGCGATTGGAGCACACCAAAGAAGCCACATGTCAACTGGAATGCCGAGTTGATCTGGAAGATGCGGACCGAGCTCGAGCTGCAGTGGGACATTTTCGAAGAGCAAACGCATGACGAGTTCAAGGCCGTACACGAGAACCTTGGTGCAAGCCTCGTTGAGCTGAAGGACGCTATTGGGTCTGCAACTAGCGTCCCAGGGCGTGAAGGACTGGTGCGCTTGATCAACTTCAGCTTGCACGAGTTCAAGCACTCCCTGGACCAAAGAGAGCGACGCTTCCTCGTGACGCTGAGGTACGTATACATGCAAAAGGAATCATCATGCACTTTGTGGCAACCGACTAACGCCTACGGCCCATCGGAGCAGGGCTACGCGCAGCAAGACCAGTGAAGCCACATGCGCGTCGTATATTGTCGAGCACATGCTTCCGGCATACCGCGACGCGTCGCTGGAGTTTGGGACCGGACGGCGTATCAGGCAGGAGACGATCATCGGCTCAAAGGTAAGCAGAGGTGACATATTTCTCAGCATGGGCAGTGCATTGGCGCGTGATATCCAAAGTCTTCTCCGACACACAGAGGAGGAGATCGAGCGCGCCATAGAATCGATGGCTGAACACATTCTGCGGAATGTCAAAATGGCATTTGGGGCCGATGAGACTCCTCACACGTCTGTGCCATCAGCTGCCCTGCGGAATGCCGAATACAACGAGCGCCTGCAGCACTTTTCGAGTATGGTCTCTGTCTGGAGAGAACAGTACTCGCTTTTGTTTGCGAGCGAAGATGGGGCGTTGGACTCTCTGTTGTGATTGGATGTATGTGTTTTTGCTTTCCCGGAATTGAGTTCATACTTTAAGTCTCTACATCAAGGTCGGCGTGATATTGCTCCAATTGGCCAAGTGATGGCAGAACTGCGTATGTCTATGCTAATTATGAGCTCGCGACTTGACGGATGATGTCAACAATCTTCTCCGGCATGTTGAGCATCGGAGCATGGCCTGACTTGATCTTGATCACATTTTCAAACTGCCCGGCTTGGATAAATGCCGTCTGATACTGCGGAACCACAGCTTGGTCCTCCTCCGTCAAGACCCACGTCTTGGGGATCTTGATATCTGACGTGACAAAGTCCGGGAACAACAGGAAACTTTGCCGCGATTGCGTTTTAATGAGATCTGCCCACGCAGCCTCTTGTGCTTCCGGTGTGAGGTCGCTGTACCAAAGAGGAACGCAGTCTTTTTGGAGGTGGAGGATGCCGTTCTGCACAGTGGGACGTCATGATCAGTAAACAGGACATTCTAGGAGAGGGACAAAATCAAGGCAGCACGAAAGGTATCATTTCTCACTCACATCCAAGATATGGTACGGCATAACGGGCGGCTCGCTGTCGTCTCCCATAATGCCCTTGCCCCGAACGGGATAGGCAACGCCGGCGACGGCGACAAAGGAAACGATCCCTCCCGGCAAGCCCCGCGCCGCACGCTCGGCAACCGTCTGGCCCTCGACGACAAGGCTGGCGGGGATGCTGCCATAGCTGTGGGCCACAAGGATGGCCGTGTTGCCCTTGTCTAGCTCGGGCAGCAACACGTCGCGAATGGCTTGGACATCCTCGGGGACGCCTTTAGCCGCCAGGTCCTTCCATTCGGCAGACTCGGCCGTCGCGGAATGCAGGTCTCGGCAGACCGTGAGAGCCGGCGTCAGGACGGTATAGCCCTCTTTGCGGAGCGGCTCGGTGACGGCGTTCCACGACGAGGGCCGATGGAAGGCGCCAGGCACGAAGACGAGAATCGGTTTAGAAGCCATGGTGCAGAGAGTGGGATAGTTTGTTCTGTTCTTGCGTAAATATCCCATAGCCGCATGACAGAACACAAGACAAGCACGAATATATATACGACCCCAGTCTCGCACATTCGCCGAGTTGGACGTTGGATCGTGCCTTGGGCCAGCATTCTGCGTTCTCGACCACTCTTAGCGGTGAAGCCTGCTTATTCTAGCACTGACGCCCTGACTAGATGCAGACGCATCCACGCCCAACCGTGAGGAGTAGCGCTTATTGTAAGCACTTGTTGCTCATCTGCCCAGCCCCCATGGATATCCCGCTCTGGTAAGGCCTTTCACTCCGCAGTGGAGTCTACGTAGTATTCTACAGGTGCTGCGGCATCTCGTAACAGCTAAAAGAGCATTACAAAGAAATATTACGTGAGTATGGTTTGAAATAGCAACCTTGCACCGGACTCTCGAGCCTCCGAATATCCGCGGGTTCGCAACAAGGCCTGTTGCTGCGCTTCCAGGGAGTCAAACCGCGGCCTCCATTGTACGAGACGTACACAGCTGTCAGAAACGTGCTCGCTAGCTTGCTGGTGGCCAGCTTCCATTCTGCCATTTCACATTTGTGGTTCTTGTGTTTAGTCTGATCGCAGCTTGCATCCTGTATTGTAGCTCCTTGCGCTACGCTGTCGTCTTCTTTTGTTTCCTGCGAGACTAGCCGTAGATAGTGTAGTGCTGTTCACCAGCTCGTCCTGATCTATTTGAACTTTGAACCCCCTCCCCTCACGCACCAAGCCGCCCACCGCGACAACAGCCCCTATCCTACGAATATCTGAACAATACGCAACCCAAGGATGCGGCACATCCTTTTCTAAGCCTTTTTCTAAGTTCTTCTCTTTCACCAACGTTCTCACCAGTAGTCCCTGACCACATCATCAACGAGAAAGCCGGCAACCCAGTTCATTCCGCAGTCGAGTCGTAGATGTACTGCATTTCACATCCACCGAAAGCATGCTGCGAGAATCACATCGGCCATATTGGCCGGTATCGGAAAGTCCACGTTTAATAAGACTCGAAGCTCAAAGTCATTGTTACCAGTGGCCATCATCCTTGACATCGCCCTGCTTACTGGCATGCTCACCATCAGTGAAAGCGGGACTAGGGATGGATTCAATGTGGCAAAGGCACTTCTCTGGGGTAGATGGCTCTGCTAGTCGATCCAAGTAGGGAGTTTACTTTCTGAGTAAGACAATGAGAAGGTGTAACGGATTAGGAATTGCCAACACGTGGTATGGTGGTTGTGATGTTTATAAGTAAAGTCGGCACAGGAATACAAAATACACCATCGTAGCGTCCCTCTCGTCGATCTGCCAATGTCCGGTGAGCCTCCAACTCATGCAGGCATTATTACCACCGTGTTGCAACGCGAATCGTGTTGAACCTTTTTTTTGGCACTTCTTACGTTTTCCCTTGCCATATACGTTTGCCCAATACGACATTCAAAAAGTCGCCGTTTTATTGATGCGCTCCGCCCCCGACCCTTCTGCCCACCTTCCATCATCATCTCACCTTTGCTGATTTATGAATATCTGCCTTATCTTCAGCCCCCGTCCGGTCACTACTTTTACTGACATGACTCGCCCCAGTTTCGTCCTCACTCTCGTTCTCGCCATCGCTCCTGAGCATTCGTGTCCATCGGTAACGTTTTTCTTTTTTGTGAAATGTCACATCATAAAAACGTAAATTTATATCGTTAACCACACGCTCTATAGTTATGGTTTGTTTACATTTATACATCCGTGCAAGAACAACCAGGCTACTATGGAAATAGATACGATAACACCCGTCCTATCATGTACATCTACGAAGACGTGAAAAGTCACCAAATTTACTGTCCAAATTTACCTTAAATTCTCTTCATTATTTGCCACTCGCGCCGTTATATTGACCAGCATTATCATGGCAAATTGCGCTATCTACATCGCCCTCTTCGGTTTTATTTAGAGAATATGGCGTTGGCGTCGACGTGATATGGGAGTATCACAAATTAAGTGCTCTGGAACGTTTTTTCTTTTTTTTGGTGACCCTCAAAGGATTTTATTCGAATTTGTGTAGCATAAACTTAAACTTCAGCGCAAAATCATCACAAAGTGCTCATTACCAGAGCTAGAAAATCCGAGGGGCTTTAGTAGCCATTCATGTTCTCGGGACAGCAACAGCAGAAAAAGAAGGAAAGGCAGCTGGTAATGCAGTTCGCATCATCAGACATCTTGGCAGTTTTTCGGAGGTAGTTGGACAGTTAATAATCAACGTGGGTGTGGAAGTTTCTAGTTGCTTGTATCGACCTGGATTCATATCCCAATGCATATGTCAGTACTGAGGCGCGCAGAAGACTTGTGTATACAGGAGACGGTGAAAATAGATCCGGAATGACAAAGATCTCAACTAAAGCCTTGCGTCTGGTATTGTTGGAAACGGTCTAGAGGAGGCGTATCTTACCTGTCAAAGGGTTTGCTGTGTTTGTTGCGAAGTTGCGGTTGTCGTTGGTGGTGGTCTTTTGGAGGGCTTGTGACTTGCTTTGCTGTGTACGGTGGTTTTGTGTTTGTTGTTGTTGTGGGTTGGAATTCCCAGATGTCTTTCCATGTGGGAGAAGTCTCCTCTTTATACATTTTCCGGAAGAGCATGTTGGTAGGAGAGAACGGTCATGGTCATGCGCATATTTAGAAACAGTGACTCATACGCAACTAATTACGAGACACAAATAAGTGACCAAGCATCCAACTTAGTGGTTTGTGGCACTGGATGAAAGGATTTTTGTGACTTGTTTACCCCGTCACTGCAACCAAAGGGCGACTGCTCACCTTCGTAACTGCCTCAAACATATTTGACGATCTGGTTCTGCTATATCTTACTGACATCCGTGTGACAGGCCGAGCTTCAAAGCCAGTAGTTGAGCCACGATGGATACGATACGCGGTAAAATTACCACTACCTACAGTTCTGTGACAGGTTTGTAGTATACACAGTGTATCAGCTATTCACCTTCGATAAGAACTCACCACAGCACACCAGGCAACTCAACGTTACTGTTGCTGCGAGAACTACGAATACAACAAGCTTCGTAACTTATTTACTGAATATGCCGTCTGCTAACGACCGCAGCGACACACTGCAGTGTCTCAAGCACATCCGCCAGCCATCGTGCCTAGAAAACACGTCCGGAGCTAACCGCGAGCTACTAAGCCCGCGCCTGAGTCCGCGTCTGATTCGGAGTCTGGGACCGAGTTATCCCTGGACGTTGGTGCCTCTTCACGGCCGAGTTTGCCAACTTGCCGCCACACGGGGCTTTTACGGTAACCTACTGCAGTGTACACAAAGTGTCCATCCGGACGGCATATACGCACATTGACGTGGCATTATAACTTACGCCGAATGCATATAAGCAGACTGTCGGCTATGATATCGACGAGAATAGTTCTCTATATTTACAACGAAAGTTTAACGTCAAGGCTGAACTAACTCCCCAAGTTAAAACTAGGTTGTCTTGTCTCGGCCTTGACTACCACGCAACCCCCATACGCTGACCATGTCCGTCCCTCTACCCTGTGGATATGACCGACGGGGGCTAATGTAGTCCAGCCTCACAAACGGTCCCTTCGTCGATGTGTCCGCCTCCTTGTTGTCGTCCACCTCCATCCCATTGCCACCTTCGGCAAGGAGGTTCCAATGCACCCCCTGCAACGGCCAGGGTGGGCCGGGCTCGTCGCGACTTTTAAAAAGCGGAAACTCCAGACAGACGAGCACGCCCGAGGGCCGAAGAAGCTCGTGCATCCGGCGAGCCCAGTCTTTGCGTAATGAAGGATGCAGCGCACAGAGGAACTAGTACACGTCAGTCTATAGTCATGGTTGGCCATTGTTCTGCCGCCAAGGCGACTCACCGTATAGTCGTAGATGAGATCGAATTGGGCCGTGCTCCATGCGTCGTCGAAAAAGTCGCCGATCACAATCGTCACGCTGCCCGCAGCCTCGGCCGGCGGCGCGGTGGCAAGAGCGTCGCCAAAGTTGTAGCCGTGCGGATCCGCCAGCTCGCTCTGTGCATACGCCCGCGCTGCTTCGGCAGCCTTGGGCGAGCTCTCGAGCCCGACAACGTCGAATCCGTGCAGCGCGAGCATGACGACGTCATAGCCGCGTCCGCAGCCCGGCACCAGCGCCGTCAGCCGCTCTCCATTTCGAGGGACGTTCGCGAGGGCAAGATGCGCCGGGCGCGCCTCGAGCCAGTCGATCAGAGCGGCCGACGGCGTGCCCCGGTCCCACAGTTCGCTTTGGTCGGTATCCCAGAGCTCGGCCCAAGCTTTCTTTTGGCTTTCACGGCTGGTGTCGCTGCGACGAGGTGGCCCAGAGCCGCGGGTCTCGAGTCAGTACCGGAACGTGGAACGATGGGGAAAGACGTTTACAGCAAGGGGTAAGAAACGACGTACCCAGACGAAAAGTAGGAGCGAAGGCGTCCTTGCTGCGCCATTGTGGGTTATATAAGATAGACGGCTGTCGAAGAACCATGCAATATAAATATTTGAATGTTTTATGCTTAAGGAGCCGGCAATACGCAAGGGCTGCCAGGCACGTCAGTCAGGTATTTGTACTCCGCGGTCTGTGACTTGAGTAACGACGTTGGAGAGCTGTCTCCTGTCTACGACAAACAGCACAGGAGAACCTCCGCAGCTCTGGTGCTTAGACCCACTTTTAATAGCACTTTGTCGCCACTCAACGCCCACGGTATCAACGCCTCCGAGACATCAAAAAGCTGAGGGCGGTGCGAAAACGAGTCTACCTTCGAATCTGAATTGGAAATGATTGGAAACGAACTGCTACAACGTCTTCCATGTAAAACACTTATTCTTATTAGACCGCCATACTTTTTAGGACGGGAATATAAGGTATCGAGTGAAAACTCGGAAATTTTGAAAAGAACAAAATAAAACAGTTCATAAAGTAACCAGTATGAAACTACCATCGGTAATAGCAGAGGCGTACAGTCACTTGATAAAATAATAGTGGCGTAGGTCGTATGGTATGACATCACGAAATCGTGGTTCTTAGACACCCGCTGGCTGTTGTACCCATTCAGGTCTAACGAGTTTACCATCAACCCGGACAATACGTGCACCAGTCTGAGGAGCCCTGACACACAGGTTTATGGACGAGTAGATCCCCTCGTCATAAATAATCACGTACGGTGACGTTACAAAGCTCTCGCCGCAATCATCAGAAGGTAGGTGCTTTATCACAACATATATCACCACTTACGATCTTGTGAAATGGCCGTACTCGAGAACGAATACTCATCTCCTGGGGCGTCATGCTGGAGTCCAAAAATGTATAAAGACGTCGACTGTCTCTTCGGTTAACACCAAATATTGTTCCTAGGCATCATCAGCGACTGAGCTTGACCGCCACAGCCAGCACTTCGTCGCATATCGGCCACGAGTCCAACATCCGCGAGCTTTTACCATCACCATCAAGATCCAGACAGCGACCATGCTCTTCAGACCATTGCCCCCGAAGCCACCCACTCGACCGCGCCCGCATCCAACTACACAGTCGAATTCGACCAGTTCGACCAAGGTGCGGAACTGATTCTGTTTTCAAACACAGTGTCTCACCATCTACCAAGAAGAAGGATGTAGATACACAATCAAGTGGTAAGACCATGAAGTGTTTCCATGACAGATAGCTAGTTCCCTTTTAAGCGATTGTGCGATGATTTTTAATACATTGGTGGTTTGAAAACTCAAACAGTAGCTTCTCGAATGCAATATAAGCTAGAATATCGATTATGAGTAGTGGGTGATACGAATTTGTTACAGTCCTCTGTACGGTCACTAGTCACGATCGAAGCAAGGTATCTGAAAAGCACTATATTGCGAAACTGTTCTGATTACATGACACCCCACGTGTTCAATCTCTGGAAATAAAGAACAAATATGTTCTTGCTGATTAGTCCACTACCCTTCCTTGCGACCCGACACCTTATGGTCGAGTTCCTCTCCCCCCGCGGCTGATACATTGGCCCTGTACATGACATATGCAGACATGAAATGGAAACAAACTGTGATTCCGAATCCCTTCCATCACACTAAAGATGTGAAATCATCACGACAAGTGTTGCACGAAACAAAACAAAGTCAGAAAATGAAGGAGGGGGCATCGCCCCAACACAGTGGCTGAGCCAGATCTGATGATCAGGCAACATTCAAAGTGTTGTCCTTGACAAGAAGACGACAAAGACAGTAAATGACGAAACATGCAAAACGAAACAAGCGGTGCATCTACCGTGCAAATCAATGAGTGGGGTGGTTGTGTATGAGAAAAATTGAAAAAAAAAAAAAAAAACGAACAGGTCACGCTTCCACCTTCAAAAGACAAAAGGCAACTCGACTCGATCGTGTGCAGAGCACAAAGTATTTGGACGATACCGCGACCTACTTGAAGCAACTGTTCATGGTCTTGAAAGTCAGCGCGGACTTGTTCTTGACACCAGTGGCGGCGGCTGTGGCAAACTCCTTGACAGCGCGGCCAGCCCGGCGAGCACGGCGCTTGATGGCGCCCTTGACCTGGTGGACGCCCAGCTTGCCGCGGAGACGATCGGCGGGGATTCTGTGCTTGTCGCGAATGGCAATCAGCAGGCCAGACGCCTGGCCCGAGCCAGAGCCCAGCGTGTTGTACACGGGGAAGCCACGGAGGTAGTAGTGGAACGACACGATGGCGCCAATGTCCACCATGAAGTTGTAGACATCATAGGTGGTCTGCTGCAGAGTGCCCTTGACGGCCTTGTGGGCGAGCACGGCCACCTTGGCGTTGTTGGCGAGCCCGTAGTCGGCGTCCTCCGCCACGCTGGGGCCGGCGATGCTCTTGTCCGAGGCGTCCACGGCTTTCTTGATGGGACGTGCGACGCTGACAATGGCCGCACAGACGCGTGCCCAATGCGTGATGGCAAAAATGTCAGTCGTGCCGGCGTGCTGGCGGAACTCGATGGTGCGCGGCCGCGTGCACGCATCGTTCGACTGTCTCCGCAGATTATCAAAATTGAAATTCATGCGACCGCCCATGGTCGCAGAGTTTCTCAGCAAGGACAGCGTGTTGCGCGCCGTCGGTGAGTGCAGGAACCGCACAACACCATGCCAGCCCATGTGCGGGTCCGCGGGGCAACGGGGGCAAAGCCCATCCCGTTCCAAATACGCCTGGATAGGAGCGGCCTCGCGAACACCCATCTTTTGCGGGCGGGACAAGGGATCGCGAGCTTGGGGGCCAAACTCATAGGCCACATCCGGGCGGCCAGGACGCACGTTGGGAATGTGGTACGCGATGGTCGCACCTTTGGCCACGTCAAAGGTGTGCGTGATGGGCAGGTCGCCAGGATCCTCGTCGCCGACGTCAACGCGGAGCGTCTGGCCGTCAGTGGCAGCCTCGGAAAAGTAGCGAATGCTGCGAATGTGCCCATCGCACGGGCCTCGGAAGACAGGATGGAAGCCGTCAAACAGAGGCGCGGCGGCCCAGACAAGGGCGGCGGTCGAGCGCATCCAAACGTTTGAAAATCCTTGAGTGCCATTTCCCACGTGCTGGGTTCTGTTAGCAAGATGACGAGTCTTTCGGGGCAAGGGGATGAGGTAGGCAGAAGAACACGCACGACATGAAGCCCGTAACTCTCGTTAGTTTTCACGTGGAAAGTTTCAAGAATAATCTCAAACGCCTTCTCGACTTCTCCGAGGCGCTTTGCGGTGACTACAGCCGAGGCGATCTCGACCGACTTCCACTTCTCCTTCTCCATCTTGAGGCCGTCGTCCCGGACACTGGCATCGACGCCAACGATAAAGTACTCGCTGAAGCGGTCGTTCTTGATCTTCAGATGGTCCACGTCCGGGAAGCGGAGTGCCGCATACGTGGGATTGACAAGGGCATACTGCACCTCACAGCGGGTGGCCGCACGGATGTTGGCATCGTTGAGAGCCTTGGCCACATGGTACACTTGAGGGAGGTTCTCGATCGTGCCCGGTCTCGTGACAGCGGGAGCGGGATAGCCAGTGTCGGGCACCTTGTCCATGTCCCCGTAGGGGCTGGACTGAGGGTCAATGAAAAACTCCCACTCGATACCGACGGTGACATCAGGGCCGTCCACCTCGTGCAGGTGGTCCTCGGGAGAGACAACTGGCTTATCATACTGCCATTTGGCTGCTTCCTCGGCCAATTCTTGACGAGACGGGGCAACACGGTCACCGCGAGGGTAGCCATGTCCGCAGTCAATGGTCTCGTCGCTGTCCGAGCCGTCACGCTGTTCAAAGAGACGAGCGACGTCGAGGTCCGGCTGGGTGGCAGACGGGACGGTGCCGAGGATAGCAGAGGCCGATACCGCAGCGGACCTGTTACGCATCACTCCCATACTGTTTGAAATAGTGATGGGACGAGCAACACGACCCTTGGCAAAGTCATCGGCGCGCTGCATGTCGACTGGGGCAGCGACAGACACAACGGGATCTTGGTCCGATGTCATGGACACGACAGATGAGCGGACCGACGGCGGCGTGCCGGGTTCATCGCCCAGGTCGAGGGTGAATATACCTCCCATTGTGCTTGCTTTCTGGTCTTGGCACTATACCAAAAATCAGTTGTTAGCAGCCAAACGGCCAAACGAACAAAAGAACAAACGCGAGACGCCTGACATGCAACGACACGATACGACGGCTTACCTTTGATAGACAATAGGGGTGTAGGAAATTGGTATTGCTGTCTTGTTGTCTCTCAAGCACAAGACAGAAGAGAGATGAACGGAAAACAGGAAGGATCCTGGCAAACAAGATTGTCAAAGACAAGAAGAGAGGTGGGAAAAGAAGAAGGTAAGCAGAGAGGGAGAAAAAATAACGGCCAGATTATATGTGAGCCGCAAAAAAAAGAAAAAAGAAAAAAAGCCAAGTGGCAGAAGGTGTGCAGAGAGTGCAGTAAACAACAGTCAAAGAGTGCAAAAATGCGCAGACGTGCTAAAAGGAGAGGCAAGCCCAAGTCGGCAAAAAACGACTGCAAGCTCTTGTCAATTTCTCAGATTCACGCCCTGTGCACAGCCAAAATCTGACGACGATCTGAAGAGAACCTGACGAGATGGAGAGAAGGACGTGCGAAGAGCATATTAGGCAGCCATGGCAGGGCATCTGCGCGCTTTTATTCGGAAGGGCGCACATCCGAGCAGGTTCTGCGCATGGGCAGCTGCCGTTCAAAAGAGGCAGGCACGAGTGCGTCTACGGAGACTACCCTCTGCGGGTGGCGTAGTGGGACACCGAGGACTCGCTTCATGCGGAAGGAGCTCTCTATTGTTCCTTCCTCGCGAAAGGGGCCCACGAATAAAGGCCGGAGAAGCTCCTCTCGCCCCTTTGATTTTGGCGGGTGGCAGTATCTGTGATGGGTTTGGAGCACTCTGCACTGGCCCTGCACTACGAGGTATACGGAGATTCGGTGTGAGAAGTACAAAGGACCACGAAGACGTATCAGACGTTCCTGGGCGCAGTGTGAACGGCCGGAGGACGAGCATACTCTCCCCGAGAGCTGCATCGTCTTCACGATGTTTCATCTCGATGTACGTCGACGACGAAGAGCAGGATAGTCTCTCTCTCTGCTCGTGTAGTGGCGGTGTGAAAGGCGATGACGTAGACTATGTGGTCGTATGACAGGGTCTGATGTTTCCTTGTCGTTGCAGTCATCACACGATGCCATGAGGCCACTTTTCTTCTACTGTATGTACGTTCGTGCAGGTTTGTGCTGGTATCTCACCCATCACAAGTATACACAATGGATGCAGCAGACAGCAGACTGGCGTAGGACTTCTATCAGCGGAATGAGCTCCCATTGAGCTATTATAAGCCCATGTCAAACGCAAGCTTACAGCTCGTTCTCAGTTTGTTTTGGGAGTCCGTCTGTTTCGGGTGCCTTTTACGGACTCACGGCAGCATCATGAGCTGTGCACTAAATTTTGTGCGTCTCTAAAGGAGTACATCTGCAAGAGGCGTCTCGTAGGGCTTGCTAATTTACAGAACAATAGACAGTGGTGGAGACACGGCAATCTGTTAGCCATCAGGTACCGATGTACCTCTGTCGCCCCGTCCAAGTAGAGGGGCGTGTGTTTATGGCATAGCTGCTAAGTGAGTCGCCTCTCGCGTTGAAAGAATACGCCCCTAGCTACGCGTAGGGCTCTGGAGGGGCGTCTGTTCTTGTTTTTCAAGGAGAGGTGGCCGATAAAAAATGGTGCGGTTGCTATGCTTTCCTTCTCGTTTTATTTATTATTATTTTTGAAAACAGAACGCGGCGACACGTCGCACGTGACATTGTCTGCTAAGGAGAGGGAGGAGGCCGGAGAGGCGAGAAGGGAGGAAGAAAATAATCGAGGCGAACGATGGACGAGTGGTGGATGTGTTAGGAGCCGGCTCTGGCGTTATTTTGTTTGACTAACACCGGCAAATCGTCCGCATGCAAGATAAAAACAAACAGAATTGCGAACGGTGACGGAGAGGGTTTGTTGTCGGTCGACTGGCACTGGAGGCGTACACGACAATTTTGGAGTAGAATCTCGTCTGTTCCCAAGCCCAAATGTGCACGGCACCTTTTGATTTTATTTTGATTTTGATTTCCAAAGAGTGCCAGGACTCGCTAGAGAACCATTTCTATTGCGAAGTGTCCATTTGAATCTATATAACAGATCTTCTACTCATACCACAGCGCTCGACACAACTCCCCAAAGACTCCTTGATCCTATCCTCGATTCGACATTCCCGTGCTGGTCCTACTAAAGTCCCTCTACCACCCCGAAAGCTTCGTTTCCGAGAAATGCCGTCCAAAGATAAATAATCAAAATAAGTCGAGGGAATGGCAAACCCAAAAACCAATCAACTTGAAGAGGATGAACAGAGTAAAGACAGAACTAGAGATGGCAATAACGGCCAGCCACCTTAGATGGCCGTCCAGCCGCGGTCGACCTTGATGACAGCGCCGTTAACGTCTTGTCCGTCCTCGCCGCACAGAAACACGACAAGACGGCCCAGCCGCCCGGTGTCTGCGAAACCGGCAGACACCTCGTTGACTTTCATCACGGAAGCGAATTGCTGGCCGAGGCTGCTGTAATCAGAGTCCTCTGCAATGGCCGTCTCCATGCTGCCGGGGCAGATGGCGTTGCATCGGATTCCCTGCTTCGCGTACGCGGCCGCTGTGCTGGTCGTCAGGCCGATCGCCGCATACTTGCTTGTCGTGTACGCCACGCCGGCCACGCCGCCGTGGAACGCCGCAATCGACGCAATGTTGACAATCGCACCGCCCGTCTTGACCTCGCCCGAGACGTCCCCGTTGCGGACGACACGGCCCTCCCGCAAAAACTCCTGCGCCGCCAGCCGCGACAGCAGAAACGCACCATTGACGTTTACGTCCAGCACCTTGTTCCACAACGCCACATCCTGCTCGCCGACGGCGTGGAACTTGTCCATGATGCCCGCCGAGTTGACGAGCGCGTCGACCTGGCCGAACGCGGCCACGCTCTTGTCAAAGACGGACTGGACAGAGGCCTCGTCGGTGATGTCGGCCGCGACGCCAAGGGCCTCGCCAGGATGGCCAAGCGCATTGATCGCGTCGACGGTGGCCGCCAGCTTCTCGGCAGCAATGTCGACGAGGGCCACCTGCCAGCCACGCTTCAGGAACTCCATGGCAATCGCCTTGCCGAGGCCAACGGCAGCGCCAGTGACGATAACGGACAGTTTTGTTGACGCCATTGTGTCGATTGGTTTATAGGCAGTCGAGAAGGGACTAGAGTCAGGGGCGATGGAGATGACAAAGAAAAGAAAAGATGAGGTAAGTTGGAGAAGTTGTGTCTGTTGGCTGTACGGGTCGAGCCGAGAGAGTCTTAACAGTGGTAAGAGCAGGATCTACAACGCTCTTTATACCTCCATAGGTCGTCAGCCCCGTCTACAAGCCGGACACCGCCATCCAGAACGGAATGGATTTTACATCCCCGAACTGTAGTCCATCCTGGTCAAGGAAAATGTACTTGTTCCTAGTGCTTGGCAAGTAAGCAGGATCGTCATTCAGTACAAAAATCAGCTTCCAAAGCTGCCCTTGTCTTCTGAGCCCCTCGCTCTTATTTGTCTTCCTGTTCTCTGTTTTGGTGTTGTTTGCTAACGGCGCCAGCATACCGGACGCAAATCTAGGTACTCCGGTGTTAGGCGCGGTCTGCGGAACAGCGTAATACGACATACATGTATGTTGTACGTCGTACTCAGTATGACCGTGTAATCGTACCCGTATTCGCTAGCGTCAGTTCGACATACAGGGTACGGTACCTCCAAGACGATATATGCTTGTTCTCAAGCACGGGCTAACGACACTATGCTGACCTAAACTACGCATGAATCCGAACCAACGAGCAGATTGCCATACGTCGTGCGTCGTAATCGTTTTCGAATCCGGCCCGCCTAGTGGATGTGAAGTCTGGAACGCGGGAAAACATGGGCAGTGCAATAAGAAGCGCAGAGAGGACTTCGTTGAGTTGTGCTGCTTTCTGAATCCAATGCTGCTGTAAGTTGGGGAGACACAACAATTGGAGTACGTGCGGATGGCGGTCTATTTCTACATCAAGATATATTCATATAGAATGTCTCGCTATTAAAGAAATCGTCCAAAGCTGACTTATGCCTTTATTATAGGTCACAGACAAGCAACGTTTCTTAGCAGAAAGAAGACGGTCGTCGACATACCCGATAATCCAATTTCCTCCCTATTCTACTCAACAACAAATGTGCCTCCTCTCGGCTTCCCTCGATCCCCTGCCCCTGCATCACGCCGGCGGAGTACTTTAGGTGCCGAATACCGAAGAGCTGGAGGACGAGATAGTTGCGACTATGGCAGGGCCAGTCGGTGGCGTGAGCTCTTGTTGTGGGTCTTTTTGGTTGAGCATGCGAAGTACGACATATTCCTTGCGGTCAACGCCATGACCTTGCCATCAGCGATCGACAGACTCAGCCGTGGCGGGCAGGCTCTGTCAAGCTTGGCAGACTTAGGCTGATCCAGGCACAATCGGGCCATCTGCCACGTCCGATCGGCTGTAAGTGCGTTCCGTGTTCCTGCCGGCGACTTGTTTATATACACTTAACATAATACTATATTCATTGTTTCAGGCAATATCGCACTTGCGGCAGGCTTGTTCTGAATTGTGTTCCTGGCCTTGTTGTGGTCGGAAAAAAGCAGGCCTCAAATTGCCCATATTGCCATCAATATAGATCCCGAAAACATGGGATGAAACTGACAGAGTCCTCTGTCGCCATAGCAATTTTGGAGAGCAGTTCCCCAAATGGCCACTCGAGTTTACCGGTTGCACACCGAATCCTATATCGCAAATGTCCATCTCCGGTGACCTGACCGGACTGATCAGATATGAAGCATATACATTATCTTGGCGAGGATCCCGTCTTCGAGATAGGTAAATTCCCAGTGGAACCGATTCCCATACCTTAAAAGTGCATACTATCCGAACATGGAACATGGGAGACAGGACGTGCTGTGTGTCTTCCATCTTCCACATATGAAAATATCATCTTGGCGAGACTTGCTTTGGTGTCTGTTCGTCATCTAGACGCCTGGCACTGTTTGCACCTCCTTCCTCCTTAAACATGATAGAAATGGCAGGAATTTCTCGGATACTCACCTGCGTTGCGATCTGTGCAATCAACCTTGCCCAGTTCACAGTCGCAGCACCAAATGGACAACAACAGCCTCACCTGCTCGGCCGGGACCAGGTACAAGGCTCCCCTGTGACTGAGACCACGACAATCCTGCGAAAGTCAAGCAATGCCGCACCGACCGTCCCTCCAACTCCAACAACACCACTTGCGCCCGATGTCCCTTTTTCACGCGTCACGCTGAACTATACAAAAACGTTCGAAACAACAGACACTGAGACGACATGGCTCACACTGACGAGTGCCGTGCGCGCCAACGTCACGTCCACCGCAACTGTCACGTCAACCGTCACAGAGACACAAACAGACAAAGTCACGCCGACGGATGCCGCCACGTCGACAACTGCGGCTGTGCCTATAACAGAGCGGTTCAGTGAGACGTACACGTTCTTTCGGACCAGCGTCATCTTTGAGACCATCTCTGCGGCCACGAATGCCACAGCGGCGCCTTCAGCGCATGCTCCAACCCCGAAGTGGTCCAATTCGTCGACATCCCTGACTGCCACGGGAGCTGGAACCGGGTTCCGCGCAACGTCGACCGTGGTCCTTACAAGGACTGTCAACACTACGTCTACCGTTGTTCGGACCGACACGACGACGCAAACCGCCACGGGGCCAGCGACAACGACGGAGACGGTATTCACAACAGTGCGAACAACTGCCACCGTCAACTTGACACGCATTGCCTTGTCTACAAGTACCATCGAGTTTACACAGACAGTCAATGTGACGGAAACAATATCCGGCAGCTTGCCCGCCGGTGCAGGCAGCGGCTGTTCGCCTACCGTTGCAGACTCGCCTCTGACATCCTCCATCCAGCGCAGTCACAGCCCGACCTTCCATCCTCTACCCCCAGCATTGACGGGATCTGGCTCGAAGCCATCGGTACAACCAGTGCCAACCAAACCCACCAAGCCGGCGGATCCCATTGGCGCGCCGGCAGATGGTGACAGCACAGACGATGATTAGGTTAGGTCAACGAGAGACGACTGTGCCAATGAAGACCTGTAGACGATGTTCATGGTAGACTTACACGGTTTCATGGCTCAGATTGTTTGTCTTCAATATGAGTTGGGTGGGGAGATGACGTTACAGGGTAGTTAGGCTATGTGTACTATATCGAGGCAGGAGAGATGACGGAAATCAAAGGTTGACCTTGTGGCCAGAATAAAATCAACGCTGTCTAATGCTACGCCGTCCAGATATGAAAAAAGTGAAGAGCAGAGAACCCAGTAGGAACCGAAATAGTAGAGAATGAGTAAGTGAACCGCACGTCGCCTTCCTAGCGGAGCAAAATATCATAGCCATCCTGGCTGATCCGCACCTCCTCCCCAGACATGCCGTACTTTCGCCGCAACAGCTCAAAGATGATCAGGCCGGCGCTTGTGCTCGGTACCTGCCGGATGGTATTCCACCAAAATCCGCGGTAGAGCCATGACATGAGCGAACGGCCCTCGGCCGCCGCCATGTCGGTACATGTGCTCAGTGTTTGTAAGTAGGCGTGGTAGTATGTGCGCATAAAATGGAACCGTGGCAAGCGGAAGACACGGCCGAGGCGGTTGCGTAAACTGTTGGTATTTGCAGTGCCGTTGCCCGAACCGTCACGGCCAGCAGCTCCGCCGTTGCCATTCGTCGTAGTAGCAAACTTGGATGCAGCGGCCCGTGCTGCTGCTGCCTCACGGTCGGCCTTCACTGCGGCATCGAGATCTTCCAGCATGTCCCAATGCACAACTTGAAAGTGTGTGAGCGGATGCAAGAGCACCTGCTGGGCAAACGAAGCACTGACCCCGGCCAGCAGCAAGAATGTTGGCTCCAGCGCATAGTGAGGCCGGATCACAAGAGGCATGGCCGCTTCCTTCTCTGCCCGCTCCCTTGCTCGAGCTTCCGCCCATGCCTTGGGGACCAGGGGTATCGGCGGGTGCTGGTGATGTATGTGTTCTTGGTCGGAGCTGTGCGCCTTGTCGCCATGTAGCGTGTGCTTTGCGCTCTCGACGCGGGCTTCGAGACCACTGACCTGGCCCTGCACCCACTGCTGCCGTTGCTGCTTCCGCCGCTCCGCCGTCTGCTCCCGCATCTGCTGCTCCATAATCTTTGATCCGTCGAGCGCGCCGTAGTAGTATGCCACAAAGCTGTAGTAGCTCTGGGCTTTGACGTATTCAAACACGGAAAAGAACACGCCGTTGCCGAAGCTGTCTTTGACAAACGACAGGCCCCAGCCGGCAAAAATACCGCGCAGCCCAATCTCGCGCAGCTTGGCTGCACTAAAGGCCCACATGCTCCGAGGGGCGCCTTTGCCGTTGCCGACAGCGTCCGCGGCCACGTCCCGATGGTCGTAGCGTGCCTGGATGGCGTCGAGAGGCGCCGCCACTAGACTCTGAATGCTTCCGGCGAGGAATCCAGCCACAAACGTCTCCATTGGTGCTGGTGGAGGGTATACACGCTTGCGCGCCTGGCCACTTTCCGGGTGGAGCCGGGCCAGGATCTGCAGGTAGCTTGTGTACAGCACGGCCGCCACGCCAATGTTGGCCATCAGCGGCGGCATCACCTGGTCGGGCACAACGGACCAGCCGTGCCGCTTGATGGCCAGGGTCAACACGCCCGGGGTCGTGCCGCTGAACCATGCCCAGAGCCGCGAGGATGAGCCGGCACCGTTCGCCGCGAATCCGCCGTCGGCGCCGCGTGCGTATGCCAGATAGTCGACCCGCGTGCGGAAGAATGCCTTGACCGGCGCACGGAAGTAGAACTGCAGTGCCTGCGCCGACAGGGCCCGGACGCCAGCGGCCGACGCTGCAGTGGCGGCGTCGGTGCGGCGGTCCTTGTTCGGAATGACCGGCACGCCGTCGGCCGGGACAGCAGGGAGAACGCCGGGATAGATGTCGCCGCCATAGATGCCGTCGTTTGTGCCGCCGGCACCAGTCTTGTCGCCATCAGCGCTGGTACTGCTGTTGCCACGGTTTCTGACGGGCCCCGTTCCAACAGAAACACTATCATCGCGCCCCTTCATTGTGCAGCCGATGCAGCATAGCCTTGTCCCGGCAGTCGTCGGGTGGAAGCTCTTGCCAAGAAGTCGAGCTTAATATCAAAACGAGGAAACGCGGCGCACTACGTCACTCAGAGCATCCGCCGGTTACCATCGCACTTTGGCTAACGGGAAAGCCAGGAACGAAGCCTCGTCCCGGGTGGCAGTAGCGGGGCCATAGTGGGGCAGCTGACAGCAGCTGGCAGCAGTGGGTCGTTAACCTTTATATGCTGTGGCTCATGTTCTCCGTGAAGCACCAAATCACTTTCGGCGTTTCCAGCATACTAAGCAGGAACGACATACAAATGTGTGCTTCAAGAGTTTCAAGAGCTTCACCCGTATGTCGCAGATATCAATATTCAATGTCAAAAGGACCACGGCGAGGTACGCGACAGCTTCATCCAGCTAGTTGGCAAAAATTCACGTGACTCTGCGTGGTTGCGGTCCACGTCGCGATACTCGAGAGCTTATCTCAAAGTACAACACAAAACCGTGCGTCGAGGCTCAGAAAGAGCAAAAAGACGGGATGAAATCGAAGGAAGAAAAGGGGGGACGAATGCTACATTGCTCCCTTTCCCTGCCATTTTGATTATTGGGCAGGGCTGCCCCAAAGTGCCACCATTTACCTTTCATGCAGGGCCTTGAAACACGCTTGGGTCCGCTGGCAGAATGGATCCACGGACGTGTACACAAATTGGCGCACCCCAGCTCCAGGTGAAACGCACCAAGAGCTGGCTTGGTGGGCCACCTCTGCCTTATTCCTGGCCAGTCCCTGCCGCACGTCATTCGTAAATGTCGAGCAGTTCGCGTCCGCGATGCTCATCTCACGTCGGTTGTCAACCAGCCATAAGGGACATTGTCCAGTTTGCAAAAACGAACATAAAAAAAGATGAAGAAGAAGAAGAAGAAGAAAAAGAAAAAAAATCGAATAAGTTATTAAAATAAATAATTCAGAAAATTTGGGGACAGGAACCACTCTCAACGGGAACAAGTGATCAATTTACGCGTACTTGTACGCCAGCATGGACATGGGCCTGGAAGCGTTATCAGGGATGGTGAACTAAACAAAGTTCGTAGATGAGGGAGGGACAGCACAGGCGTTTTATCTCGCCATGTCAGTGGAGATTATTTCACACTTTGTCTCGAGTATCGCGGCTAAGATTATGTCATAAATCAAACGACGGGCGGGATTGTTGTAAGGCCTCGACCTTTCAGGAAGGAGAGATGAACAGCCTCACACTCCGCAGGTGAGTATATGTCACCGTTCGCTCCTGCCATTATTACGCGCATACGGGTTGTATTTCGACACACGTGGAAGTCGCAGCCAGGCTACAAAAGCCGTCGAAACAAACATCGCCAACGGGATATCAATTTGCCCCTGGCCGTCGACATTCCAACCGCGATTTCTGACAGCCAACCAATGTGCTAATCTAGTTCCAATTCGCGGCGTCAGCCGTGTCCGCGTTCCCTCGTCTGTTTACACCTGTTGCAGCGACCGCCCGTCTAGACCACAGAGAGACCAAGAAACAGTGTGGTGCGATACGAAGTACGCCTCAGCTCAGAATCAACACCTCCATTCAGCTTGGCAGACTACGAAGTACATACAAACGGGTGGCTGTGTTGCGGGGAAAAGCGCCCATCACCAGCTGCAGACGACAAACAAGCGACACCAAAACGGCCAGGCTAAGAGACGCTACTCTGTGCACGCCACTCAATTAGGCACATTCGGTTCTGTCGCATTCAGACAAAGCAAGGTTCCTGGTCAAACGCACGACGCAACCCGCGACCTCTCCTTTTTCTATATCTTTCAAGTTCCCTCAGACAGTGTCGAAGGACGACACCCATTTCAACGTTGAGAGTGTTGACGATACTTACGCACGAAGCCGATAGCAACCCACGCGCCCACAGAAACATTTCTCGTCTTGACCTTTGAAACACGCGACCATTGAACACTACGTCACTTATCTCGACCCAGAATTACATCGCCCGCACGATCCTCCGCCGATAAATCTACTCCGTCTTCGACGGGCTGGATCCAGAACAACGGATGCCGAGGACAGTCGACTGCAATTTGAGCCCATTCATGCGCTTGCTTAAGTGATTCTTCTAGGCACCATTCTGTTCTTCCATTTGCCCTTGCCTCCACTCGGCCAGCCAAGATTCCAAAAGACGGGTGGTGTCGTGACGTGCCGTGTGGCATCCGGGATCGCTGGATAAAAGTACCACAATCAAGGTGGGCAGAACATCAGCCAGTGTCCCCACACGCTCAGGCGCACCCAGGAACGCACACGGCTGCACGATCGCCACGGCCTCGCAACGCAGCCGGAGAAGACATCAACATCGCGCCGTGACGTGCATCGCCGTGCCCGATGGGGGGATTTGCATGTTAGAGACGTCAAAGGCGAACAGGCATCTCCCCTGGACATTGGCGACACGAACGACATTTGCAGACGGCTCAAAGCAAACCACCAAAGGAGTGGTGTCAGGAAACGGCGACTCGGGGGCCGGCGTGACGAAGGATATATATCGGCGTTCTCGACTTCCATCCCATCTTGACTCGATCCGTTAAGGCTGAAAAACCAGAGCAGACGACAGACCAGTCCGATACTCTTTGGCACACGGACACTGACACGCCGAGTCCAACCCCCCCTCCCAAGAACGAACACAGCAAGAATCTGATTCGCAGGTCGTGGTTCGCGACCGTTGAACCGTCGTCACATCAACAATGTCAGGCTACAGCTACTCCATCCAAGGCGGTCCGGCGCCAGCCTTCCCACCGCGCGAGTTTGTGCAGCAACAACAGCATCAGCAGCAGGAGCACGAACAGTTGCAATACCAACAATACCAACAGTTTCAACGAGAATACTTGCAACAGCAGCAACAACATCTCCAACAACAGCAGCAATTGTAAGTACTTATGTCGCGTCTTATTACGTTTCTCAAGTTGTTTGATGGCCGTCCCGAAGAACGGTTACCGCAGCGGAGTTCGCCTAAACCTTCGAACGTCCACAGCCACACCCCTCAGTGTCCAGTCCCTTTGCACCCTTGTTCAGTGGATGAGGCCCCTCAACACCCCACAACATCGTCGCATTCTCCACCAGAAACCTCCCCTGGTGCAATTAATCTCCTTGTCCGGTCCAGTCCCTGCTTATCTCCCTCCCTATTTTGGCGTTGGCCAGTTCCTCAACCAAATTCCCCAGCGTTCGACCGCCCATCCTTGCCTATGGTGTCTTTCTCATGTTTCTTCTTCAGCGTCGTGGCTTTGATCTGTGCGAGTGGAACGGACAGCCAATAAACGGGACTTTCAGTAACTTGCCAGCTTGCTTTTTTGTTACGCGAATTGACTAGCCATTTTCCAGCTTGTTGATCTCGTCAGTGCTTGATCTATCACTCTTCTTTCTCTCGTCTGTCCTTCTCTACCCCCGTCAGCTCTTTCGGTTTTTTTTCCCTTCCTCGACGGCGGACTAACCTTGCGGACCGATACAAACAGAAACACAGCACCGTCTCAACACTCGCAGCTGCCTCCGGCAAGGAACCCGAAGCGAGGCGCAACTCGTCCCGCATCGTCCATCTACTCCCAGCCAAGTCCGATCAACACGACCTTTCAGGTACAGCAGCAACAGCCGCCACTGCAGGCGCAACAATACCAGCACCACGGCTATAGCCAGTCTGCAGGCGGGCAGCAATACCAGCAGCAACAATACCAGCAATATCAGCACCAGCAGCATCATCAACAGCAGCCATCCTACCGGTACCAGGACCCCCGATCGCAGTATCTATACTACTCGCAGCCCAAGGACCTCAGGAACGCTGACGGAGTATCCCCGGAGAGCTCTCCTGAACTTTCTGCTGCCGAATTAGCGTAAGCCGACAACCCCTTGTAAACCGGAGTGGGAGTGGCTTGACGTGAACGAGTATTTCCTGCGTCCGCCGCTGGCATAGCATACACACTTTCCACGTTCTCTCCTAACCGTAGTCACAGGCCTCATAATCCCCCACCGACTGCCCCAGATATCAGCCCCGTCGAGCGAAGCGAGCCTCATTTCGACATGGCTGCGACGCAGGCGACTCAACAAAGGGAACCGGCCCACGATGGCCGGCCGCCGTCTGCGTCGCGAAGCAACATTCCCATGATGCGGCGGGAACGGCGACAAACGGCAGACGCTGCTGCCAAGACATTGCGTGAGACGAAGTCAAAAGAACGCCTGCAACAGATGCACCAGACGCAGCAGGAGCGCAGCAACTCCATCGCCTCCTCTAAGCGCGGCTACAAGGGCGGCGAGGTTCGCTGGGATCCACAGACAGGCGAGCTGACAAGCTCCCAAAAGGGGCGGCCAAGCCAGGTTAAACCTGCAGAGTATGCGCGTGGTCTGGCAGTCGATTCGACGAGCCCGACAGAAGCAACCTTTATGGAGGGTAAATCGGCTTCCGGGGCCAGCGGCATTGCCAGCTTTGCCAGCCGGCTTCGTCGCACCGTACAGACTGGGACTGGTACGAAAAACCCGTCGACATCGTCTACCTCAGCAGCTCAACCTCCACAACCTCCACTGCCTCCCAAGGACCCCGTGTCGCCGCGGTCACCAGCGGTTGAATCCCAGCCTAAAGATTTTTCGTCATCGACAGATCCTGCTGCAGGAGCGTTCACGTCCAATCGACCTGCATGGCATGGTGCGAGCGGCCGCACAGCCCTGGTTGCGCCCGTCCAAGACACACCGGAAGCAAAGCCGCTTAACATCCCGCGCAAGAGCAGCAAACGCGTTGCCTCCCTGCCCAGACTTGCAGACAGCACCACTGCTGCAAATCCGTCCATCATCTCATCACCTCCTCGCCAGAACATTGCTAGCACTGTAAGTCCCCCCTTTCCCTCCCCCCCTGCAAGTGTTCACTCAGGGATGAAACACCAATCCGAGCGGTCGGTCGCCTGCAGCGTCGTAGTGGCCTTTCAGCACTCAGCACTTCAGCACTAACAACCCAAACACAGACCACCAAGACGCCATTGTCCCCTGCGACGCCCGGCACCCAAAGTTACCCGAGTCCCCCAATGTCTGCAGACCCCACTTACCAAGAGTCCCCGTCATCCCAACAGCTGAAGTCAGGTACACTGCCGCAGTCCACGCGCCCGGTATCGTCCAAAATTAAACGGAAGCCAACTCCTTCGCACCAGAGTCTGGCCAGTTACGATGAAAGCGACCCTTTCAACTACAACAACCGCGTTCATCCCAACACTGGCTCGTCCCCGGTCTCACCGCCGCCTCCCCCACAAGACAGCGAATGGACACAGCCTCCGTCCCGGTTCAGCACTACCACTTACAACTCCACGGTGCACGAGTCGCTGGCCGAATTCGACGCCACGGATGCGCCTGAGATGCCTTCCGTGCCCAACCCTCTGCGGTCTAGTCCGCCATTCCAATCGACAAAACGCCGGCCAGTGGTCCAAGTCGAAAGCAATCCCGTGCAACAGGCATCACCGCCACGACAGAAGCCAGTACCGATTGTCACCAAGCCGCTACCGGGTCCTGGCGACGATGGCAATGTCATGGACCGGCGGCGTCCACCACGCATGGGACATACGAGCCCCAACTCCATTAGGAATGGAAACGAGCCGATTGTGATCAGTCTCAAGACTCCGTGGATGTCTGGAAACCACTCGCCTTTGCGCGAAACGGAAGACGGCGGCGACTACATTGGCAACAGCAACGGTAGCGAGGAGGATGCTTTACCCGACGAGTCCATTTACAATCAGCTACGGAACAAACATCTCATGGGTGCTTCCAAGGGTGTGGATTCGTCTGACCGCATGTCCATGGCAGGGTCTATTCACAAAAATCTCCCACTGGCCCCACCCGAGATGACGGCCAAGGACCGCGTCACCATGTTCAACGCGCAGCTCGCCAGCCTTGCGCAGCGCCGCATCAACATTGGCCGCAGCATCAAGCAGATGACGGAACTTATGCCCACCGACAATCTCTTGGCGACGCCGGACGTTCTGCACAAGCGCGAGTTGGAGAAACGCAAGGTCGAGGGCCTGCGTACTGATCTTGCCGAAATCCAGCGCGAGGAGTACGAAATTGGTTTGAAGCTGCATCGTGCCTACAAGAGACTCGACAAGAATGCCGAATATGAGCCCACGACACTGTGGGTCCGCCGGGTAACAGGTTGAGAAAAGCTGCCCTCACCAACTCGTCTCCTTTTTGACCACTTATCGTCATTCGTTCATTCTCGCTACCTTACGGATTACAAGTGTCATGGCCTATTTCATGTTCGGCCATGACTGAAAACCTTTCTTTTGTTGCGACCGCAAGCGGCGAGCTTACTCTTTTTTTGGTTTTATTGTCTTTACGTTTTCCTTTGTCTACACAACAAACCCACTGGCTCGGGCCACCAGCTGTAACTCCCAATCGTAGCTTTTGCTTTTTCTTTTACTTTTTTTTTGTTTTTGACTTTTTGCTATTGTGCCAATTTGTGTTAGCATTTGGCTTTACACTACAAATTTTGTTGGTTCCCATACCTTTATTTTTAGCATCAGCCAGCCTTCTATACCAAACTGTTTTCTTAAGGACTTTCACCCATGCCTGACTTACAAAGTATTGCTTGACTTACAAAGTATTTATTCATGTTGTGTTATGAGTGCCGACTTCATACACGAATTGAGTAAGTTGCACGTAATTTATTTCCTGTCCTTTTTGTATAATTTTTTTTCCTTGATTTTTTGGAGCAAAATAAGGCAACAATATTTTTTTGAGAAAAAAAAAAAAAAAAACAAATTCAATAACTTGAACAAGACTTTTAACTTTGGCATTTTAACAGGTGAGTCAAACGTGTCGTTTTCCTAATCTGGGGTTCAAATAACACCGAATAATAAATAAAATGCATTCAAAGAGTCTATGAGATATAATCCATTTCCGACCAAATCTATCCGTACCGATTCAAAACAAACAAGATCCTACGATAAAGAATACGTGGATAAGCCATTGGACAGCCTTGTCCAATACCGTTCCGGTGCGTTGCTCACTGCCAGTTGACGACTTGGGGAGCCTCGCCGCTCACACCGCCCAAACCAATGCCCATATTCAAGAACGTGTCAATGTCGCCCATGCCTTCCGTCTCCAGCACGTCCATGAGCTCCATTTGCTGCTCGTGCGAAAGACTGCCTTGCCGCTGTAGGTTCACCGGGCCACCAGCACCAAACCCAAAGGCCTCATTCATGCTACCGTCCGACCCTGCACCCCCAGCACCTCCTGCTATGCCGAGGTTGCCAGCATAACCAGGCTGGCTAGTTGGCAAGCCGCCAATGCCACTCCCTCCGGCGCCCAAGCCAGCCGGCGCGCCACCGTAGATCCCAGTCAAGGGACTAAGAGGGTTGGTAACGCCTCCAAAGCCGCCGAGACCGTAGCCAGAAAAGGCTGCTGTGGGGTCCCCCATGTAACCGCCAGCGCCCCCCGTGATGGTACTGAACGCATAAGGTGAAATGAACGGAGGCTGTGCCGAGAACCAGTCGCCACCCATCGCGGATGTTTGCTGAGTCCGCTCCAAGGGAGCGGGCAGTGGTTGCTGCTGCGGTGCCTGACGTGGCTGCTGCAGCATCGGCTGTTTTTGCGAAGGGGGCCGTTGCTGTTGCTGTTGCTGCTGTGGCTGTATGGCATACGCAGGTTGCATGGGCTGCATAGGCGGGACAGAGATTGGCTGAGGAGGTGTGCGCCTCTGGTTAAGCTGAGCTTGCTGCGTTTGAGGTGTTCCGGTGGGGGTCGACTCAAACTTGATAGGAACCGGTAGTGGCACACCCTGTGAGAGACCCAGGCCCACGGGCAGAGGGCTAATATGCCGAACTGTGGGTGTGGGTGTCGGCGACGAGGCTGCCGTTATGGTTGTTGAAGGAGACGTGGTGGTGAACTTATTCGTGCTGGGCGGCGTAATGTACGATTCAGGGGACGTGATCATAGCCGGTGATAGTGCAGGAACGGTACTTGGCTGCGGCAATTCTTCGCTTTGGAGCGAACTGTCGCTGTTGGTCAATGGGGGCGGTCCTTCAGGCGGGAAATACGAAAACCGACGGCCCATCGGTTCCGTAGATGCTGGGTTCAGGAAGATAGAACCGGAACGGAACTGAGGTTGACCGGCGCCCGGCCCTTCGTCATACGTGTAGGAGGCTTGCGGTGCTGGTTCCGTGGAATTGAAGATATATCCGAATTGCGGAGTGCTAAAAATCGGGGCCTGTTGCTGCTGAAGTTGCTCTTGCTTGGCGTTTGCAGATCCATTAGGCGGCAGCGGCACAACTCCAGAAGCGATTGGCGAACTCGGGTCGACGTCTGATGACGGTGAGTGATAAGATCCTTCAGGTCCACCGTATTGCGTTGTATTAAACACCGGCGGACCGTGTTGCTGTTGCTGTTGTTGCTGTTGTAGTTGATGTTGCTGCTTCTGCTGCTGCTGCTGCTGCTCATCAGGGGTGTCGTAACTCTGGAGGCAGGCTTTGGCAAAGATCGAGTACAGTTGAGAGGCGGCGGAGGCACCGGGCCAGCGCTCTGAGCACTGGTCGACAATATCCAGTGAAGTGTTGATGAGCTCCTCGATCTCCTCGCGGGGATGCTTTCCCCTGACTTCAGGATACGAGACAGACCAGAGGATGGTATTCAACGACATGTAAATTGTGAGCAGGAAGACCCAGGTAATGTCGATGGCGGCTTTCTTGACCTGCTGGCTTCCAAGGTTTGTCACATAGGCAGATGAATCATAGCAGCGCAGGGCTGCCGCCGGCGACGGGTTTGGAACTTGGGGCGACGGACGGTACAAAGATACAATCATAGCATGATATCTCCCGGTGAACCTGCGAGGTTGGTTAGGATAGGTTTTAGTGCATGTGAGTAGGTTCATAGGGTAATGGCTTACCAAGGCTTGCACCAGGCAGGGTTCTCGGGTGCCGTGTCGAGCCAGTCCTTGATTTTCTTTTCCATTTCGGCGAACCAAGGGTGATCCTCGCTGCGCGGTTCTGGCCGTTTCTTTTCATAGAGCACGCGGCGGATCTCGGCCTGGCAGATACGCATTTTGCAGAAGTGGATTGCCACGCGTTTCTTCTCTGACGGAGGACCAGCCTGGATACCGTTCTCGGTGATGTACTCATCGTCCACATCGGCAAAGAAGCCGACATCAACCAGGTCGTTTCCCTTTGCGAGGCCGTTGGGACGGCCCATGGAATGCGCCAGACCGAGCTCCATTGTGGCTACGATCCAGCTTAGACGTCGGCGCATGTCAAGCTGAAGGGGATTGACTTGAAAGCCGCTGGCTATGGTTTTCTCGTCAGCAATAGCCAGCTGCTGGCAAATCCTGGTACCAAGGCCGACAATATGGTAAACGTTGGTGCGCGTCGGTGTGAGCAGGGAGTACTGTCCGATGAGGCCGAGGCATTGGAGGGTCCTGATGTCCTTTGGCCGGATGACATCTTCGAAATACTCCATGGCGGCGAGGTAGTAACTATCGGCAAGGCCTGCATACTGGGTATCCAGCTTCTGGAGGCTGATGGCCATGACCATCCGCACGGCAAAGTTCTTGTACGGGTCGGTGCTGCCGTCGAAAACCTCATCGACATGAGTGGCGAAGACGCGTTCGTGGAGTATCGGGGTAAAGACCTGCGCTGCACAGATAAGTTGGTAGATGTACGGAGATCATACTTTGTGGCGTGGAAATGCGTACCTCGAGAATTGAAAACTTCCACCAGCTTGTCCGCAATGGGGCGTGATGGCAGATTCTCGGCCGGGTGAGCGCTGATCATGGGATAGCTCTTCTTGCGCAGACTCCCGGAGCTGACGCTGGAGCCAGCACGACCCTGCAACCCGGCTATGCTCTGCATGCGTGTCAACCGCTCAATACGGCGAGCGTTTAGCTCGGGGATGAGCTCCGATATGCGTTGTGACTCTGTGTACCGCTTGGCTTCTTCCATAAGAAGCCGAGTCATCGCGATGCCGCTGCTGGGGCCAAGGTAGCGGGGCGTTTCGTCGGAGTCGCTGAGGCGAACGAAGCCGCCTGGCCGGATCATGTCTTCGTTGTCCTCGGGCAGGTCTTCTTCCGTGAACTGGGCCAGCTCTGCTTCTAACTGCCGCACCTTCTCCTGCAGCTTCACGACATAGAAGCGGCTGATCTTGCGGCCCTTGGTGCTGTCGTAGTATTCGCATACTGAACCGGAGCGCTCACAGGGCAAGCATCGGGGCAGGGTCGGGTCGCATCGCGTTTTGCGCTGCAAACTCAAGTCAGTAGAGAGATCAAGCTGGCGACCAATTGGTCAACATGGTGTCTCCGATGGGAGGCGCATACCTGCCGACAACGACAGCATGCCGTCAGCGTATGGGCAACACGACTCGGCGCGTCATGATCGCTATCGCGACTCTGTGGCGGCGGCTGAGTCCTGGAGGGCTGTTGGTAGTACCTCGGCTGGGGCGGCGGTTGACGGATCGGACCTGGGACGAAGCCCTGGCGAAAGATGTCGGACGCATTCATCGTCGGCCCGTGTTGGTCGAGCTTCCGCAGGCTGCAAACGTAGGCTGCTTGCTTCGTCTGTCGGGGAAGTTGCTAGAATGCCGGGGGGGTTTCGCCGGATATCTGCAAGGCGACAGGTTGCTATAGTTGCGCCTGTATTTCGGTGGAACACAGCAAGAGCACGCCGCTGACTGTCTCGGCTGCGCAGCTTCTCTCTCCCCCAATCGCGTTGCCGACAGGGCGGACAGCAGAAGGGTACAAACGGTGCAGATGTCTCACTCAGTTCACGATGAGGCGGGTGAGGAGAAGAGATTCTGCGAGAGCGATGCACACAACACTGAGCGTTGGCGTGTGACTGCACACCCTCTCTCTCCGGATGGGATGTATGGAGTCTGTGCTGGGCGGTTCGCGACGGGGCAGTATTTCGTAGAGTCGTCACGATCGCGTCACGAACTGATACGGTGTCGTTGGACAAGGCTTGGATCAACAGATCGCCGCAATTCGAACCAAAGTCGCCGTTGGTGATTCCTGCTGGTACACGGTGCCTTCGGGGAGAGTCGGGTATGCGAAAAGCATTCAGCAGTCGGTGTGCTGTTGTAGAAAATGTTTATCTGGCCGCTGCGCAACCTTTGAGGGTGAAAGTGTGCATTGCAGCCTCGACGCTCGGCGACTGTTTGTGTCGCTAGCTTTCGTCACCTGGATGGTCGAATGAAATCACAATTCGTCGTACTCGGAAAAGCCACGGGCGTGCGTAGAGGGGGCTACTTGCGACACATGGGCAGCAAGGCTACTTCCCGTTTTTCCTTGCTACCCCCATTCAGAGGCGTGCTTGCCGCTAATTTGCCCACTAGGGATCTCGGGGAAGGAGCGACAGACGACTCTGGTGGAGCCAGGGAGCGCAACTACAAAGACTCTGAAAACTCCGCAGGAAGGCGCAAATGAGGGGTATGGTGTGCCGTCTTGTGGGCAGCCTGGTAGCCTAGACTTTGCATATTATTGACCTGCAGTCGCATTTTAGGCGTGAGAAAGGGCCACGACGATGAGGTTGTAAGATAGCAGCGACAAACGAGTATTCGCCAACGGCACAAGGCAGCTGCCACAGCGAACAGCAACGGCGCGCAGAAGAAAGTACGACCGGCCCAAAAGGCACTTCTCACTACCGAGGAAGGTGGGGGTTGCAGTACTCCGACTCTGGGCCAGGCCAAGAGGGCCGGTGACAGTCGAATTGGGAAGGCATGGTGCGCATCCCTTGCCGCAAAACCCACAATAGGCAGTCACACTGCAGTTTTCCAGGGTTCAAACAAAGGCAGGAATGGGAAGAGCTACCGCAAGCGCTGGGCTGGACCAAAGCTGGCCAGTGAGGGAGTAAAAAGGGGGGATCAATGTTGGCAAGAGTGACCAGTCAAGCTGTGCGAATAGCCTTTCTGTTTTGTAGCTCTTCCGCTAAGGCGCCCTGTGGCAAAGACATTTCATGGGCATGGTGCAAAAGTCGCTGGTCGGCAGAGAAGTCGCCGGCCTGTGGGCACCATACGGCCAATAGGCCCGAACAACTGCATGCCAGCGTGAGGGGACATGTGTAGGTGATGGTACTTTCGCAACCGACCGATCGAATAGTGGGCCTCGCGAGCTCGCCTGCCAGACAGTGCGCACAGCGCCATATGTTTGCCCCGCGTTCAACTAAGTGAAAAGCTGGCGCCATTGTGCTTTCTCCACGCTGTTCTGTGCTGCGCAAGGTCGATCGTAGTTTCCAAATTCGCCAACGACGATTGAACACCGACGGCATGCAATAGGAAAGCTTGCGCCGACACCCAGCACCTTCCATTCACATTTTTCTGAGTATCTGGACCACAACTTCGTGAAACGCGTCTCGCTCTTGCTTTCCAAGCTGGACCCGTCTGCACCTGCCTCCCGTGCCTGCCCATACGCCCATCGCGAGACATCAACCCAGAGCTACCTATCTCGTGATTCACCCCAACGAAGACGACATCAACGAAGATATTGTCCACTACCTCCTCCCCGCCGCCGAATATCGCTTCCGCCCTGTTTCACTGCGCTCATACAAATTGCTTGCTCTCGGCAGCTTCTACGACCTTTAGCGCTGTTGTAACGAAAACGCAGAACTCTCCCAGTTGGACGTTCTGTTGGACAAGGCTTGCACGGTCTCCGTGACTGTCTTGTGGTGTTCTTGAGTATACTACACGTCGCCGGCTAGGACACTATCGAAAGGCCCTTCTCGCCCTTGCTGTGCTGGCCGAGCAGCACCGGCTGCCTACGCTTCGATCGCCTCTCTTATCGCGGCTCCCCAGCATCTCACCTCACGATGCCGCGGTCCAGCTTCTCAGACAATCCTTTGCTGCGTGTTTCCAGGCCTGTTTCTGCCTGTTCGCGTTGTCAGTATAACTCCACACCCGTGCCAGCGCGGCGATGAGACAAACTTACAAACTGGACTTCCTCCGTACCACCCGTCTGCGATGCTTGTTCTGTGCTAACGCTCCTTCTCGTTTGTCTAGGCCGAGCTGCAAAAGTCAAGGTAATTTACCTTACCACCCACGTCACGTCTTGATAATCTCGCCAGCTGACATGTGCTAGTGTGATGGGAAACTGCCGGCGTGTACGGCCTGCGAAAAGGCCGGCCGTGAGAGCGAGTGTTCGGCCGCCAATGATCAATTCGCTCGCGGCAAGGAGAGGAGCTACGTTGCGGCCCTTGAACTTCGCGTTGAGAAACTAGAGCGGCGCCTGAACTACGCCCAGTCGCGCAAGGCATCCGTAGCCTTTCACACGGATGGCGGAACGAATTTCCCAGGGCCTCCTGGTGCTGAACGAAAGGACTCGCTGGCTGTCATCCGGGCAGCAATACATCGCAAGGCAGCTCGTAAGAGGGAAAACTCAGACGTTAACTCCCTTGTGTCAGATTTCGGCTTCCTGTAGGTTGGATACGCTTTGCGAACAAGTCGTGTCTTCGACCCCTTCGCATTCACATTCGCTAACATACATAGGTCGGTAAACGCGACAACCCGGGATTTCGAGCCATCGGTTAATAATATGACCTTTGCGCGCCTCGTGCTCGCCGCTGCCGGAAACGACCCACTGCCCGAGCCCACCAAGGCATCTGCGAAGCTCCCCTCTCGACAAGCGTCCCATGGCATTGTCCAGTACTACATTGCCCACGTCCATTCCCTCTTTCCGTTCTTCCCCGAGACGTCGCTGTTTGCTCTCCTCGAGGAGCTGCATATCCAGCAGCAGCCGACCCAGCCGAACATGCCGCAACCTCGCTCGAACCTACGGAGCTCTGACTACTGGATGCTGTACATGGTGCTTGCCATTGGCTCGTCGGCCCAGAGCCGGAGTCGGCAGGACTCATTTTTCAACAGTGGTGTCGAGTACGCCTCACGGGCCATGCCGTACGCTGATCGCGCCCTAGCACCCGGACATGTGACGCAGATCCAGTCGCTGTTGCTTTTGACGCTGTATTCGATGCTCGACCCGGCGCATTTCGACAGCTGGCACTTGATAGGTTTTACGTGCCGTGCGATCGTTGATCTCGGTTTCCACCAAGATCCGCCGCAGTCACAGAGCATGGATGCAGCGGCCCTTGATGCGCGGAGAAGGACATTTTATTGTGCATACGCACTCGATCGGTGAGTAGAATGCAGCCGGCATCGTATCCAGCCAAGCAAAATTGTGGTGTATAAGACGTCTGACACTCTGACTGCCTCCCAGAGCCATCAGCATGGTCCATGCTCGAGCGTTCTCGTTCACCGACGACGCCATCAACGTCGCATTCCCGACAATGATTGGCGTCGTACAAACCCTTCCACAGCAATCGACGCTGCAAAACATGCAAGCTCTCCAGCCTCCACGTTCACCTGCGTCCGCCCAGCCGCCAATATCACCGTCGACGGTGCCAGCGGCCAACCCGGCGTTGCTCTTGTTCCAGCTGCGTCGTGCCCAGTCACATTGGTACCAGACCCTCTACCAATCGGATCCATCTGACCCGCTACCCGACCCTGCAGCGTACGTCTGGCGCATGTGTGCCGACATGCGCGAGTGGTATGACGCGCTGCCTGCCACGCTGCCCGGACGCATCCGCGAGATGTTCGATCTAGAGCTGCAGTATAGCTACGTGTACTGCATTGCGCCGAGCGCACGGGCGCCTCTGGTGACTGCGTACGGGCGCATGTTGATCTTTGAACATGTCATCGCATACGTGGACCGCATGATGGCACTCGCCCGAGGAGGACTGAACCCTGTGTGGCACACGTATCATGATTCACTGCGTTTGTTCTTCATGGGAAGTCAGTTTGTGGCTGTGCTCCGGGACACGGCGACCGCAGATGCCATCCTTGCTGGTGGCGGCTCAATTCCTGTGCCGCTGGCAATGCCAGGCGAGGCACCTCCGCCTCCGATGCCAGTGCGGAGGGCAGGCTCGCCGAGCACAAATTTACCAAACAACAACGGCAGTAGCGCCGCCAGCACTGCCAACAACGGCAACAACGGACTGCCGCCGTCGCTGGCTTCTGCGCACCCGAATAATGGCACCAACGTGGACAGGTCGGTTGCTTGCCTGGAGCGGGTCAGCTGGACATTGAGCGCCTACGGTGCCCGGTGGCAGGACGCCGAGCAGCTTGCCACGGGGTTCAAAACGATAAGCCGACCCGTGCTGGAGTCGCTCTGGGCGCGCCAAGCGACCCAGAACAAGCAACCACCTAAAAGCGCCGCACCCCCGGTTCCGACGCTGGTGTCTCATCAGCAGCAGCAGAGACAACCTCCACTCCCACAATACCAGCAACAGGCTTACCAGCCTCAACTACTACAGCAGCTGCCACAACAACTGCCACAACAACTGCCGCAACAACTTGCACAGCAGCTTGCACAGCAACTCTCCCAGCAGCTGCCGCAGCAGCAACAGAACTACTACCAAGCCCCGCAGCAGCAACAATACCAGCAGCTCCCGCCACAGCATCAACCGCAGCAACCCCCACCGCCACACATGCAGTACCAACCCCAACAGCTCAGGCAGCCGGCAGGACCGGTGCCAGTCCACTATCTTAATAGCATGCAACACCCACCACCACCTCCTGGAAGAACACGATAGAGTATGGTTTGCAGGATCATCTGGATGCCCACACTCGTGGTTATCTAGGGTACATGTGATTTCGGTAGGATTTTGGAAGGATTCACTTTATGGCCTCTTTATTATATTCTTTTGTCCCCCATGAATGTTGTAAAGGCGTTCACGTGTTCAGAGCCGAACCTTCCTATCTTCGTGCAGTTGATGACGGTAAGATAATGAAGGTGGTATAATAAAAAAGGCAGGGTTACCACACCATGGGTGGGAGCTAGCGTTGGCGCTTTGGCGTACCGATTGAGATCTAGACAAGGGCACCAGGGGATAGTTGCTGTTGGTTGCTATTCATGAATACGTCTTCATTTCAGAGGTCGTACATCCCGTTCTATCGACTTTCCTTGCCTTTAACTCCATGTTTCCATGTCTTCTTAGACCCCAAAAGATGTTTCCGTCCATAGATTCAAGACAAAACACGTTCAAAATGGATGACGTCCGTAATGGAACCAAGTCGTGTCGTTGCGCTGTTAAAACAAATCAAAATCAGAAGCTGGCAGATGGCGCCACCGCCGGATCAGTCATCGTCGAGATAGTTGGCCAGCTGCTGGCCCTTGGTGCCAATGTATCTCATAAGGAAATCGACCCAGATCACGTCGTCCGAGGTCTCGCCCGGCCGGTCCGGGTGTGGGCTCGGCGGGCACGGCTTGATGGGGACCGTACGGACCAGAACATGGCGCAGGGAGGTCAGGGGCAGCATCATGGACAGCGGACCGACGTCGCCCATCTCGTCCCGCAAGAAGTACTCAATGGACTGGCAGATGTTGTTGCAGACGGTGCGGGTGATGCCAATGGCGTCGTGGGCGGCGGCTTGCATGGCAGGGATGGACGGCGGGAATTCGCCGTCGGCAGTGGCCGATTCCGGGCCGGAGCCCGGCGGCATGGACTGCGACGGCGCTGCCGGCGAGACGGCAGGCTCTTGGGACCAGTTGCCAGCGGAAATGTCGTCGGCCGCCGTCAACGGATCGTCGGTGGGTTCCGGGACCCGAGGAGGGCCGGGCGCGTAGCTGGGCGACAGCTGCAGCTCAATGATGCGGTTGTACAAAACGTGTATCTGGTAGTTGACGACCATGGAGATGACCCAAAAAAGCACGACAGACTGGCCGATGGAAAAGGCTGGGAAGTGGAAGGAAACGGCAAAGGGTCGGCCGCGGCCGTTGGTGTCGAACACGGGACACGCGATGGTGGACAGTTCCGGCCAGTACAGAGGGCCGGCGACAATGGCCTGCAGGTCCTTGTGCCAGCGCAGCAGGCAGCGGTAGATGGCGTCGTACTGGACGATGAGGTCCCAGTAGCCGCGAACGAGGGCCTCGTGGCCAATGGTCTTGTGCGCGGCGGCTTCGGCCAGCTTGTCCGTCTGCTCCAGGAGCACGGGGATGCAGTACATCTGGTCCATGAACTTGTCCTGCGGGTCTTTGGCCGACGTCTGCCACGGCCGGTTGGTCCAGGCGGGCTCGCACAGAAAGTTAGCCTTGCGCATCAGCAGCGCATAGATGAACTGCTGCACGCGCATAAAGACAAACAGCGAGTGGCCGAGCGGCGTGATGTGGGCGTCGGGCCCGCGCATCTTGAGCAGCGCCAGGCCGCCCGTGTGGTGGGAGTAGTAGCCGTTGATGTGGCGTGACGGGCACTCGGCAACTTCGTACATGGAAAAGGCCATGCAGGCGGCCAGGGTCTGGTCGGCCAGCTGCGTGGCCGGGTCGTGGATGGCGTCTTGCAGCTGGCGCAGGCCCTTTGTGTAGAGGCGCAGGCTGTGCTGGACGAGAGCCAGGTTGCCGCTGCGGCGGCCGACGCGGGCCATGCACAAGGCAGTCATGGCGGACTCGAGGGCCGGTGCGCCGTCGAGCGACGTGTCTCGGAGGTTCAGCAGCCAGTTGCGCGAGCGCATGGACGTCGTCGTCGTCTTGCAGCCGCTGAAGATTTCCTTGGGAAGGTGGAAGCTGAGGAACATGGGGAAGAGCTGCTCGCGCCAGACGGCTTCAGAGCCGACGTCGTGGGCGAAGGGTGAGCCGACGGGCCAGACATCCGTGCCTGCGATGCTGATGTCGCGCGATCCCGCGGCTGCAGCGGATGCCGACAGCGCCATGGGTGAGGCAAAGTCGAGCAAGGCAACGTTGGCGCTCGACTCCAGGATGGAGATGACGCGGCTCAGGGTCTCGACGGTCATCGGTCCGCGTCGTGTGGCGATGATCTGCTGCAGTTGTTGCGCATTGGTGCTGTTGGTGTTGGGATGGTTGCTGTGCCCGCCATCGTCGGCTCCCGTCTCGGCGTCCTCCGTGTCGTGGTAGATGTACTGCTTCCAGTACTGCTTGATATCGGCCGGTGCCACCGTGGTGGAGAGGTCGACGGCATCAATGGCTCGCGGCGTTCCACTGCTTGACCTGCTCGGAGCAAGAGACGATGAATCTGCCAACTCGGTGATGGCAGCCTCTGCCAGGGTGGGTGTTTGTTCATGGGCTCGTTTTGGCTTCGGGTCCTTTGCGAGCGCCTTGGGGGTTTTGCGCACCCGCTTGCGCCAGCGGCCCTGTGTCATGATGGTGCCACCTTCTGGGTCTTCGACAGCGTCCGGTCCGAGGGCCACGTTTGACGACATGACAAAGGCCACGGGCCGCTTGTAGCCCGTGCATAGTCGGTTGGATTTGCGGCAGTTGCCGCACGCTGGCTGGCCACCATCACACTGAAAAAAAAACAGACGTTAGTATCGGATGAAAGTATGTGCAAACAAAATCAGGTGTGTGTGAATGTGATGGGAAGACGGAATGATCAGGAGACATATAGGAGACCGCGAGACAAAGAAACGCACCTTCACTTTCCGCTGTATACAGGTATTGCAACCCTTGGAGCGGCCTGGAACGCCAACCATATTGGCACTGCAGGTGCAAGAACAGGGATTAACGTTCGTGATTGCCAAGGCCAAGGCGTGGAGAAATGGGGGTCGAAGAACGATAGTGAAATACGAAAGAGCCGGATCAAGTAATGGGGACTGGCTATAGGAACTGTAAACGGTACGTCTTTAAACGTGAGCACCGAAACGGTGGTATTACGCGAGGGGGGGAAGTGAAGTCGGCAGTTGTCGTGCCGGTACCCTGTTGCAGAAACAGAGAAAAGGAACAAGAGAACAGAAGAAGATCTAGTCGAAGAGATGATGGAATCCGACAGGGCAATGGATCGAGGCGGTTGTGATTAAATGGGAGGTGGCGGGGTGGTAATTGGGAGTTACAGCATCACCTATACGATGTCGTCAATGGTCAATGGGTGTCGATAAGGGACGCTATTGTGCTCGAGCCAACTTGATAACGGTGGGAGGTCGTGATATATGAAAAGCTTCAAGTCGCGATGGTCTTGTGAATTCCTCACCACGTCGTTTAACCCACGGCTGGAAAAGGATGCTGCAGTATGTCCCAATATACGTAAGGAGCCGCTGGGAATGTCGAAATGTTTCTGCCTGGAGGCAAATGGCTCCTCTCCACAACGGTCGACACACGGACATTGCCGTTCTCGCAAGTGACGTGGTGACAGTGAAAGAAAGGCCCGACGTCGTGAATGCGATTGCGAAGCATCGCAGGCTCCGCCACCTCCGGCAAGTGCGAGCGACGTCACCCACGTCGCCCGGAAAAGCAGGTGGGTCCTCCACAGCACGACGGCGTCCTTTTAGCGTGGGCCGTTGCTGCAGGATGGCCCTACTAGAGCACTAAGCCCAATGGGGACCGATTGAGCGAATGCGACGCCAGACAAGCTTTACGAATAGTGGGGCGTGGCCTGCCTGCCCCGTACGGAAATCTTTCAGTGAAACTGCACTACCAGTAATGGTAAGAGCCCCACGCATTCCACGTCGTCTCGAACTGCACAATCGACGATGCATCCACCACACCTGTCAGCCTGGCGTTTTGCCTTATGGGCCACATACTCCGGCAGTCACCCCGACTGTCTGCAACGCCTGCACTGTTCCTGGCGCCAAGGGCCCGTCCAGATTATTCTCCGTTGGCCTTACCGTGCAGGGCCAACGATCTGAGCCATACGCAGCATCGGCCAGTTGACTCTTTCGACGGGCGTCACGGACATGACCGTCCTTCTCGTTTTCTATCCAATCCAAGTGGTATTTTTCTCTGTGTTCCCTCTTCTATCTTACGTCCGTTTATTTATTTATTTTTATTCTTCTTCGTGGCCCTGACTCAACGCCCGGCTGGTGTCATCACGTTTGTTGTGGCACACCTAAAACCAACAGAGGCCGCCAGTCCAATCTTACAGCCAGTTTCGTATCTACATACGAAGAACCAAATCTGACCGTACAATGTCCGAAGCCCGCTGCCAAAGCTGGGGACGAACGAGCCAGGCCGTCGTACCGCCGACAATTTGACCTCCGAAATCAACACTGGCCAGTCGAGGCCAGCAATGCCGTTTAGCTACCACTTTGTGAGACCCTTTCATTCATTGCTCACTCGACAAGCTCGACTTCCTGCAACTCGTTCGTACCTGAAACGCGTCTGACAGCTCGTTCTGCTCGGCGCCGTACGGCAACCAAGCGTCCTCTATGGCCTGCCAATAATTTCGCGGCCGACCGTGTCGTCAATATCCGGATACGTGCGTGTGACAGCCGGATAGTTGTCGCATAGCAGCAGGCCTGGCTGCTCCCTTCCGACACGGCAGAGCATCTTGTCGACCGTTGACTGAAGTGCTAGGTACTGTGCTGACCTCGGTCGTCGACGACGGGTTGTCTCGTTATCAAAGGCAGCCAACTCCGTGTTGATGGCCAGTCGGCGGCGCGTGTGTCGGCCCCCGATACAGAACATCGGGGGCGAGCACAGACCGTAGGAGCATTTGATTCCCCGGTTACGCATTTCCTCTTGTCGGTTGTCGTGAACAATGCCGAGAAGAATGTCTTGGAACGTTGGTTAGCATCGGGTGTCCTGCTGTGTAGATTTCTTCTTCTTTTACAGGCCTCGTGCTTGTCGGTGTGGCGTGCTTCAATGGCACTGGTAATATCCAATATTGAAAACAATAAACTGAAATAATTCACGAATTTACGTACACTGTTGTTGTTTCGTAAAAGGAGTAAAATTACCAGTCAATAAACCAATACAGTGAATTACTTCACTGAGAGCTTCTTTCGCCCCATCGGTCTGAATTAACTTACAAAAGGTCATCCTTCACACAACTTATGATATTCCTTAACAGGGAAGCAGTTTATCTTCAGTTTACAGTGCATTAACATAGCTAAAGTATTGCTCGCTCTCCGAATATCTTGAGTCTGCCAGTATCAGCGTTCTTGGCCAACCTCCACATGCGTGCAAATACAACAAGATGACCGACCTTGCACCTCAAGAGCAGTTTGCTTTCCCCTTTGTGGACAACTACAATGTGCCCGGCTCGGCATTTGAACAGACCGGATTTGACAAGCTGCCAAAGCCAGACGATGTGCGCCTCGGTCTCTTGCAATACAGAGAACGACGTGCGGATGCATGGGAACTCTCGAACGGTTTCCTGCGCCCGTCTGTGATGATGTACCGGGAGCTGGGACTGGCCGTCAAGTTTGGCCACCACGTCTCCGTCTCGGAGGCACACGCTCTGCTGTTTGTACGCAAGCACTGTCCAGAAGTTCCTGTGCCCGAAGTGTACGCGTGGCGCCGCAACCGCCGGCAGACATTCATCTACATGCAGCACATTGAGGGCCAAAAGGTGCACTTCGAGGACCTCGACGAAGACCAGCTGCGGTCGTTTGCACGAGCCCTGGAGCGAGTCCCCCAGTCTCTGGTCTCGCCCATTCCGTTTATTGGTTGGTGCCCCGTGGTTGCCTCCCCCATCATGTACGGAGACGCCTTGTCGTTTTCAACAACTAACAAGCTAGGCCATGTCAACGGCCGACCGCTCCGGAACTGGGAGTTTATCAACAGCGCAACGCCTCACGCCGGACCCTTTCCCAGCCTAGCTGCGTTCCACGACTGGCTGACGACGGACTTTGGCAAATCGCCATCGATGAGTCGCGGTCTTTGTGCGCCGACCGCCACGTACGATGCCGACACAGCGAGACGACACGTACGGACCGCCGAGAACCGCGCCAGACTCGCCACCAAAGTCCCCATCGTGCTGACCCACGGGCGCCTGGGGTCGGAGAACGTTCTGGTGCGGTACCCGGCACACGACGGCGGCAGCTCGAGCGGGCCGAGTCCTCCGCAGATTGTCGCCGTCTTGGACTGGAGTACGGCCGGTTGGATGCCGGCGCACTGGGAGCACTGCGGTGAGATGTGCAACGACGACAAGGCGTGCATTCTCCACGAGCAGTTCATCGACGGCCCATCCAAGAATGGTCATGGTGATACAGCCAAGGTGGACGGGGCAGTGCTGGACCACGTAAACAGCGTCGTTCATTTCACGCTCAGCGCCTCCCACTGAGAATATTGGAGACATAAGCGTTACAGTGCCTGTTGAATACAATCTGGACAGAGTAGATTTAGATGAAGAGGGATATCACTGATGTTTCTAGGAGGCACATCATGACGAAGTGATACGACAGACCCCCAAATCAATCCCGAATGCACAAATGACCTGAATGTAGAGAATTATGGTATTTTGAGACATCCACTCCCGAACAATGCTCCACCAACGCCATCAAGAACAGGTACCGTGGGGGTCAGCCGCGTCTGATCTACTATCTGATGAAAGTATGAGAGAGATATGAACGTACTGTGTGATCGCAGTATCATAGTAGCACTCACATGTGAACCAATTTGTATTTCTGATCTCGCCGACTGATGTACTGTGCCTCCATAACACTATCCATCTCATACCAGTTTATACTATCAGATCCATCTCATCGCCTTCTCGCCCTCACATTACAGACCTTTCTCTTTTGTGTTACTTGCCGATCACTGTTTGTGGAAGCTTCTTGAGCCGGCCAGCAGAAGGCCTTCCAAATATAAATTGAGACCGCATCCCTATCCCAAACCATTTCAGTGTCAAGGTGCAAGAGAATCTATAGCAAATCCTTTCAACCTAACCTAAAGTCCAGTCACTGGCTTACGCAGCTTCCGCAAAGACCCAAGCACAACCTTGTAAACAACGGCGTTTCCAAAAACGCCCGACCATGACGAACATCACAGCGTCCGGGACCGACGGCACGGCTCCTATCAACCCCCTTCACCCGTCTGTCGAGGGCTGTGTCGACGACAAGGTCAAGGAAATCTACAACGAATACCAGGGTAAGACGTTGACGCAGAGAATGCAAGAGGCATCTCGTCTAAGGTACCCATTGCTAACAGCACAGCCAATCGTCTTCGCGCCGACCAAGTCTCCTATGACGAGTTCAACGCTGACCGCCAGCGCTACGTCTTTCCCCGGGAGAAGGTGGCCGCCCCCTTCTGTCCCGTCGGGCTTGTCACGACGCACCGCGTCCCCGTCACCGAGCCGGAAGGCAGCATCGACGTCCGTTTCTACCGCCCCGAGGGGTTTGACGAGGCCGACGGCAAGAAGCTTCCCCTCTACATCAATTTCCACGGCGGCGGCTTTGTGCTCGGCGGACTCGACGACGATGACTCCATGCTTCGACGGATCTGCAAGCGCACGCCTTGTCTGGTGGCTAACGTAGCCTACCGGCTGGCGCCCGAGTTCCCCCATCCGGTCCCCGCGACGGACAGCTGGGCCGCCCTCAAGTGGCTCGTGGACCACAGCGACGAGCTGGGCATCGACAAATACTTGATTGCTGTGGGCGGCCTGTCGGCCGGTGGCTGTCTGGCGGCTGTGCTGGCGCAGATGGCCGCCATGGACCCGACGATGCCGCGTCTCACGCTGCAGGTGCTCATTGTGCCCGTCACGGACGCGCGCTACGTCCCCCTCGTGGCGCCCAAGGATGATGCGGAGCTGTCGACGCTGCGCGCGCCCTACGACAGCTACTATGACTTTGCCTTTGCGCCCATGCTGCCGCTCGCGCGCCTGGCCTGGTTCTACCGGCTCTGGCTCGGCGAGGATCCGGACACGCACGCGAAAAACGCTGCCGACGTGCGGGCCTCGCCCATTGTGGCGCCCGACAATGTCCTGCGTATGGTGTGCGCGGCGTCGATCCACGTTGCCGAGATTGACCCGCTCGCCAGCGAGGCGTCGGCCTACCATCATCGCCTGCTGGACATAGGCCGCTGGAGTGAGCTCATTTCGTACAAGGGTATGGTACACCCCTTTGCGCAGTGGGACGGCGCGCTTCCGCAGTCCCAGGAGCTGCTCGCCAACGTTGTCCAGGCACTGAAGTGTGGCTTTTTTTGGGGCTACCCAATTTGCAATCCGGAAGAATGAACGGGATTAACAAGGTTGCCGTCACACGGATAGAAAGACGGAGTATGGTCGGAGAAGGCACTGGAGACTGAACAATTGTGAATTTAAACCAGGAACCTGATTCGGATCCTAGAGCGCTGCTTTGCAAAGGAAGAAACAAGGAGAAATAGAGGGACAAATCATATCAAGGAGAAATACTCGAACATGTGCCGTTTCTAATGTTGCACGCTCGCCAGACTGGCCCGTAGACTGCCGACAACGGCAAACGACAGAATGGGCGACATGAGGTAGGAGATCTAACGGTAAGCGTCTGGACCAACACAATGCGGTCTATCCGTAGGAAAGGGGAAGGACTCACTGTCAACAACTTTGCAATGCTCGTTTCGTCGTCCTCGTCGGCATTGCTGACTTGCACCAGCGTTATGAGCTTCATTGCAGGCGGGCCTGTCGGCATCAGCATCAGAGCAAACCATAGCATCGGGTCGTCGCCGACAAGTTCCGTCCTCGACGCCAGCAGATAGACTGCAGCAATGGAGGCCAGGGGCCACAGCACAAAACGCAGAACCAAGATGTACGTCACGGCGCCAAGCGGCAGCGGTTTCCCACTATCGCTGTGCCCGGCTCCGACCTCTGCACTCTCGCTCTGCTGGCTGGGCCGCTTGCCCTCCGTCTTCTTAGCCTGCCCCATTGCCGTGTAGAGCGACACCCCCGCCACGACGACGGGCAGCGGCACAAACAGCCCGCCAATGTCGTCGAGGGAGGCTGTCAGCCATGCCGTGAAGACGCCGCCATCCGTCGCCGGGCTGAAAAACGCGCGGTGTAGTGTCGGCGTCAGGCCGACGACGGCACCGGCGAGCGCACCAAGCAGCGGCGCATTGAAAAAGTCGGCAATGAACAGGAGCCACCAGCGTGTGCGCGGGCCGAGGGAGCGCCAGGTGGAGCGGGGCACGACAGAGACCCGGCGACGGTTGTGGTCGTCGGCGTGTATGGCGGACGACGAGATCGACGTCGGCGCATTCGCTGGATAGGGAGACTTGTTGCGGTGCCGCGTCGAGGGAAAGAAGGAGTTTTGCGGCCGCGACGAAGACGCAAAGGGGTCGACAAAGCGAATGATGGACTGGCGGAACGAGGACTTTGTCAGGCTGTCGCGGTTGCTGGTGGCCGCTTCGTCGCGCGCGAGCAGCCCCGTCGTTTCGTTGACGGGCGCAGACTCGATGGGTGGGGCCGCCGACAGTGGATCGTAGCCACTGACGCTCGATGCGGGACGGACGACGTCATTGGCACCGTCGTCACCACCCTCCTCTTCGTCATACACGTCGCGACCGTTGTCGTTGCTGTCGTCGTACTCGTCTCCATCCTCATCGTCGGCATCGGCGTTGGTGTCATTCGCGCCTTGTACGTCGAGAACGTCATCTTTCCCTTCATCGTCGTCGCCCGTCACGTTGTCGGGCTCCGGCGCATGCTCCGAGTCCATCAGCCGCGGTCCAACGGCAAAGGTCAGGCAACTCGAGACGGTCGAAAACACCAAGAAGTACGACTTGGCGCGTTCTATGGCCTCGCGCGTCGTCTCATCCGCGCCGCTCGCATCCACAAGCACCTGCAGGATGCCCGTTTGGTCGAGCGCGCCAATCAGGAGCAGCGGGTAGCTCGTCGTGTTGTTGAACATGACGGCGACCGTGGTCCAGTCGGGCATGCCCAGCAGCAAATGGCCGGCCATGCCGAGCACAAAGGACACGGCATGGCACACGAGCGCCCAGGCGAGGACGACGACGTAGCGATGGGCCGATCCGCTGTGCAGCTCGGCGCCAATCTTTGTAAAGAGCAACGCGGGCAGGAAGAGGCGGACGCAGACTTTCGAGATGGCCTTTGTGCTGCTGGACTTGAGGAGGCCCAGATAGGCAGCGATGCCGCCGTAAAAGATGACGAGCAGGACCGAGAGGCTCGCTTGTATCGCGGCCACAAACGACTCGACAAGGCCGGTGGACGCCATGGCGGAGGTAGTCGTTGGGGTATCACAGCTGTCGAGATTGGAATGAAGCCAAAGCCGGATGTCGTGAGAGGACGAACTTCCCCGGTCGTGACAAGAGTCAACAGTTGAAGATGCGTCTCAAAAAACAACGAAATATGAAGGTGAACGTGGACGGATTGGCGCTTGTCAACGATGTGAAGTCGTTCGTGTGGATTTCACTTCAGTTCTTGGTGATAGCGCCAAAACGTGCTGAAAAGCGTACGCACGTGTTGGAGATACAGTGGGTCAATGGTCCAGGCGGATGCTGTCGCGCCAGTGGCAGTGGCACTCGATGTGACGAATGCTGGTCGTTGAGAAATCGCGCAGATGCTGGCAAGCTGGGTTGATGAGAAAACAAAAAAGAAAATAAGGGGCTGGATAGCAGAGGGACTGAAGCTAGATAACGACTTCTGGGCTCAGAATGGCGAACACGCAGATTGGGGGAACTGTCCAAAAAAGGAAAGGGCGAACAATACAAATGCGAAGGACGTCAAATGGAAAGGGCGAACGATACAAATTGGGAGGACGTCACGACCCAATGCAAAGCTGTCAAACAGAACGACCATTCGCAACGATGACATGTTGTGCCATCAGCGCCCGGAAACGACGCGTGGAGTCTCACGGACAGTTCCTTTCATTTCAGACTTCGACATACAGAGGACACTCTCCTCGGTCTTCGTACGCCCACATCGCCGCCATGCTATCCATGTACAAGACCAAAGAGACGACAAGAAACGACAAGAAACGAAAAGAAAAAGCAACGAGAGAAGACCGGATACACACCGATAAATCATAACTATATTCAGGAAGCACAGAACACAGAACACAGACCGCTCCAAAAGAGATGGAAGAACGCGCCAACCCCCCTTCCCCTCGCCAATGTCACAGTGCCACCACGTCTCTCACTCCGGTTTCTGGGCATAGACGCAAATGCTTCACGACGTTGATGTCAGTGCTCTGGCCACCAAGCCGCGACATCGCTGGGGAATCGACTTACATGGGGACGTAGCCGTGGTGGGCGCGGTCTTTGAGGGCGGCCCGCACATCGACCAGGAACAGCTCGACCTCCTCCTGGCTCCAGCCCCAGACCTTCATGCAGATGCTCATCGTGATGCCCTGCGCCGCCTCCAGCAGGTTCGTCATCATCAGGTGGCCGCGGATCTTCTGCTCGTCGCCGCGGGCCCAGCCGTTGGCCGGCACGGCAAACTTTTTTTCCGTGACATTGACAAAGCCAATCTCGCCGAGCCACTGTTTTGTGTGCAGCGGGGCCATGGGGTCGCCGCGGCCCAGCTTGCGCACGCCGTCGAGGATCAGCTGGTGCCAGCGCGGCAGCACGGTGTTTTGCAGGGACGCGTCAATGGCCTCGATGACCATGAGCGTCTCCATGATCTCGACGTGGCCGCCCGGCCGCAGATGCTCGAAAATGCGCTGCAGGGTGGCGCGCGGGTTTCGGAGCGACGGCAGGATGTAGCGGCCGTGGACAAAGTCAAACGGATGGCTGTAGACCCAGTCGTCTTCGACGTCGTCGACCTCGAAGCGCAGGTTGGGCGGCACATACTCGGGCTGGATGGGGCTGAGGTCCGTGCCGAGGACGTCGGCTTCGGGGTGCTGCTCGGCGAACTCGACGGCCCAGATGCCGGTGCCGGTGCCAATGTCGAGCACGCGGTTGACGCTGCCAATGGGCGCCAGGTAGAGCTTGCCTTGGAGCAGCCGGGTGGCTAGGTGGTGCTGCAGGTCGAGACGGTTCTGTTCTTGCTGTGGAGAGGAGTTGGGGTAAGTTTCGTGTGGTGGCTGGTGTGCGAGGCACACTTGAGCTTATGATCGCGACACACCTCGTCGTTTGGTAATAAATATTCTAGAATGGTCAGCGTACGGCTCACAGAGAGACAACGATGCTTTAGACGCCTTCTCACTTACTTCCTTCCTTGTATTTGTGATACGTTCGTCCGTACTCCTCGACAAATTCATAGACACTTGACGATGCCGAGATGCTCGAGCGGCTGTGTTGTCAGTGGAAGAAGACGGTGTCCAAACTGGTAGACGAACAACGTACGAGGTATCCATCTCGCCGAGATTGGAAATGGCATCGTCGTCGTTTGTGTCGATCTATTTTGCATTGCCGTCAGTTGCTGTATCGGCGCCATCCAACGACAGCCACGAGATGCAGGCAACATACACTTAGTCCAACCGAGAAACTGCTGAGAGATCGTGTCTCCGACTCTGCTGATCCGCCTTCCGCTGTGTCTTGTGGGTATCCTGGGGTCGTTGTCGCCGGTGCGGCCGGTGCAACTGCGGTGTCGTCTTGCGGCGCCGCTGGAGCGGACACCTCTTCTGATGGGTTGCTCATGATTGAGCGTTGCGTACGGCAAGGCTGTAATCTCTTTTCTCGTGGCCGATGGCCGTCAATGTTGTTGAAAGGTAATGCGTGGCGTGGGATGAAATGTTTCTCTACACAATAACGACAAGGTAAGGATCGTCTTCGTTTCAGATCAAGATCAAGGCTATCTCGCACAAGGTAGCGCACAGGACGCTGCTGTGGCGAGGCTGTGGGCTTTTGGTAGCGACCACTTCAATGGTTCGTCACTTATTTGTTGTTTCTTGACGCCATTTGCAGGTTCGTCCCCTGATCGTCGCTTTTCAGGCTGAAGTAGCGAGCTGCTCGCTGGCTGCCATGCATTTGCCGGCGTCTCGTGCTGTTTTTCTTGGTTGATCCGCTGAGTCGGTTTTGTGGCACTGTCTTTTTTTTCCTTCCTTTTGTCAACTCCTTTGGTTCCTACCGGAGATGGCTTTGCGTGTGGATTGTGGTGTTTCCAGTAGTTCTTGGTCTCAGTAGATACGTCGTATTTCGTTTCTGTTTTGAGGATACCTGCCCCCTTTTATTTCACACAAATCGGCGACAGAACGGCGAAAGACTAAAAATAATAGAAAAGAAAATGCCATGCGCAGGCTGTGGACGGCGCACCGTTTATCAAGACCAAACAGAGATCCTCTGTACAAAGAGGAGGGGAAGCCCGGCACAAGGCAGGGTAGAAACAACACTCCGTAAAGACAGCAACCAAGAACCGATGCGAGCACGAGACGGCACTCTCTATCCGCACATTCCGCTATTTGTGGTTTTGTGGTTTGGTTGCTTCCCATACACTCTTCTATCGTGTCCTTTCTTGGCCACACGCTATGACGGCAATTGTCGTTTGTAGACAGGATGTATTCAGCCGTCCCTTCAAACCAGAACTTGCTCTCCAGGGCCAAGAAATGTAAACCATACGCGTGTCGGACACGGGAAGATGCAATGCCATCACCTGAGCCTCGTGTTTCGTCCGTCTCTTCGTCGTTATATTAATCGCCATGTAACTATAGGTCAAACAGTAGGGGACAGGAGACGAAAGCAAACAAATGCGATGCTTTCATCTGGCCGGGTGTGTAGCAAACCATCTTTTGGGGCAGTTTTGTTATCTCTCTTCCTCTCTTTTCCTTCATCGACAAACGGGGCGTCCTGTGCCGCCCGTGCACACAGCCTTCCATTCGCCGCACGCCCACTCCTCCGCTCTTTGAGTGTCCGTCAACCCCCTGTCGCTCCTTGGCTGCTTTAAACGGCCTTCCCTTCCACCACTGATTTTGTTCTGCTTCGTCCCGTTCGTTATTCCTGTGCAGCGGCACAGACTGAAGCCAATTGAAGGCATTCGTCCGAATCTGCCATTGTGCATACGACGTACGTCAGTCATAGTCTGCAAGTCCAGAATCAGCATCGAATGCTTAGTCTAACTTGTCCCTCCGCATCCCTGTGACACATCCTGCCCTACCCAGCGCAAATGTACAACAAACGGCGTTAGCCAAAGGATCTTCCCGGCGCCACCCGCCTGTGTTACTGTCGGCTTTGCGTGGGATGCGGAGGTGCAATGAACAGGCACTACGCCATTAACGAGAATCCACTGTGGACGGGCGTCTGGACAGGACATCCTTTGTGGGTAGCCTATCGACGCGTCATCTCCCATACTCTCACATACTTCAAAAGCTAAATGGATAAAGAGAAGAGTCGTATTTCAGAGTAGTTACACCTCCCTGACTTATGGGAATATTACACATCAATGTACACGAAAGAGTTACCTCTCACATGACCCATTTTCGTTGGTTGTATCAAATACGTCAACGACGACAAGATGCGGTCATTAACTGGACGTTTTTCATGCCACATATCTCCACCTGCACACGCCAAACCCACTCGGTGTTGTCTATTTGCGCGAGTTATTTCAGTAATGTTTCACTGGATGGGGTGGTGTCGAAAATTGCGCGTCAGCCGTAAGCAGGCAACAGGTAAGGTAAACGCCAAACATATGGCTCTTTCTCTTCACAGTGCTAATGCAATATTTTTTTACACCGACTTTGAATAGAAATTAGATTCGACGAATGGCTCTTAATAGTACATTTTCTATCTCCCTAAATTGATACCATTTGGTAAAGCCTGCCCGAACGTTCAACTCCTTTTGTAAACTATCCCGTGTAAGACAAGCTGAATGTATGAATGTCATAATTAAAATGCCTCACACTTTCCCGAATATCATATTTTAAACCACCTTCTCCCTCTAAAAAAAAGACTTGTTGATTTCATACAAGGCGCCGCAGCAAAGGTTATCCTCCAGCGCCGGTCTACAATCGCTGGCTCGCACTCAAACTCTGCCGCACCGAGTCGGGCAGCCGGGCCGGGATGTCGTCGTTGTCGGATGACGAGTCCGAATTGTTGGCGTTGTCGTCATCGTTGTCCACGGGTCGCGGCAGCGGTTGCGCGCGGGGCGTCTCAAGCAAGTGATATGCCGGCGTAGGAGTTTTTCGTTTGGGCTCCGATGCGTCAAACGAGCCCCGTGAGCCCGTGCCATGCTGCGAGCCCGAGCCATCGTCTGTACGCATGCGCTTTATGGAATCGTAATTGGTACCGTTGGCTTGCGACGAGGTGGGCGTCGAACGGCTGCCATACGACCTACCGGTGGTCGGCGAGCTGTCTTTGGCGCCACGCAGCAGGCCCATGCGCGCCTTCTCCGCCTCAATTTCGGCCTTGGTGCGACGTTCACGCAGCCGTACGCCCCACTTTTTCCGGATGATGGACTGTCTCGTGCCAAACGAGTTCTTTAGATTGCCGATGATCGTCTGTCGCTCGGCCAGGTCGGCAATCTCTTCTGCTTCGCGGAACTTTTCGGTGTACATCTTCTCTGCCTTTTGAAGCTCTTCGTTCAGCGCCGCGAGCTGTGCCTCGGACAAGTGTGCATACGGGTCGGAGGTGGGCGTTTTCAATCCAGGACCCGACGGCGAACCTGTTTGAGACTCAATCGTGCGGACAGGAGTGGCCGTTGATCGTGCTGCCGGGAAGGTACTTTCCTTTGACTGGCCAAAATTACCACCTACAGCACCGTGCGCTGTCGGCTCCGGGGACATCGTGGCCGAAGGCCATGCTGTCGATGGCATTGCTGCCGGAGGCTTTGGCGCCGGGATAGCATCATTCCGTGTCTCGTATTTTGAGCAGGCGCCAGTAGAGTTGTGCTAGGTGTTGAGGTCAGAGCTTGCTTCCTGCTACGTGGTCTTATGCCAACACGCAGAACACGGTGCTACTTACATATGTTAGGGCATAATTGTTCTCAAAGCCTTGACCACAATTTGAGCACGAGAAGAGAAATCCTTCTTGGCCGTCAGGCCGCTGCATGCAAACTTGGTTGGCGACATGCTGCATAGAAATTCTTTTGTTAGCACATATGCTGGTGGCCAGAACTCATCCGGACGACTCACATAAACATAAGGTGGCTCCTTGTCAAAGACCCGGTTGCACATTCGACACTGCTTCATAGGCGGCGGAGCTGGTGCAGACGTTGGCGGCGGAGGTTCTGGCACGTTCTGCGGGATGACCCGTTCCTGTCCACTGACGGGCTCTTCAACAATGTCGTCCGGTTCGTAGCCAAGCCGCTCAGCACGCGCAAGAGCATTGATCAGCGGCTTCGCATCGATTGTACGCAATCGAGCTTCGAGTGCCGCGTCGAGAAACTGGTTGCTGGCCTTGGCCAGGATGATACCGGCAATCTCGTCAATGTCCGACGTGTCCAGATGTGACACAAGCTCGGCTCGCGCAATCTTCACTACTCGTCTTCCAAAATCCTTAATGGAGCCCTTTGCAACATCTGGCGGAGCACTATCAAGAAGCGCGTTGAGCTAGTAGGCAAGGAAAGGAAAAGCTCAAAGTTAGCCGCAGATAAATATCAAATGAAGGAACAGATGTTAACTCATACCATAAAGCCTTGGTGGAAGCTGGTACCCATAAGACACTTCTGCCAGTTCTGGCGTATTGCACACCGGACAGCAGCTGACACACTTTGCTCGATCGCAAAGGTCAGGCGCATATAGTCCTCCTGGATCTTGGGGTTCTCCCGCGCGTAGTCGCGCCCCGGTGACGGATGCGGGATACCGCCGCGGGGATCCGAGTAAATCGGCTCGACACGTGGAGGAGCCGGTGGAGGGGGCCCTTGCGGGGGTCGGTTGACAATGGGCGCACGGCGACTTATGACTGGGTCTGGTGGCCGAACTGGAGCATGCAGCGGCCGTTGTGGTTGGTGACTGTGCGGTACAGGCTGGTTCGCCGGGTACGATGGCTGCGGCGATGGTGACAGTTGTGAAGTCTTCCAAGCATATTGCTGCTGGGGAGGCTGCTGACGTTGCTGGGGAGGCTGCGAGGTTGGTACCTGCACTTGCCGAGGCATGCTTTGTGCGCGCTGGCTTTGTTGGCTCTGTTGTGTCAGATCCTGCCGTCGATTTTCAACGGTATCGACGTCTAAACTAGAACGCTGTTGTGGAGGCTGCAGTGGCGTTGCTTGTGAGGGACTTGGTGACGATACAGAGGACAGTGCCCGCACATGGGCAGGTGGAGCCGGAGCCGGTGCCGGTTTGGCCGCTGTGCCTGATGCTGGGACTAGAACTGGAGCTAGACCCGAAGCTGGTGGCGTCGGCGTCGAAAGGGGTACAGAACTTGTTGCCGGCCGCAAGGACGGCATGATAGATGGTGACCCCCCGGCCGTCAGAGTCGTCGGCGCGACACTGGCGCTTGTGCTACGAACAAGGCCAACTTGTGTCGTTGGCGGAGGCACATGCGTTGTTGCAAGAGCCGGCGACTGCTTGGGCGTGGAAGAGTAAGCCGCACCGGCCGGCGATGCTCCGGCCGGGGAGGGACTGGGTCCGGGCATCTTGCCAGCTGAGCCTGATGCGCGCCGTAGCGCCAGGGCCTCAACTGCAAAGATTGGCTCGGAAGTGAGAGAATGCCAGTCAGACTGCAAGCAAAACTACTGCTCGTCCATCCGCCGTGTCGTCGTCTCGCAAGGCAGTTGAGTTTTGCGTTCAAGCGGTGTTTTGTGCGGAGAGAACAAACCACAGGAGCCGTTCAAAAGCCCGTCATGTCAGGATTGTCGCGAAAGGCCGCGCCCTCAACGACAAGTGAGCGCGCGGGTAGAGGCAGTGTGAGGCGCAAACACGACGACTGGTGACAGTCTTGTTCAGCTTCGACGAGGAGCTGCCGAATAGCAGGAAAGATGAAAGCCAAGAAAAAGAGATCCAAATAATGTTCAGGGAAGGGGACTTTTGCTTTGCAGTGTTCAAAAACGTCTCACTGGTGACAACGCGGAAGGCGCGATGGAGTGTGTTGCGAGACGAAAAGAAAAACTGCACAAAACGGGAAAGCTCAAACGGCAGAGCCCAAGGGACAAAAGGGGGCGCGTAAAAATGAGTTATATGAAAATTTAGGAAAGAAGCTGAAAGCAGGAAAAAACGTGTATGAGCCGCAGGAAGGTGCGAATGGCTCTCACAGCCTTGTCTGTGGTACGTGACGCGTGATGAAATATTTGTGAGAAATCCCGAAATAAAGGTGATGAGAACCGCGCAATCGAGGCAAGCCAAGTACGCCTGTAACGATGGTAATGATAACCGCTAAAACTGAAAAGCGTGAAGCAATAATGCGCCGATGAACAGCTGATCCCTCACGGCGCAAACGGTTCTTGTCGTTGGTTCGTGGACGCGCGATGATGTTGCGGCCGTGAAGAGGTGAAGCGAGACAAGGTTAAAAGAATGGAGATTAAGTACGGAACACGAAGTACGATTGGGTAAGAAAGCGTGATAATTAAGTAAAATGGCCTTCGTAGCGACCAACTAGAAGCATGCGTTGGGGCTTTTGCTTTTTGGTAGTAATTAATAAGATACAGTGTCTATGTCTGCTAGAAATACCGACTTTTGCCAAACATGTATGTTGGAGGTTTCAAATGGGGGTCCGAATACACGGAAAAACTCGTAATTATGCAAGGAAAAGAATGGCGCTAGCCGAGTACATTCTAGCGTGGTTAAATTATGTACTAAAATGGGAATAACGTATCCACTATTTTGCATACCATTGGCTGAAGGGAAAGGCAACAATCGAGGTAAAACGGCTGCCAATCCTCATTTTTGTCACAGCAAAAGCACATTCGAGACTGGCCAGTCCCGCGTTTCAACCGCAACGAGCAGCACGGCGGCATATCATGCCGTGTGTATTCCGATTGTTGTGAGATGTGCGTTACTTTCAGACGGGGACAATCAAAGACGAATTTCTGAGGAAGTTGCAAAAACTACCGAGACACCAATCATAGCGTGTGATTTGCTAAGTTGCCACCAGGTAAAATGGTTAAAGTGGGGCTTCGGCTTTGTGCTGATACTATTCAATTTGGAGCCGCTGTTACTAAATTTACGGAGTATTAGCATGGCAATTAATGTTATAGCGTACTATGCCCGTACCATAGCGGCCTGCAGCAGTAAGTAATTTACACTGCGCACATCGATCACGCAAGTGCGACACAAAAGCATCCCAAGCACTTCATCATGGCGACACAACACGACACAGCGAGACAGCTACAAAGCTGACTATGCAAGACTATGGAGACGTGAAGTACATGAAGCGTGAGAAACGTGGCATATCGAGAACATGTGAAAATGTGAAAATAAGAGACAATTAAAAATGCAACCCAAGAAGAGCCTTCCGACAACCCACAAATCCTGGAGACCATTTGAAAAACATACAATGTACTCTTCTCTTCTCCCCTCTTCTTGCTTTAGTGTCTTTCGCCGAGACACGCTAGCAGCAACCGCTCAGAATCACCACTGGTCTCGCCGCGGATGCGCTGGGCCAAGCTGCGGCCGTAGCGCTTCTCGTAGGCGCCCCGGACGTTGGCCAGGTTCGCGCGGTCCCAGTGGACGCGCACGACGCGGCTGACGAGCAGCTTGTCGCGGGTGCCGGCGCCGACCATGGCGTCCTCGAGCAGGGCGGCCTGGTGCATGTACTTGTCGGTGGCGTGGCGCAGCTGGAACAGCAGGGCCTCCTCCATGTGGCCGGAGAACTCCTTGCGGATGACGTCCTCGAGGGCGCGGGCGTAGCGCTGGCGGTATTCGTAGGCGACGGCGCGCAGGTGGTTGTCGTTGCGCGTGCTGAAAATGCTGCACACGCGGATCTCGTCGGTGCCCAGCTTGGCCTCGGTGGCATTGTACAGCTCCTGGACGTCGCGGTCGACCTCGTGCTTCTGGACGGGCGCGGCGTCCTCGGCGCGCGTGGCCTGCAGCACAATCATAAAGTGGCGCTCCGTTTTCATGCTGAGCTCGCCGCGCACGGCGTCCTCGAGCGAGCGGCGGTACGTCTGCTGGTACAGGCCCTTGATGGCGCGCAGGTCGGCGTTGGAGCGGCTCAGCAGAATGTCGTTGAGCATCGACTCCTTGGTGCCGGGCCCGCTCATGGCGCTGTGCAGCATGTGCACGTCGTTGAGCAGCGGACCGCGGCACAGCGCGACCAGACCGTACTCGAACCAGCTGCTGGTCTCCGACTGGATGTCACTGATCAGGTCGCGGTTGTGCAGGCGGTGGTAGGTGTTGCGGATGGCGTCGACTTGGAGCGGGTCCTTGTCCGCAAGCACGCGAATCAGGGCCTTTTCGTCCGTGCCAAAGCCCTTCATGGCCTGGCGCAGCGCGTGCGCATCGTGGCTGGCGTCCCAGTTGATGGACTGCGGACCGGCGTAGCCGACCGACGGGGGTGTGGGCGGCACATTGGCCGCATACCCGCCGCCGCCGCCATAGCCGCCACCACCGCCGCCTGGTGGTCCGTAGCCGGCCGGCGGTGGGGGGCCCTGCTGCGGCTGTCCATATGGGGCTTGCTGTCCGTAGGGCGGCTGTTGGCCGTAGGGCGGTTGTTGACCGTAGGGGGGCTGCTGGACGTATGGTCCCTGCTGCGGAGGAGGCGGGTGCTGGCCGTAAGGAGCCGGTGGCTGTTGGGGGTAGCCGCCATATTGGCCTGGCGGTGGTGCGCCGTACGGAGGCTGCTGTGGAGGAGGTGCACCGTACTGCTGGGGAGGATAGCCGCCCTTTTGCGGGGGAGGGTATTGACCGGGAGGCGGTTGCTGGTAGTATCCGCCACCCTGCGGTGGTGGCCCTTCTGCGATGGCATTAGTATGCGGTCGCTTTATATGCTATGATGCGATAAGGAGGGTGACAGAGGTCACTGCTGCAGTTTATTGCATGTCGCATTGGTCGGGAAGGGCGAAAGAGGCAGGCGCACCCCGACCAGCTAGAGAACATGGGGAAGAGGGGCAGTCGCAGGGGAAAACTGCTAACGGCCTGAGAGCACGCGTGAGCGGCACAGATGGAGGACAAGTGTGACTTATACGTACGACCGTAAGGAGGATAGTAGGACATCTCCAGAGTCTGTTTCGCCGGGTTCGTTTGAAGCACGATGGTAATGAGGGTCGTCGTCAAGGCTGGCGGCCGTTGAGAAGGAAGATGAACTGGGGAAGACGAATGAACTGGTGACACTGTTGACGCTGTTTTATTTGGTCTAGACTATGGAGGTTGGCGTTTGGCGCCTGGTCATCCTGCATCAAGCCTTGCCCGAAGGAGCTGAAGGACTGGGCAAACGTTGTTGTTGGCGGCCAGGCAGAAAAGAACTTGATGGCGCAAAAGACGGAGAGGCTGAGTTGGTGGTAGGAATATCTGGGCGGGGCAACTTGGTGGCTATTGGCGCTGACCCGCTGTAAATACGTCGTACATGCTCAACCAAGGTCAAAGTTTGGCAGAAACGGTTGCTCTTCTGACGTCTTCTGGCGGTGCATTTGGAGCGTGCGTGCACTTGTACTGCGAGTGAGTGACGTTTTTGGAGGCGTTGGAGGCCTGGGAAGATGGGGGATGGCATGGATAGGTAACCTCGAAGACGCGGCGGGCGACCGTACACTTCGGCATGCAGCAGTCCGATATCGACTCTGGTACAACGCGGTCGTCTGCATGTATTGGGCGATATTGGAGCCAAGCGGAAAAGAGCTGGCACCAAAATTGGACGGTCGGTATACTGCAACCAGAGTAGATGCCCGACCAAAAGGAACAAGCAAAAGGTCAGGGAAACACTCTGGAGAAGACGACCAGTCGTGGCCGATATATATATCGACAGACAAGTAACTTCCTACCAACGGCCGAACGACAGCGGGAACGTCAGGATACAGACTGCCAGTACGCTATGACATAAGAACAGCCATTTGAAGCTGGTCAGCGGCGCCAAATGACGCCAAAGTGAACAGGTTCGCGCCGAAACAGACGTAACGTTCGGCGCAGCCGGACAGTGGAGGAACAACTGTGGCTGTGCGGTGGGCTGAATGCTCTTTAGCGACGACAAGTCTTGTTAAATGGTGCTGGGGACGCAAAGAATACCTCGGATAGAACACTTAGGCCGCTGCAAAGGACCTGTTTGCGACTGCAAAGTGCGCCAGCGGAAGTAGTGGTCTTGGCAATGCACCAATAAACCAACAAATGTTGGAGTAAGTACGTTGCAGTCCATCATGGGTTTGCGCTTCAGAGTGTTGCGAAGCAACGTCAATTCGACATCATAAAAGCGTCGAGCGCTGAACCGTGTCGTAAAAGGAAGAAAGCGTACGTCGTATAACCGTGAAACTAGGAGATTGGAAAATGGAAATTCGTGAAATATAACCCAGATCGTGATGTTGTTCCCGAGTGAAGTATGGCGGCTTCGGTATTGTATGCTTGTTTCTAGCCATATCAAGTGAATCGTCAGAATGTGCTAAACGGTGTCAAGGGAAGTGCTAGGCAGCGGTCTGGTGATGATCAGGGTCGGGAGTCGGGTGGGTGAGATTTCGTTTGGAATCATGGGTTTCGAGCAGTTCTGCTATGAATCTGTGAATTTGATTAGAAAGTCGTCACTGTCGAAATCCAAAACTATTTCGACACCTTTTACAAGTTGGCGTACGAATAGAAATATGTTGTTGGCGAAAAGAGGCCGCCTGTCTTGGGTTGAAGAGCACGGAGAGGACGACCGACGAAATAAAAGCTGAGGTTTTGAGGGTGTGAGTCGTGTTTGAACTGTATCGGGAGCATTTATTTCAGGAGAATCTTGGGCGTCTGACAGACACGGGTCGCGTTCCTCAGGCGATGACTGTAGGGTACTAGGCAAGATATGTATCCAGATGCCCGACGCAGTTGCGACAGAACGCAGCACCGTTGCAAGATCATGCAAGTATATATTCGACTTACGAGAACAAAGACAAGGCAGAAAATGTAGTCCTACTGAGTCTTATGAAAGCCGGTAAAATAGTTGAAAATACGCAGTGACGGGAGAGCAGAGGCGAGTTGGGGGAACATTTTTAGTGGCATCAGAAGACATACTTTCGCGCAGCTCTATCAGAGGACTCAAGTGATCGCAGTGAGTTGGTATTCAAAAATCTGAAGGGTCGGCCACAAGAATCTGGAGACAGAAGCCAAATGTCGAGAAGAGAGGTAACATCACTGTCGTGAAAATATGGGACAAGGTCAGAATCAAAATAAAGGCAAGCATTCATTCACTTTATATGTCGTAGTCGATAAAGAGAATACTGTAAAAACGCCACAAGCTCGCATGCAAGACCATTCACATCACTTGTTGGGGGCGACCTATGAACAGGGAGAACTGTCTGTTGGAAGGTGAGCAGATTTCTAACGTGAATAGAGGTGGTTTATGGCATTTAAGCAGGTTAGGTTTAACGCAAGGGGTGTCGAGAACACGGCAGAGGCGCGCAGTCCGAAATGCGTCAGCAGCTGTTCACTGCCAATGTGACACAACGGCAAGGCTGCCACTTTGGTGAACAAAGAACGTTGTTCACTTATTTTGCCACTTACAACAGTGATGTCCGCGCTCGTTTCATCAGCCTGGTGAAATTGGACTGTCTGATTGGCCTACTTGCGATCTGGACTCCGCTCCGGGGAACACGGCAAGGGATTACACTCCATATGCAGCTCTTGCGATTTTCTTTGTTTACCAATGTCACGATATCAAGGACTATATTCACCCAAACGGCCCTTTTTAATAATCTTCGACCATTTTTGGGCACTTCTTCTCGTTTTTCAGTCACCTCATCCGCGAAAAGTAGTCAGTCCGACAGTGAAGACGAAAATGCCATGCTGGACTTCCCGTCTCAAGGCACTAGAAGATGGAGAGTGAATGTGGAGGGAGAGAGAACAAGAGAGGAAGGACCGCAGTGTGTGTTGTTTTACTTATAAACGATGATGTTCTCTTGATGGTGTTCTTGACAAAAATGTAGAAAGAAATCAAAGCCATCCTGCGAAACGAGCATCATATGTCAACCTTTAGCTAATCTCAATATTGATATCACGAAGTTGTCTTTCAAGCTCCAACTACCGCCTCACAAAAGACAGTAGGTGTTACTACTTCTTTGTGGACTTACTTTGTTTTAAGTTGTCTCTCGCAAAACTTCCAACAACTACACAGGTGCAGTCACGTCAACGCCTTTGACTACTTCTAGTCATCTCCGTGCCAACAGCACAAGTGAACAAGACGACCAACAGTAGCAACGTTAAAAACGATCCTACCTCTGTTAGACGGCCGACATGCCCTCTGATGGGCAGTCTGCCACTTACTACAATGAGTCGAAGGCGTACAAATCGTCCAAGTCCAAGTCCTCCAAGGAGAACGCGGTCAAGATATCGATATCGTCCCCCTACGGGTCTAGCTCCAAGAGCAGCTCGTTCTACTCTAATGCCCACAAGTCATACAAGACTTCTTCGAGCTCCTATGGAGAGAATGGCAAGCACTAGTTGTCCTCAGCTCGCCGAGGTGTCGGCCGGTGCATCTTGGAGATCCGAGAAGCCGCACACCACTCCTCGGAGCACCTGAGTGGGCACACGGGCATCATAATATCATCAACTAAAGACCCGAAGTAACCCTTTGAAAACAGCCAAAAAAAAAAAGAGAGAGAAAGAAAAATGAGAACAAAAAAGGAATGATTTTGATGACTGGACACGACACAAACATCATGAGAAATTACTCTCGGTGATATGAATCACACAACAGCACCACCACTATACCATTTACCCGAACATCGGATTACAGATACCCCAGGTGCGTCACTACACACGACCTCACTTGCATCTCTCGGCTCTCAGGCACGTTTTATTTACATTTTACTTTATAGATATTCGGGGTTTTCACAGTTCAACATCAGTAGCATCATAACGGGAGAAGAACCAAGAAGAAAAAAAAGGAATAGACTAGAATCCTGGTCATTGGTCTCTCAGGTAGAACCAATCCAGATGATATGATTATCCTCCCTTAATTCTCTCTCATTTGTCTTGCAGTGCTCCATGTTATTATATTTCCACTTTGGGAATCGCTCCTGGCTGTACTGAGTACTCAGTACACAGTACCTTTATCATCAATCCATCCCCAAGACAAATCAGAACACTACGGCAGTGAATCAGATGTTGAAGATACTTGGACAGTTGCATCGTTCGTTTTGTGCCGCGTGCGGTGCGCCCAGACCAGCAGCTCGGCGGGCGCTCGATTTAAAGTGATATGGAAAACGGAGAAACTGGCTGGGCGACTTAGAGCTGCGAGCTACAGGCATTGTATCTTATGGCTAGGTATTTATTGCGTAGTTTGTCAACCGGCATTTCGCTGCAGCCAAATCCGGTGCTGGACCCTGCGCAAAACGTTCTATCGTGTTCTTTCGGCAGCGACAGGGGCGCTAAGTGAACGAGAGCGCTAGGAGTAAATGTCAACGGGAGGTTGGTTGAAATACAGCCCCACTTATTTTCGCCTGTTCCTGAAAATCAAACGGCCATCAGCCAATCAAAATTGCGCTCGAGCCCCTATTTTCCGTTGTTTGGTTTCTCTCCCCAGCCACAGTATTTCTCTGTCCGCCAAAAATGCTTTATTTACATTCGCCACGGCTGCAAATCACCGTTTCCAGCCTTCTGCATTTCTGCTGCATTTCCGACCGCATCTGGCCAGGACAGAAAAAACAAGGATCACTTGGAGAATACATAAGAAAAGGACCCCAGCATACTCCAATTATTTTTGGAGACGTGTTCTTCATCCTCGTTTTATTTCTTCACGTCAACATTTTTCAAGGTTTGTTTCCTTTGACTCATTACTCGTTCATTCACTTCACATCAGGCGGCATTTCAGCGACCTCACTTCACCGACATCACTTTAGCTCTTTCATAACACCTCACCACTCATCAGCTCCTCCAACTTCACCGCCAACCGCACAACATCACATTATCACGACCTCGCTCAACACTCAAGTTCTCCTTTCATTCACAACCCACCCACCAATAGCACAAATTACTACCAATCCTCATCTCCACACAGCCTGCTTCTGGCCTCCTCCTCTCGTTGCTACGATGCAGTTGCATCACCTCCCCGCGTCACTCTTGACTGTGGCGGTAGCCTTCTCCACAGTCGCCTCATCCCTGCCTTTTAGTCCCAAGCACAACGCCCCGAGAGGGCAGCAAAAACGAGACGCCGCAGTCGCTCCACGAGCTACCTACTCTGTCGTCAACATTGACGGCGGCAGCGGCAGCGGTGATGACAGTGGAAACGGAGGTGGCAGCGGCGCAACGACAACGTCTACAATACCGGCGTCGGGCACAAAAACAGCGACCGCGTTTCGCACCACTGTGGTTGTCGAGTCGGCTGAACCCACAGTCACCGACACGGACACGGTTGTGGTGACATCCACGACCAGACCAAAGTTGCCAGTGACGACACATGTCACAAAGGTTTCCGTGGTGGGCGTGCAGGGGCCGTTGAGCACAACGACAGACGCGACGGCAGACACGGCGTCTACGGGAGTAGTCGTCGTGACGGTATTGGAGACGGTGGTTCCGGCTCATTCTGTGGCGCATTCAGCAGCGTCGTCGTCACCGTCGTCGTCACCGTCCTTGTCGTCACCCTCGTCATTCTCCTCGTCTGTCTCATCGTCAAAGACACTCTCCACGCCGTCCTTGGGCTCCTCCACTCCGGCCTCATCGTCTGCTTCGTCCTCTCAATCTCATACACACTCTCCATCACTCTCCTCTACCACATCGTCATCCTCGATAACTGCGTCCTCGTCCTCAGCATTGTCCTCCTCCTCCACACTAATCTACCACTCGCCCGCTTCCACTTGGTCCGGAGGCTACGGTCCTCCCCGACCCAGCCAGTCTACGTTTTCCACTTCCACCACATCCAGTACAACGTATGACAACGGCCTCTGGCATCCACCCACACCCACCTCTCCGACCCGCTCCTCCTCTTCCACCTCGTCATCCTCCCCGACGTCTTCGTCCTCATCTGCCACCACCACCACCACCTTTAATGACGGGCAATGGCACTGGCCGACCACCAGCAGTGCCCCTCCCTCGTCTTTTTCGTCATCATCTTCCTCGTCGTCAAAGAGCTACGACAATGGACAATGGCACACCACGTACCCCCCAGAGAAAGGCACTGCTGGCCGCTTCCGTGCGTCCCGCTAATGCCAAAACGTTCTCTCTGCCTCAACGTTTCTATTCTCCCGCGGCAGCTCAGTTCACACCATGTATCATCACACACACACTATTTCCATTCTTATATTGTTCATTACTATATATTATTTACAATGCCCATGTACGAGGCACCCACGACGACAGAAGTAGACGGAATTCTGAGCACAGGCAAGCAGGGCAGAGCACGCTGCCGTCCGACCGAAATTGTACGAAAACTAATGATTAAGATTAATGGCCTATTGCTTATATTTATACAGTACGCAAATAGACAAATATGAAATACAACGCAGCCTCTAAATTCAAAATGATTCGTGAGTGAACTTCATTGTACTCAGCCAGCAAATTACTTGCTTTCGTCTACTTTCTCGGTCTTCTCAGTCGTTTCCGTCTTCCGTCTTCTCTGGTGTTTCTGTCTTGGCATTTTCAACATCACTCTTTTCCGTCTGGACCGGTGTGGGTTTGCGGATGTCACGCCAGCCCAGGAAAGAGGAGCAGACCAAGGCGGTAGCCGAGAAGGCAATTTGGAGGTACTACGCGGCTCATCAGCAATGCATTCTGACGAAAAAAAAAAAAAAAAAAAAAAAAAAAGAAAACAAAAACGACAATACGCAGGCTCGGCGACAACGACTCACATAAACATTGACCAGCGCCTTGTTGTACGCGAGAACAACGCCGTTGATCTCGCTGGCCGGAATCACACGGCGCAGGTCCGTCACGCCCGTGTTGATGACCGTCGCCGCGTCCACGGACGGCGCATACTTGGCCAGCGCCGCGCCAATTGTCGAAGTCAGCACCGTCCGCGCCGCGCAAATGGCCACGGCGCCGCCAAAGTACTGGCAAAACAAGACGTAGCTGACACCCAGCGGGATGTCCGAGGGCGGCACGTTCGCCTGGATGACTGTGACCAGCAGCTGGTTGACGAACCCGCGGCCGGCGCCACCCAGAATTTGGAACCCGATCCAAGAGCCGGCGCCCGTGGACGGCGAGAACGTCGTAAACAAGCCCGACGCGATGAGCACCATGGAGTTGCCGCTCAGGAGCTCGGGCATGTAGTACCCCGTGCGCTGGACCAGGAAGCCGCAGAGTAACGCCGCAAGGAGCTGCGCGACGATGGTGGGCAGCAGCATGACGCCGCTGACCACGGGCGTGGCGCCCTTGACGCCCTGGAACCAGATGGGCAGGTAGGACATGAGAACAAAGACGCTCGCAGACTGCGCCAAGGCAGTGATTCCGCAAAAGACGTTGACGTAGCCATACCGCAGCAGACGGAACGGCAGCAGCGCGCGGTCGCCCAGGTACTGCGACCAGGCGGCGAAGACCCCAAACAGCACGGCACCCGCAACCAGCAGCCCGATGACGACGCCCGAGCCCCAGGCGTACTTGGTGCCGCCCCACTCGAGGCCGATCAGGAACAGGGCACACGCAGCGGCGAAGCAAAAGAATCCCGGGAAGTCGATGCGAGCCACCTGTTTGTACGTGATACCAAGGTGCTGACGGCGGGTGAGTTGGGCCGGGATGCCAGAGCCAGTTCCAGCAGCATTGTTGCCGGCCTGATCGGCTGTGTTTTGTGCGAGAAGCTGAAGTTGCTTTGGTTTCTGTGTTGGCGCTGGCAGACGAACGACGAAGAGGAAAAGCAGGATGACAATGCCGCCAATGGGGAGGTTTCTATGGGGGGGAAAAAAAGCATCAGTCTGGTGTCTTGTCATTTCTATGAATGCCCGCGTATCAAGCTCACATATAAAACACCCAGCGCCATGTCACTTGGGCCAATGCACCACCAAGGAGGGGTCCGCCGACCTGGCCGAGTGCTACACCAGCCATGAGGGTACCGATGAACATCGGTCGCTTCTCGAGAGGACGGATCGTGGTGATGATGGCCGTGGCACCCGTGAGAATGCCCGAACCGCCGATCCCCGTAATGGAGCGACCGACAATCAGCATCGGAGACGATACAGCCACGCCGGAGATCAGGTTGCCAACCTCCAAGATGAAGACAAATACAATAAATGTGTACTGGAAGCGTCAATACGGAAACCCCATTGCGGTAGGAAAGGGGAAATTAGTCTGTCTGCGTACTCGGAGAGGGAATATGGCAAATAGTTTTCCTGTCAATGGCAACATTGCGCAGCTGTAACGTTAGTCACGGCAGGTGAACGGCCTGCAACCCGAGCAGAGCAGACTTACTTGGAAATCAGATAGCTCGAGCTATACCAGCCGACGTCTTGAATCGAATGAAATGCGTTGGTGATGGACGGTATGGCCTAGCTGGTGTTAGCAAGGACACAGATAGACAAATAAGAAACATGCCCTGTCCCGCCTACCGTCGAAATCATGGACGCATTCAGTGCGGACAGCAAAGTCGCCAGAATGAGCGAGCCGAATGTGAGCACGAATGGGAGGCCTGTCATGTATTGTTGTGTGGGAGCCTCGCTTTTCTCTGTGTCAGCCGTTTTGTCACCTTCGACATTGTCGCCGTCCTTGGCATTGCCGGCTGGACTCCCCGTGTCGTCGACTGCGTTGCCGCCCAGGACAGCAGAGCCCGGCTTTTCGTCGCCTCGTGCATTTGCGGAGACTGCTTCTGGAACTGCCGCTGGGGATGTGGACGACTCGCTCTCTTCTTTGTTGGACCCCATGTTGGACACTATGAGAACGACCCGGTGGAGTATCTCGAGGGCAGTGATGAGACGGGGAACTGGATATGATGGGGGCTCAGAGAATGAGAGGAAGCAATATTCTTTTATATGAAATTTCTGTTGGTGTACGATCCCAACAAACTTCAGAAGGCCCGGCCGCGAGTGCCACGCCTGGACCGCGCCTACCTGCCCATATGCCCATATGCCCTGGCTCGACGTCCGTTTCCTCCCCTTTAAAAACACAAGCAGAATACAACTATTGCGACTAACATGCTCCTCAGTACCACACGAATTAAACAGAGCGGCATGCCATACAAGGCGTTAGGGTTCAAACATGGGATTCTATTGTTGGCAGGAACGGGTTTCGGGTTTACTCAATCGCCTACTGCACCGCAAAATGAGGAAGGAGCCGACGTGGCCAAGATGGTCCTGTCGCAGCACGGCACGCCTTTTTGGGGAAGGACAAAGGGACAAGTAAAAGAAAATAAAATCAAGGCAACCCACAGCGGGTCTGTCAATGGCAAACTATGTTATTCTCTTGACAGATGACCCTCTTGCCTGGTGTTTTAGAAAAGTCCGTCTGCACGGCGTTTTCGGTAAAGCCCGCTCCGTAGCAAATGCATACGGCAGGTGCGACTAACGACAAATCAATGGATGCAAGTGAGTCGATGTGCCCCACTTTTAACCAACGTCAACGATGGCGCGAGCAAAGCGTACTTTGGCACTCATGGGTTCTTGTGTCGTCAGTTTTCCTTTTCTATGGTTGAATTGAAAGTGTTGAACCTGTTCATCGTTGGTATTCTCGTGTTGCTACTGTATTTTGATAAATAAATAAAAAATAATATCAGCACAACTCATGAACTAATTAAAAAGAATAAAAAACCCACGGAAGTAACGTTTTGAATTTACGTCTCCGAAAATACAACCAAATAGTAAATCGAAATTCAAGATGAGCTACTGGTCGACAGGATCCAGCCTGGACCAATATGAAAGAATTGCCATGCAAAGATTAGTAAACATAAAAGAACCAAGTCCCAGGGCAAAAAGGTACATCATAAGCGAAAACCAAAACTGCCGACAGCCGATGACCAGCAAGCACCAACCGTCATCAAGAAGTCATCCGTGCTATGTCGTATATCGTATTTCGAGTCAAAATCATTACCGAAAGAGAGGATCCGGGCAAATGGACTGCATCTCCTTCTATCCTCCTAATCCCGGACGGAGCTCACATGTGCAACTCTCGTTCCCTGTTGTCGGAGCATGGCCGTCTTTCTCTGCGCAAACCCAATGTGACGGCTGATATTAATAGCCCCAATTGGCCGTGCTTCCGGAGCCTATGGTCGGTGTTAGCTTGCAAAGACTTGAAATTATTTGCGTTTCTATTCACCCTGTCTTTTATGGCACGTCTTTTTGAATTTACTTTTTGTCTGAAGGGCTCACTCACCATAACCTTGCTGTTGATAGCCACCCTCGAGGTTTGGGTCGTATCCTTGTGCGGCACCGCCACTGGTATCGTACGCATACGCGCCGTAGTCCGTGGCCGTAGTGACGGGCGTGCCGTCGGCGGTAATGTATGTGCCGCCGCCGCCACCTGCGGCGCCGCTCGTTGTGTAGGCCATGTAGTCGCCAGAGGAGATCATATACGCGCCGCCACCACCACCCTCGCCGCTGGTGTCGTAGTATTCGTACTCGTAGCCGGTGTCCATGCCGGACGCGCTACTTGCGCTTCCACCCTTGGACGAGGACGAGGACTTGCCACTGCTGCCGCCCTTTGCCTTGCTCTCGCTCTTCTCGCGACGGCGCTTAAACCGAGCGACGTCTTGGTGCGAGACGCGTTTGCCGCGGACATTGTACTCGTCCTGCTCTTCCTGCTCGAGCAGCTCCTCATACTCGGTACCTTTGACGTACTTTGTCGTGAGGCCCCACTCCTTGAACTTGGTCTTGTACTGTTTGGGACTGGGATGTTGGGGTGTGTCAGTGCAAACTTGGGGTGGAGGCTGGCATAGGTATCGTCTTGAGGGACTTACGTTGCGCTGAAGAAATGCAGTGTCTTCATCTGCACAATGACTTCAGATAATGTGTTGTTCTGGTAGAGGACCGTGATCACATCGCGGAACTCTTCCCAGTCCTCGGCCTTTTCCGGGCGGAACATGTCGGTGTTGGATGACTGTTGAAGCAAACTAGTGTGAATGGATGCTTTCTGGAGAGTGTCGTATGTGGCACTTGACTTTGTCTTGGGTATATTGTCTTGATGCCTTGAGTACTGACCTTTTTAGGAACAGACATGTTGACGTTGGAGATGCCAGTTTATATAGTTTTTATTGGCTCAAGTAATATGGAAATATGTTGATGGTGGTATTGATGATGTCTGTTGGGCTGTCGAGCGGGAGCCGAGGCGTAAAGCAAAAATTAGGTTATAATGTGCGAAGCTGGAAAAGAATATCAACAAAACGCAGCGGGAAGATGATGTATTGATGGCTGATGAAACGACGGAAGTAAAGACCAAGTGCAATGAGGCGATGAGCATGCAAACTTGGCCCCCAACAGACGACGGAGAGGAGGATGTAAGAGAGCAGGGGAGGTCGTCAAGTAACTCAGGAAATTGAAGCATAACGACACAGAGTGATGCCAAGTGAGGCCAACAGTGCTGCTGTGCGTACCTTTTGTTGACATTCGGTGATAGTTGAACACGGGTGGCAAATGCAAGCCACAGAAAGGGGGAGAATCGAACCCAAAATAGACGCACAGTCCTTCTTACTCTCACTTTTATGCCTGATTCAGAGCCGTGCAGAAGCAAAGGACAGCGCGGAGTGATTATTTCCATAAAAAGGATTGCTGTTGATCGTGGTACCGGCGATGTGCGAAGCTGGTGTTTGTCATATGGAATAGGCAGATACATGGGGGTGCTTCATCACGAGGAACGGCCCTACTCCCACCACAGTGTCACGAGCCGCAGCCTAGTATAGATGGATGAAGTCATAGGCCAAGGGTCGCGGATCCGGGCCAGTCCGTAACCGTCAAGTGTCTACCTTGTAAGGCTTTTCCCTTTATTAACCAGCCCCCGTTGGCACATGAAACGAAACGAGGACGGGTGTGAGACAGATGGGGCTCTGACGTATATAGGAACGAGAAGATGCAAGTGCTCGGGAGCGAGAGACAGCAAGGAATTAAAAGGATGAAGTACACGGGAATAAGAACGGTGTCGAGGCACTATAGCCAGTGATGACAGGAGAAGGGTCTCGAGCGAATTGACTGCGCCCTGGTGCAAAGGGACTCGACAAATGACGGGCGTGTCCGTCGTCCTGACGCTGTGTTGGTGTTATAGTTCTCTTACCCCTGCGTATATGTCCGTGATGGCGACCGGAGTAGGCCCATGCTCACGGTCTCTCGAAATCCAGCTGCTTGGCCCTCGTCTCGGTTCGTTACCCTTGAGTTCCCATCGGGTGCCCGTCGCCCATCGTCGTCATATCTCATGAATGGGGGAACCACTTGACAGACAACTAACGCGGGCAGGTGCACATCATCTGCCACACACCCTCAGCTGCAGACCCTCACACCCTCCCGGTGTTTTCAAGGTCGCTTGCGTGGTCCCAGAATCCAGGGTGCCCAAACAGAGAGGAGAGTTTGGCTCTGGCCGCTTAGATAAGGAGTTTAGATCATGGTTTAAACGACTGAAAAGGATGGCAAGACAGGCAACGAGACCCAAAATGCGTACACGGATGGAGGGGGCGTGCAAAATGTCTACCCCACGCACGTCACCATACTCGGGGCTTGCGAGAGTAACACACCAAGGTGGAGTAGGGCAAATATAAAATAACATTAAAAATAAAAATAAACAGACCGGTCGACTGTACGCCCCATGGAAGGGGGGTGCATTTGTAAGTGATGTGTCTGTTGGGTGGAACGTAGGAGGGTATGTACAGTCTGTGCGAGGCTGAGACCATGAAGGTATGACGCATGATGGAAGTATGGGGGACGAATAGAATCTTCATGACAGCTCGACGCAAGGCACCGATGGAGCCGGAGGTGCCACCGTACCACAGCGTTACAGGGGCGCAGACTGTCCATGGCCTTTCCTTGATTCTTGGTTGGTGTTTGGGTTTCTCGCCGAAGGATCACAGTGGTACTGGTCACAGTCGGATCCTTGGGAACAATATAGTCCATACGCTGAGTGGACGACTATGGATATGTGAGGAAATAGGGGCCTGTGTTGATTTGTGACGGGCCAGGTTGTTTCGGAGACGACTGAATCAGGACTGTCAAAAGTCCGATTCGTGTAATAGGAAAGTGTACTTTAGCGTCTCATTTTTTTTTTTTAAAAAAAAAAAAAACACAATTCCCGTCGTAATACTTTGAAAGGGTAGTTTGAACTGTGCTGACCGGGAGGATAAGGACGGGGTGTCAGCTTTGAATCCTTCGAAAATGTTTATAGACGTTGGATGTGCGGACGAAAGAAGGCGGACGAAACAGCAAAGGAAGTGAATTACAAATGCTGTAAAGATCACTGTGAAGTAACATTCTTCAAAATCTATTGAAATTGGTTCCAAGGCTGCTAAATGGAATTGTCGTTTTCAATTTAATTTTTATTTTAAACTTATCGTGTCGTTCAATATTTGCTACGTTGGCTGAGGCTGGTAGCGCAGGATTTGGCAAAGTAATCGGATAGGACCAGAGCCGGGACGCGTGCGATTCATTCAAGAAGGACAACATATCCGACAACCAAACCTCAATATGACTTTCAGTACAGAAGTGACTCTACAGAGTCGAATTCAGGCACCTGCCAAGGAGGCTGCGGTTCAGACCGCAGCAACGGTATGGAACGAGTGCGCTGCAGTGTTCTGCCGTGATGCTGGAAACGTTGAGTGAAAACCGTTAAATGACACGCACTACGAGGGTACGGTCAGTATGTGCCATTGCGTGCAAAATTGAAAAATACGGTTATGAGGCAAATCGGGGTGCTGAGAAACGGGTTTATTGAGAAACCGCCCGTGTAGTTGAACCGACGGAGTATTTCCGTATAAGACTACTAAAACAGACATTCGTGTCGAGTCCAGCACAATACGAAACTCTGGAAAGGCCTAGATGTGAAGAGATGAAAACACCGGCTCGCGGTCAGAGAGCACAAGGTCACTGCATGGCATGTGACTCTCCCGCGCCCCAATAGAAACAAGAAAGTCAACGCTTTGCGATGGGCCGGTTTTGTGGCGGTGGTTCTTTTCCCGTCATTTCAGAAGTTGGTGTCGCTGTCGGGCAGAATAACTCGTAAAGGCGACTGCGCCGGACCGTCAAGTGTTGGTAGCCGATTTATTTTGGATCGGTATGGCGTGGACATTTGATTTTGAATATGGAACGTCTCTCGCAGTGATGTATGAATTAAGCTTTTTTGTAGTGTTCATACACAATTGGTCTCATCTCTCGTTTATCCGCGCTACAATCCTTTGTATTTTCCTTGGTCTAAAAGGTGACGTCTTCTGTGCACATTACGCTCAAAGGCAGTCGTAGGCATGTTGCAAAATTGGTTTGTTTGCCGCGCCAAACCTTAACGCGGCCGTTATATCCCCGACAGTTAAGCGTCGAATGTCAAGACCATCCAGTCGCCATTAGTTGCCTCAGGTAAAATAAAACTGGCGAAGCGGGTGGGACGGCCTCATTCTCCCCTTCCCGTTTTGCTTTCAACATCTTGGATGCAGTAAACGGCGTACTGCAACCGGCGAGGCCAAGCCAGATCCTGAGGTACGAAAAGGCGGAGTGGCGCAGTCTCGAAAGCTAAAATCTTTTCGGACACATACGAGCATATGGATCTTTCCCCGGCAGGCAGAAAAACGATGATAGAAAGGGTTGCCAACGACAAAGTACTTCCATAAACGTTACTTGTTAGAAATGTACACAAGTTGTCCAAAAAAGGAGACGAAGGAGAAACAAACAGAGGCGCACATGATGTCTTCGCCGCCGTGCCGCTTTTGACTTGGTCTTTGCCAGATAAAGGAGTCTGAATGCAATTATTTTGTGTACAAACTCAAGTCACAGAGGGCAGAGGACAGAACTACATGAGGACGGCGTTTACCGTTTAAACATTGAACCTTTAGAATACCACTGTGCCGTCTCGTTGTCCTTTGCCTAGAATTTGGGGGCGGTTCTTGCCCAGTCGTGCCGCAGTCCTTCGCCATAGTTCGGTTTCCTCATTCGTACAGTCAATTCAATTCTTTGTCTGCGTTGCAACCATAGTGGCCGTGGTGACAAATTCGCGACAAACTGTCCCTACGAACGTGGACTCCTTACGGCAACGTGAAAATCCTTTGGGATATAGAATCATGTTACAGGACGATGCGACTGGTGGATGCTTGGCTGTATTACTTTTTCGAATAATAACGTGTACTCCGTAGCCAGTCTACAATAGGCAAATGCCCCCATGTCGTCGCCCAACTCGTCTCACCCCCCTCCTCCCTCGCCCATGTTACATGCCCCGATCCTTTGGTCACACCCCCCCTCCCGCCTTTAACGTACCATTCATACTTGATCTTTGTCTTCCATAGGTGGGGGATCGAAACGAAGGATCGCATCGGCGACCCCTTTTACCATCGTTCTTCCCCATACGAGCGCCGGATGGGAATTCTTTGGGATGTTGGAGGGTGACGATACCAAGCCATGGCCGCTTAAGCTTGTTCTGAAGCCTGCCGATTCGTGGTAAGGCTGAAGTTCCATCTTACTCTCACCTCTGTCATGAGACACGAGACATGGCAGCCACCGAGCCAGGACGATTGTGGTAAGACAAGATGCAGCTGTCAGAAGCTGTAGAATGGGGTGGCAACATAGGGCTGGGATGTTTCAGACCGAGCGAGCCGGATATCCAGCTTGTGTGCTGTATGGACAGCAGAAGCTTAAACAGTTGGTTGCATCTCGCCCGAATAGAAACAACATTCACATATTGGCCTACCTTTCCTTGTTTAGACAAAGAAAAATCCCAAGACAAAGGTAAAAAATAACAAATGGGGGTAAAAGGGAGCCAGTTGCGGACGTAAATAGCCACAACAGCTGCACGGGTCTCAAACCTGGGTCGCACCTTGTCGTTAGGCAGATCAGTTCAGAACCTACACTCGTAGGAAGGTAATCTATAAGAAACCAACAGGAAGAGAAAATGGATAGAAAGTAACCATATGCGCTCCGTTTTCCGATCAGATGATATGATGCAGCACATTTGGGGGCCAAAACCCAAATTCAGGACCCGGCTAGATGACGCCGTACAGTGAAGGCTCGACACGGGGGTCCACGAGACCGGGCAATGGTCTTCAGTGCAAATTAATAGGACAAGAAATAAAATACACAGGAGGCAGTCAGAGACAAATATTTGGAGTAGAGGGGGGATGTGACAGTTTGCCTGTAAAAGAAGGAGGGAAGATGCGTCGACCCCACAATGCGGCAAGCGCCTCTCTGGGCGCCCACCTATGCGCCGCTCTTGGCCCAAGTATCCTGCAGACCGAGCCTGCTTGGCGCTCAGGTTTCCCTTTTCAGGTCTCATTCGACTTATTGCCAGCAGAACGTTGGGTCAGGATATGCTCCATGTACGTGGGATATTCAAAGAAACATAAAAAAAACATAAAAAAATCCCATGGTTAAAGTTTGTTTGTAGTATCACGTGACAAGACGTCACTCCCGAAACGGGACGAACAAGACCATAATGACGTGCGGGCAGCTCCTTCCGAACCAACGTTGTTTGAGTCACAGACATAAGCAAAGGTACAACATAACACCGGAGTCTCCCCTTCGTACAACCATACACTGCACGATAGACAAACGAGAGAGGCGGCACCACATCCATTGCGAGTCGGGTTTGAGAGTCGTCACGATAGTGATAACTGTCACAGCACGATATGTTCCGTGTCCACCAAACTGTGAGATAAGCGAAACGTTGCGAATGCAGAAGCGACAAAGTCTTTATCCTACGTTTCCTTCTCATCTTTCATCCCGTGTCCTAACATCACAAGCAGGCCAAGCATTGAGTCACGGCAAGGCACCGATCGAGTCAAAACGGCGCGAGGCCAACCTGCCCTGGGCTATTGGGATACGAAACGCAGCACAAATACGACTGGCCACATCGAGGCAACATTATGTCGGGTCCTTCATCTATGGCAGCGGCAGCTGCTGCCATCTCCGACGACTCAAGATACGTTGACGACAGCGACCAGATCCGCTCATTGCTTCGAAACTTGCCGTCGCTCAAGGGGCCCTACGCGCCTGTCGACTGGGCGGCCTTTCCGGCGACGCCCCAAGCAGCCTTTGTGCAGTGGCTCCGCGACGCCATTGCAGAGGGTGGCAAGACCGCCGCAGCATCGGCGACGCCCTATGAGCCGCACGCCATGACTGTGTCGACCGTCGACGCCGAGGGGCTGCCAGACGCCCGCGTTCTCATCCTCAAAAACGTGGATGGCCGCGGCTGGCATTTCGCCGTCAAGGCCGCCAGCCCCAAGGGCCGCCAGCTCACGGCCAATCCGGCGTGCTCTCTGACTTTTTATTGGTCGTCACTCGGCCGGCAGGTGCGCATCCGTGGCCGGGCCCTGCCGTTGCCGGTTGAGGAATGCGCCGCTGATTTCTTGGCCAGGCCACTGGCTTCGCGGGTCAGCGCGGTGGCGTCGCCGCAAAGCGAGGTCATGGTGGACCCTGGGACGTCCGAAAATGAACTCTCAAAGAGGACGGCCGAGGTACAGGCCCTGTTTGACAAGGACCCGGAGTACGTATCGCCCGGATGGCTCGTGTACGCCGTGGCGCCGACGGACGTGGAATTCTGGCAGGGAGCAACAGACCGCCAGCACCACCGACTTCGGTATGTGAGAGAAGAAAGCACTTTGGGATTGGACGCAGTCACCTGGAGGAAAGAACGGCTCTGGCCGTGATTACACACAAGCCAGGCAGGGCGGAGAGCCGCCAAAGCCAAAGATGGTCCGGTTCAGGAAGTTCGGCCAGACTCTCGGCTCTGCTGCCACGACCTATGAGCATGACTCTGTGCACACGAGGGACGTACTGTATCTCAAAGGGCATCTTTAATTCTTTGTTCGCCCTGCGTCCAGAGGAAATGGCGCCGATGTTGAACGAAGAAATGTCTCCGAGGTGGATGCTTGTTGGCGTGTAAGTGCTGAAAAAGTGGACCAGCGGACCGCCTGTCACCTAGCCAGGAACGTTAAATTGAAGACGAGTCATATGCCGAAATTCGATCTTGAAAACAACGGGCAGCAGGGCGGCGGTACTTTAAAACTTGGGAACTTTAGCAGACTGCCTGTTGTAACTGTCTAGCTTTGTACATTTACACGACAATGGGGAGTATTGTTGTGCGATGCAACCCATGCCAAGTGGAGTAGCAAGCAAGTCTCCATCACCACATCCAATGTCCAGACCGCATCACAACACTTTGCAATCATGGCGGTATATTTGAGCAAGTTTTGTCCTTTCCAAAAAATCATTTATCGAGCTAAGTCGTTCATTCCTAGTTGTAATTTTATTCTCGACGCATTGACCGGCCAAGAAGTGCCTTTCGGAGACTTTTCGGCCACAAAGAACCAAGAAGGTACGCAGCAAAAAAGTCTCCGAGAAGAGGCAAATTGTCGTCGATTCTGTATAAATACTCCTGAAAGTGTATAGATCCATGAGATAATTGAAAGGTATCATCCTCATGTTTGACATTGACATCTTCAACCCAAATCAAAAACACCAACCACTCGACTTGAAGCGTGGGACAGGTAATGCCTACGGACTTGGGCTACAATAAGCAACACCAAACGTCTCAAAAGTACGAAAAAAGGGCCGGCCTTCTATACAACACAACAGGTTTCCTTGCCCTCACAATTATTCTCACACTCCTCGCAGCCTACTTTGACCTTCCGTCTCGCCTTACAACAAAAGTCGCAACGACGTCGACGCCAGCCACCATCATGAACGTTGAAATTCCCAATCAGCCCAAGGACGGCAAGACCTGGAAGGAGGTTAACAAAGAACATTATGAGTGAGTAAAGAGGACGGTATGGGTAGTAATGCTGTGTATTCAGAGCCCTAACCAACTTAACTGCGTAGCAACCTGCCCGAGGACACATTCAAGATCAAGTGGATCGCCGACATGCACCGCCAGATCATTGACTACCTGACGACAAACCGCGTGTGGATCGGCGTCCCGCAGGGGGCCAGCGCCGCCGACGGCACAGGCATCCGCCTGCTAGACTATGCCTGTGGCAGCGGCCGCATTTCCACGGCCCTGGCGCCCTATGCGAAGCATCTGCGCGGCATCGACATCTCGTCGACCATGGTGAAACGGTACAACGAGGCGGCGGTGGAAGCGGGTTTCACGCCGGAGCGGATGCGCGCGGTTGAGGCAGACCTGGCCACCGGCACGGACTCTTCACTGGCCAAGGCAGCCGAGGGCGAGGAGTTCCAGGGGTTCGACGTCGCCCTCATCTCCATGGCCCTGCACCACGTGGAGCACCCGGTGGCCGTGCTGCAAGGTATGGCGAGCCGTCTGGTGCCGGGTGGCAAGTTGCTGGTGATTGACCTGCACATGGCGGAGGGCGAGACGGAGGATGTACCCACTGGCCATGAACACAGTCATGAACACGTTCATGAGCACGGCCATGAGCACGGCCATGAGCACGGGCATGATCACAGTCATGGGCACAGCCATGACCACGGCCACGGCCACGGCCACGGACACGACCACGGTCACAACCCCGATCACAGCAACGCCGAGGCACCTGGCGGCTTGCATACCGTTGTCCGCCGCGGCTTCACCGAAAAAGACATGCTGCGCATCTTTGGCGAGGCTGGGCTGGTCCATGGCGAGATTCGGGTCAACACCGAGGTGTCGCAAGTCCCACCGCAGATTGGCGGTGGCAATCTGCGGTTGTTTTTCGGCGTGGCGGAGAAACCGTCGACCTAGCTGCCTGGTGGTTGTAGTTGTATTCAGATCCCAAATGGGAGAGTGACCATGGCGTCACGCTTGTAATGGCACATTTTGTTATGGAAATAACATAAATATGGAGTCTATGCTATATTAGTAGTATACAGGATCATGAACATGGAAAAAAAGTGTGAAAATTGTACAAAATAATTACAGATGTATGTTAAAAATGGGAATAAGGAAGCAGTGCATGGTGGTATCGTCTTTATGAGAGTACAAATGTTGCTTCGCGAGTCGTAAACATCAGAAAACGTAAAAGAAAATCAGTGACAAAAATAACAACATTGGACATCATAGACCACGGCCAAGGATTAGCTGATGCCTTTCTTCTCATCGTCCGTCGTCACGGTAGGCGCAGCACCCACGGCAACGGCAGTCCGGTCGGTATCGTTACTGGCGCGGGCATACGTCTCGTCCTTCTCAGACACAAACGTGGGGTCTTTGTCCGTCGTCTTTTCCGTCATGTCTACCGGTATGGCGGGTACTGTCGCCGTATTGCTGCGTGGCCATCGCCAGTGGAAGATGGAAAAGAAGCCGCCCGTGGTGTCTCGTTGGCGTTGGCATTGGTATTGCTGTTGCCAGGTTGTGCTACTGCTCCGCCTTCCCCGACCGGCGCCGTTTTCGGAGGTATGTAGTTGTTGGACCCAATGCCGAACTGGGTGTTCCACTGGCGCTCCCATTCTTGCTGTATCGCCAGCTCCTCGAGGTCGTTCTTTTTCTTCTGGCGACGGTAGCGGATTTCGTTCCGGATGCCCTTGATGAGGTAGTAGAACACCATTACAACAACAATGAGAGTCACCGGGTTAATGGCGATGATCAGAATGTTGCGGATCCTCTCCTTCTTTTTCTTCGCACGGGCAGCATCGGAAGCATCGTCGCGAGTGGTGATGGACGAAAAGGATGGAGGTAAGAAGGCCGGGGGATGTGACAAATGATTGCTGATAGCAGGTGCCAGGGCGGTGTTGCTCAATGGTGCCATTGTGTGAGTCTCACATGGGAAGAATGAGGAGCAAAAGAACAATGGAATTGTACAAAGAAAAATTGAAGGCAGAGAAGAAAACCGAATCAGATGTGAGCCTTTGGGGTTGAAATAAGGTTTTGGCGGACGGCGGACGGGTTGTCAGCGATGTGGGTCGTTGGGCCACTAAGGAGTGGTCGAAGCAAGTGAGAGGCGGTTCCAAGGCAGCCTGTGTAAGAGCCTATCATGAGATGCGCCCAGCCAAGAACGACGAGTCGGAACGGTCAAGGCGAGCCTCATTCACGTCGTGACCAGTTTTAGGACGCATATCTGCACCAGTGTTCGTTGCTGTGTACTGGCATGTGAGGGGTTTAACTGGTTCAGGGATGGATGCCAACAGTGAGCTCAGCCTCGCCCGTCAACCTAGTGTTCTTGGCTGCATGTGAAGACGCTCTGCGCTGTTTTGTCTTGTTATTTCTTCGCTCACGGGGCGGCTGCAGCTAGAAAGAACCCTTGGCAAGACCACGCGTAGCTGCACCGCTGCCACCGGAGTTGTTTTTTCCATCGCTGGAGAGAAACGTCTCCGTGGCCTCGGCTGTCGTCTCATTCTTTTGCACAATGGGCGGTGGTGGTGGCGGTAAAACCTCAACAGCATCGGGATCTTCTTGGTCGGGCAAGTCGGGCATCACGACCACGGGATCCAGAGGCATCAGTGGACGGTTTAATGGCGGCGGTTCACGATTGTCACGATTGCGTATTATGGGTGCGACGGCGCCAACCCGGTTGGGATTGGCCGCGTTCGCGGCCGGCTTGGGCTTCCGACTATTGTTGCAAGCGCTGAAACACCCGACGACGCATCCGAGAAGGGTGAGTGGCAGCAAGATAGTGAGGAACAGGAAATACTTCAAGCCCGTAAGCCAGAGTTTACCGTAGGCTTTCCAAGTGCCGCCTTTGCGGAAATGGTCGCGAGTGCAGCTATAAAGGCACCACAGAACGATGCAGCCACCGATGATAGGCAAGATGATTTCGTAACGTTTATGATTCGTTTCGGTATCGGTCTCGTCGTCTCGTTTTGCTCTATTCTTCTTGTTGTCAAAATGCTCGAGGAGAACGCGGGCGACGCGGTGGAAGGCAATCGAAGGCGTGATTGGTGTCTGTGGTGGTGCGGATGTGACTGGGATCGTGGATTGAAAGCTTCGTGAGGTGAGCGATCCTGTTCGTAGAGAGGATGAGGATGCTGTGTTGGATATGTCGTGTGTTGGTGCCAAAAGGCGGCTCATAAAGGCTGGTATTGGTGCCATTGTGATTCGGTGCTGTGCGAAAGGTCGAAATTGTTACGAACTAATTGAAGAGGAGAGGTAGAAAAAAACAAAACAAAGCAAGGCCAAGAAAAGATGAAATCAGACGAATAAATCAGAAGCGAATCATTCCAAGGCCTGCAGGTCCCAGCTCTACGATTTCAAGGCCTCCAGCCGTGTCTCGTGCACCTTTCTGCTCGAGTAGATCGAGTCATTTGCTTTTCAGCCGCGCTGCGCCTGCGCCAGTTATGCCCAACCAACGAAGCGTCACACCCCCGTGTTCTCGATCGCAGTCGTTTTGTCCATTTCCGTCCTTCTTCTCGGCCGGTGGGATGAAAAGGCTGTCGGTAACCGTATTCTGAAGTGACCTTCCAGAGGCCTGGCCGTTTTGCAAAACTGCCAGGCTGACCGTGGCAAGCAGCTCTTGGAACTCGGACAGTTCAGGATAAGTGCAAGGCAGAAGAGCAACAAAAGGCAGTCATTGGAGGTCAGGGGGCCAATGAAGACCATCATAGCTGCCTCACTAGACGCCCGCGTCGGCACGGCCAGCCATAAACCTAGCGCGAAATCCGAGGCTGTGGTCGTATGGCAGCCTCCCAATCTTGTCGGTTCAGTCATTGCGCCCCAAACCTGGTTCGTTATGCTAAGCTTTGCTCTGAATGAAGGCTGAGTGAGGTTGACTGCCCTGGCAACATAATTGCCAGCATAACGACCAGAATTTCCTCACGAAGCGACCGACGGATGGACAGCTGAGAGCCTTTATTTGACCCTTTGACTGCCATCTTTTGATTTTGTTTGGCTTCGGTATCTCTTTGCTTTGTCCGCCTTGGCTGTGCTGCTAAAAGGCCCTGGGCAGCTACCTACCTTTAACTCGTCGCGTCTATGCGGTAATGATACCCGTGGCTTTCTTCAGAGACAAAGCCGTTCTGCGCCCTCTTAAACAAAAGCAGCATCGCCTAGCACTGGCCAACAGACTTTGGCCAAAGATGCGACTTCTTGGTCGACCCGGTCGAAACAGAGCAACTGTTGTCAATCAACAGCGGTCGAACTCGGTGCAAGCTTCTCCTTGAGAGGATCTTGAGAGGATGTACGGAATTGGCGTCAAGAGGCTCGACGCATAGACACCAATAGGTTGTGAGGGGAAGAAGTGTAGGCTGTCTCGATTCTTGTGGCCAAGTGGGAGGGCGACATTGGCATTCTCCTTTCTGGAAAGAACGGCTGCGGGGTTGTTGTGATGGCCAGCGCGGCAACCACGAACCTGGCAATCGGCGCCTGCGCAGTTGCCCTTGGGCCACTCCCCGCACCAACATTTATATGGACATGTCAAGCAGGCACGCCCTGTGACAACGGGACGCAAGACGCCGAAACGTTGCACAGCACCTGCCACTCTTATCGAATGCGAATGTGAGTGTCGCTCCTTCCTTTCCCCGTCGGATCTTGGTTGCTTTCCGTTGCAGGTCAGTCTTCTTCATTATTTACTGAGTGTTGTGCAGTTATAACAAAAGCTATTTTCTGGTTTGTCATCTTTGCTGTCATCATCTCTTCACCTTGCCCTCGCCTTTTGCTTCCAACTACTTTGTTTCTTCATTCACTTGCAGATCCCACCTCTAAACTTGCTGACAACCTCTACTGCAACTTGTCCTCCTGTGTTTTTGTGTTTTGTGTTTGTCATTCGTGCATGTCTCTGTGGTTGTGTTCTTGTACCTGTTTCTGTTTCTGTTCCTGTTCCTGTTCCTGTACTTGTGCTTGTGCCTGTACCTGTGTTCACTGATCGGTCAGATGTACGAGATCATGCCTATTATGCCTCCGTACGCAGAGCAGGTTGTGTGTTTGCAACTTGCCGCACAGGACAACTAATCACTGCTGGATGAACAGGCAAGGAATTATCTGCGGTGACCGTACCCACCACAGGTGTACTAGAGTACCAGAGTCAAAGTGTGGTTATACCTGCCAGCCGTAACGTATTTGCAAACGTGGAAAGATTCACACAATTCACGCTGCAAGATCGTCTAACCTGGTCGTGGGTCAAGCGATAAGCGCAGACCCGTTGGTGCGGTCTTTCTTTCTTTCTTTCTTTTTACTTCCCTTTCACAGTCTTCACCTCGCATCGCCCGATTTAGTCCGCCCGAAGTCATACAGAAACAATCTATCGGGGCGAGTACGACTGGACGTCTTGAGGAAGCGAGATTTGGCTGCGAGATTGATGACCTGCTTGCAGGGAACAAAACCAAAAGAAAAAAAGAAAGCAAAACAAGACGACAACAAGGACCATGGCCGGGACGATAAGACAGGTGTGCAGGACAGGCCTCCGACCCCCCGTCCCGATGCATGTTCCAGTACACGTAGCGAGGCGACTGGACAGGGTCGGGGCTCGTCCGCCATGCGTTCTGTTTGCTTGATGCAGGGGATAATGGCCTTCGTACGAACGGCATGCGAATCTGCATTGTGACCGCCGACCTGGCAGGCGGAGACGACGGCAACCATCCCAACAACTCGAGGTCTACCATCTCAAGAAACATGAAACTTTTCTTCGCAGTCATCGTCTCGTCGATTCTCCATGGATTCACTGTGGAGTTTTGCTACCTAGCCTTACCTGCCCCAAGTGCCCCTCCTAAAGCAAGCGAAAAGGAGACCAGGATGCTTGTTATTCGCGTCTAAGCCAGGAAAGGAAGTCGACCAAGGGCTTGATGGGGGAAACATAGTTCCTTGAGCGGAGATCCACGGACTTACGGCATGGCAATACGGAGTAGTGACCTACGTGGCTGCCATGAGTGAAGCACGGTGGTGAATTTGCCGCTAAAAAAACGTGCGGCCTGGCCGTCCAACGCCAAAGCCTCCGGTCCAGGGCCGCTAGCGACAAGAGTGCAGAGTGGGTACCGTAACCGGGGTAAAGACCCATGACAGATGGAATCAAAGAAACGAAAAAAAAAGTTGACAGGAAAATAATAGTCGACAAGAGGAAATCGACAATAAAAACGAGACACAGCACAGGCGAGACAGCAATACAGTGCAACCGGACACGAAGAGGTCCCAGGCGAGGACCCAGACAAGCAATAAAGCACCGACACAACCCCAGAATCGTCGACGGCAGCGGACTTTATTGACAAACGAAAAAAAGACAGGAAAGAAAAATAATAGCAAAGAGAAATCGAATAGGCAAAGATCACCACAACCTGCATTAACCTTTCTCTCCCGTCTGCTCACCCTCCGTGTCGGCCGTGGACTCGGGCGCCGGTATAGCATTGGTCCGTCCTCACGCAACTGCCCATATCTACAGTCTCCACGCAAGGTTGTCCTTTCGCTTTTCTCTGCACAACCCTTTATATTGGCCGGTTTGACTTGTCAATCAACCGACGACATATTTACGCCCTTCAGCTTGACAACCTTGACCCCCCCACTGCCGCTCGCTTCGTCGTGGCCGTGTCTCGCCCGCGACTAGGATAGCGTCGTCGTTCATCTCCGTTTTTATATTGTCGTCGGCTCTCTTCTTGTCTTCAACTTCCTGCCCGGGCTCTTGGCTCTATTATCGTATCATCGTAATTGCTTCCCTGTCTTGCCCCTTGACGCTTGACCTCTTCCCATCTCAATCTCCGTCGATCGATCCTTAGATTGTTCTCACACCAGCTTCCTTCTCATGTCGCATTACAACCTACCTCTTGTCATTTTATCACCAGCCTACCCACAGTCATAAATACAATGGCCCCCGACACAGAAAAATCTGAAAGGCCACCGTCGCCCAAGACGGACATCACCAGCGACGGCATCGACAACGAGAACACAGTCGATTATACCCAAAACGACAACACGCCGGTTGCCAGCCCACCCAGCCCATCGCCAACCGCCATGGACAAAAATACACTCCAACTCCGCCCAGTCCGCTCGACGGCCTCGTCGCGCCAGCGCTGCAACCCGCCAATATCCCACGACACCCCCGTCGAGTTTGCCGACGGCCACGGCGACGACGACGGCGACGACGACGACGACGGCGCCATGGACGGCTACAACGACGCCGAGAAGCTGCCCTACTCCAAGTGGCGCTGCATCGCGCTCGTCGCCACCGTCACCGGCGCCACCTTTACCAACACGCTCTCTGTCCAGTCCGTCGTCATCATCCTGCCCAGCGTCGGCCGCGACCTCAACATCCCCGACACCCGTCTGCAGTGGATCGTCTCGGCCTACTCGTTGGCGTTTGGCTGTTTTCTGTTGCTGTGGGGCCGCATCGCCGACGTCTTTGGCAAGAAGGCCATCTTCGTCGCCGGCTCGGCCTGGGTCACGGCCACCACCGTTGCCAACCCCTTCATCCCCAACGAGATCGTCTTCAACCTCTTCCGGGGCTTGCAAGGACTGGGCGCCGCCGCCAACGTGCCGACCGCCATTGGCATTTTGGGCACGACGTTCCCGCCCGGCAAGGCCAAGAACTATGCCTTTGCTGCGTACGGTGCCGGTGCCCCGCTCGGATCCGTCTTTGGCAACCTCATGGCGGGCCTCATCACCTCGTACGCCAACTGGAAGTGGGTGTTTGGTGCCCTGGCCATCCTCTCGGGCATTGTCACGGTTGTCGGCTACTTGATCATTCCCGCGCAGCCGCCGCCGCAGACGGTCATTCCTGTTCGGGCCGTCGCTGCCACCACGACTGCGACTGCTCCTGCCGATGCCAACGACGCCACGTCTCCCTCGGTCGCGCTTTCCGCCGTACCCGTCCCTGCCACCTTCCGCAGCATTGACTGGTTCGGCGCCTTCCTTGTCACGCTCGGTCTCGTCGGACTTTTGTTTGCTCTCACCGAGGGCAACGTCGTCGGGTGGTCCACCCCCTGGATTGGTGTCATCATTGGCCTCTCCTTGCTGCTTGTGGCTGCCTTTGTGGGCTGGCAAATGTGGCTCGAGACGCCCAGCAACGTCCGCAGGCAGATCGCCGGCCACGCCTGGCCGCCGCGGCCCCTCGTGCGCATGTCCATCTTCTCGCGCTCGGCGGGCGGCGGCCTCTTTGCCACGTCGCTCGTCATCATGGGCTTGTTTTTCAGTTCCTTCATGGGCTACCTCGTCTACGCGACCTATCTCTTTCAAGACTACCTCGGCCTCAGCGCCATCCAGACCACCCTGCGGTTCATTCCGACGGGCATCGCCGGCATCATCACCTGCTTCTGCGTCGCCCCGCTCCTCGGCCGCGTCCCGACGTATTGGATCCTGTTGTTTGGCAACGCCAGCGTGAGCATTAGCAGTCTTCTCCTGGCGGTTCCCATTCCGTTCCGCACGACGTCGTATTTCGCCTACGGCCTCGAGGCCATGGTGCTGTCGGTGATGGGCGCCGACACGGCCTGGCCCAGTCTCACGCTCTTTGTGTCCCACGCCCTGCCTCGTGAAGACCAGGCCCTCGGCGGCGCCCTCGTCAACATGGCCGGCCAGGTTGGCCGCGCCATCGGCCTCGCCATTGCCACCGCCATCCAAACGGCCGTCATGGCCTCGGCCCGCGGCGTCTCGGTGGCCAACGTCGGCGGCACCAAGGTCTACGACGAGCCCACACTACGCGGCCTGCGCGCCGCCAACTGGTTCAACTTTGCCCTGGGCGTGTGCTCATTCCTGGTCGTCCTCGTCGCCTTCCGTAGTTCGGGTGTGATTGGCAGCAACGCGAAGCCGCCCGCCCAGCCATTGCGTGTTGAGGCTGCCACCAGATCCTCGCCGTCTCCTTCTTCGCCCGAGCAGGCGGTCGATGTCGAAAAGGGCCTGAGCACAGGTGCCACAAGGCGCACGCCAACCGTGGCTGAAACGTGATGCTATGACGCGAAGGAACAAGCAGAAAAGGAGAAGACGGAGATATTGGACGAGGTCATGACGAGAGATGACAAGCAATCTGTCCGAGAACAATATGTCTTGGATGGCTGTCTGAGAACATATTCCACTGGGGTTTGTGTCCCATGTGTTTCGTGTCTTCCTTTTCTCCTCTGTCTGCGTTGATTTTGCTTGCATTTCTTTTCCTTTCTTTTTTTCCCCCTTCTCTTCGTATGCCGAGTTTTCTTTTCGTTTTCTTTCTTGTGATACCAGCGTCTTCCTGTTATTCTATTCTCAACATCTTCTTTCTCTTTTTCCGGATACGATTAGAAGTCCATGGCATTCTCGGCATGTTTACTTTAGCATGTTTATTCTCATAAATTTTCATATTTGTGTCACACATTTTTCTTATCATTTTTGAAAAAGTTTATTTCAAAGACACATCCACAACAATTAATAGCATGATTATTAATCTCCAAAGTGTCGAGCCATAGTTGCAAAGAGAACAAAAAAACAATAAAATACGGTCATTCAACTTTCAACTTGTTTACTTCCTTTTCCCCTGACTTTACCACGTGTACCAAACCCACGCGACAATGTCTCAGCCAGTGCGCCCATCCATCGCACATCCCCAACGGTGATCGTTTCCTTGGTGTATGTCTTTCTTTTATCATCACGATTCATCTATACTATCATACCACACGATTCTAGAAGATCGTGTGGTATCGTGTGGCGTTTGCCTCTGTCATCTCGCCAAGCTCTGGTCATACATTCGCACGAGTTTCGACATCTACATTAAAATTTATGAACCTTTGTGTCGCTGCGCAATGTCTTGACAGTGCTATTTGCTTCCGAATTTATTTGTATCCTTGAGCCATTTCTCATTCAGGGGTATTTTGTACTTTCTCTCGCATATCATAATATGCTGCACGAATTCTCCTTCTATGGATTCGCTTCAGTATATTGTGCTCCTCCTGCACCGACTCCCGGCACGTCTCCAATTCGACTGCCGTCTCGGCTGATTAAGCTGTCCATGCGCCCAAACGTGCCGCTGCTCAGCCGTGAGAAGCGATCGGTGTTGGCGCCATTGGCACCGCCCAGCCATCCCGGGACCGGCGTCCCAGTTCGGTCGCTTCGCACAGTAATTGCTGGCGAGGGCAATCGAGGGAGGCCCTTGGCGGTGCTGTTGGTCGGCGCACTCAGGCCACGCTGGTGGCCACGACGGGCGCCAAACGAAGCAGGCATGGGGCTTCCAGCACTCTTTTTCACCTGCAGCAACCGGCCGAGTCCTTCGCGTGATCGCGAGAAGGCCGCCCAGCTGCTCTCGTCAACATCGCCGCTCTCCATGGTCCCAAACGGACTGTCGTCCACCTCGCCCGAGCGCGTCCAGTGAGACGACCGTGTGGATGCACGGCTTAGAATGCTTCGGTCAGCCACCGTAGCGGCGTCATCGTAGACGCTGGTGCCACCACTTGCAGGCGTGTCCCGGCCGTCCCCGCCTCCCGTCGACGAGCGTCCTCGCATGTACCGTGACAAGCGGGACATCCAGCTAAGACGATTGGCACGGGTCGGGCTGTGGGCATTCATGCGTCTGGCAGGAATGCCCTTGAACTTTTGGATGCTCATGTATGAGTCGGCGTCATCGTCATCGTCATTGTATGACCCCTGTCTCTGGGGTACTGGGGAGCCCTCCAGTTCGGCATAGTCGGCCACCACACGCTCCGAGGTCGGTAACTCTGCCATAGGCGTGCGTGCCCGGCCAGGTTCCCTGTCTTCCGCGTTTTGATTATGTCGCCGTGGTACTGGACGGCGCCACCGAGCCCATCTCCGGTTGTCGCCCGTCAGGGTACTCCGCCGCTGCCAAGGCAGACGCGGTAGGCTACTCCACCATGCTCGTAGCCGGCGCCAACCAGCCTGCCAGCGAGGTCGTCTCCGATGGACCCAGGCGCCGACACCAACGGACGACCATCCAAGAGAAGAATTGCCATCGTGTACTGGGGGCTCGGTCTTTGGTAAGCCACGCCCTTGCTCGCTCAACTTCTGTTGTTGTCGAAGGTTGCGCCGTCTTGACAGAAGGAAGAAAGACACAATGGCAGCGGCGGCGACACTCAATATCACCGCCATGACGATGGTGGCTGTAAAGGCACTTGTAGGGGTTTTGCTGGCCAATGCATTGCTGGTGCCGTTGGTGGCAGTGGCGCCAGTAGAATCGTCACCGCCGTCGCCTCCGTTGTCAACGGACGGCGTTGGAGACGTCACCACAGTCGACTTGAACGTCAATCCGTGCGACACGACTTGGACAGTACTGGTGACTGGTTCTGGTGTGGACGAGAGTGACGCAGTCGTGGATTTTCCTATGACCGTCATAAACCCGACGGCAGTGCCGTCACTTGTTGCTGTAGATGTTGTTGATGGGGACGACGACGATGAAGACGACGACGATGATGAAACATGTGTGTTCTGCGCAATTTCTGAAGAACTGGTGAATGCGTCCGGTGTCTGTTTGGTCGGTGGCGGTGTCGGTGAAGGAGGCCGTGTAGACTGCGTTAATGGTTTGCCTCCTGGTAGTATCCGGCCCGGCGTCAGTGGGTGCGTTGCCAGTATGGACAAGTCGACGTCTCGAAACCGGATCTGAATGGCCGGCCCAACTGTGATAGTGGCACCGGCACCCGTGCTCGTCTGCGATACACCCCAAACACCGCCCCGGAAGTCGGTTGTGTCTGATGCGCAGGTCTGTCCGCTCGGCACACACCATGCCACAGTCTCGCCGGGAGCCACGGCGGGAAACCCCTCAGTTGTTCGTGGCGTGCCCGTCAGAATGCACTCGTCCCCAACTTCAAAGCCGTCTGGGCAGATAGCCGGCGAGTAGTACTGAAAGCCCTCGCCGGCCAGGTTGCCAGCCCACCCCGGTGGGTCGCACGTTGGTACCGCAACGTCGGCAGAAGGGAAAGACGGGAACTGAGACGGCAGTTTGGTCGTCGTCACCAGCCACGACGTCGGACAGGGAGGTGTGAAGACGGTAGTCAGCGCCGCCAGCGGGGCGGTGCCGCCGTGCAAGTCTGCGCTCATGGTGAGGATGGTGGAAGAGGGGACGACGGTGCGGCGCCGACGCACGCCATGGGAGTGATATTGATGCGATGATGTATGTGCATAAGCTGGTGATGTACGCAAAAAATGAGAGAAAGCAAAGACGAGAGAGGTGAGAAAAAAGAAAGAGGGTATCAAGGTGGTATATGGAGTGGACAATGATAGTCCCATAGGAAAATCTCAGAATGAGACACAAGACGGGGACATCGTGGGTAACAGCTCCCCGATTGTACGAGCAAGGAGTGAGGGGAATAGAGTTCCCCTCCCCTGTCTAGGATCGTGTCAGAGAACCACCCAGATAGCATCGAGGTGTGTGTCTGTGGCAGACCGGGGCCGGGCTGGCCTAGACGACCAGGCCAAAAGACAGGCTCAGCAGACAAGCCCTGTCTCTGGTCCAAGTCACCATCGAGCTTTCCATGACAAAGAAAGCAAAAAAAAGGAAACATGCCGAATCTCAGACCACCATCCACACTAGATGATGGTAATGGGTGGCCTTGAAGTGGGCAGTGAGAGGCAGACACATGCAGTAAGACTCAGGCACAGACCCGGAAACAGCACAGAGGATGTGCAAATATATGGCGAGGGTGGACAGAAACTCGCAGGTCGCCGGGATGCAAAAGGATGGGAAGGGGAAAGCCACAGGCGAGGGTGGCCAAAATGCAACCCAGGACCCGAGACAAGGGAAGGCATGTTTGTGTCTCGACTGACAGCAGGGGAGAAGTGGGGTGTCAGCAGGAAAGGGTGCAGCGTCGAGGCTTTAAAGGGCATCGCGGAGCGGTAAAAAGCAAGTATCGTGGAGAAAACGAGCCTCAGATGCTACACTGGTGACATCTTGGCAGCGCTTTATCTTGACAGGGCAGGAGCCGGTTGCCGGCTGAGGCTGTTCCTGCGCGGAAGGAGCAAAGGAGCAGAGCAGCAGGGCTGGGAAGGTGCATAGAAAAGGAAGGAAGTGCGCCTCGTGGCTTACAAGAACTAGGAACAAAAAAAAGAAAATGTAGGCCGCAGCTCAACACAGGACGGAGCAAAGGTCGATCGACAACGAATCAGGATTCTTATTTTCTGCATTTACCTTCACCATCATTGACTCTAGATGAAAATGAGACGCATTGTCAATCGTCTGCTTGTGTAGAATAGCTGGTCTCGCAGTAAGGCTTGTGAGTGGGCTCTTTCTGCTTTAGGAATATGAGTGACACCACCGCGTTCGGCGCAAATGGAAGGAACGTCCAGTCTATCAAAGATACGACGAGCGCTTCAAAATGGCACAAAAAGAAGGAGATTGTTCATCCTGAGAGGGAGAAGAGAAAATCAAATCCGCCACATCACAGATCACAGATCGCTCAAAATATCCCCGGTCGTCGATGAAACAGACAATGTTGGTACTAGGCGGCCGGGCCTGACTAGACCAACAAGGATTCCATCACAAATGTATGTGACGTTGTCGGCTGGGTCGGTTCTCTATTTTCTTCTTCATTTATTCAACTCTTATTCGAGGCGCTTGCTACGTTTTTAACCTTCGGCCTTCTTATCAGGTCGCATCCGTTCTCTAACTGCACGTTCTGCAAACCGCACTATCGTCGTTATCCCTCATCTAAGGCGGAATCCGTTTCAGTTTCGCATCCTCCCCCCTGCATCTTCACCACCCCTCACTCGATCCTACATCGTCCACAAACCTTGACAAAATGAACGAGAACGGGAAATAGAAGAAAATCAACGCGCCGGCGTCGACTAGCGGCTCTCATTTTTATTTTATTTTTCTTTAACGAAAGTAATCGTAAAAGAACGCAGGCAACAGAGGCAAGAAAGAATCAGAATCGCAAGCCAGACTAGGCTGCGCGTGGCGATCCCAAACAATCTGCTAGGAGTCGGAGGAAACGCCCATCAAGTCCCAGTGCTACCCAATGAGCCAATGCCTCTTCGGATACTCTGTGTTTGACCAGCGGTGTGTATCTGTGCACTAATCCTCCATAGAGGAGAGCATACGGAACGCGTATGAGGTATGTACAAAGTGTAACATTTTGACACATTGGTGCCGTTGTTCCCTCTACAATCAAACAAAAACATGCAGGCCGCCCTAATACTCCGTACCGCTCTGTCCGTGCTTGCTTGCCGCGAATAACCCGCAGACACAGCCACAACCAGGTTCAGGTTTGTCGTTTGAGGTCGTTTTGCGGGTTTTCCTGGTTTCTTTTGTGTTCGTGATTCAAGATGGGAACATGTGATGTGTTTGAACCCGCGGTCGCCCGCCAAGAGGCAAACATACAACACCCAGTCTATCACCCCCCCAGATAAGCTCAGGATAAGGTCGGTACCGCTGGCAGGACCTCTCATCCCCCAGAAGGATCGACCAGGGAGGATCTGCGTATGTGCATCACGTTCATAATAGCGGTGATGCGCTCCGTATCCCAACACATACCCAGAAAGACAACCACAGAAATATATCTCGCTCGTTGTCATACCGCTCTAGGCGCAATTCAAACCATATGTGCTGTATGCATAATGTACGGAGACTTTTGTGGAGCGAAAGCTGTAGTTTTCCTGTCAGCTCACATTAGCTGCACTTGCACGTTCACACTCCCCGTCCCAGAAACGTGCTCTCGCCAAATTCCTTCTCGGCCATTTGGAAGAGTGGCAGCCCACCAAAGTACCCTGCATCTGATGTGCCGATCGCCTTCCAGGAGTTGAGCGCTTCCTCGGGGCCGATCGTGGTCAGTTCATTCCGTCTACCACCAACGGCCGCCTCCGCAATCATCTGCACCCGGCTACACTTTTCCAAGAGGACGAACCAGTTGACCGCCGCCTCGATCGACGCACCCGCCGTCAGGATGCCATGGTTGCCGAGAAAGGCGGCTTTGCGGGAACCCAAGACCTCTGCAATGCGCCGACCCTCGTCCGTCGCCAGCACAACGCCCGCAAAGTTGGGGTAGACCACGTGGTCGTCGTAAAAGATGCAAAAGTCTTGCGTCAGCATGTCGAGTGTGCGCCCGGTAGCACACATGGCGCGGCCGTACAGCGAGTGCGAGTGTGCCGCGCACTGTACGTCCGGCCGTGCCTTGTGGATTTCCGAGTGGATGGCAAACGCGGCGTAGTTGAGCATCTTGTTGGAGCCGCCCTCGAGCACCTGCCCGTCATGGCTAACCCGCAGTAGATCGTCGTCTGTGATCAGGGCAAAGTGCGTGCCAAACGGGTTGACCCAGAAGCTGGACGGGTCGACGGGGTCGCGCACCGTAATGTGTCCGGCGATGCCCTCCAAGAAGCCGTGCTTTGCAAAGATGCGGAAGGCCAATGCAAGGCGGTGCTTGAGCCACGAGCGGTACTTGATCGGGTCTGTGAATACCGGTGGGCGGCCATACTCTTCATTGACGTGCGCAAGAGTTGGGTCGCCGGACACGTCGGCAGCAGAGACTGCACCCTCGGTTTTGGACGATGCGCCGTCCGCTTTGACAGCAGACGGAGCCATGCTGGTGTAGTGTACAGAATTTCGCTGAAGTAAAATCAATAACCAGACGACAAAAGAAGTTCAAATAGAGGCACGAAAAGTATAGTCCATCAAGACAAACAATCTCGCAACCCAATTCGGTTACTTACACTGGTCGCACCCACCCACAGATAGCTTTATCCAGCCAGCAGCCCACACAACTCCGGCCATCTCCGTTACTTCGTTATCAGAGCACGCGGATAGGCAGTCCGCCGGTATTGTGCATACGGTATTCTGTAGTGCATTGTGTGTAGTATGAACTGACCAGGCTACGAGGCTTGATTATTTCGAGAATAAGTAAATATAATAAAAGTATTGATTAAGAAGGCTGTTGTTGGGCGATATCGCCACCGCTGTTTTACTATGCTGGTTTTCACCACGAGTTGCCAAAGTTGAAGGCTCCACTTTAATCCGGAACTCACAACTTCCACTGTTCGCCGTAGAGCTCTCACCAAGCTCCTCATCTTCATACACGCCCCATCGCGTTGACGTCGACACGCGTGCGTAAAGCTGCAGCTACTCATCACCACCTTCATAGCAACACTGTACAACTCATCCTAACCTCCAACACACGCCTCGCATCCATCCACCCTTATAGCACGTAAATATGGGCGACCGCGATTCATACCGAGAGCATTTTTTCAATCACAACTGGAAGACTGTACGTCAAGGCCACCGAATGCCGGAATCTAGTGAAGTAGAGAGCAAAGAACAAGAACTGACCTTACAGGGACCTCCACCGCCGGCTATTATAGACGGGTGCCACTGGTGCCAGTTAAGGGCGTTTCCTACGCATCGCCAGTACCCGGTCACCATCGTCAACAAAACCGGCGATGGTGCGGCACTGCCCAAGGACTTTAAATTTATCACACAGTCGATCTTGACGCAGGGTGTACGTGCGGCCGAGGTGAGCTTCCGCAGCGGGTGCAGCTGCACGGATGCGCGAGCGTGCCGTTACGACGGCTGTGAATGTCTGTCGGACATGCTCTGGGAAGAAGAGCCGACAAGCGACGATGGTGACAGCGAAACAGAAACAAGGGCCAGCGGTAACAAGGTTGGCCGGCCTGCCAAGTCCGTAGGAGGAAAGCAGCAGCGTGTCAAGTTTGCCTACCACAGCCAGGGCGACAAGGCAGGACTCCTGCGCAGCCGCTACCTCGACAGCCGGGAGCCCATCTACGAGTGCCACGAAGGGTGTGCGTGTGCGGCGAGCACGAGCACAGAGGCGGGCGGTATTGGGGCAGACGTGTCGGACGACACGACCTGTGCCAACCGTGTCGTCGAGCGCGGCCGCCGCGTCCCGCTCCAAATTTTCCGCACCGAAGACCGTGGCTGGGGCGTCCGTACGCTCGTCGACCTTCGAAAGGGCCAGTTTGTCGACCGCTACCTCGGTGAGATCTTGACAGCGCGGGAGGCCAACCTCCGTCGCTCGGCAGCTACAATGGCCCGCCGCAAAGACGTGTATTTGTTCGCCCTCGACAAGTTTTCGGACGCCAACTCGCTCGACAGCCGCCTGGCCGGTCCGCCGCTCGAATGCGACGGCGAGTTCCGTGCAGGCCCGACACGCTTCATCAACCACTCGTGCAGCCCCAACCTGCGCATCTTTGCACGCGTCGGCGACCACGCGGACAAGCACATCCACGACCTGGCATTTTTTGCGGTGAGCGACATTGCTGCTGGAGACGAGCTGACATTTGACTACGTCGACGGCATCGTGGATCTGGCGTCGGACGCGCGGCACCACGTTGCCGGCATGACACCGTGTCTGTGCAAGAGTCCCAACTGCCGTAAATTTCTGTGGTAAAGACGCAGTGACAGCGAAGAGGAAAACGGTTTACGAGGACGGACACCAAGCGTCTGATCTTGACAGTATGCATGATACGCATCTGCCTCACGACATTATGACAAGAAATACTAAGCTTCGTCGAGAAAGCACATAACAGCAGGAAAATAAATATTTTAATTCAAGAATCGATACGAAGGCCAGGGTGTAGTCAGCCGGATGTTCATAGCCCGCGTTGGAAGTGCTTCCAAATCAATAAAAATAGAAGTCAGCTCCATGCGAGGCTGATCATGGGATCCAACGTGCAGCGGATTCACTGCCCAGTAATTCGTAGCGCCCACCAAAAGCGTCGCACAGCGCATGTTACAGCAAGCCTTCAGCCGTCAATCGCCACAGCCGCAGTGGTAACAGGTGGGTGTCGCAACGCGCTAGCGCAACCGTGCCCCCAAGCTCGGTCCACGTGGTGACGTCTGGCCACTTTCGAGCAAAAGCACTCCACTTTTCGTCATGTCGCTAAACCCAGCCTGACCTTCAGGCGTCGTTTAGCACCGCCCATTTGCAATACGCCAGCTTCTCCGCCCGTCTACACCGTCTCCCCTCCGTCGCGACTGTCGTCTGGCTTCTCAGTCTCTCCAGCAATGGCTCTGTCTCGGACGTGCGCACCAGGGGACCATTTCTACCCCTCTCGTTGATTCTGTTTTGGCACAAAGTCCTTGGCCGACAATAAGGCACGTAAGGGTCTTGATCACCTGTGATCTACGACCCGTTTTCCACGAGGCTGCACCTGCCGTTGCGCTGTCCTTGCGCGCTCTTGCCGTCTCCGCACGTTCGGTCGCCGTCTAGTTGCTCTTTCTCCTTTGTCATTTTGTCTCCTGTCCCCTTCCGGGCCCTCTTTTCTCAACCCATTCTACCCCATACATACATTCGTACCCTATCTGTGCATCTCGCGATCGCCCTGCCAGCGCCGCCGTTGCGTTCCGCGGGCCTTCTGTCCTTGTTTCGTTTTATCGTCTGTTGCCCCTCCGCTTCTGTCCGTTCCTACGTCGCCTGCTCTCTTCGTCCACCGCGCGTCTTCTCCTTTACCCTTTCAGCCTCGACCGTTTTCTTCGGTGACCATGTTCTTGTGCGAGTATTAGATACAACTACCATCGGACAACAGTCAATATGGTGAGCTCTCCCTCTTCCTCCACACTGCGTTCTCGTCATCCCAGAGCTTGCTAACACATCACCAGGGCTGCTGTTTCTCCCGCCCCGATGGCCCTAACTCGCCCTATCCCGGCGGTGCACCTACTGGCTCTGGCCGCGCCATCAATATCCAAGCTTCTGGCGCTGGTTCGGCTACGTCGGCCGCCGCCGCTTCTCTGGCAAGGACCGCTGGTGTGGCCGGCGCTGGTGCTGGTGCACGAAGTGGCGGCGACCGCGACGGTATAGATGCCGGCGGTCTCTCTTCCTCCTCGACACCCCCGACCGGTGGCAGCCGACAGCTACGAGCAGCCGCCGCTTCTGGCACCTCCTCTTCCTCGACACAACAGCGGCTGCCCGCACAGGAGCTGTCCAAGCATATCAACAAACCAATAAAACGGCGCCGCTGGACCTCCCGCAACCGCGTATGGACCCGGAGCGCCATCGACCGCGAACGCACCGACTTCTTTGATACCCGCGTTACAGGCCGCGCCGAGATCTGGCAGACCCTACGTGCCGCCCTTGAGATTATGTGGGAGGCCGACGTCGTCGATGCAGCAAGGAATGCCAATGCTGGTGCTGAGACCGATACCCAAGCAGCCACCACCGCCTCTCTAGCGTCGCCCACGTCGCCTACCTCACCTACATCACCTACATCACCTACATCACCTACATCACCTACAGCACCCACAAAAAGCGCAGGCTCTACGGCATCTTCTGAAGCTACGGAAGCTCGCGCCACCGCCCAAACTATCCTCGATGCCGCCGACATTACCCTGCCCACCGGTGACATGGCCCAGGGTGCATACGACGCCTTTGGTAACTTTTATGCCCTACCGGCGTGGATCGTCTCTGACCCCACCAACTTGGCCAGCGACCCAGAGCACAACGACTCCGACGTCGATGAGACCAAGGGCGCCGCCCTCGATGACCTGGGCAGCAAGGCCAACCTGTCGGAGGATTCTGACTATGACAACGAAGGAGAAGGCGACGGCGACAACGATGACGATGACGAAGATACGTGTGGCGACGAAGCCCGGCACCGCCTCGATACCGCGACCGCCTCGCCGACAAATCCCCGCCGCCGCCGCCGCCGCCGCGAAGAAAAGGGAAAGGAAGTCGTCAACATCGCCGCCGCTGCCAACCAGCTTACCGTCCGCGCTCGCCTCAGTGTCACCTCCCGCGACGTCATCGTCTCGCTCGGTCGCGAGGAGCCCGTCCGCAGCGTGGCCCACCGCATCTCTGAAAAGGCCAAGCTCCCGCACGATACTCGCGTCCGCATCGCCTACCTCGGCAAGATTCTCAAGGACGGCACCTCGCTCCAGGCCCAAGGCTGGAAAGAGGGCCATATCGTCAATGCCCTTGTTTTCGGGGCGACATAAAGGGCTGTGGCCGTCTACGATTCCTCGTCGCTCGCCTCACACGTTTCTTGTTCACTTTTGGCTGCACAATATCTTCCTATGTCTGTCTTTATTCTGCATTTTCGCTACCAAAATACCCCCATGCACTGTTCCATCATTTTCGTTTTCATTTACAAAGTTTTTTTTATCCCTCGCTTTCTGATCATCTACTCCATGACAAGGATGCCAACGGTCATACACAACCGCAAATAGGGCGGCTACATACTATTTTGCACTATATACCAAATTTGGTCTAAATGTAATCGCTTTTTTTTTTCTCGCTGTTTGTTGTCAACGGCAGCGCCATATCTCACTCTCTCACATATACCCAGAATCAGTGGCCTGAATGCAATATATTCATGACAAAACCGCATTAATGAAACTGGATCACGATCTCTGCTACTTCGATGTACTTTTGTATATTCCTTCTTTCCCTTCTACCCAGGTAATTTTGACTTAGTTTATGTTGCCAAACATCAAAGCGTCCTCCTTTATCCCATCGTGCAAAACATGCCCACTTTTTTTGGTGTCTCCGGCAGCATATGATAAACGAACCCGGAAAGGATAAAGTCAGGAGAGGGAGACAAATAATAATATAAGAAAAATGGAGCTAGAAACACGTCCCTAAAATGACACAAACAGGCAAAGATAAGGAAGACACCATCACCATCAACAGCAATCACCAGCAGCTGTAGCAAAGTAGCAGCAGGGTTGTGAACAACATCAGATTCAATAATTAGAAAGACGGCAGACCAAAAACAAAAATGAAACGAGAGCGCCCTTTTCCTTTTTAAGCCGCGACGCCAATCTTGCTGAGGCCCTTCAGCGAGCCCAGGCTGAGGGCCAAGCCTTGCGATCTGCTGCGTATCCGCACAAAACCCGTGATCGGGCCGTCCTCGCCCTCCTTTTCGATGCTCAAGTTGGCCAGAGCGTCCTCGCCTGCAGATGGTTAGTAGGGGCGTTTTCAACAAACAAAAGTGCAGCGACATGTACTCACCAAACACGCTGCGTGCGTAGAGGTTGGCGCTGAGGAACTGGCAGTCGCCCTTCATGGCCGCCTCGGGCGTCAAGCAGTTCATGTTCGTCGCCTTCATCAGGCCCTCGAGGAAGGCGCGCAGCGTCGGCGCCTTGCTGTTGATGTTCACCTTGTTCTCCCACTCGAACTCGGTCCACATCGACCGGAACTGCGTCTCCGTGCACGTGGCCGGCACAATGTAGTCCATGATGTCCACGTGCAGGTCGTTCAGAATCACCACGTTGGTGTCCGTCGAGTGGGCGCCGTCGTACACCACGTTGCCAAAGATGACGCCCGTGTCCGTGCTCGACACCTTGATCGTGCACTGCACATTGTGGAAGTCGTGCGGCGCCAGGTTCTGCGTCGTCGGCCGCTCCACGACCTTGAGGTCGCCTAGCGTGGCAAACTCCACCGACAGGTTCTGCAGCGTCTCCGTCGTCTGGTTCACCAGCAGCACGTCCAGCACAATGTCGAACTGGTGCACCTTGACGTACGCCTCGACGTACACAGGGTCCGAGAAACCCGTCAGCTGCACAACGCGCGACAACTTGCTCGACAGGTCCTCGGCGCCGCTCGCGTCGCCGCCCGTCGCCCGGTCCAGGTCGGCCTCCACCAGGTCCGTGCTGTCCAGCGTGTTCTTCTTGCTGAGCTGGCGGATCGACACCACATCGTCGACCTGGATGGCCGTCTTGGCCTTCTCGTCGGCAAGCTGGGCAGCGCGCTTCTTCTCCTCGGCGACCACCATGTTGCGGAACGCCTTCCGCGTGTCGTCCAGGAACACGGTCTCGAGCTCCTTGTGCTCGCTGAACTCGGCAAGACTGCGCACCGATGTCATGATGCGGTCCACCGAGTCCTCATCGATTGGCGCCTTGACGAATTGGGACTGACCGACACGCACAATCGAAATCATAATCAGCATAGCCTCAGCGCGCAGCGCGTTGGTGCGGGCTTTGTCGGGCGAAATCTCCGAGTGGCGCATCACCAGCTTGGTCAGTGACGCGGACAAGACAGTGGCGAGGTAGTAGTCGCCGTCGAGGATCAGCTGGCGCAGAGGCGGCTTCTGAGCGGCCTTGACGGCCTCTAGGCGAGCCGCAGCAGCCGAGGTCTGGCTCGTAAACGCAGTCTCGGTGGCGTAGGTACCGTCAGCGAGCACGCGTCTGGAGCCCGTCGGGGCAGCCGGCTTGCCGTTGCCGTTGACCTCCTTGGTCTCCTCATCCGGCTCGCCCTGGTCCAGGAGTCTCTGTTCGGACGCCAAGATGGGGATCTCGCCGAGGCTCGCGCGGATGCGCTTCCATGCCTCGCGAATGTCGTTCTCGTCCACAGAGTATTCGCCGATGATCCAGAGGATGCCACGGTACACCTTTCCCGCGCGCACCTCGTTCAGGGTCTCGAAGAGCTTCTGCACAATGGTAGCGCGCAGCTTGGGGAACTTCTCGACGACCTCCTTGACAAAGTTGATGACGTCGACGGCAGAGGCGTTGTTGAAGTCGGCAACCAAGTCCATTAGCAGGTCAACCACGCTGGCGGCCACTTCCGAGAACTTGATGGCGCATTGGTGAATGCTGTGGATGAGGAGCTGGCGGTACTCGGCGTTCTTCTCATAGTCCTGGTCCACCGTCTTGGACAGCTCCTTCTTGAGGAGCAGGACAACCTCCTCGACGTTCTTGCTCGAGACCATCTCCAGGCCAATGTCGAGGGCCTTCCGCCGAACATCAATGTCTGGGCTGGGCAGCACCCGGAGAACCTCCATGACCAGGTCGTCGAGGACGCCCGGGTTCTTTTTCCGCAGCTGGTCGACGCGGTCAAGGACGATAAGCTTGACGTTGTTGTCGGCCTCCTTGATGCTCAGCTCGATGAACTTGCCAGCGGCAGCCTTGACGGCGACGGGGTTGCTGGTCAGGGCCGTCAGAGACGACGCAGCTTCGTACACGACGGTGGACGTGTTGGCTTCGAGAAGGTCGAAAATGAGTCTCAGATACCGGGCCTGCAAAAAACATTAGGTCAGTATGCGCGCATGCCTCGCGTAGAGGCTAGGCCATGGTGGGTACGTGCCTTGTTGTGACTGTTCTGGACAGCATCCTTGCGGATAAACTCAATCTCGGCAAGCTGCAAGAGCTCCTCTGCGTTCGGCACGCTGTCGAACACGCTTGTGAGGTATGTCAAGGCAGCATCGTGGCTGATACTGGCCAGCGAGGCAAAGCCGTTGCGCTTGCAGGTGGGGTCGGTCTCGGTCTCGATAAAGGTCGCCAGGAGCTCGGCCGCGTCGGGGATCAGGGCCGGCGAGTGCTGGAAGATGGAGGCAATGGCAAAGACAGCGTTCTTGCGCACGTACGCATGGCGGTGTTCGAGGCACGAGCGCGCCGACGAAAGGAGGGGCTCGATCAGCTCGGCCTCGCGGAGCTTGCAGAGAAAACGCAGCGTGTTGCCACGAATGTACTCGTTGGGGTGCTGCAGGTCGTTGCGAATGCCATTGCAGACAAGGATCATCTCCTGCTTGAGCTTGCCAGCAGCGTCGAGCTTGGGGCAGATCTCGTAGTAGAAGTAGAGCAGCTTCTTCAACGGCTTGGACTTGGACGGCATGACGAAGCGGATGATGTGCATCAGGATGCCCGGCAGCGGGTCGCCGTTGAGCATGATGACCAGGATGCGGCGCATGGTGTCCAACTTGGACTCATCGTTGCCCTTCTCGAGCTGGTTCTTGAGGTCGTTGAGGGTAGGGACGTCGGCCGCATTGTCCTGGTGGATCAGGCTGTACGCCCCATCGAGAAACGCAGACATGATGGCGGCAGGTCCGAGACAGCGAGAGTATCGTGGTGCAATGTCCAAGGTCGATCGGGAACTAGATTAGGAGACAGGGGAGGAGGGGAAAGGGCCAAAAAGACGGTGGACGGTGAAAGCCCAATGCGAGGTCGCTTTCCGTGGTTTTGGCAAAGTGGCGGGTCGAAAAGGGGTGGGGGAAACGGTGCTCGCACAAACACGCGCTCCTGGAGGGATTGACTGTCAAAGGTATGCCGCAGCTTGGAGAGAGGTGTCGCGAACCAAAGGTGCGGCGTGGGTGATGGAAGACGGGCGCGAACGGGGTGACGTTGCAGGTTGTGTGAGGCAGAGAGGTTCGTTGCTCTCTGGTCGTGTCCTCCTTCTCCCTATTTCCCAAAGAACAGCGTGCCAAATTGGCCCTTGCCAATTGTGGCCTTGACCCCCCCTTTGCTGGCTTGTGCCTGCTGTGGGGGCTTACAAGCTAAGGCGGTGAGCTGCGGGCCAGGTGGCAGAAACGAATCGGGTTCGAGTAATGTCACGTGAAATATGGGCCGCTGCGCGACACCAGCCCTCAATTCGCACGTTGGAGAGAGTTGGCTTAGCAGCTAAGAGATCATTACCCACACTGTGCTTCGTCGACGACGCGAAAAGCTTCGTGTTTGGGGCTTGCATCTGTTGCTACCTTCGCCAGCGTACGACAGCAGCCACGATGACGTCCACAAATGAGCAGTTCTACCTGCGGTACTAGTAGGTCGATTTCTGGGGGTTCGCCCGAGCTCTTTTTGGTCCAAACTAACACTTCGTTTGCAGCTCCGGCCACTCGGGTCGCTTTGGCCATGAGTTCCTTGGTACGTTTGCAACTGCGTCTCTGCGCATGTGTCTCACAGGCTATTGGCTAACCGTGCTCCAGAGTTCGATTTCCGTGTTGTTGGTGATGGGCGGAGCGCCATTGCGCGCTATGCCAACAACTCCAACTACCGCAACGACAGTCTCATCCGGAAAGAGAGTATGTTTGGCTCTCTATCACCACCCTGCTAGCTTTGTGGCTGTAGCTAACAGTCTTACCACAGTGTATGTCAGCTCGGTTGTTATCGAGGAGATCAAGCGAATCGTCAAGCTCAGCGAGATCATGAAGTCCGTCTCTCCCCTCTACTGACGTGAGCGAACGTTACATCCTAGAGTCTAACAACTGTGGCGCAAACAGGGAGGACGATGCCAAATGGCCCCAGAAGAACAAGGACGGACGGCAGGAGCTGGAACTGCGGATTGGCAGCGAACACATCTCGTTTGAGACGGCCAAGATCGGGTCACTGGTCGACGTGACAGAATCATCGGATCCCGAGGGACTCCGCGTTTTCTACTACCTAGTGCAGGATCTGAAGGCGCTGGTCTTCAGTTTGATCTCTTTGCACTTCAAGATCAAGCCGATCTAAACGACACTCTTTTTGAGAGCTTCTAGCGGACGCCAAAGGGCAGGCAGACGCCCGTACAAAACAAATACGAAATCGATACCCGACCGGCGCAGAGCGGCGCAAGCGACAGGCACTCCTCCATATCGGGTATTGGGACGATAGAGGAATGCAACACATGCAGTTACGGGACATTTATTATACGGCACAACCGAGAAAGGGGATAGGCGATAGAGCACGTCGTGCCTACAGTGTCTCGTCTCATTCATGACCTATGCGGCAAAAGCCGACGGAAAACCAGACGGGTGCAAGAGACAACCCATCCCTAGGCACACGACGTGAACGATCTAGAATAATATATGAATTATAAACGAGATTTCACGACATTCAAATGACGCAGAGGGGGGTGACGCAATACTGATTCAAAACCAGGTCGGTGCTTGGGACAGGTGCAAAAGGAACAGTGCGCGTAGTCTGACGCCTCTCATGTGCTCCCTTTTCTGTGCCATCCTGTGAGCAATATCGACACAAGCGCAGAGACGAGTGCCCGCCTGATATTACTTGTTATATTAACTTGGGCATGCGGGCTGTGATCAAGGGCTGGTGCATGTCTCTTCGCTGGCCTTGACGTCGACGTGCATGCACATGTGAACAGGACTTGACCGGTGGGCGTTTTGTAGTAAACTGGTGAGATCGACGTAAACCAAAACATATCCAACTATATGTTGCACTTCTCTTCAGTCACAGCCATCCTGAAGTGGGGGCAAAACGCGACTCGCATAGATGTTTTAAATCGGAGCCATGAGCCGGCCATATTCAATCAGCCTCGGAATATTAGAGTGCTAGCGATGAACCCCTCTTCTAGCCATAGCTTTGGCTCCAGGCATACTCAGTTGTCATGTTTTGTTCTCGATTTTGCCATGCCTTTTTTGTTTGGGTGAATTCAAGCCGTGTGTTTGGTCTACATCGCGTACCATCCCGGAGGTCCTTGAGTCTGGGCCTGGCTGGGCAGGCCCAATCGTACCCAGCAGCCGCTGAAAAGTGCCCACAAGGCCAGGGCAGTTCGGGCATAGGCGATATCCACAGCAGGCCAAAACAGCTGCATCTTACCTGCAAGTGTGACATACGAAATATGTACGGCGCATGGTAATACTCTTGAGATATTGCTTCCTGCAAGCAACCCTCACAACTCCCACGTCACGCGTATTAAACGGCTTCGGCCTGTTGGGCTCATCTCACTCTGTACAAAGCATCAAATATGTGAAAATGAATGCGTCAAAAATGTGACAGTCGCACAGCATTTCTATGCGAAAACGGCCAACAGGATCAGATGCCGCGTTGGTAACTGCGCCGCGACCGCTCCTTCCCCCGGCAGGGCCTGCAAATCAATGCGTTGAGTCCCTGGGACGGCGAGACGGCATCCCAACCATCAACTGCCTGCTAGGGCAAGAGAGCCCCTCTTTTTTCCCAGTCTCTGGTCCAATGACCCCAGTCGTCATGTTTCTTTGTACCTTCCCCAAATGTGGCCCAAATGTGGCACCTGTGCCTTCTGCTTTTGATGTTCTCTGGCTTATTCTTGCATCTTCCTCTCGTAATCGATGTGCCTCTTTCTCGTCTCCTTTTTCTGCATCATCGCGATCCTATTCGTCCTCTTGCGGCTCTCCCACTGTCATATCCTTAGGACGGCTTCTTTCGCGCCCGGTCCTGCCCTTTTGCCGTCGCATCGTAACCAGACCTCCACCGTCTCGATTTCGTTAGTATTTGCTTTCTCTAGTGATCTTTAGCGGCCTTTTTCGCCCTGGTGCCTCTGCCCCATTTCGCCTTCTCGAACTGTCGACAGACTCACAGCACACGCCCAGCCATTGAATGTCATTTGGCTGCAAAGTCAAAGTGCCCTGCCATTCGTCGTTGCGCTCTCGCCTTTCCTCGCTATCTTCTTCTCAATCACGCCTTCGGCTGCCAACGCTCCTCAACCCCAAACGACTTTATTACCTTACAGGACGGCACTCATAGGAAGCCGTACGACGTGTCTTGCATGTACTTGCATTTTCTGCTGCGACGTGACCTCCTCCGGCCTCGATTATCCCTAGCCTCTGCCCGACTCTTCCTAAATCCTGTTGCTGCAGCCCGAATTTAGGACTCGTATCACGGACGCATCGTCATAGCCGTGCGCCTTCGTCGCTCAACCGCATCCGCCCGTGTCATTTTCAACGACCTTTCGCATTACTGCCGCTGCCGATCTACATTTGTCGTCGTTTTGCGTTTTCATCGGCTTTTGCATCCTTGAAATCACAAAATCCGGGGTTCAGAACATCTACGGCCGGCTGCCCCCTCTCGCGACACTGTGTATAATACGGCGCTGGCCCGTACACTGTCCATCAGTCCCATCCAACCTCTCGTCTCCTGTCTCCAGCCAACTTCTCTTTCTCTCAGCTCTCCGTGACCAACGGCCGACCCGTATCGACGGGCCTCGACGTACAACCGTATCAATTCGCTGTGTCGATCTTTTTCTTCGGCCCGCATCGACTGATTTTTTGCGTTTTTTTTGGTTCTCTTTTGCGCCTTTGGCATTCATCCGCAAGGCGACCCGGTGGCACTTGCGCACCTTGACACACGCTTCTCATCGGCTGATCGCCACCATTTCGTCCGCTCGAACCTCCAAGTGCGTCACTAGATTCGACGGCAGTATCGAAGCCGACGAACAGTCCACGGAAAGGGGCACGACGACCTTTGTAGGTTTTTCCTCGCGATTGCCCGATCTCGGTCCCTCTCATCTTCAGTGCGTCATTTCTATACGCGCCACGATCACTTCTACCGCCTCTACGTTTCTCCTCGCTCTCCATCCGTTCTTTCCGTCCTCGCACCAACCATGCCGACTCCAGCCTCCCGCGACGAAAACGATTCTGTCAACTTCAACTCCTCATGTCCAGATGACCAGGCGCCTCGTGCGCAATCTGGCTGGCTCCATCCAACACAGTCCCCCTACGAAGAGAGTAGTCACTCGCACCACGAAATTGCAATCGCCAGCGGTAGCGGTAGCAGTCTTTCACAGCCGCCGGCCGCAGTTGACGGCGAGCAGTCGCCTTTGCCCGCACCGTCACCACCAACCATGTCGCCAGTTCCCCCACTAAACACCGATCGACCGGCGGCCCCCGAGACCGAATCGATATACTTGAATGCAAGCGAATTGCATGACAGCCCGACGGACCCCGTGGATCCAGCCGACAAGCCATCAGACACAGACGAAGAGATGCCGGACATGCATACCCCCGGCACCACGAGCAATAGCGACAGCCACGATGACCAAGGCGATACCAGTGACTCGCACAGCCGCCACAACATGATACCCCGTCCCAGCCGTCCCAGTGACGTGCACATGCGCAGCCACGAGATTGCCCGGTATTCGATCCCCGAGATGGAGGTTTGGGAACCATATGGTACAAATGATGCCTTTCGGGGACAGGCCGAAGCGGCCCGGTCCGGTGATAACAGACGAGCAGCCGGACGCAACGATGGCTTGTTTCCGGCAGGCATGGACGGCGAGAAGGCCGAGGATCAAGACATTAAAGTCGAGGACGACTGGTCGGACTTCGCGTCTCCGTACGCTGGCTGCGATCCAACCTATCCAAGAGTATGCTTTTCTTTTCCCCACATGCTTGCTACGGCCCCGGCCATCCAACCGCTAACAAACGTTCCCATTCAGCTTATCCCTGCAGCGCCGTCAAAGTTCCTTCGTCCCGGTAGCCGTTTTGTCGGCACCCAGCAATCAGAGCGGCAAGTATACGATGTACAAGTAGAGATCAAGCATGTTGACTTGCGCGAATCGTTTCTCTGCGGCTACTTGCGGATACAAGGTGGGCATACCTTATTTCTTTCGTAGTCCTGCTTTTATTCCAAACCGGATCCACTAACACTCATGTGCAATAGGTCTTACAGAGGACCACCCGACATTGACGACGTATTTTGAAGGCGAGATTATCGGCTCCAAGTACGGCTTCAATACCAAACCAAAGTCGTGGGGCGCCAACGATCGCATTGACATGTCGCACTGGGCCAAGTTTGCTGCATTCCGGCCGTACGCAAAGCAGGCCAAGAAAGGCAACTTCACGATAAAGGAGCACCTGCAAAAAGAAAACATATTCATGCGCTGGAAGGAACACTTCCTTGTGCCCGACCATCGTGTGCGGACAATCCACGGTGCGAGTTTCGAGGGCTTCTACTACATCTGTTTCAACCAACTCGAGGGCGTTGTCCACGGCATCTACTTCCACTCTAAGAGCGAAAAGTGCGTTAATTCAACAAGACACCGCTCGTTGCATCTAAGTAGCACTGCCTTTGCTAACAATGTGTCTAGGTTCCAGCAACTCGAGCTCAAGCATGTTGAGGACAAGGGCTGCATGAGCGCCGTGGAGTTCCGATGAAGGGCGAGACGCTAATGATGTACGACAACACGATTAACCCATCTCGCATGCATGGAACACGTCCAAACCCGAATTGACAAATGGTCGTCGGGCAAGCTGCCACCTACTCGCATACCGGTTAGCCAATGCTCAGCCAACTGAGCATACTGTTTTCTCCGACCTCGTCTCCTTATACGACCTCCCACCGCGTCGGCGTACCACCTATGCATCGTTCCTTTATTCTTCCCTATCCTCATCTTCCTACAATACGACAGTAGTGGCGCAAATTGGACAACTAAACACTTTCTCCTGCTTTTATTGCTTTTGTTTCTTCGCGTTATTTTTATACGTCGTTTACCGGTTTCCTTCTCAGCCATTGCGTCACATTTTTGGAACATTCGTTTTATGCAGCAATTTTTCGAGGTTATGTAACTGTCAGCTCATGGTAGAAAGTTTGTTTTCCTTTGTGTCTGTTTTATTCCTTTTCCACTCTTTTTATATCCTGGAGACAAAACATAAAAGATTGATGGCAGCCTTGTTTCTTTGCTTACGATAGTGGATGGGAAACTGAAATCATGGAAATCTTCGCGTTGCTCTCTTTGTCATCTCGGTGTTTATTTTCGAATACCCTTTATAAATCGCACGCAAAAATGGACAAGCAATTTACCCAAGCTTCAGGTCTATTCTGTGAATCCAGTCTTTTGGTTCTTTTGTCTATAGAATCTCGTCATTTGGGCCTGTTAATCAGGAGCAGGGGTCGGCACCGACGTCACGGCCGGGCCCGGCCTCGAATCTGGCCGTGGTATTGACCCATTGGCCGCCGTCGCGGTGGCTGTGGGTACTTCTGACGCAGGAAGAGCGTCAGGGGTTTCCGCAATTGGATCGGGCTTTGCTGGTGTGCTATCACCAGAACTTGATGCCGCACTGCCAGACACTTCAAACTTGCTAAAGTAGCTCTTCCGGAATGGGTTGAGGTCGTTGGCTGTTTGGCCTTTCAGTTTGGGTGCATCCGAAGCGGCTTTCGTGACGAGTGCCAGTGCGTCGGCGTCGACCTCTGAGTTGGGCAGTCTGCGGAACGTTATCAAGCGTCGAGACCCTGGAAAGTTAGCAGTGGTGAAATGCGGTATACCTGCGTGGGAGGCGGGTGTGGCCTACATTTGTTAAACACCTGAGTACAGACTGAAATGAGTTCCAAGCAGGGATGCGTAGGCACAGGAAGCTCTTGCGCCTCGTCGTTGGCGGTAGGCATCCAGAAGCTGAGGCGGGCGTTGTCGACAAGTGTGTCGGCAGCAAAGCACATGAGATCGTTGAGGAGCGCCATAAAGCTGTATGGCTGCTTCGGCGGGATGAAAGTCGGGTCCCTACAAACCGTTAGTGGCTTACCATGGCACCCATAAATGCTTCCACAGTCCACAAAACGTACTTATACATCTTCTTTCCTGCTTCCACAGCCCACGGCTTCTTCTCGGGGTTCCGGACACCCAGCACGCGAGGTCCTTCACGGACACCGTATGGTGGGTCACAGATAATACCGTCGATCCACCGGTGCTCGGCACCGCGGCGCAGCGGGATGTGCGTCAAGTCAGCAGTGAACACGTCTCCAAAGGCAGCCAGCAGCCCGTACTGCTCAAAATTGCCTCGCACATCGGCCCTCCCGGTGCGGCTTCCACCGCTACCACCAGCGCCATTGATGCCCGCTGCCGATCCACGAACGGCCCGCCCATCAATGTCGCTGCCCCAGGCCGTGGCGCCCCAGTGCGCCGCCGCCAGCGGGAAGCTGCCGGTACCGACAAAGGGATCATAAAACAGCTTGCCAGGCGCGGCCAGTGCCAGATTGGCCGTCAGCAAGGACAACTCGGCGTCCATACTGGTGGTTGCTATATACCGGCGTTTCTTCAGGTCAAATGTGAGACTGGCGTCACGGGCGGTGTTGGCGACGAAGCGCCCCATGTAGAAGTGCTGCGGGTCTGGAAGCTTCTTTTGCACCGACCCAAACGTCCAATGCTCGAATACAGTTAAGACAAGCTCGGGATTGCGCATATCAATGTCGCCATCGAGCGGCAGGACGGCACCGAAGCTGTCGATGAGAGCGAGGCGATCCTTATTGCTGCGCTTGCCCTGGAAAGCGTCGGACTCCAGCTTGAAGCTGGACTTGACATAGGGAGGCCACAGCGGCGCCGCACGTCGACTGATGTCCGCATAGAACTCGTCTAGGGTATCGCCCCAACCCCAGAGGCTGTGTATAGACTGGGCCAGCAGAGAGCGGCGGACAAGCCGTGTGGCAGCATCATCGTCGGCGACCTTGATGACACAGAAGGGGGACTACGATGTGTGAGCGGGGGTTGCGAGTCAACAAACGTAAAACCTAAAGGATAAATACTCGCCTCCGTGATGTAGGAAACAATCTCGAGCTCAATGCCCTCCAGCGTGGCCAGCGCCTGGATCTCAGCGAGTCGAAACGACTCGTGCGACTGGCTGAAGCGCACGAGGTACTCCATGGCGGGCACTGGTGAGGTTAGCTCGGTCTCCTTGCGCCCTGTTCTCTATGAGTAGACTGTGTGGAAATGACTAGAACATACATAAATAGAACACCTGTGCGGCTTCCGCTTTGAAATTCTCCCCGTTCCTTCCTGTATTGTCGTCGGGTTGGGTTGACAACCACAAGTGACGTTAAACTTTTTAGTGGGGCAACTTAAAAATTATTGCGAGAAGGTGCATCCCACAGCGTGCAGCCTTCCCTCGGACGACTCGCTTACTCCCGCGACACTGTCACCAAACTAGTGCTGTCCATTGTAGACGTTCAAACCTTGCGACCACTATCTTTTTGTTGTTGTATTGTGTCTTGCTCGACAGTCGCCGACAGGGCCATCTTCTGTCACGTCGTGTCACGTCACCATGCTGCCCTTCGCACCAGAACCGTCTGTTTTTCAGGCGTCCAAATGCTTCTTTTCGCACGGCGTCATGGGCCATATTGATCCAACTCAACCACCAGCTATTGAGAGCATTCGGCCAGCCCTGTCGACACCGTCATCACAGTCGTCTGCGACGCGTGTGCCCAACACGGCCAAGAAGCTCAAGAAGCCCTGGTCCAGCATCCAGGCGCTCGGCTTCGTCAGTCGGCTCGAGCTCATTGTGCCGCAGACCTGTGCCGAGTTGGTCCAACGCACAATGGCCAAGCATTCTCCAGAATCTTCCGCGCGGCCACGGTATGCGCGGGTGGTCATGACGCTGGGCCAGGTACTCGAGGGCGCCTTTTTCACCGAGTACGTCAAGGCTGGCAACGTCCTGATGCTGTCCGACGGCCGTCTCGGCCAGGACAATGTCTTTTCGCTCAAAGACGGCCGCCTGACGCTGTACCTCGAGCGCGAGGCGTACGAACGCGCAGGCCTTGTGGGCAAGACGCACGGCGCCAAAGGTAGCCGTGGCCTGCGTCCGCGGTGGATCGTCGAGCTGGACCTCAATCCCAAGGCTATGTGGCCCGGCAAGAGCGGTTTTGACCGGCTCATCTACGCGTGCAAAAACGTGTTTAACACGGCACGCACCTGGCTGTTCTGCAACATGTTTGATGGTATGTACACGGGTTTGCATTATTGTCCGTACAAGATCTATATTTCTAACGTCACAGTCCCCAACCCCGATCCTCTCGACGCGTTTGCCCCGACATGGATCACAGTCGAGCCTGCTGTGACAACACACGCCAACATCGCACTGCCGCCACTGATACGCCCGCCCAGTCTCCTTGTCGGTGGTGGTCAAGGCAATGATCGCATGGAGACGGAAGAGGCCGTCACAGAGTTGTATGAGTGGCTCTCGCTCGTGCGACTCGGAAGCCCTCGCGTCCACGCAGCGGACTCCATCGACCCGTACCTCAGCCGCTACCAGGTGCCCGGATCTTCTGGCGACGATCATGATGTGGCAACACATCCTTCTGACAACATAGTCACGATTTCCTGCAGCGGATTCCTCTCGCCGACGTGGGCTTGCCAGACTCTTCTGGACATTCTCATCGCCTTTCAGTCGATTTCCTCTTCGTCTCCCACTTCAGCCTGGCTGTCCATGAGCGTGTCTGGGTTTTCGTCGTCTATGGGTCTGGCTGGCGACGGCGCCGAGTGCACATTCTTCCGCCCGGCCGATGCGCCGCGTGAGTTTCTACTCTGGGATGTGCACAGCCACGAATGACGGCAGGTTATGATGATTTCTGTCTTTTTTCTTTTCTTAAAACGTGGAACACGTCCTCAGTCCTGCCGCGGGCGCACGTTACGGTCCTCGGTCAGGTCCTGGCCTAAGAGCGCATCTTGCACGAGCTGCCGCAGCGCCGCCTGGCCTTGCTCTGTGTGAAAATCGGGCCGAGCTGCCAGCTCCTCAATCCGGCGACGGAGCTCCGGGTCCGGCTGGCCACCCAGCGCGTCGTCAAACGCGTTGGCGCTGCTGCCCTCTCCACCATTGTCGTTGTTGTTGTTGCCGCTGTTGCTGCTTTCTCCGCCCTCGCCCTGCTCGGCGTTTTCCACCGTGGCCACTGGCATCGCCCCCATCGTCACGCGCATGCCCTCGGGCGGCGGCGGCAGTTCTCCCTCCTTCAATACGTCGTTGGCTGCCGCCAGCATCGACTGCAGCCCCATGAGGTACTCTGCCACCTGCGGGAACTCCGCCTCGCCGGCAATCTTCTCGGCCGCCGTCAACCCGTCGTCTCCCCTCAGTGACGGGTCCAGCCCCAGCTCCTCCACCAAGCAGCGTGCCGAGTCCACCGTCTCCACAACAAACAGGGCCGTCTCGTTGTCTTCGTCGCGCAGGTCTACTGGCACTTTGAGCTCCGTCACCAGCGTCCGCAGCAGTTCGAGGTGGTTGTAGCTGGCGGCTGCGTGAATCAACGAGTAGCCATGTTCGTCCTGCTCGCGCGCCAGGTCCGGGTTGGCGCGCAGCAGCGGCAGCAGCGCGGGACTGTTGTCCGCTGCCAGGATGTACTGGTTGGGAGCCATTTTGTGCGTTTTGCGTGGGTGGTACGATGGTTCGTGGTTGTTTTTCAATATGCGGTTACCTTGTTAGACGGTCGGCGATGACGGCACAAAAAAATTACTGCAGTGCGGGGCACGTTTTTGCTGCTTCCACCGTGATTGCCAGTAGAGAGCCCACCACGCGCCGTGGGGCAGCTTCCGTTTTTAGTGGCGTTGTTTGTTAGTGACCATGAGAGTGCAGTGCCTTTGGGAATGAATATATTAGATAGCATAATATAAACAAAGCTTCCGTTCTAAGATTTTACTGTTCAATTTATTTTTGTATTTTCTACCCAAATATTCGTATTAAATATTACAAGGGCAAAAAATAAAAAAAGACAAAAACAAAAACAACTATAATAATAGCCTCTATTAAACGATTGTTCTATGACAAGACTTTACAATATATTATTTGTGCATTCATTTACCATATTTTGATCGTACAATTAAGTACCAGATTCAAATGGGTATTTCTAATTTCTCATTGACCAGGTCAACACAATAATCTCATTTTGTCTTTTTTCGATATTTCGACACTGTTTGTCAGCTACTCTAAGCAATTCACCCTTTGGATTATAACAGAGCAGAATGCTGCTGACTAGGATTCTGTTTTTTTGTTCCATAGCGCTGCTCCTAACATCATCAAGTCCGAAACGCCACGGACGGGGATATTTGCTAAATCAAATCGGTTCTTCGAGTCTGCAGAATAGCATTCCGCAGGATCGCAATGGATGGCTCGAGTCATACAACATTAGTGCTGGCGGATAAGGGTCACGGGCCGTGGCCATGCTCGCCACGGATCTGTTCCTATCTTGACTGATGCTTACATACAGCGTACAAAGCACAGCGTGGTAAGCTTCGTGCAGCAAAGTTGGGGGGTATCGTGCTGGTAAAGGTGTAGGGGAATGAGAGCTGAGTCAAGGTAGCTGAAGCCCCTAGACGTAAAGCGAAGGGCAATGCACGCAGCTTGCACAACGCGGAACAGATGAAGTTTTGCTGTCTAGGTCAGCTGCTCAACTGCTTCGTGCAAACAGCAAACAACATCTCGTACCTCCGTACACTGTAGACCCGTACCCGACAATGCGATCTTGGGACAGATGGCGGATATTCTCTGGGCTGATGCCCGCTCCCGTCGGATAGCAACAGACGTTCGGATGCGGGCCTCGGCCGGCCAGCACATGTCCTACGAGGGCTGGCATCTGTCCAGGCGTGTTTGTACGATCCTGCGCGGTTTGTCTCGATCTTCCTGGCCTCTCATGATTTCTGCAATCACCCAAAGCCTTTTTATAGTGTTTTTTTCTAGTTGACGCTGTACATCGCCCCGAGAAAGAGTAGAACAACAAGGGCCAGTACTTGATTTTCCAAATTTTCTCATAAAGTTAACGTCCTCTAGAGGCCCAATACATACATAGTGAGATAAAATGAAATAAAAATAAAATCGGGAATGCACGACGTACAAAAATCAATAAAAGATAAGAGTTCAATGCGGTGCCTTTTGGAAAGGCGCATCAGGATTTGAGCCCGATGCGGGGGTCGAACCCGCAACCTTGAGATTAAGAGTCTCACGCTCTACCGATTGAGCTAACCGGGCGTGACGCCGGCTCCTTCCTAGGCTCTATCTAGCTCGACCGTGCGGTTCGTTCCTTCCGCGAAACTATAGAAATATTGAAAACTGCTCTTTCCGTTTTGCGTTGTTGTTGTATGTTGTTGACAACTGCTTATTTTCAGGGGTTAAAAAGTGAAAACGGAAACAGTCTGCAACATACAACAAATCTCACATCGACATTGTCGTAATTTGGCTATTGCAACTCATCGGTCAGTGCACCTGCAGCATGCCGGACAGGGTGCGCACGGCTCTAACGAACGGCAGCCCAGATTGGAACGCCAGGGCACGCGCCCTCTCTCGCACACGCATCGACTTGCAAACCTAGTTGATTGCCAATCACACACAACACATGCACACACGTTATGTCGTACGGAGTACGCTCACTGACGAACCATATCTGGGACCAGTTTGTCGTCCGCCCAACCCGGTAAGAGTACGCGGTATTACTCTGTGATTATTCCATACAGAGCACGGCGTTTGCCTGCCGCCTCAGCTTGCCATATTGAATCTGGGCTGGTCGCATGCAAAGGCACGATATCGAGCACTCCCACGACAGCACGAATTTTTGGTTGTTTGAGCTCCATCTTCAAGCACGACATATTACACTACATATTACACTACGCCGCAAACTTGGCTCTTTTACCTGGGCTTTGGGTCAGCCTCTTACGAACTCTGGCCTAGGCCACTGCAAACAGCGCATTACGGAGGAATGACAATTGTCTTTTACAGGGATTGCTTTCGCCGCCTGTTGTTCACTTCTACACCTGTCGAAATTTCCACCCCCTATACCTTCCCCTTCTTAACTAATTCTTCCCTCCATCTCTCGATACCCTTGACACATTGTGTGCGTATTCATGACGCCTCCGTTCAACCCGTGTCAGCTCTTTGTCTCTGAATTTGGCCGTCTACTTTTGTTTCTTTCAGTTCACCTATCTGCACAGAACTGGATCACCTGGAAGCCAAACCGGCAGCGGCTTTGTATCGTGCGCAGTGTCGTACTGTAACGATTTTTGTGGTGCTCTCACGTCCTGGTCTCCTTGATCGCTCATTGTCTCCTCCACTGCTCCTGCTTATTGATTTAACTATTCTCCATCCTTCCAAGCCTTCTTTTAAATTCTCTGAATAATATTCTGTACAACCTTGGATTACATTGTGGGCTACCCGCTTTGCAAGAGACAAGAAAAGAAAGCCCGAATGAGAGCCGACAAAAGGAAGATAGAAAACGACAACGCTGGAAACACACCAGTATTACAACACCACAAAGGCCAGGCGAAATTATGACAGTGAGCAGTCGCTGCCCTACCGAGATTAGGATTGCACCACTAACTCCTCCCTCTTGCCGCCTCCGCTTCATACTACCTCGCGTTTTGTCAATTTTCGGTTTCGACGGCTAATACCTCTTTCTTGTTCTTTTTATATATATAAAAAAATCCATTACCGCTTACTTCCTTACTTCTTTCATTCATCATCGTCAACGGTTGTCAGCGACTGGACCAACCGTGTCGGGTAGAGTTCACGTTTTTTTGGTTCGTTCACACTCACGCGCCGTCCTTATTGCACTCTGTCCTTTGTACTTTAGCTAGCTGCTCAACACACGCCGCACCCCTCATTCACTTTTTGCGCCACTTCGAGCATTATTAGCAACGGAGACGACTAATTGCAGCTGCCTCACTTGACGAGGCTGACACCCGCTATCTTATCCTTCTCTCTTATATGGGGGCCCAAATCACAAGGGAAGCAGAGCAGCAACCTGCAACACGGTTCTGTCTCAGATAGTCAACGTCGACTATTCCACCACGCCGCCGTCGAGGCGAGCGCAGTATTGCGGACAAAGCAAACCAAATATCGACGACTAGCGAACTGGTCACACGAGACAGATCGAACAGAACCCGATACCCACCGCTTTTGCCGGCGGGCTGGTCCTTTGTCTAGAAACGACACGCCGTGACAGAATGGACGCCCCCGGCTGGAACATTAGCACGGGCGCGGGCTCCGCACGTGATGCCGCTGCCGCCGGGGCTGCCAGCGCCTACACTGGCCCGCTTACCGCCCTCCAGGACTTGGCCGATGCCTTGCCCGGCTTCACGGCACGACTGCAGTCCAAGGAGCAGCTCGATGCACTGCAACGGACTCTCCTACAGAACGGCGGCTCCGTCGAGCAAATCGGCATGTCGACAGAGCAGTTGCAGCTGCGCGTGAGCGAGCGCGTGGGCGAGGGCACGTTTTGCGTGGTTTTTCGTGGCACCATCTTATCCGATGCAAGAACCAAGAACAACGGTCGAGCCGTCGCGATCAAATTTGTAGGTTACAGAGGCCATCCGGGTACGGGCGTCTCTTGGTAGGGACGTATAACTGACTGTATAAGGAACTACGGAAAAACGACTCTACACAGCTGCGTAACGAGTTTCGGATGTACAAGAAGCTTGACGGGTGTCGTACGTTTGATTTGCTGCACCCTTACCAAACTGTCTCACATGAATCGCATATTTCTTCTCTCTGACACCTAGCAGCTGGTATTCCCAGGATATACACCTTTGGCGAGATGGACCTCCATAAGGTCCTGGTGATGGACCTTCTTGGCCCTTCGTTAGAGACCCTGTTCCAGGATTGCGGTCGGAGATTCTCGATCAAAACCGTTGCCATGCTGGCCAAGCAAATGGTTGGTTCTGACCACCTTTGCTGCTCTTTTGCGTGTCATGTCCCGACACTAACAGCACCCCTAATAGATCACAAGGATACAAACGTTACACGCACATGATCTCATCTACCGTGATATTAAGCCAGAGAACTTTTTAATGGGCTTGCCGGGAACAGATGCAGCAGATTCTGTCCACCTTATCGACTACGGCATGGCCAAAGTGTACCGCGAGCCGGACACGAACATGCACATCCCCTCAGGAGAATCGCAGTCCCTGTCCGGCACGGCCCGCTATATGAGTATCAATGCTCACTGCAGACGCCATCAGTCCCGGCGAGACGACCTCGAAGCTCTCGGTCACGTCTTTCTGTACTTTGCACGTGGAAACCTGCCATGGCAAGGCGTCAAGGCCCCGCAAAACGATACCCGCCACGATATTATGTGCGAGAAGAAGCAGGCGACCAGTATCGACGACCTTTGTCGGGGCCTACCTCCCCAGTTCTCTGAATACCTCGCTCACACACGTGGAATGGAATTTGAACAAGATCCGAATTACGACTACTTGCGGGGCCTCTTCACCAGGGTTCTAGAAGACCAACAGGCTGCCAATGACAATGTGTTTGATTGGGTCAAAATCAAGCACAGAGAAGACGAGCTGGCAACTGCTAAGAAGCCAGAACCATCCGACACTTGCAGCCCAGCTGCCACACCGATCGTCATGCCTGCCGAAACGCCATCTCATGTTGTCAAAGTAACAGAGGAGCCCCAGCAAAAGGCCGCTGAACCTTCCGAGCCGTTAGAACGGCCTGTTACTCCGCAGCACCCTGTTCCTAGCAGCAACACTCGAGCAGGTGGGTATCGTACCATGATCGTCGTGCCTCCGCCAGCATCGCCGCCTGTTGGAAAGAGACGGCGCTCCGAGTTTACCTCGGACCTCAAACTACCACAGCGCAGCATCCGCTCCAAGAAAACGGGCTATTCCTTTTACGACAGTGAGTCACAGCATACCTTGGCGACGCTTTACCGCGATGTGGTGGCCAGGCGTTACAATTTCCACCGTGCCGTCAAGCAAGGCAGACCCGGCATGTCGTCGGTTGCGAGTGCGGCTGCTGCGGCTGCTGCTGCATTGGCAGTACGACATACGGCAACTCCTGGCATATACAGTCGGCCTGTGGCCCCTTTGCGCGCTATGGGCGGAGCGTTAATCCTCGCCCCAACGTTCACTGAGATGCTCGACACGACGCTCGGAAAGGTGATTAGTGAGCTTGAAGACATATCTGATAAGCTCTTGCAAGACGGCGACTACTCTGGCGCAGCGCGTCTGCATGAGTGGCTCGAAGATGTATCGGCCGCCACAAAAGAGGAAATTCGGCGGCTCCGCCAGGAGCAGGAAAGGGAGCAACAGCGACGGCAAGAGACGGACGAGGCCGCAGAGAACAGATCAAATATTCCTTTACAAGGCCCGGCGTCCATGGCTGTGCCGGACACATCGACCATACCACCGCAAAAACAGACTTTGGTACCATTAGCGGCCTTCGATCCGGCCGACCCGCTAGAAGTGGACGATGGCGAAGACGATGACGGGGATACTGCTTTTGACGAGAACACCCTGCGGACCCAGTTCCTGCAGAGGCCTGGCTCTTCTGCGTTTCCTCGGAGAACGGTAACGCGCAGGGTACCAGAAGTTGCACCGTCTTCGGCGAGACTACCCGCCGCGACGTCTCCGGCCCCTGACTCCTCGGCTGCTCGGCCGTATTCAAGAGGCAGCCCCGCGGCGTCCGTGCGGTCGAGTCTGGGTCACCTTTCGCTCGGCATTGATGCCGATATCCTTGCTGCCGGCGACGACAATGCCGACGAGGGAAGCGGTGACAAGATTGATGCCGACGACAGTGGCAGTAACGAGATCTTGGAGCTGGTGTATAGGACGGCATCAGGCACACGTAAGGTAGTGCGTGTGGCAGGTGAAGGTGGCCCGAAGTAATATAGGATAAGGCTCTGCAGCCTCCCTTCCTGCCATTGCTTTCTTCTTCTCCTTTCGGAAGTCTTACCACCCTCGGCGTTACTTCATATAAAGACATAGCGGAGCCTGGCACGGTTTTACCGGTCCCCGGAGAGGTTAATACATATAGATATCCCACGTTGTTTTACAATCGGAATATCAACTGGCACCATGTTAACCAGATGTCCCCTCGCTTTGCAGTTTCAAGCATTTTATTAACGATATTGTATTCTTTCTACACAATCGCACGATGACTGAAATTGCTATGATGGCCAAAAAAATGATGCATTGGCTTCTTTCCTCCTTTCTACGACCCTCGTTCCAGCGCCCGAGATAAGTTCGCCGCAATAGCTACTTGTACAGACGATAAAATAAAGGAAAACACCAACAACCCGCCAGTAACGTCGTATCCTGACGTTGCCCAATCTCGCTGTGCGACCCCTCCCTGTCACGTTTCTCTTTCGCTGTCGGATTACATAGCCGTGACGAGTCGAGAATAGAGGTCGAGGTAGGTGTCGTGATGTAATCGAGCAATACTTAGGCGTAAAAGTTGACGGTCTGGAGGTAGACGTGATGATTAGCTGGTGATCGGGGACGAGGTGAAGGGGAGAGCATTCAAAAACAGCGGACAAGACACTTACATCCTTCTTTTTGGCCTGCACCTCCGCAATGGCATCCACGTAGTGTTCGTGGCTGATCTGGTTCTTGCCCATGCGCAGCGCAATCATGCCAGCCTCCACGCACACTGCCTTGAGCATGGCACCGCCAAACTCGTCCGTGCTGCGTGCCAGCTCGCCCCAGTTGACGGCCGAGCTGACCTTCATCTTGCGGCTGTGGATCTTGAGAATCTGCGCACGCGCCTCCTCGTTCGGCAGCGGGAACTCAATCTTGCGGTCGAGACGGCCCGACCGCAGCAGCGCTGGGTCCAGCACGTCCACGCGGTTCGTTGCCGCCAGCACCTTGATGCGGTCGTCCGAGGCGAAACCGTCGAGCTGATTCAGCAGCTCCAGCATGGTCCGCTGCACCTCACGATCACCCGACTTTTCGGAATCGAAACGCTTCGTGCCGACGGCATCGAGCTCGTCGATGAAGATGATGGCGGGGGCCTTCTCCTTGGCGAGGGCAAAGCAGTCGCGCACGAGCTTGGCACCGTCACCAATGAACATCTGCACCAGCTGCGGGCCGGCCAGCTTTAGGAAGGTAGCGTCGGTCTGGGCAGCGCATGCACGCGCCAGGAGCGTCTTGCCAGTACCGGGAGGACCGTACATGAGGGCGCCTGCGATTCCGACTGTTAGCATCCAATGCTGCGATTCTCCAATCGCAAGTAACAAGCGAACAAGCGAAAAAGCACGACAACAACCTACCCTTTGGTGCCTTGATGCCAATCTTCTTGAACCGCTCGGCCTCCTTCATGGGCCACACAATGGCCTCCACCAGCTCCTCGATCTGCTTGTCCAGACCACCGACATCGCTGTATTTTTCTGTCGGCTTCTCGTCGACCTCCATGGCCTTGACGCGGCTGTCGTATTCGGCGGGGAGCGTGTCGAGGATCAGGTACGAGTCCTTATTTACACCAATCAGGTCGCCCGGCTTGAGCGTCTCCGGGTCGACGAGGCCAATGAGAGGCAAAAATATCGTCTGTCGCGTCGAGGTCTTGATGACGGCGGACTTGCCGACGCGCGTGGCATCGAGGTCGATGTTGGCGCCCTCTTCTGAGGACTCGGCCGTCGGGTCCAGGTCCAGCAGTTCCACAACGTTGCCGACTAGGTACGGAAGTTGTCTGCAGGGGACGAGAAGAGGGTGAGGTTAGCATAGGCTATCGATACAATAGGGAAGAAGAGCAACAGGCGGGACCTACCTGTTGTTAGCAATCTTCTCCTGGTTGTCCTTGATCTTCTCGACCATTGTCGCCTTCTCGTGCGCCAACCGCTGGAACTCGCTCCGCATGATCCGCGACTCGTTCTCCAGCAGCCTCCGGCGCGTGATGATTTCTTGCGTGCTTAAACTCAGAATCTCCTCGTCGATCACATTGTCCTCCTCAGTCTCGGCGTCCTCCATCTCGGCGTCGCCATCGGCCTTGGCCGCACCCTTGTTGCCACCGTTGCCGGCGCCATCCTTGCCGTCCTTGCCGGACTGGTCGTCGTCGCCGTCTTTCTTCTCGTCCTTGTCTTCGCGCTCGTGGCGCTCGATGTCGTCGAGCTCTTCGAGTGTGGACATGGTAGGCGGTTGTGGGAGAAGAGGTTGTGCGGAGGGAGGGGGAGAGGCGGAAAAAGAGAGTGAAGGTGAGGATGAGGATGAGAGCAATCAGCGGTCGATCGAAAGGAAACCGTTAGGGATTGGATGTTGTGGTGCGTGACGTCGAAAATCGAGATGCTGGTTGATCGATTTCGAGATCTTGGGTGTGAATGCGCAGAAGGTTGGATGGGAGACAATGAGAATTGGCTGCTGGCAATGGAGCGGCTACGGGAAGCTTCCACCTTGTCTAGGCTGGGGTCTGGCCTTGGGCAAGCTGCGAAAGCAAATGCAGGCACAGGCAGGCGCCGTAGCGCGCGTCACCCGGACCCGGTGTGGCGTTGCCGCTAAAATGACAAAGCAAAGCAATAACAAAATTTCAGTCACGTGATGCGATTTATTAGATATTCTGGTCTTCGCTAGTGGTTACATAAGGCCTTGTTTGATATGAATTGCGAGCATTGATTGATGTATAGAAAAGACAGTCGCGAAACGGGCGACAGCCAAGAAAAGGTTTGCGACCTTGAACGCCGGGCCTTGAAAACAAAAGGATACGGAGGAAAAGCAAAGCCAGAGGGCAATTCGCGAACATAAAAAGAGACTGCAACGGAAACGGCAGAATGGGGACCAGAAAATAAGTATTAAGGACGTATCGTAGGGAGCGCAAAGGGGTATGTATCAATAGTGAGCTCTGCAAAGAAAAAAGACAATGCAGGAGAAGTCGGAATGGTCTGGGTTGGTTACTCGTCGTCGACGATTCTGCTCGCGATCGGTCCAATGAAGGGGATTTCGTATCTGCAGGGACAGGGTTAGCAGAGCTTAGAAGATACAACACAATAGCCATATGTCGGGGCGGATCCATACCTGTCGAGCGTGTCGGCATCACGGTACGCATTGAGCGTCAGCCAGCCGATCAGGCCAAGGTCGGCGAGGAACAGGACCCAGCTGAGGAACGACGAGCGGTGGAGGATCAGATGCAGGATGATCGTAAGGGTGAACGTCAGGCTGGCCTGCCATGCATGGAAGCTGCGAAGGAGACAAATGTGTCAGTGTTTGCATGATGATGTACAAGACGTCGCCGCGCGGCCGCAAGACCTACCGAACATAGTCGCTCTTGCGCTCCAGAACCAGAAGCAGGATCGAGCCGAGTGGTGGCAGTAGCAGGTACGCCATGCATGCCTCGTAGTCCAGACGAAGGCCCAGGCTCGTGTCGAACTCGTTGATCACACCGTCGCGGCCATTGTCGTAGATCGGATCGGGCGAACCGCCGAAACCGCCGCCACCGCCGCCCTCGAGATCATTGTTGGCGTGGCCACCCTGCTGATAGGAAAAGTAGCTCGGGCTCGGGATGCTGTTGGACCACCGGCGTTGTGGCTGGGGATGCTGCAGGGGCGGCGGGCTGGCAGCGTTGGAGGTCGTGGGCTTGTTGGGGGAGAACGAGCGCCGCTCGAGCGAGGCACGCGGCGACGTCGCACTGTTGCCGGCCGGCGGCGACATGACGCGCTCGTGCTCAGGCGGCGAGGACTGGTAGGGCGCGAAATCCATGGTTGGCACACGGACGGACGGGACAGGATGGAATAGAATCAAGTTCGGTGGTCGAAAGACGAGGTCGAAAACGAGGCGCGTGCGCAACGCGCTGTGGGAAATGTGCTTTGAAAGACGGTTCTTGCAGGACAATGAAAGTACCGGTCTGCCAGTCGTGCTGGGTATCGAGAACTGGCTCGTACTTGATATTCCTCCTCGATTTCTGGGTGCCTGAAGTGGGACGTGCGATGACGAAGCTGTGCGGAGAGAGACGGTTGATGTGCACGAGAATCAAGCTCTTGAAGGGACTAATTCGTACAAAAGAGTAATACGTCGTAATTACAACCCCCGGTTTCAGTGAGCGCAATGTAAAATACGGGGGGGAACTGCACTAATTGAGCTGCAGCGTCGCGTGTATTACGACGTAGGCTGACACAGTATATTGACAGTGTATATATTATAAGCCGCACTGTTGATAGTCATTCACGCGCGCCGCCAACGGACAGGTTTGTACGAAGTACTTCGTACCATGTTCGCTTTTCATATTTAATAGTCGGATATAAAATATATAGTAATACATTATTTTGAGACAAGACGCAGAGGAGACCGCACGCCCGGATGCTCACGTCTCCTTCTTGTCGTCCTTGGTGCCATCCTCCAGCTGTGTCTTGCGGCTCTCCATCGTTAGCCACAGGCTCTTGCTGGCGCCTTCCAGCGCACTTGTCAAACCCAGGCCCGCGCTCTGCAGAAGAGACACCAGCTGCGCTTGCAGGCCAGCACGGCCGCCTTCGATGGAGCCGACCCAGCGCACACCGTCCATGTCAAAGGCCTGGTTCTCGATATGGCCGCCTACAAGGAGCAGCTTCTGAACGGCGCTCTGGACGAGCGGGTCGTAGTAGCCCGGGCTCTTCTTGCGCGTCGGGGCGGGGAACTGGGGCGGGCTGGGCGACAGGATCGACAGGGCAGCCGCGAGGTGTGCCGGTGACACGTCCGGGAACGTCAGCAGCGCCATGGGGCCGACAAGCAGTGGCTTCAGCTGGCCGTACACTGAAGACTCGGGCCCCGTCCTGCCATCCTGCTCGGCCTCCTTGATGGACGCGTAGGCGGCGTCCGACAGGTCGTGGTTGTAGATGGCGCCCTTCTTGCCGCGGCCGCGGACAACGGCCGCCGTAGTCTCTGCTGTGACGGTTGACGGGTCGTAGAATTCAGCGATGCGCATAGCCACGCTGAAAATGCGCGTGCCGATGACATTGAGGCGGATGTTGTCTGCGAGTGTGTCGGGCCACTGGACGCCCAGCTGCTTCTGCTGCGTGGCCACTATCCGGAGGGCCAAGCTCAGCTCCCGCCGCAGGGCAGACCACTCGGCACCGGTCAGGTTGTTGTGCTGGAACATGAGGATGAGCGGCGTCGAGCGCAGAAGCGATGTGTACGACCTCAGCAGCTGCGACTTGCGGATGTCGGGCTTCTTCGCGCTTGGCGGCTGTGTGGGAGGCACGTAATCGGCGGGCAGGGTGAGCTTGATGCCCATGGGCGCGCCCGCGGCACCAGCGGTCGCATGTGCGCTCGTACTTGTGTGGAAGCCGGCAACAGGCTGTGCTAGCCTTAATCTCAAGGCCGTGGGCGGAGGAGAAGAGACAAAGGACGAGGCTCGGCATGGCGACGATGCGCTGCTTTCGGACAGACACCGCCCGAGCGAGTGTGTCCAGCGAGAAGGAAGCCGTGCCGGCATTTTGAAAAGGGAGGGAGGGACAGTCGAAGCTAGCGGCGGTCGTGGGCGGCTGGTGATGCAGATGGTCGCATGCTCCGCTGCGATGAAGCTCTTCGATGCGCTTGCCTCTAAAAATTCAATCTGACTTCCAGCCAGTAGCACAGGCCAATGCGAGTATCCACTTTACTGGCCGCAAATGCAGTTTTGTCAGGAACCGTCAAATTGCCGCGCCTCACCGCCCGATGACTCCCAAGCACCTACCCCCCACGTTTTGGTAGCTATTGGACCCCAATTCGGGCCTCCTGAAGATTTGGGGTCGCACCAGCTATTCGAACCAACACCACGAGCCAAGAGCTCTTTGTATTCCGGATTCTATCGTCGTACTATTTTTCTTCTCGATACGACTTTCTAAGTTTCCCCTTCTTTCTCGTTGCGCTGCGTCTGCCGAGAGACGGAGCGACACTGCTGTCGAAGGCCGAATACGGACGCTAGAAACCACTGCAATTAGGACGCTATAATACAACATAGGGGACAACAGCGATTTGGACGGTTTTGGCAGCTGGACACATCGAAGTCTGTGATCGGCGCTCGCAACTTTCTCCACCACCACGGACCATTGACTCAGGCAGGTTCGTTGGCCATTTACACACGAGTTGCACACCGCCAATATGGCCTCACAACAAGCTGGCGCAGCGGATGCTGCAGACGACATCATCGATATCAAGCCGATCCTCGGCCGCCTCTGGCCCCTTCCGGAAGCTGGAACGCCGCTGGCCGAAGACATTGCCGATGCCGTGGCCCTCTTCTTCACGAATCGTGTCTCGGACGTGCAGGCCGGCTCCCTGCTGATGTGCCTGCACTTCACGGGGCTCGACCGCCAGGCCGACGTCATGGCTGCTTGCGCCGATCGCATGCGAAAAGCCGCTGCCCGCGTCGACCCGGCGCCGCTGCTCAAGATCGCTGCCGAGAAGTCGCTGAAGCGCGGCAAGTACAACGGCGGTCTGTGCGACATTGTCGGCACCGGTGGTGACTCACACAACACCTTCAACGTCTCGACAGCGTCGTCCATTGTCGCCTCGGCCTACTTGCGCATGGCCAAGCACGGCAACCGCGCGTCAACGAGCAAGTCCGGGTCGGCCGACCTGCTGGCCAACCTCAAGCACCCGGGCGACATTGAGAACGAGTCGACGGATCTGGTCGCCAACCTCAACTATATCGAGCCCGCCACTCTGCCCTCCATCTACGCCTCCACCAACTATGCATTCCTGTTCGCACCCGTCTTCCACCCGGGCATGCGCTACGTCGCGCCCATCCGCAAACAGCTGCCCTGGCGCACGCTGTTCAACCTGCTGGGCCCCTTGGCGAGCCCCGTCGACGTCCGCGACACCCCCGAGAGCGAGTCTCCGCTCGAGACCCGCATCATTGGTGTCGCCCGCCGCGAGCTGGGCCCCGTCTTTGCCGAGGCACTGCGCATGACCGGCGCGCGCAAGGCCATGGTCGTCTGCGGTGCCGAGGAGCTCGACGAAATCTCCATTGCCGGCCCCACGTTCTGCTGGTACCTGCACGAGGACACCGCCGGCAGCGACGTCGTCATCGACCACTTCCAGCTATCGCCTGCCGATTTTGGCGTGGCCGCCTGCCCGCTCAGCGACGTGTCACCCGGAAAATCGCCCGCCGAGAACGCCGCCACGATGACGAGCATCCTGCAGAACCAGCGCCCGGCCAACGACCCGCTGCTCGCGTTTGTGCTCATCAATACGGCGGCGCTCATGGTGGTGGCCGGCCTGGCAGAGCCTGCCGACAGCTCGGCGCTGCCCGAGGACCCAGAGGTCGTCACAGAGCGGGGCCCTGGCGGTCTGCGCTGGAAGGAGGGCGTGCGGCTGGCACGGTTGGCCGTCAGCAGTGGCGAGGCACGGCGGCAGTGGAAGCTGTTCGTGGAGGCAACAAACCAGATCAAGCCCTCGTCGTCAGCATAGTATACGGAAGACTGCGATCTTTGCCTTGAGGAACATGCACATATATCAAATGTAAATCAATGAAAATGGAGCTTTTAGTAATGCTGCTCTAGTTCCCAGCCATACAATGTTCCTTTAAACTGAACCAAGTGACCTGCATCGCTATGAAGGTGGTCGCGGAATACAAATCAAATACACAACGCTGCATCCGCACGGCTTTAACGGGACAAAACGCCACGCACAACACCGGGAAGCAGGGGCTGCCCCTCAATCACAATGTCCGTAATGCCGTTCGTCTCCGTGCTGCCCTGCTCTAACCAGCGGGCCAGCAGCTCGTTGCTCTCCTTTGGCTTGACGCTGTCGTCGCGAGTCCCCACCGTGATGTGAGACACCTTGTTGACACACGTCCAGTTGTCCTCTGCACCCCCGCCGCCGGCCTCGGCCTCTTTGCTCACCAACCGTACCACAAATGCCATCAGCCGGTCATCAAACACCACGCGCTCCAGCTGCACATCCACCTCACCCACCTCGGGCGGTGTGCCGTTCACAATGTATGTCGGGCCACCCGCTGCTGCTGCAGCCTCGGCCGCCGCATCAGCATCCGCATGCAGCTTCTGGTACCGGTCCCACAGCTCCGGGCGCTCCTTGGCACTAGCACGGTGCATCAGCGTCACATGGAAGCTGGGCTGCACGCGGCGTGTCTGCTTGAGCTGCTTGTAGAAGCGGGAGGCGTCGGCCGGCTGGTTCTTGAAGGTGCTTTCGAGCTGCGCGTTGACATCCTTGCCCGCGACGTGCACGGCCATGTACTCCAGCGGCTTCTTCTTCACGGCCGCTTTCGGCGGCTGGTTCTGCTTCGGCGTCTGGGAAGGGCCTTTGTTCTTGCCACGGTCGACAATCTCGTGGCGCAGCGTAGGATTGTATTTGCCAATCGCGGCCGCAATCGCCTCGTCCATCGCCTCGGCAGACGGCACCTCCTTGACCAGGTTCGGATACAGGTTGTGCAATTGTCGAACCACCGTCTCCAGGTTCGCACGACTGCCTGCTGTCGGGGACAGGTCAATCACTGCATCAAAGCCCTCATCCGGCGCACGAGAGAGGTCCAGCGGCTCAAACCGCTGAATGAAGCCCTCCATGATGCCGACCACCTTGTTGGCGTCGGTCGCGGCGTGGATCGTCTGGTGATTGTCGCCGCGCGCAAACACACGCTCGTGCGTAATGGCACGGATCGCATCCACATCGTCGTGAACAAAATTGAGCGCAACCATAGTCGCAGACAAATGCATGTGCTTAACGTCGTGGAGAATCTGCTTCCGCTCATGCTTCTGTGCGTTGTTGCGGTCCGCAACAACCGCCGGGTGGGTCTGAAGCTCGTCCAGCACCATGCGCGTAAACCGCGGCGGCCGCTTCGTGCCCGTAATGTTGTCGTTCTGGATGTGGCCGTAGCCGAACAGATGACCCAGCGCAATGGCCAGCGTCGTCTTTCCGCAGCCAATCGTGGCGATGGGTACGAGAATCACGTCCTTGGTCACCTCGGTCTTGCTACCGCCGCCGTAGACCTCCTCAAAGTTGGCAGCATCGGTGCCGTTCAAGTGCTTGAACGCCAAAAAATCTTCGCGCAGCTGGATGATGCCGTGGTTCTTGTTGTACTGCCGGCCCAGCTTCGGGTCTGCTGCAATCCGCTTGCGCGCGTACATGAGGTATTCCTGGGTGATGGCCTGGTGCTTCTTGTAGCTCGGCGTCCGTCCCATGATCAGCGCCTTGGTACATTCGCGCCACTGGCGGTACATGAGATACGGCTCCTCGAACTTGTACTTGAAGAACCAATCCTGGTACGGCACGGACTCGGGCTTTGGGGACATGCGGCACCGGATCACGAAACCTTCAACGTCGCGTCCATCGTGCGAACCCGTCTCGGCTACAGACTCGAGAAACGTCCGTACTTCAGATATACTATCAATTACCTTGAGATCTGTCTTGATGAAACCCCAATGTTCCGCAAAATTCTGCACCAAGATGCTAGGATACGTCCGGAACTCTGGCAGGTTGAGGTTGATGCCGTGCAGGTAGAGGCCGGCCTTGTCGGGGCCGTAGGCGAGAATGTGCTCCTCGAAAGAGTCATCGCAGAGCTCGGCCACGGCGGTGACGTTCCGTGAGTACAGCTCTCGTGCCAGGTCCTGCTTCGTCTTGCCCAACCGTTCCAGCTGGATCTGAATACGCGCCTCGCCAGCGCTGGAATGACTCAGCTCGACGTCGCCGCGGTCGCCGGTGGAGTGCTTGCTGCACACCAGCAAAGTGCCATCGGCAAGGCCAGACACGAAGATGATGCAACCGTTCTCCTTGAGTGTGATCTCATAGGGCCCCTGTGTGCGCTCCTCAATGTTTTCCCACCGAGTCTCGTGGACCTCGTTGATATTGAAGAACTTATCGTAGCCGCGGATGGCAATAGACGGCTGGCCGTGCTTGTTCTTGGTCGTGAATAGGCCACGTGCATATGTCGGCAGGTCGCGCCGCTTGTAGTCCCAGTCGTTCATCTTCCATGAGTCGACGTAGTATCCATCTTCGGAGTTGCTGACGGTAAAACGCGTCTTCTTGATGCTAAAAGCAGAGCGCTTCTTCTGCTTGACTGCCTCGTCCAAAATGCGGATGACCTCTGCGACCTCCTGAACGTCCTGGTCCTTGTATGGTGCCTTGGGCAGTACCGGAGATGATGTGGCCATACCGGCGGCGGCAGTCTCGATATGTGTGCTGTCCATGCTGATATGTGAGCCGGTGTGTGTTGTCCCTTTGATCTTCTCGAGCAATGGTGAGGCTGATGTGTGAAAGAGCCCTCGTAGTACACACGGCGGCAATAAAGAGCTCGCGGGGTAGGGAGAAAAGACCGAGAAAGAGTAAAGACGGTCCGAAGTGGCGCTTCCAATGGTGTTGTTTGTCTTGAATGAACTGAAAGAATGAAGCAGACGATGAGAAGCAACGATGTCACTTCTTTTAAGTCCAGCAACAACGTTTGCACAGCGACTCAAATGCATGTAGAAGCTCTCTCCATTAGCCGTGAGCACTGGTCAAAACGTCGCTCATGTGGGACAAGGCTGCGCCCCTAGACCTGTTGGCCTCAATACCCCGACTTGGTCAAATATGCGTTTAGCCTCGCAGTATTGGACGATTCGTTGGTGAAGCTTTGGCGGGATCGCCTTCTCTGAGTCAAGCGGTAAAAGAGAAGGATCCTGTATCTTATTCCTAAGGCAGCAGCCAATCACACAGCCGTGTTCCTTCTGTTTTAAAGCTTTGTGTTGCTTTGTGCTGAGGCCAATCGCTCTTTCCTGGTCTTTGAAGAGTCACAAGCAGGCTGAAGATCTAGTAGGCTGGGCCTCGAAAATAAGGAAGCTGCTAAGAGGCTCGGGCTGTCCTCGAGGGTTGAAAATTTTAGCGCGAGGCAGAAACGAGAAGCCAAAATTGTGGGCCTATTGGCCAGGGGAATCGGCTGTCAAATATGGCCGGACCTTTGTGCCAACGGCGAACGGTATCGCCAGCGAAATGTACTGCATATCTGCATATCAATTCACTACAAATGACGCGAATATCGTACGTTTTCAGGTACAATATCACTTCATTATTTTTATCCAGAACTGTTCCACACAGTCTACATTTGTCCGGTGAAGAATGCCCCTCAATATAATTGTGTTTTGATCTCGGCACTCCGTTTTGTAAAAATTGGTATCAATATCATGTGACTTATCACGTGCTAATATTTGTCTGTGCCGTAATATCACAACAATTGCACGACACGCACTTGCCGCATCTGCTTATGACCAACATCGATCATTACAACACGACGACCGGGAGTGCTGTTAATTAAGAAAGATGTTGAGAAGCTTTGTTTTTATCTTGAGCTGTCACAAGCAATTTTATGACGCGCAAAGGAGCCAATTGCAGTGTATTTCGGCCCCTCTTGCGAAATACCGGTGGAAAGTATGTAGGTGACGTCATGTGGTACCCAAAACAGCAAGCACAACCAAGCTCCTCTCGATCGCCCCCAATCGGTGCGCAAATCGACGATTCTCACTGGCGCTTGTGGGAAGGTGCGATGCAGCTCTTTCCCCAGTTACTGGCAGCTCCTACCTAGTCTGACCAGTTTTTAACCATCACAGCAGTCCAGTCAGCGCGCGAGACAGTCGGGGAGAAGTACCACGTCATTGAAAATTGGGTTGATGATACAAACAACAAAGGGAGGTGGTCCAGGCCAAGAGCCAGAGCACCAAATGCACCTTCCCTCTGTGTGACGTGATTGATTCTAGCCTTCCATTTTGAGAGATGCCAGTCATCATCACTTGAGGCCCCTCAATAAAACTGCCCTTGCCCCCTTCCTCATCCCTCCCTTCCCCAAACGCGTCCCTTCATCGTTTTCCTCTCGATAGATGGTAAAATTACAGAAACATACTTTTCTACAAACATTTAGAGCCTTTCATTTTCATCATATTCCTTACCACATCACCAAAACAACACATTTGAAGCTCCCCACCGGACAGCGATGAGATTCCTCAAGGCACTTCTCCCTCTTGCCATTGTGGCGGACGTCGCGATCGCGGCCGACAGCTGGCTGTATCGTGCTGGTAAGTTTTGTGCCTCTCAATTGGTATTGAATAGAAGCGCGCCGCTACGACCCAGGCCCTACCGATATGAACCTGGATGCTAACGCGCCGCCAAAGCCTACAACAAGTGGCATGAAACCGAGCTGGAGCGGTGGCTCTCGGATCACAACATCCCGTACCCAACGCCGGCAGATCGTAAGGACTTGACCGATCGCGTGCAAAAGAACTGGAACAGCTATGTCGTGACACCATACAACAGCTGGGACACGAACCAGCTTGCTTCGTATCTCAAGCTCAAGGGCATCGAGACGAAGAATAGCGCCGAGACGGACAAGAACAAGCTCATCTCCCAGGTCCAGTCAGTCTGGACCGAGACCGAAGACAAGGCCCAAAATGCGTATGTCGACGTAAAGGACTGGATTCTGGACTCATGGAGTGACAGCCAGCTCAAGTCCTTCTGTGACCACTACAAAATCCCTGGTATGTCCCCAGTCTGTACAGAGCTCTTTCATCCAATACGTAGTACTAACGCAACTATAGTTCCCCAGCCTCGTGAGCGCGACGTGCTTCTCAGAAACGCTCGCCAGAACCTCGACTCGATTGCCCAGAAGTCGCACCAGACCTTTGGCTACCCCGGAAACTGGCTTTACGACACTTGGACTGGTATGGCACCCGGTACTCTTGTTGTAGATACGTTTCGATGCGAAAGCGAATGATTACTGACACTACTTTCCAGAGTCGGATCTGAAGAGCTGGCTTGACACCTACGGTTACCCTGCTCCGCAGCCTTCTACTGTACGTATTAATGAAATCTTGCATGCTGTCCGGTGTCATAATATAAAATATCTGACAATACCACCCGCAGCGCGACAAGTTGATTTCTACGGTTCGCCGTAACTCTCATCTGGCCTATCTTCAGATGCAGGACGAGTCTGCGCGCCTGCAAAAGGCCGCTAAGGCTGCCTACGAGAACTTGTCCGACACCCTCCTGAACAGCTGGAGCGAGTCTGAGCTCAAGAACTTTTGCGACAAGAACGGCATCAGTGGTATGTTAGAACGAGACTACCCATCGACAAACTTGTAGAACTACTACAGAGTGCGTACTAACACACATTCTTCTAGTCCCTCAAGGTAGCAAGGTCGACGAAATTCGTGCTCTTGTCCGCAAACGCCGTGCCGAGGCGCTTGACGACACCGTTGCCGCTCGCTTTGGCGCTGCAACCACTAGGGCTGGTAACGAGTTCGCCAAGGCCACGGATGCCGTCTCTGAAGCAGCACGGGCCGCATTTTCCAACAGCGTCGACAGCTGGTCGGACAGTCGCCTCAAGGCGTTCCTCGATGCCCGCGGTGTGCCCGTTCCCCACAAGTCGAACTCTGACCAGCTTCGTGCTCTTGTCCGGAAGAACGCGCACAAGGCTGCTTCTGGCTGGAGTGCCTGGACGTTTGACGATCTTTCGTACGACAACCTCCGTAATTACCTGGTCTCCACTGGCGACGACGCTGCCAAGAAGGTCGCCGAGAAGTCGGACGCTGCCCGTGGAGAGCTGCTCAAGGCGGCCAAGTCTTACTACAACGCTGCATCTAAGGCTGGTGGCGACAAGTATGCTACCGCGACCGACTACTTGGCCAAGGCAACCGAGACGGCTAAGAACGGCGTCTTTGATACGTGGAGCGAGAGTGAAATCAAGGCTTACCTTGACAGCTACGGCATTGTGCGTATTAGCCCGTTCAGGATCACTTTTCCTGTTTTTGTTTTGTTCTTTTTTTTTTTGCAAAAAAATGTTGCTAACCAAGTTTACAGCCTGTTCCTCAGGGCAGCACCGTCAACGAGCTCCGCGCATTCGCCCGCCAGCAGGCCACCTACTTCCGGTACGGCACGACCACGCCTACGAGCACGCTGTTCGCCAAGGCATCTGAGAGCTTCTGGAACTCGGTTGACTGGATCAAGGCTCAAATCCAGCTTGGTTCCAGCTATGCCCAAGAGAAGGCCGGGGACTACCGGAAGAAGGCCAACGATGAGCTGTAATGGGCAGGTGCCAGCATTTTAGCTACATGCGGATACCTTCAGGAGGAATTACACGACCCTATCCAGGGTAAAGCGTGCAGATATGCGCAATGGGAGACTGGAGACTCGAAAATGAAGGCAGCAGCTACTGAGGGTTTTCGACGCTTGTTTACATTTGACGGTGGAGATTGCAACGGCACGTTCAGAGACTGTACACGACGTAGGACCAGCACATTTCGGTGCAATGTTTGACAAATCCGGTGGCAAATTGAAAAGTGCCAGGATCGACTTCGTAGATTATTCCATTTGACTTTTTTGTTAAATTACTTGTGCGTTTCATCTCATCTGTTATGATCTGGTTGAGCTGGTCGCTCTTGGCATCTTTATTTTCTCCGAGATGATAGGAGTCCCGGTATCAAGAGCATTCATGTGTGATGGAGCACGCTTCCCTCCCATCGCCGGCCCTTTTTTTTCTTTCTTTTTTTCTTTCAAAAAAGGCGCTTGACTTGTGTATTGAGTCCGACTGTTGCCCGTCGTGTCGTAAATAGGCAAAAACGTCACTTTTGTCGATCGCACGAGGCTTGAAACTCAAAATGTGGCAACAGCCACTGCCGAGATATCGCGGGTAAGGTAAAGAAAAGCAAGATAATCAATCAAACATTGGAGTTGAAGGAAAGAGGACAGGTCCATTGATTCCGTGCGGCGAAATAGCATTCATGCCTTTGTTGTATTCCTTCTGCCAACAAGCGATCCACGATGACTTGGGTTCCAGTGATGGCTCCCATGCGTCGTCTTCATACTTTCAATATCACAATCATAACCCGCCACTTATTAGACTTGACATACTCAGCTTGCCTATCTCGGCGTTGTTGCCCCTTCCCGGATCCCGAAGAGGATCACCAGTTCTTATCAATTCCGTTCCTCAACTCTAAAACACCCCTGTCTTTTCGTCATTATTGCTGCGAATCGAGCATCTGTCTCGGCGTGCCTGTAGACGGCTTCGCAGTAACATAAAAGACCCTCTTCCCTCATCCCACACCTGGTTTGTCGCTGTTGCTTGCGCGAACAGGTCTCAAGCTCATTCAGGTGCCAAGACACTATTTCCATTCCTTTTATCAATCCAGTAGTCTCTCCTTTCTATATACCTTGTCCCTTTGAGTTTCCATTTTCGACTCAATATTCAACCATTCTTTACAGTGCCGGCCACTCTTCATACATTTCCTTTAGTTCTGCCGATTCTTCCAACAAACCAACACAATTCGCAATGAAGACGTCCATGGCCTCTACCGCTGCGGTGGTCGTCTCTCTCTTTGCCGCCTCTGCTGCGGCGCATGGCAACATCACGTCCCCTCCAGCGCGCCTCACCGGACCGGGCATGGTTGCGGCGTGCGGCCAGACGGCTGTCGATGCTGTCCTGAAAGACGGCACCATTCCACTTGAGGATGTCCTCTCGCCAGCTGCAGGATGTACGTACCGGGGGTGAAGACACGACCGGCCTGTTTGTCTTTTTGGTCGACCAACGCTAATATGGAACCTTCAGGCCAACTTGACCTCTGTCGCGGCGCTGTTTTTGCAGACAACACGGACCGCCTCCAGACGTTCCAGCCGGGCCAGCTCGTCAACATGACGGCACAAATCCCCATCTCGCACGAAGGACCCATGAACGTGTCGATTGTGTCAACGGCCAACAACAGCATCCTGGCGACGGGTGCCAACCTGATTGTGTTTGACAGCTACGCCGACGAGAGCCTGCCCGCTCTGCCGGCCAACAACACGGCCTTTAGCGTCACGATTCCGGCCGACATTGCCGAAGACGCCTGCCTTGTGGCGGGCGATTGTGTGCTGCAGTGGTTCTGGTTCGGCACGAATGCGAAGCAGACATATGAGAGCTGTGTCGACTTTGTCATTGCATCTGTTGACCAGGTCTTGTAGAGAATACGGGTTCAGATGACGGATTACTTTATTTTCTATGGGTCGCTTGCATGAATTCTTTGATACCAGTTATATCACGAGAGCAATAGACTACTTGTACATTTGTTATTTTGGGGTGATTTTATATTTTTACTGTTGATATAAAGTACCGATAAGAAAAAAGAAAGAAAAAAGTTGAGCCAGACTTATTAATGGACTTCACCGTCAAGATTGAATCGTGCACAAAGCAAACGAAAGTAGCAATCAAACAAACAGCTTATGCAAAAACAAACAGACCGTCAAGCTCCTCCAGACTCACATCATCACCAAAAAGCTCCGGGTGGTCGTCGCAGAGTGATCGCATCAGATTGAGGAAACCCCGTGCGTGGCTATCGGGACGGAACCAACAGCAGTGGCCAGTCGTCCGCTCGGACTGTAGCTCCTTCTCCTCCGAGTACTCTCGGCGGTAACAGACGGCACAGGCCTCAATGGAGGCCATGCCGTTATCCTCAGCCTGTGAAGATACCCCTTTAAGGAGTATGGAACGATGACGGATGCAGAGTCGAACCAGAAGACGGAAGAACCGAAGACGCTCTGGCTTGGGCGCCCGCTGGCACGTAGCCAGGTAGACATAAAGGCGGTGCGCCGTGTCCCAGATCTCGGTCTCGGCCGACGTATAGCCCCGGCCCTCCGTGCGAGCCAGGAAGGCGTCGGGAGACAGATTGTTATGGAACATATCATCGGCAGAGAGAAAGGAGGCGGTACGGGTGGACATGGAGGTAGAGACGAATGAGGAAGAAGGGAAAGAGGGTATCTCACCGGTGGAAGACATTTTCAGAGACGAGTTTGGATTGATTTCTCAAAGGATAATTCGTTGATGGAAGAAAATCAATGAGAACGGAAGAAGACTGCGAGAAAAAGCTCTGTTTGAAATCTTGCGTTGGAATCTCAGGAAAATGTCTTGTACAGGTGTGTTGGCCAAGTGTTGAGTGAAGATCGAAGTGTGACTGGAGAGAAAAGATGATATTTTTCAAAAGAGGCAGAGGAATGAGAGCATTTTATATGTTTTCTTGCCAACGACGCGAAAATTATGGGAACGACCGTTTTGTTCAGGATGCTGTTCGCTTCAGGGCGTTAAACAAAGAATCGTACACAGACCAACAGCGCTCACTTTATGAATGAACAGGCATTTTTGTTCAAACTAAAACATTTTTATTGTTTTGTTTGTTCGCTTCCATGAACATATTCGATATCCCTGTTCTCTCTAGAGCACACCTTTGATCAAAAAACCTTCGTTTGTACAGGTTGACATGACGAAAATTATTTTTCTTCTGTTCTGTCAATATTTTAAAATGAAAATAAGAGTAAAGGACAACCAAAAAAATTAGAAGGAGGAATTCCCAGAAAGTACAGTCGACGTCGTGAAGAGAACCGTGGTCATAGATGGAAAAGAACTATTGTGGGGGCATTATCAAGCTAATAAAGAACGACGGTGGAAGAACGGCGCGCCGAACTGCTTTCCGTCGGTCTCGCCCGATAACAGGCACTTACACGCGGGCGGGATAAGGACTTATCGGAAGACCCGAAGTTTGGCGCGCAAATAGGTACCAACATTACCCCTGGATGCCCTGAAAACCGTTAGAAACCGCTAAAGAGGCCCTCCCAAAGCCCCCCTCCCCTCCACATAAACATCACCGCAGTAGGAAAGTGGAGTGGTGGAAAGCGCCGATATGTCTGGTCTGCCTTATCGTGATTTCTCCTCTTTGGGATTCATGCAAGAGGACCGCGCCGACGAGCCCCGAGCTGTCAAACTTGAGACTGGCATGTTTAAAAGGCTTTGCGCGTCCTGTTGCTCTTGTATAGCCAAATTCACCAGGTAGTTTTCATTTAAAAACATCGATCTCGCGACTTTTCCTCGAAATTTAAAGCGAAATCCGCATAATTCATGATTCATAATGGCAGACAGCATAGAATACGACCTGGTTGTCACGAATGGCGTGTGCGTGACGGCGTCCGATATCGCCGCCTACGACATTGGCATTCGAGGTGAGAAGATTGCAGTGTTGGCGCCGTCCGGAACTCTGGCAACGGCGCCAACAAAGCGGCTGATCGACGCGGAGGGCGGCTACGTCATGCCGGGCGGTGTCGACTGCCATGTGCATCTGCAGGAGCCGAGCATGTTCGGCAAGGGCTCGTCGGCCGACTCGTTCGAGTCGGGCACGCGGTCAGCCATTGCCGGCGGCACAACGACGGTCGTGGCCTTTGCGCCGCAGCAGCGAACGGAACCCTCGTTGTTGGCAGCCCTCGAAGCCACCCATTCGCTCGCCCGCAACAACTGCTACAGCGACTACGGCTTCCATCTGCTCGTTGGCAACGCGAGCGATCAGGCGCTGTCGGAGATCGCATCCCTGCCCTCGCGCGGTGTCACTTCGCTTAAGATCTACATGACCTATGAGGCCCTGCAGCTGCGCGACAACGAGATTTTGTCGGTGCTGGCCGAGGCGCGCGCCAACAAGGTGCTGACCATGATCCACGCCGAGAACGGCGATGTGCTCACATGGCTGACGGAGCGTCTCGAGAAGCGGCGCCTGGTTGCCCCCCGCTACCACGCCCACTCGCGGCCGCAGCTGCTGGAAGATGAGGCCACCAATCGCGCCATTGCGCTCGCCAGCATTGTCGCCCAGACGCCCATCCTGCTCGTGCACATCAGCGACACGGGCGCCACCAAGCGCATCCGCGAGGCCCAGACGCGTGGCCAGCCTGTCTTTGCCGAGACTTGCCCGCAGTATCTGTTCTTGACGCGCGAGGAGCATTTGGACGCGCCGCACGGCTTCGAGGCGGCCAAGCACGTCTGCTCGCCGCCGCCGCGCGATGCTGCCGCCCAGGCCGTGATCTGGACGGGTCTGCGCAACGGCACGTTCTCTGTTCTCAGCTCCGACCACTGCCCCTTCAACTTTGATGACGACGTCACCGGCAAGAAGACGTGCATCTCGGACGAGTTCCCCGTCGGCCGTTTCCGCCACATCCCCAACGGCCTGCCCGGCGTCGAGACTCGACTTCCCCTCACATTTTCGGCGACCGACCGCCGCGACAAGCTGCCGCTGAACAAGTTCGTCGAGGTCACCGCGACCAACGCCGCCAAGCTGTACGGCCTCTACCCGAAAAAGGGCGCCATCATGCCCGGCCTCTCCGATGCCGACCTGGTCGTGTGGTACCCCAGCGTAGGCTCGCCCAAGCGCCCCGCGGGCCTCGACAACCTCGTCGTCACCAACAGCATGCTGCACCACGACGTCGACTACACGCCGTACGAGGGCAAGCGTGTGACGAACTGGCCGCGGTATACGGTGCTGCGCGGTGAGGTTGTGTGGGACCGCGACGGCGAGGGCATTGTCGGACGCAAAGGGTACGGCCAATTTATCGAGCGGGACGCGAGTGTGCTGAATGACATTTGGCAGCGGGTCGAGGAGGACGGGCCGTTTGACGAGGACAAGCTGTGACGGATGTCATGATATTTGGAGAGTAAAATATGCAAATTAATCACGAAGCAACCAATGACTGGTGTAAATATGTATCACGTGCTGTCGCGACTGCCTTTTATTGACAACGGGTCCAGCGCACCTTCCGCTAATACGTCTTCCTGCCTTCTGAACAGCCTAAACTGCAGCGACGACCCGTTTTGGACAGGACTACGTTCTTTCTACCCAGAAATCTCACGATGCACGATGACCTACTCCGTATGTCTCAAGACGTATCTTTATCCCATGGCCCCTAAAGCCAGTATTATGAGGGTCGCTGAGACGCAGCGCGATACCTCTGTCTGAGCACTTTCCACCCACGCTGTCTCAGCGATGTTGACTAGACGAGCGGCGCTGGCGCTGGCGCTCGGTGTTGTTAGCATCATAACCACGTCGGTGGTGTTTTTATCGACAAACTCAGTACCACCTTTGCGCCAAGTCGTCGGGAGAGACGTGAGGGCGCCTCGTGATCCGGCTGCACCGCTCCAGTTTCGCAGCGATGGGTCGTTCCAGATCGCCATCTTTGAAGACCTCCACTTTGGAGAGAGTAAGTCGTGCTTTTCCCAAACATCGAAACGATACGGATGGCCTGCTGACCCAAAATAGACGCCTGGACACATTGGGGCCCGCAGCAGGACCTCAGTACGGTCCGGGTCATGGAGGCCGTGCTCGACGCCGAGCAGCCTGACCTTGTCGTGCTGAATGGCGACCTCATCACGGGCGAGAATGCGTTCCGTGAAAACAGCACCGTCTACGTCGACCAGATCGTTGCGCCCATGGTCCACCGCGCCGTGCCGTGGGCCTCTACATACGGCAACCACGACAGCGACTTCAACCTGTCGCGGGCCGACTTGCTGGCACGGGAACAGCAGCTGCTGCCAAGGGGACTCGCTCGTACAGCCAACATGCTGTCGAACCCCGGGCCAGGGGATGTGCGCCGCGCAGGTGTGACCAACTACTACCTCCCCGTGTATGGAACTGACTGTGCGCCCGGCAACGACAAGGACATGGCCAACCACTGTGTGCCACAGCTCGTCCTATGGTTCTTTGACAGCCGTGGAGGGTTCCTCTACCAGCAAAAGGACGGGACGACGGACCAGCGCGTTGGACAGGAGAACTGGGTGGACGACAGTGTTGTCGCTTGGTTCGAACAGACACAGGCAGAGCTAGAAACCACGTACAGGACCGTGATTCCTGCTCTCGCCTTCGTCCACATCCCGCCCAATGTCGCGTATGCCTTGCAGATGAACACCGCCCCGGGCAGCAAGGGCCGGAACGGTAGTGGCGACAGCGTTGATCCACACCGACAACCGGGCATCAATGACGACAAGCCACTGGCACAACAGGCCGAGGGCTGGTGCCCAGATGGAGCCCAGTCTGGCTGTGCTTATGGCGGGCAGGACGAGTCATTTATGCGTGCCATTGCGGCCGCCGGCAACGGCACAGGCATCGTGGCGCTGTTTGTCGGCCATGACCATGGTGACACCTGGTGTCATACCTGGGCTGCGGGCGATACGCTGCCTGGTGTCGACATCCCGGGCACTGGCGTTCATGTTTGCTTTGGGCAGCACACGGGCTACGGCGGGTACGGCACCTGGACGCGCGGAGGACGGCAGGTCCGTGTCACGGAGGAGAGCCTGAGGCAGGCGGGTTTGGCCGCATCGTCACCAACCAACCACCGGCCAGCTGTGGATACCTGGATTCGCCTGGAAACGGGCGATGTCGTCGGCAACGTGTCTCTCAACGCTACATATGGGCGTGATGTGTACCCTTCGACGCCCAACACGCACACGCACTGTCCGACGTGCGACACGATTGACGCATCAGAAACAGAATCGGTACGCAAACGGCCGTCTGTCTGGACTGGGGGTTCGCGATGGGGGTCTGTATTAGGGTCGGCTTCGAAGTCAGGCTCGGCGGGAAAGGCAGGGATGGTTGTCGAAGCTGTCGTGCCCGCAGCAGCGGATGATATCCAACGACCAAAGCTGCACGTGCAACAGACACAGCACAAGCACCGAGGCTGGCGGCGGTATGTGCGGTGGCCAGCCGCTGTTTAAGTATATATTTTGGATTCCAAGTAAATGACTACGTTCAGGTGCCTAACGCCCCTTGCCTATGGTGGCCATCATGGTTTCCCGTCCCTTGGGCGGCACCACATTGTGATATCGGTGGCACATCATGGCGCTATGCGGGAACGGGGGAACGCATTCATCAAACTTTATTTACATCTGTGTGACGGACCAGAACGGACTAGGATCCCTTACGAACAACTGTATCAACATCTGCGATACTCTCTGTTGGTCCAAGGTACCTTAGAGTGCACCCTTGTCAGAATACGTTCCATTGTGTCAGAAGACCGCCCTTATCTGTCGCACTCGGACCAAACTACGATTGAGCACCCGCGCATCCGGGTCCCGTCGAATCGGGGGAGTGTTGTGAGGACCCTGTCGCTAAGCAATGTACAACTTGTCTTACAATGGTTCCCTAGACAATACGGCTCTGCGGTGCTATCTTCTGTCCTCCTATTGCCTGTTGAATTACTCCGGATATCCTGCATATTTCAATCGTATCTCTCGTATCTTTTGCTGGTGGGGAGGCTTGCATTGTACAGTTCTTCATATAGCTAGTTATGATTGCGATGCTTACCTGAAGGGCCACTGCTCCATTTATACGATAAGTAGGAGAGGCAGGTTGCTTTTACGCTCATTCCAACTGGTTGCAACTCGTTTGCTGTCTTATGGACGTCCTGCAGTTTTGCCCGGTCAGCATCGGTGTCAATACGCTGCATTAGGAAAAAATGGAGTACTTTGCGTTCTGTTTTCGACGCCATTGGGGGAAACAAAAACGTAGCTACAACAATACGGAAAGCCACGATAGGTTCCCATGATGCCACCTACCTGTCAATGGATAAGATAAGGAAAGAGGCATCTGTTTGGAAGAGGACCCCGTACCTGTATGGCGAGGTGTGTGTGGAGAAGATTGGACATATCATTGAGCTGGATACAGAATAGAGACCTGTTGCATCAACATGCTAAGAGAGAAACTCCCAGCTAAGAATGTCCCCATATTGCTCCATCCGGAGTGTGACGACAGGTTAGCCTGCTTGAATCCCCGTGTCGCTAAGGTGACCTTTTCCCGCCCCAGTCGCACATAGATCATGCACGCTACCTGTAATTTGAAGTGTGGGAGGCTTTGTGGACTCTTTGGTGTTTCGGGCGCACTAGAAGCTGATCTCGAGAGAAGAGAAGCAGCTTGAAGATTACGAAGTTATGTGGACGGGAATACGCTGTAGACAACAAAAGAGCGACAGCAAAGCTATGGCAGTGTATGATGCATACGCGGTTCAATGACAGCCATCCTCTCTGATGGAGCAGCTCTGGAAACGACAGAAAAGAGGAAAGGAGAAGGCAACTAAAATTGATACGCAGATGGCTCGATTCGTCAAGCTGCTGCCGTCAAATAGGGTTGAATGATTTAGCCCCCAGTTGACTAAATTACGCCCTTTACACAGGACTGTGCTCAAAAGCGTAGTGGGTATCCCATATTAAGTTGCAGGCGGCATAAGGAGAGACGTCTGCCGAGCTTTGTATGGTAGAACTTCCATAGACTCTAACCTTCTGATCAGCTTTCGGGGAGCCTTGTTTCTCTCACTTTTTTAGTTCAAACAGGTCCTTGATTTGGAATGCTCGTGATTGGTGTTTTTTGAGCGAGAATAATGCTGGGAGACAGAGAGATAAGCGCCCGAGCCTCATAGCACACCAGGTAAAACAACGAAACCGGTCGAGTGAGATCACGGTGACGCCGAAGAAGGAAGGGTGGATTATCGTTATCAAGGACACTGTAACAAGAACAACTCCTGCTTTACTTCGTAGGCGCCTTATCTACAGGCGACGAGACAAATGTTTTTCGTCCTTTCGCTTTGCTGGATGTCGTTCTAGAAGACTGGAAAGAACAAGGTTCGGGATGGCACACACACCAAAGGGGCTCAGTGAGGCACACAGAGCAAGTTTAGCGATGCAACAAATATATGTCGTGTATGAGATAATTACCGTGCGGGGAGCGAGCGGCAGAAAAGGAAGGAAGCTAAGGAAACTGGAGGATTCCCGACGGGAGGAATTCAAAGTAATTCGGGAAAGAATAACGAAATGACGGGTTACAGATTCTAGAAGTAAAATGGAAGCCCGACAAGACCTCGTAGGTCACGACTGCTTCCATCTAGAGATGAGGGGTGTAGATAGTTTTGTGTGCACCCCACAAGGATGGGCAGAGATCGACGAGCGACGTGAGAACTGAGATGGTTCCGGGCACGCTCCTAGAACCGCTGAAACGGAGAGCATGTGCTGATGCCGACAAGGAAGAAAACAAATGCTCGGTATCCATTTACAGAAGCCTGCAAGTATCTTGTATCTTGCGATTGAAACTCATCTGGGATTGGTGGCACACGAGTAAAAGGCAGAAGAGAGTAAAAAGGGCTTCTCATTTAGGACCGTGCTTTGCGTTTTGCACATTTGCCCTGCACTGCCTCTACTCGCTGTAGGACTTGCAGCCTGGGCGTTGTCTACCGAGTGTGGCCTCTGTGTCACAAAATACACAAAATGGATTTGTGTCGTGTGATGAATTTGAGAGTGGTCAATTCCTCTGCCAAAAGCGGGCAAGAAACAAATAGATTGACACGTCACTACTGTAAGAGGAAGCCCGACCATGACCTTGATCATGTGCTCTCGAGTATTGTATTTACGGCATGCCATGTTTGCCTTTTCACCATGTTCACCTTTTGGGGTTTATCGAGCGTGTCAGTTGTTTGCGTACCTCCCATCAATCGCATTGCTCTTCTTACTGCTAACGGAAACTTACAATTGTTTGGATATCTGCGGGGCCGGAGACTGCAATAACAAAGGACATCAAGTAAGGAGTGAAGGGTTAGTGACACAAGCGAAGGATCCTATCCTGCGTCAGTACTTCTGTATCTTGTGAGTCCCTCAATAGACTGCTCTCCGCCACAAGTAGAAAAGTCGAATTGACGGCCAAATGAGAGACTAGAAGACACAGTCAATGGTGCAAGATACAAGATACTCGCGAGTAGACCAAATAGAATCAAAAAGGGAGGAGCTGATGTGGGCAGATAGCAGCTTCCTCTTTTGGGTAGCTCCAGCCGCCAAGAGATAAGGCGCACGCGGCAATGTGGCTCTTTCTCCAAACTGTCTGACCAGCCTGTGGCCTGCGCCTGAAAAGCACCTGCAAATATTCTGTATCCCATCCGCAGTCAAATATATACCGTCTCCACTCTTGGTTCTTCCACGGACACGGAGCCACCCTTGCGAGCTAGGACCAGCTACAACTACGACTGCTTGACGAAACCATCATGTATCCTCCCTCGTCTCGGCTCTCTTCCTTTAACTGCCTAGCACTCTATTATGCTCGGCACAGGTAGTGCGTGTGGATACCTGGAGAGCAGCTCAAAATATGTAGGAGAAGTAAGGACTGGTGTCCCCGCGAGAGAGATAAAAGGACCAAATCACAAGACAAAGTACGCTGAATACGGCATGTGAAAGAGATTGTTTGAATTGCGAAATACTATGGCACGTCGGGTTTGGAATTCAAAGCAGGCAGAATTATGGAGTCGGGACCAAAACGCTCGTCTGTTCTCTCCAAGCCATTTCATTTCCCCACGTCGTTCTCTTGTTCCACGCTTGTAGTCTGGGCCTGGTCTTGCACCATCGCATCACGGCATCTGCCCGGCCGCCTGATGAGCCTATGAGCGACAACCTTGACGACCTTCCTTGTTGAGACCGGCCCCAAAGTCTCTCTGGCAAAGGTTGGTCCCAGGTCTCCCAGCGTCCAACTGCTACTTCGTATTTTCCCCTTTTTTCAGCCCGCCTCAGTTTGAACCTCTCGCCCGAAAGACGGGCACTCTGATTGGATGAAAATGTTTCCCCTTCTACATACCAATAACTGCGGCACTGCTGCTGTTCACATGACAGGGTCTGCTGATGTGGTCGTTGCGTCCTTTCGTCCACTTCGAACAGTAAAAACGATCGTCTCCTTCATCCGCGGAGCTAACAAGCTTGGCCTTTTTGCATCCCATTGTCTTGTACCACCAGTCGTCAGCAGGACGTACATTATGTTGGTACGTAATCGTAACAAGGCTCGTGGTCGTGATGTAGGTGGTATTCATTTCAGGACGAGATGGGCGACTCCGAGACGTTCGGGCTTGTGGGGAACTGCTTAATGTACATTCGTAAATCTGTATGTGCGTATCCTTCTAGCTTCACTCCAGAACAAGCTTTCTGTGTCTTCCACACAGCCAGATTTCGTGCTTACCATTAGAGCCTAGAGGCAGGCGGCGACCCACTCTTGGCCGCTAGAGCGCCCCCTGTCAATCCTCCCCGTAGGAGATAACGGCAGAGGGCCAAGTAGAGCATGCCAAGACGGAGTAGTGGAGTAGGTGGACAGTGCGAAATGTTTGGCCATACGATGTACAAATTCGTGGGGGTTGACTCTCACTTGGGTGTGCTTGGTACGCAGATACAGTTCCTGAGCACCCGTTCACACTGTGCAGTCCAGGGAGCTTATCAGACGTAAACAACGACCTGTCCCATCGAAACACCAATGGGCATATGCGACGCACACAATCACGCAAGGCGACGACGCGATAGCGATAAAGAACAACGGGACATTCTCGTATTACTAGTGAACAAGCTTTCATGCTGCTGGCATTTACTCCGTGGTGCGTATTGTTTTCTAGGCCCTATCTGGCACGCAGTTCGAAGTACGGCATACATAGCAGTATATTGCAGATGATACGAAGGCCCGGCCCACTGATACGATATATTCCCCGATAAACTCCCTGGCCGACAGAGAGGCGTTTCTTGTCAAGCACTGAGAAGAGTGCACGAAGACGAGGCGAGACCGCCTCCCAGAGTGGCGTCGGGAGCCTTGGAAAATCGACTAGCGGACGCTTTGGACAGACTCCCCATGACCCCGCTGAGTGCTCCTTCCCTTTGTTGACTCGACTGCTGAAGATACAAGCTGGCGAGGAAGGAACGGACCACCGCCACCGTCCCGCTCTTGCCTCTGTCTCCTCTGTTATTGGTTGGCCTGATCTGTACTTTTTCCTTTTGCCCCTTTTGCCTTTCTCTCTTCAACACACAGACTCCAACAGAAGCCAACAATTGGCCTTTCTTTGCAGCCCTGCACTTTGCCTTCTTTCTGCCAGCCTCGGCCTCCTCTCTTTCGGTATCTAGCACCGCACGTTCAGTACAAAGCAGCCTCTCGGGGGCACCGAAGCGGGGCTTTCATACATCTCGGTCAAATAAACATATGCGGAAAACTTCCAATCGCGTGCTACGTACGACAGGACGGACATGCGCTTTTGGTTCAGTACCCAGAGTGTGCCTGTCAGTGTGGTACCACATCCCAGTGGCTTTCGAGCTGTACAGCAAACATACAGCACGGCACGCTTACTCCCACGCGTTTTCTGTCCCCTTGGTCGTGCTCGTCGTGGGATGCCACCTGAATCCCTGCCGTGCAGCCTTGACACACCTACTTAGCCTCTTTTGCGCATGCTGTGCCTTCTTATCCCGCGGCTGTCTTCTCTCTGGGCGTTGGTCAAGTGAGACAATTGGTGGCCTGTGGCTGTATCAACTGTCTCTGCCTCCCTTGCAGCTTGACAACGCGGCGCCGGCAGACAGCACTCAACGAACCAGATGGCCACTGTCAAATTGAAGACACCCGCAACGCGGGCAAAGCTGGGTGAACAGCAGGAGACGGGCAGTTTTTAGGTAACTTTTATCCTGGCCAAGAAGGTCGGGAGAAGCTTTCTCACAAGAAAGATATCAAGATGAATCGGAAGGCGAAAAGGACAAAAGGAGCGGCTTGGGAATAGTCGCTCACATACTAGCCCGGCCTATAGACATAGGTTGTTCCCGGGCTGAGCATTTCAGGCGAGGGGGGTCTAGACGAGCAGGTAGGATGGGGTGTGGCTGTATGTCGTACCAGGGCCCCAAAAGAGCAGACAACGAAGAGCATATGAGCACAGTGGTAGCCATGCCGTGACGGGCGGCCATTCTGGGAAAGCGATGGCAAAAGCTTAGGTACGAACGACGAGAAACAGCCAAAAAAGCTTCGTTACCCCTCCTCCTCGAGACGGCTCGCGTGTTTACATATTCCACCGCTCCCCTATTTACACACAACGGAAACCAGGCTACCCTAAAGCTGCCGATCCTGTCTCCGTTCTCCGAGACACACCGACAAGCGACAAGGGAAGAACGCCAAGGACAAGCATTCCGGCCGGCAGTGTCCAAGAATATACAAAGACAATCAAATCAGCCACGCGCCAAATGGGAACACAATCACAATTTCATCATCTCACTCTAGCCGCAGTTGGTGTGACTTGAGTGCCCAGGGCACAGGAGGTGAGAGAGACAGGCTTGAACAACTAAGAAAAAAAAAGGAGGCTTCAAAACAACAATTAGGAAAGACCGTGTGCCCAAACCAGGCTCCACACAGCTCCATGCACACCAAGCACGCAAGAAATCTCCGCAAGGCACTCTTAACGTATTCCTCTTCGATTATGACCTTCTTTTCAACTAGAACGCCCCTCTCCATATCGTCCTTTTGGGTTGTGGCGGGCTCCTTGTGCCACCACGAAAACACACCCTGCACCCTGCACCCTGCAAGCACACCCTTCTCCTCGGCCACTACACACACCCTCCTTTGCCTCTTCTTTGGACTTGCGTGCCTCGCTTGGCCCCCATCCTTGTCACTCATCTTCCACTGCGTCCCTGGCTCCTGCTTCTTCTTCATGTCCAACGCTTCCCACCCTAGCTAATCTATTTAACCTTTCCGGTGCCCATACCACTGGCGTTCTGATAGCTTTTTTTTGTTGGTTCACAGCATTCGTCCACCTCATAAACTTATTTTTCTATTCTCTTTTATTCATTACAGAAGACGCACCAGTGTTTTGTTATTTGGTGTCCCCTTTGCCCAGGAAACAACAATCTCCGACGTCCTGCCCGCCATGTCGAAAGAAGACTTGGAGGTCCAGGCTCAAAGCCTGCCGGCTTACGAGGGCAGCAATGAAGAAAAGAGGCGGGACAAGATTGCCGAGGGCAGCACCGCTCTGGGCGGCATCGAGCGTGTCGAGGAATACGGCTACGTGTCTCGCGGGTACGTTGTTTATTGACCCCATTCTGGGATATGCGTAGCTCACTGCTGTTTACTATACTCACATCATCTTACGATCACACGATTAGCCTCAAGTCACGACACATTCAGTTCATCGCACTTGGCGGCACCATTGGCACCGGTCTCTTCCTCGGTATTGGCTCGGCCTTTACGCGAGCAGGTCCACTGTCCGTCCTTCTCGGTTACTCGATTACCGGTATTGCCATCTTCGCCATGATGCAGTGCCTCGGTGAGATGGCCACCTGGCTTCCCCTGCCCGGTGCCATTCCCCAGTTCTGTGCTCGCTACGTCGACGACGCTCTTGGCTTTGCTGTCGGCTGGAACAACTGGTACTCGTCTGCCATTACGATTTGCGCCGAGATCTCGGCCGCTTCGGTCGTCATTGGCTACTGGCCCGGCGCCGACCACATCAACGTGTCGGCCTGGATCACGCTGCTGCTCGTCCTCGTCATCCTGCTCAACATTATCGCCGTCTCTGTCTACGGCGAGGCCGAGTTTGTGTTCGCGTCCGTCAAGATTATCACGATTGTCGGCCTGCTCATCATGGCCTTCATCGTCATGCTGGGCGGCAACCCCAAACACCAGCGCCTTGGCTTCTACTACTGGCAGCACCCGGGCGCCATGCTCGAGTATGATGGCACCGGCAACACGGGCCGCTTCCTGGGTCTGTTCTCGACGCTCGTCAACGCCGCCTTCTCCTTTGGTGGTGTGGAGCTGGTGGCTGTTGCCGCCGGCGAGGCCGAGAACCCGCGCAAGAACATCCCCAAGGCCGTCCGCCGCGTGTTTTGGCGTATCATCTTCTTCTACGTGCTGGGCTCTCTCGCCATTGGATGGCTCGTGGCCGCGGACGATCCGCGCCTGCTGACTGCCCAGGCAGACGGTGCGCCCGGTGCTGCTGCTTCGCCGTGGGTGATTGGCATCCAGAACGTCGGCATCAAGGTTCTACCGTCCATCATCAACGCAGTCATCCTGACCTCGGCCTCGTCGTCGGCCAACGCCTTTTTGTACACGGGCTCGCGCTACCTGTACGCCCTGGCCCAGAACCGCCAGGCGCCCGCCATCTTCCTGACCTGCTCCAGGCGCGGCGTGCCCTACTACGCTGTGGCAGCCACGGCCGCGGTCGGTCTGCTCACGTACCTGTCAGCGGGCTCGGGCGGTGCGGCGACGGCCTTCAACTGGTTCCAGAACTTGACGACAATTGCCAGTCTTTTCACGTGGGGCTCGATCTGCGTGTGCTACATCCGCTTCCACAAGGCGCTCAAGGCGCAGGGCATCGACCGCAACACGCTGGTGATGAAGAGCCCTTTCCAGCCGTTCCTGGCCTATGCCTCACTGGGCTTCTTTGTCATTATCGTCCTCTTCAACGGCTTTGACGTCTTTGTGCACGGCCACTGGGACGTCAGCAGTACGTATCCCCCTCTCCCCTCTCCCCTCTCCCCTCTCTCCTCTCCCCATACCTATCCCAGTGCGTGTATAGTCATAGCTAACCACTCGATCACAGATTTCCTCGCGGCGTACATTGGTATTCCCATCTTCTTTGGCCTGTACCTTATCTGGAAGATTATCAAGCGCACGCGCTGGGTCAAACCGGAAGAGGCCGATCTGCACACGGGCAAGGCCGAGCTGGACGCCGAGGATGCGCACTGGCCCGACCTCAAGCCGCGCAATTGGCTCGAGCGCTTCTGGTTCTGGCTGGCATAAAAGGTCGTGTTGTGTTGTGCCTGTCTCACATATCTAGCGGTGGGCGATGTTGCCGGCGCAAAGTCGTCCTTCAGGAATGTCAAGTCTACTTTTCGGCGTGCGATACTCACGACACATTATATATATCCCATCGTCCATTTCTAGCCTTAGCTTTTTCTTGTTGTACGTATTGTAAGCATTGTTGTCATAAAACACGTGGCGTTTTGTCAATAGTGTCGCTACATCGCACTGTTTACAACATCCAAGTAGTACATATTACACGAGTAGTTTATAGATACACCATCTTGTGCTAGTCCTATAAATGTCGTCTTTGCTTTCCCCGTTTAATCGACCAGTGTATATCACTTACACCCCGAATAGGCATTTATAGTCGGCATGGAGTTCCTCCGCTTGATGACCATTCGACATCCACTTTTCGGCTCACCATACCACGATGCAAGGCTCTCGTCTCCACCCATGGTCCCTGTCCCTCCCCTCGTTGTTGGCAACACACTTTGGTCTTACTTTTCTGGCGCAGTCTCAAAGTGGCTGGCCTCCACGTCGACCTTCTGCGCGGCCCGGCCCAGGTCCTCAATGTTGGAGAAGTCGGCGGTGCCAAACAGCTCGTCCATGCGCTCGAGCGAAATGCCCTTGGTCTCGGGCACCCAAAAGGCCAAGATGGCCATGGTGAAGCAGAAGGAGGCGTAGATAAAGTAGGTGCCGTAGCCGGTGGAGCCGCCGGCGCTGATGAGCATGATGGGCGAGACGCGCGACACGACGAGGTTGAAGAGCCACTGGGTGGCGGCGGCCAGCGACACGTTGTAGCCGCGCAGGCGGTTGGTGGGGATTTCCGAGACGTAGATCCAGCACACGGGGCCCCAGCCGAACTGGAAGGCGGCGGCAAACAGATAGACCATGACGAGGGCGACGTAGCCGGCGGCGGGGATGGGGGCGTTCTTGACGGGGGGGTCGAAGCGGACGTAGAAGCCGAGGTAGAACATGCAAAAGGACATGAAGAAGCCGGTCCAGACAAAGGACCAGCGGCGGCCGAGGGTGTCGGCCAAGAAGGTGATGAAGATGGCGCAGCTCACCATCTTGACGATGCCGTAGACGCCCGTGGCCAGCAGCGACTGCGTCGTGCCGCTGACGCCCAGGTTGGTGAAGATGACGGGCGCGTAGTAGTTGATGGCGTTCGTGCCCGTCCACTGCTGGCAGACCATGAGGCCGATGGACATGAGGGCGCGCTTGCGGTTGCCGGGGACGAGCCAGCACTCCTTCATGACGGCCCAGTAGCCCGTGCCGTGGACCGAGCGGCGCTCCTCGTCGAGCTGGGCGCGCAGCTCCAGCAGCTCCTGCTGGACGTAGGGGTGGGACGGGGGCAGGTGGCGCACGTCCGACAAGATGTTGGTGGCCTTTTCCCAGTTGTCTTGGCTGGCGAGCCAGCGGGGGCTTTCGGGGCACAGCAGGATGCTGCAAAAGATGAGGATGGGCGGCAGCGACTGCATGGCGAGCGGGACCATCCAGGACCCGCGGCCGGGGATGTGCAGCAGCGAGCCGTAGTCGATGAAAAAGGCAATCATGGCGCCCATGGTCTCGAACAGCTGGTAGAACCCGATGAGCAGGCCGCGGATGGCGCGCGGGGCGTTCTCTGACACGTAGGTGGGCGCCAGCATCGTGGCCCCGCCGAGGCCGAACCCTTCGGCGAAGCGACCGACGTAGAAGCAGGCAAGGCTGCCGTACGAAAAGGCCTGCAGCAGACCGCCGATAAAGGCAAAGACGGCGACGCAGAGCAGGCCCGGCTTGCGGCCGAAGCGGTCGCCGACGGGGTTGGCCAGCAGAGCGCCCAAAAAGGCACCGGCCTGCATGACGGTGACGAGGTTGGCGGACAGGTTGGCGGCGGCGGTCGGGTCCTTTTTGGCAAGCTCGACAAGGCCGAACTCGCGCTTGAAGTCGGGCATGGTCAGGACGCCGCCGATGATGCCCGTGTCCATGCCGAAGACGGTGCCGCCGAAGCAGGCGGCCGAGGCCAGGGCGAAGACGCGCCAGTTGTAGATCTCGGGAGGGTCAAGCTTCGCGGCATCGTTGCGCACGACGTGACGCACAAAGGCGGCGCCGATCGTCATGGTGGGCGAGCGCGTGGGCGGGCGCAATGGTCAGGTATCGTTGTGGGCACACAGAGTCGGGATGCAGCTGCAGGAGAACAACTAGACACGGAGCCGACCAGCTTGTCAGCGTAACAGCTTCGATGCCCAAAATTAGATGCGACAAAAATTAAAGGGAATGGTAAGAGAGAGCAAAGGGTTGGGCACGGAATCTCGAAGGAGGGTAGACGGGAAGCCAAGGCCAACGTTAATCAAGCTCAATAACAAAACAAATGCAGGGCAGGACGGGCCATGCACGGACAAATTAACCAAGCAAAGAGCACCAGACGGAGAAACCGAAAAACGTGCGGACCAGATGTGGACGATGGGCAAAGCGGAACAGAGAGTGTCCAGAACGCAACTCTTGCCTCGTTGCCAAGAAACACCCCCAAGAATCACTCTATCGTTGCAGCCATGTCTCCCATGTGCCCGTTTGCATCTCGAGTAGCGTGCATCCGTACTGTGATAACCCTACGACATATTGCCCTGCATACCATTTGACACCTGGGAGAGGCGAGTTTGGGGGTCCTTCTACGACGTCTCAATCCCTGCGCGGAATCGACTCCGGAACGGCGGCGGGAGTACGGGAGAGACGCATGGCAAGCAGCACACACAAGACAAGCACGACAAGCCATCCATCGGTCCATCGGTGTATCCCTACCCGCGTGATTCGCCTCGTTGGTTCGCACGCATTGTCACTGTGTATTTGGTAGTCCCTCCCCCCTCGCTGCCGTGGTGCAAGAACCTATCCCCATGCCAAGACGGAGAAATTGTGGCATGGTTAACAAATCCAGCCATTATCCCTGAGAAGCAACGTCCACGTCTCCGCTAGTCTGGGGTTGTGGAGGGCGATCGCCGCTCGGCCACGAATCAAGATGCTAAACAGAGAAACGATCTGCCGTTCCCTACGACGTATGGGGTAGGTCATCCGTGAGGTTGCTGAACGAAGCATGTCGTAAGAACTCTGTCGTGTCGACTGTTTTCGCTGTTGCATCCTCCAGACGCCATTTCTCTCCTTTTTTGTGTATGACAAATGTACGTTGTCTTGTAAAGAAAAATAGATCAAAGACAACCGAACAAAATCTGGCCTGGCAGAGACTGACCCACAGAGGAAAGTTGGGTGGCCATCCAGCGCATTCAGCCTGAAGGGGACGCTGGAGAATAGCGAGTCGCGAGAGGGGAAGCTCGACAGGTAAATAACAAACTATGGCTCAAGCACGACATATTTCTCCGTCATCCAAGTGACCTGTATTTCTGTGGTGAGACAATGCATGAGCAACACAACTCAACTTGTGAAATGTCGGGTTCACCAGAAAGGAGAAGGAGACGACCAGTCTTCTTTTCCCTCATCTAGTTTACTCTTGTCTTCGCAGCTCCCTTGTCTCTACCCCGACATCGCTCCACATCACAAGTGCCTTTAGCGGCCCACCCTCGCGTCTTGTCCGATGCCAACCCTGGGGTCGAACCGCACGAGCGCACCTAACGTAACCCAACACGGCTTTGGAAGGGAGGAAGGTTACCGTGGTCCTCGCCATATAGTCGATGGATGAGGGGTAAGAATGAGCAGACCAGGATGTTGACGGCGCGATCTGAGAGGCGGAGAAATATCATTGCGGTGCAAAATTAAGACGCTGGCGAGGCTGGCAGCGAGGCAAGATAAAACCAAGCAAGTAAAGAACAACCACGCGATATGGTCAGGGGCGGTCCGTTGGCGCTTTATATTCGCTGAGATAAGATGAACGGGAAGTTCAAGAAGGTCTATCGAGGAAAAAGGCGGCACGATCCTGCGGCGGATAGGATGAACCGTTGTTTGGTGCTGTTTGGTGTCTGTTTCCTTCTCTCTTCTTCCCTCTCGGGTGAACACAAGGCGAACGACAACACTGCCGTCAAAGGCATTGCAGCACTGAAGGGGCGGCCAAAGACAACGACAAGGCGGGAAACGGACTCGATGCTCGAGTCTCCTTGAAAGGCCAGGGTTGTGGGTCTTTCGTCCCGAATCGAGTCGTGCCGTGTCCTTTTCGGTTGCTCTTGCCGTCTTTGCCTGCTTCCCCTGCCTGTCCCGTTGCATGCGCTCGCCCGAGGAAGGCGGTCGTTCAAAATAGTGGCAAGAACAACCGACACGACAAACGACGACACAAACGGTCACAATGCAAGCAAAACAGTAATCCACACAAGTTCGTCTTCCCATCTACTGCCAGCCGACGCCTTTGGGCTTGGCTCGATGCCAATGTCCGGCATTTTTGACAAGACGCGAACAAACAAGCATGACGGCTCCGTCGTCACTAAGCCCAAGCTTGTTTAGGGGAGCTGCTCGCCTGTAATTACGGCCAAACTACAGAATATGTCCTACGTAGTAGGTTGTACCGCCAGCCTTGGCGTACACCAGTCGGGGCAAGTGGCCGGCTCCAAAGACGGACTCGACTGGGCAGGCACTTGACCGTCACCTGCCCTCATGGGTGCTGGACAAAGGGGCCACAACAGTCCTCTCAGGGGCTATAGTTTAGTGGCTAGAATACTTCGTTGTGGCCGAAGAGACCCGTGTTCGATTCACGTAGCCCCAAGGTTATATCCTCGGGATGGAGTAGTTGAGATGCATATTTGGCGGCAATTGTGCCAATTTTTTGACTTTCTTTAGTTCGTTTTGTCGCTTGTTCAGGTGCCTCCTTCGGGTACCTTTTTTTGTCACCGTGCCTGGTAGGGGTTACAAGAGCAGATCTATACGTCAACAGCGGCCAACAAAAAGCGAAAAGAAAAGAACAAAGTCCGTCAGCGCCCTAATTGAACGACGGTCTGGTCACAGAAAAAAAAATTCATGCGACAAGCAACAACCCCAAAATCTTCAACAGCATACACAACGTAAGAAAATATACGAAAAAAAAATATTGAGTAGTGGCACTCAACTGAAATCTACTGGGATTACCGTGAATCGAACACGGGTCTCCTCGGCCACAACGAGGTATTCTAGCCACTAAACTATAACCCCGTTTCTAGAGCAGATGTCATTCTTAGGTTGGAGGCACACTAATCATGCTTATATGCGGAGCACCTTTTCTCTACACTTGTAAGCCAATCAAAGGCACCAGCAACTGGATGACTAAGTAGTCTCATGTTCCAAACGTCCGCCGTTCGTCTACTTCGTTGCGAGTTCCGTCGCCTTGTCTCAGCCAAGGTCGGCTCGTCATATGGGGAACAAGGCACGATGATCGCGGAAATCGGAAACACTACCATACTCAAGCAAGAAAATACCCGATCTCGGTACCCGAAGGAAGCCAGCGTGCCTCGCAGCATGCAAACCGCGGTCGACAGCAGAGCAAAATCCGTGTTCTTGACTTTGTCAAAGCTACAGAACCAATACAAAAAAATCACAGTTCGTAAAACCATTAACCCAGTTTACCTCAAATCCAGGGACATGACGCAAGGAGGAAGAGAATAAACGTGAAGAGGTTGTGAAGAGATTGTATATGGGATTTTATGGGTTACGAAAAAATCATTAGGCAGATGAATTCTTGTGTATGAGACAGCTTCAATCATTCACAGAGGCATTAGGCCCATCTTAAATATCATAACGATGATGAACGTCGAATCAGCATTTCTGACTGTCCGTATCTTGTTCTCGCACGTATGCACAACTCAAGTATGGTGCCGTTTCATGATTCTCCTTGCTCCAGGGTTTCACCGACATCCGCTCGCTGCTTAACGTGAAAACGACGTCCACGATTTACATGTCGTGCAGTGGTAGCTTTCTAACCGTTCTTTTGACATACCTCCCCGCTATTGTGACTGTCAGCATCCGCATGTCAACATGGGTGCTTCTAACATATGACGAAGGCGTTTTTTGGCGACATTTTCCATGTTCAGGCGGACTCAAACAATACGTTAAGGACGTGTTAAGCCACGAATACGACAACATTCAATTTGTCATATTCTTTCGCCAAGACATCAAAATCCTCATGAAATGCAATTCTGTGGCCACCACGGTCCGAGGAAAATAAAAGCTCTGCTTCCTGCAAATATTGAACCAGCTAGTTTGAAAAAATAGCATCGCATTTGCAGACCCAAATATCGCAATCGATCAAGTTGTGCCCAGTGGCACGACTTGCACCATAGCCAGTGCGTTAATGTCCATGCACTCCGCGGCAACGCCGCCCCTTGCATCATTGATGTTTGCGGAACAGAGAAGGCCCTCGAGGCCGTTTTGCTCTGCCTGCGAGGGTGACCACATGTGAGCGAACGGACAGGCCCACGTGGCGAAGATGTCTGCAGTCTCCGACCCGGCGGTTTCTTCGGTGCGAATGGAGGAGGATCTTATGCCATAATTATCTTCTTTTTTCTCAATAGTGTTCAACATGTAATGGCCACTGCCATAAAGGAGCTACTGGCATGGGCGGGGATTTATTCTTGAAATGTTTATTTGCTTTAATTTCAATAGGAAACCATAACGAATATATAATACTAGAACAAAAGGAAACAGTAAAGAAGCAACGGTAGAAAATGAATGCATTTGCGCCGTATCTTCAAGTACCAACGCCGACCAGACAGGTAAAGAAACTTTTGAGATCCTAGCACGATCTGTATACAGAAAGAGTAGGGTACAGCTGAAATGAAATAAAAAAGATGAAGAATAAAAACAAACAGCGAAATAGAGCGTATAGACAAATGAAAGCTAAAATACAAGCAACAAGAGACAAAAAGTAATCGACAGTCATAATAGTAGAGAAGCCCTTTCTGGAGCGTCTCAACAACAAGGGAAACATAAGTATGGGGAGAAAGCCATTCGTCGCAAATCAATGACACGCATGAACAACTGTCGTCCGAAGGTACATACATCTACCGCTCTTTGCAGAGTCCAATCAAGGATTCAGACAGTTCATATTCGCTGCACCGAAGGCGAAACTTGGCGAGGGGGAGGGTGAAGGAAAATACAAGAGAAAGCCAGTGATATTCCTCATGAAATCGTCGCGTCTAAGCAACCGCAGTTGCCGTTAATTTCAGAAATGATCCGATAATGAATAGACGTAAACTTCAAAAACCTTACAAAGGACTTGAAGTCCGATAAGTTCAAAGCTGCAGTCTAGTGGTTGCCGCATTTTCTATCCAGCCAAACAAGAAGACAATAGACAATCGTAAGAAAGGGGCTTTTGTCGAGGCCGTTAGTCTGAAACGAGGCGAAGGAGATTGGCGGCCGTTAGTAAAGAGTCATCGAGAAGAGGCAGTAACGAGGGAGGGGACATTGTTGTTGGCAAGCAAAAATTCTTCTCGCGGGTGACAGAAAAGAGGTTAGAATCCAAGTTGTCGTAGTTGTTCTAATCGGTTCAGGTATGGGGGGTGTCGTAGAAATAGCAAAGTATATCGTATATCCATAGTGAGGGTTGAGTTGCGTACAGTCGTCCTGTCTAAATCAAAGAAGTCCCTCTGTCCTATAGAAAGATATTGTTGAGATCAGAGATGCTGCGTTGCCGCTTGTGGTTAGCAACATCGGCCATCGAGCTCGAGGCCTTGCGTTTCTGTACTGGAGATTCCTGCGGGCTCTGCACGTTGAATTCTGTGCCAAAGCCATTCAAGGTCTGGCGCTGCTTAGGTCGCCGCGGCGGCGTGATTGGAGTGGTGACTGCCTCGAGACTGCCATTCCGAATGCCGCGCAGGGTGCCCATAGTGTAGGGGCCCGAAAAGGCCAGCGAGTCCGCCGTCGCCTTGTTGCTGTAAATCAGCTGCTGGTTGATTTGGTTGCGGCGGAAAGCACTGACGGTGTCCGAGTTCTTGCCAAAGTGTGCCAGCAGAGGGGGCATGGCGTTGTCGTCCTCGCCAACATTGTCCTCCTGCTCATCGTCAGCACCAATCGAGCTGCTGGCAGCAAATGACGGGCGGCGGTTTGCAGGTGGGCCCATGGGTGTCGCCAGAGGTGTCAAGGCATCGTCCTCATCTTGCACGCCGCTGTCCAGATCGAGAAACAACTCGTCACCGGGCATCGGGGCCGGGACCGACAAATCAAACAACTCGTCGGCAGGGTCAACAACGCCATTTCCGTCACCACTTTCGGCCGTGTTACGGTCGAACTGGATAAAGTCCTCGATGCGAAGATTTGACTCGCCATCGTCCTCAATATATTCGCCGGAGAAGTCGCTATCTTCGGCAACGAACAGGTCGGAACTGAGATTGGGGAAGAAGGCCTCGATAGGGCCAATGTTGTGGGTCTGCATGTAGTCGCCCAATGTGTTGGAAGAAATCATAGCACCCATCATTACTGACGAGGAATTGCTCATGAGCGGGGATGACTGGGTCACGTCGTTCTGGGGCGGAAGAAGAAGCGGGTTCAGGTCGAACAAAGGATCAGACATGATATCTAGGTGCTGCTGCGGTTGCTGCTGCTGCTCCTGTTGCTGGTGGGGAGCTTTCTGGGGCGTGTAGATGACCATCTTGCCGGTATGCGGGTGGATGAAGGCAACAGGCCGTTTGCCACGCTTTGGAGTCAAGACATACCGTCTAGCACGCGGCTGACCCTGGCGCTGAAGGGGCACCTCCGCATCCGAGTCTGGGTCTGAGAATTCCTCGTCGCTGTCGATGAGCTGGATGCGGCGGGCCAGCTTTCGCCGGATGGGGATGAACTCTGGCTCTTCATCCTCAGTCGTATCGCCGTCGGCTGAGACGGACGCATTAGTAACAAAAGGACAACAATCAGAAACAAATGCCCGATTGGCTTAGACTCACTTTCATAGCCATCAAGTTCAGCATCGTCCTCCTCCTCATCTTCATCCTTTACTTTCTTCTCTTCTTCGTCTGCGAGAGCCTGGGGGAAAACATCCGCATTTGGATCGGGCAGCTCAGCGGCCAGCAGGTCGGCATCCGAGAAGTGGATGAGGGGCTCCTGCTCGAGGCCATAACCGGAGCTGTAATCCCAGAAGGACGAGCTCACGGATGAATCCGAGTCGTGCTCAATCTCGCGGCGGAAGCCGGGGTCAAGCGAGCCCTGCTCGACAAATATGTCGGGGAAGTACTGGCTATCACGCAGAGATACGTCGCTGGTGGTAGAGTCGCTGTCGCTGTCTGGAACGCCGGCAAAGCGTACCTGGCGCTTTGCGGGTGTCGCCCGGCCTCCAGCCTGGTTGGCATCCGATTCGGAGACACCGTTCCAGCTAGCACCGTCGTCGACGAACTTGGCCTTGAGAGCCAAAGTACCGTCGCGGTGGCCACTGCTGGTGTCCATCTCGTTGGCGAGCTCGGCAAAGTCGGCGTCATCCAGCTCCTCCAACTCATCGTCGTCGTCGTCGTCGTCGTCATCGCTAGCCGCGCCGTCTGCTTCCTCTTCGTCGGCGTCTTCTTCTTCGTTTTGGTCAGGGGGCCGGGGAGAAGGTGCGTGACGAGCCTTGGTCACGCCCTGAATTATATGCTTCTCCTCGGCCGCATATACATCCTCCTCGTCGTTGTCTTCGGAGTCGCTAACTTCTTCGAGTGCGGAGTATCCGCCGTCCGAGGAAAGGTCGAGGGAAGAGGAGACGTCGGAGTCTCGCCGACGCTTGGACTTGGCTAGCGCAGCCTTGCGGCGAATGTTTCGGACCATGGTGGGCAGGGGTAAATTGTTCGTGAGGAGAAAACAGTACTGCAGGGGGGTAGTGCCGCACCAAAAAAAAAAAAAGGCGGTGAAATTTTTGAAAATGGAATATTTCTGTCAACTGGCGACACAATAGCGTTTGATATGCTTTCACTTCTGTTGAATGGCAGGGGAAAAGGCCAAAGAAGTCGATATCGGATCGTAGAAACCTGAACCAAAAGGTTTTCAGGGTGTAATGGATTTCAAGACGGGGAGGGCGGTCAAGAAAATCTCGAGTAGGAGAGAAGGCAGAGATAATGGTACGGAGTAGAAATGTGGAAATCGGTCTAAAAAGACAAAGGAAACAAGGAGTAAGAGGATGAAATAGGAAATAAAAGTCTAGGTCGAAAGCGGTATTGTTGAAGCACGTTGGTTGTATCAAAGTCGAGGCGTTTGTCGCGAGGGATTCAGAATTTTTGGGTTGTGAATGCCACGATCTGTTGCAAAGGTCGAAGTCGATCGCGGTCCCAGGGCAGCGGCAAGGCCTGGAGGGGGTAAACTCTAGTCGAGAAATAGAATTTGGCAAAGATCTTGATTTGAAGACGGTCGTTGAAGCTGCGGGACTGCAGAACGCTGCCCTCCCTCTCCGTCACATTCGTCGACGGAATGGACGAGAAGGAAGGCAGCGTCCCACAGTGGGCATTTACAGCTCAGCGACGGCGGTGTACATCTTGGGAAATTCTCGACAAAGTTTAATGTATGTTTTCTGGTGCTCTGAGCGGTAGGTCGACTTCGTTGTCTGGTAAGGGGTGTTGTTGATGTTTGGAGTTGAAGATGAGGAGGGAAGGAGAGGACGGAGAAGGATGGTGAGAAGAGGCGGCGGTGGGAAAAAGATATTTCTTTCGATGGCTCCACTTTTTCCCTTCTCTGTAACTTTTTTTCCCTATCAAATGTATCAGCGCATGTGCACAGTTGGCACTAAAGTCTTAGTGGGACATTTGGTCACAGAACGCCCCAAAGATCCACGACCACCGCTATTTCTCTAAGCAAGGACGGCACTATGCCACCAGTCATCTAAATCGGCGAGTCATACCAGAAGAGGTCTTGCCAGAGTGCCACGCATCAAGCTTCTCTCGATGAGAAGTAAGAAAAGAAGCCTCGGAAAGAGAGTAAATACGCCTACCAGCTCAAGCAAAAAATAAGCGTCCCAGTCGCGACTCGACTCGACGCAACAGGCAAACACGATCAATACAGCAGTGCACAGAGCCTTCCGCCTTGATTAACCAAACGGCCATTTCCAGAAACGGCCACCCACCAAGGAGGACACAAATGCATGCTGCAGGCTGTAATTAAAACATCGCTTCGCTCCCTTCCCAGAAGCAAGGAAACGCTCTACCGCCTTTGCCCTCTTCTGTCCCATTGGCACGGCTACTTCCCGCCATGTTGTAACAGCGGGTCCCCGCCCCTTGAGACGGCGCAGGACGCAGAGAAGCAGCAGAGAGCAAGCGACAAAACAGCCAGGACACATCGCGGTATCTTACACCGCCATTTCAACCACGACAATATCTCGACGCCGCGACGACGTGGCCGGTCACAACGGGCCGCCAGCTGCAAGATGGCCCGATGGAGCACATTCACGGTTCCGAAGCACATGGACGCTGCTGGTGCCGAAGCAATTCTCAGATTCCAACCGTCCTAGTAATCGAGGATGGACACTACGCACACAATGTACATTTTTTCATTTTTTCCCATTCTCTCAAGTCGTCGCTGCAAGAAAAATGTCCTAAGCGCGCAGGCCCTCTGTTCACGCTGTCGCGTTCAAAAAGTTTCCCAAAAACAGCTGCCAGGGCCGTCTGCCGTGTCTGATCCCCACTGCTCTGCATGTGCATTGGCCAAACCACAGGACTCCGAATTAAAACAGGCATGTTACAATGTCAAAAAGCAAGCGATGCCCACAGGAGCTCACTAATTTCCTTGTTGCCACAACATCGACTATGAAACAGTGGAATAGCCTCCAAAGGCAAACGGAACACCACAGCAAGCTCCAAACAGCAGCCTCAGCGAGCCAAGGACCCTTACCAGGCGACCTCCGGTCAGCAGGTTTCGAGGAAAACTTTGCTGCTCCACTGAACAAAGGGGCAATGACGGCGACGGGCGACCATCGCCCTCGTCGCCGTAGGCAATGATGCACTCCAGGCGCCAGTGATGTCGCTGGTCTCCACCGGGAGATCCGTCGACGGAAATTTGCTAGCGCCACCGCTCCAGCCGTCCACGAAGGCCTCGGCCAGTTGACTTCCGTCATCGTTTCTCGAAAAAGTACCTCTGCGAAACCAAAGAGGCGTCCATAGCGACGAGGTTTTCTGTCATGCGATGTCCCGTTCCGCCCGTACAAACAGGAAAGCGCGAACCTTCTCGGAGCCAGCTCCGGCAGGGCAGCCAATCCATGGCAGGCATTTAAACACCCCCTCCCTCAGCGTTCACTATTGTAGGGAAGGAAAGAGTCACCACGGCTGCTATGAGTCAGTTGACCCACTGGTGATGAGTTTTCTCTTGGCAAGTAAGTGCCTTGTACCAACGGGGTAGGCACGACCTACTGTGCAGTGCGCGTACAGGGTAATTACAACAAACACTGAATCCATTTTCTTCACTGTGACACCTCATCCGAATATCAACAACGCGTCCATGCCATGTGAGGCTTGCAGTACGACGTACGGAGCAGTCACAATATTCGAACCGCCACCTCCTTCGCCTTGTCGTTTTCCAGGCAGAGCCGCCTAAACTCGTAACAAAATCCAGCCAACGCGGGGGTCAGTGTCATTGTCTTAGCCTACGGTTAGAAAAAAAAAAAAAAAAGAAAAGAAAAGAAAAAAAAGAAAAAAAGGACTCTCGCAAAAAACTTTTTAGTGGGTCTGTCCTTATCTTATCGCTAGGCCGCCATCCCGTTGCCCGGTGAGCTCTGCCATTCCCAATTAGGCAAGAGTAAATATACGGGACCCAGTTGTCGGGCTCAAGCTTTTGAGGTTGTGCATCACCATGTGCTGTTTTGGTCCACTGAGATAGAGTAATCCATTGTCCGACATCAACCTTCTTGCATCACGGTCTTGTGCTCTCTTTCCGACGTATCTTTATATACTTCCATTTCATCTATTCACCTACATGCATCAAATCTGATACCATTCGCATCGCATCTCTTCGACTTCCTCATTATTCACGATGGATTCGCTTCCGTCGAACTCGAAATCACACAGCCTGTTCCAGGTCTACCTCCGACTGCGGCCACCACAGACTGGAGCCACCGCGGCGGATCGCTTCCTCGATGTAGAGCCGCCAGCAACAGATGCCGCGTCGACCGCACCGACTCACATTCGCCTCAACCCGCCCAACGACCGGCGGCGTGCGATTGAGAAGTTCTGCTTCACACAGGTCTTTGAGGAGGACGCCAGCCAGCTTGATGTTTTCCACTGCACCAATGTTGTTCCGCTGGTTGAGGGCGTGCTCGCACCCCATGGCGGTGAAGGCACCGATGCGCTGCTCGCCACGCTCGGCGTCACGGGCTCTGGAAAGGTATCAACAGCTAGAGGCTTCGCCATTGTCATCGGCATCGTCGGCATTGCAAACACGTTTAAAACAGACAGACACTAACCGAATTCTACAGTCGCACACAATTCTCGGCTCTCGGTCCCAGCGCGGCCTCACACAGCTCACGCTCGACGTTCTTTTCCGCTCAATCGGCCACAACATTGCCGACTGCGCAACATCTTCGTCTCTCGAAGCTTCGATCAACGCATCCGACGCATCCGAAGCCACCATCTACACAGCATCGACTTTCCTCGACTCGGTGTATGCCGACGCTTCTGGGCCGTCCCACTACAGCTCGCGGGCTCCCACTCCCATGATCGTACGACCCCCTTCTCCTCATGATCTCTCTGACACACCTCCCTCCCCAGGGCAGCAATATAAAGATAAAGACGACTTGCCGGAATGCAACAGCAGTCTCAGTGAGCTGCCCATACCAGGCATGTTTCCGACCAGTCCAAGCCCCAGTGGGCGTCAAACTGCAGGCCTTCGACAGGCCAGCGTCCGAATCGTCCGCCGCGAAGACTACGCAGTTCCTACAACAAGCTGTGCTTTGCCGGTACCAGTGACGCCCGTCAAACAGACAGCCGTAGCAAGATGCGGGCTGAATGTGCTGCCGGGCCCTGGCAACAAGGCCAAGACCAAGCCCGCCTCCTCTGCCAAAACGCCACTGACGGCGCGACGTTTTATGGCGTCCACGACCGCGTCGTCAAAGCAGCAAAAACACATGAATGCTAAATGTTTCTTTTCACAGGGCGACTACTCGTCAGCCGGTGCACCGCCGCCGCCAACCCCTCGCCGTCTTCTCAACCGGCCATCTGCTTTCCCGCAACAACCCGACATTAGCGGTGTGAATGTCAACAGCGATCCGGGCTCCCAGTATACCGTGCTGGTGTCGATGTACGAGGTCTACAACGACCGCATCTTCGACCTGCTGACGCCACCCATCAAGTCAGCTGCGACCAAGGAATACCGCCGGCGGCCACTGCTGTTCAAGAGCACAGAGCTCTCGCCTGATCGGAAGGTGGTCGCTGGTCTGCGCAAGATCATCTGCAGCAACCTGAACCAGGCGCTGTTGGTGCTTGAGGCAGGCCTTCACGAGCGCCGTGTCGCCGGTACCGGTAGCAACAGCGTCAGCTCGCGCAGCCACGGCTTTGTGTGCATCGAGGTCAAGAAGCGGTCCGTACAGGGTCGTCACAAGGAGTCAGCGCTGTGGACCGGGAATGTTTTGACAATTGTTGATCTGGCTGGCAGCGAGAGAGCACGCGACGCCAAGACGGCTGGCGCGACTCTTGCTGAGGCTGGCAAGATCAACGAGAGTCTCATGTATCTGGGACAGTGTCTGCAGATGCAGAGCGACGTTGGTAGCTCGACCAAGGTAAGGAGGGATAACGCCGCAATCACCCGCTCCGGTGCCATCGCCGCCACGCAGCTAACACATGCTACAGCCCAACATGGTGCCATTCCGCCAGTGTAAACTCACCGAGCTTCTCTTCTCCAACTCCTTCCCATCCGCGTCCATGCAGTCGTCGCACTTCGGCCAGTCTGTTCGGCGGAACCCTCAGAAAGCCGTCATGATCGTCACCGCCGACCCGCACGGCGATTTCAACGCCACGTCACAGATTTTGCGCTACAGCGCCCTTGCTCGCGAAATCACTGTTCCGCGCATCCCGTCCATTACACAGACGATTCTGGGATCCGCGCCGGCCACTTCGCAGCATGGTCCTCTCGGCACGTCGCCCCCTCTGTCAACCATCAGCACCGCTAGCAGCGGCCACCATGCCGGCAATCACACTGTGCAACACCACCGGCCTTTCTTCCCGCCTGGGAGCACAGCCAGCTCAGCGCCACACAACCGAACATTCTCCCCGATCAGCAATGCGTCTTCCGAAGACCGCGTCACGATGGAGATTGCTGCTCTGGAGATTTCGCGCATGTCGGAAGAAATCGACTACCTGCGGGCCTCGCTCGAACAGGAGTCTGAGAAGCGCCATGAGGCGGAGTCCCACCTGCTCTCCATGACCGACCGGATGCTGGAGCAAGAGCAAGAGATCCGCGAAGACTGTGCGATTGAGTTTGAGACGCGCTTGGCCGTTGAGATGGCTCGTTGGAAGGCGAGCCTCGAGGTCGAGAAGGAGCGTGGCGAAGAGCACTGGGACCGCAAGGTCGAGGTGATGGAGCGTCTGCAGAGCACAGAGACTGACGAGAATCAGGGCAGTCGTGGCCGCTGCGATCATGAAGACAAGGAGAATGTCCTGGTGGAGAACCTTGAGGACGAGAATGAGCGCTTGCGGCGCGAAATTGCCGTTCTGAAGCGGGAACTCACGGGCCGCTCACCTGTAAAGCGCAAGCCTTTGCGCGAGCGCGACGATCTACCGACGGCTTCGCCAGGTGCCTCCACGCCAGCGTCCGCCGGTCGCGCAGCCGTCGACAGGCATGCCGCTGCAGGCAGCTCTGCCGAAAAAGTGCTCGAAAAGGCCGGCGAAAGCCTCCGGCGGAAGATGGAGAGGTTACGCATGAGCGACGATGATGCTGACACCATTATGGGTCGTCCCAGCGGGCGTCCCAGCGGTGCGTCCGTCAAGTCCACCGCCAGCAGCGGCAGTCCAAAGAAGATGCGCAAGCTTTCGCCGAGAAAGTGGGATGTTGCTCTTGATGACGATGATTTGTTTTGAACATTTTGAATTTCAGAGGGCAATTTTCATATTGAGGCTAGATTTCTTCTTTATTTTGTTTATATTTATCTAACGGATTCGTTCTGTTGTACGTCTGCTTTTGTTTGAGGTTTCTTGTGGATACAGATACCCAGCAATTTTTAACTGATTTAAGTCCGGTTTGATCGTGCATTCTTTTATTGTGCTCTATGAATGACCGTATATGACGACTCACTTACAATAACTCTTTTATAACATTTTTTGGTTGTTTCCTATTTATTGAATTTTATTATGGTACTTATTTTTACAGAAAATCTCTTTCATTTTACTTCATTGCCTTGTGTTTATTTTCATTTTTCACTATTTTCAATGGCAAAGTACGCGACAAAAGATTCAAATAAACCGCCACGACTCTGAACTCATCGGTGACAGAATGGCGGGTAAATTGCTTATGGCAACTCAGCGATCAGACCATCACGGAGAGACTGATTGCACAACCCAAGACGGGTTTTAATATATGTCTAATTCAAATTACCAGGTGCCTTTTTATTCTCCGTGCTCTATGCCATGCTCTTCCATTCCGATTAGTCCGCCCATATTACCGGCAGGATGCCATGCATTGTTGCCTTTGTCATGGATGAAAACGGGGAGGAGGGCAAACGAAAGCGGGTCGACATCTGCCGTTGCCCTTTTATTTTATGAAAGGAGGGGATATGCTCTCATGATGTGATGACAGTTTGCATTCTCTCGTCCCAGTACCGTCGTCACACTTCACTGCGAAGCGGATCAAACAATCAGAAAAAGAGGAGAGAGAGTAGCACTATCAGAGTTGACAGCAAAATCTTCAACATGCGCCCTTTCGTCGCCATCGCCGCCATCGTGGCCATTGCCACGGCCTCTCCGTTCCGACTGCTGTCTCTTCCACCGGTATCGACGCCTGCGTCTGCTGAGATGGCGGCCAAGGACAAGGGCGCCCTTGTAGACGACTTTGACCAGAACAAGCAGCACCAAGAGAACCAAGATCACAAAATCCACCAAACGGTGAAGCTCACCCACCACCGCCTGCCCCTGCGTGGCCTCGAACATGGCTACGGCTATCGCCTCCAGCGCAGCAACACCAGCCCGGGCAAGGCTGTCGTCTACGTGCCGGTCCGTGCAAGCGCCCCGAAGGGCACCACTACTGAAGCGCCGCACGCCACCCACGACACGGTGGCCGATAAACACAGGCTTCATTCGCGCGTCGCGGACAGTGCCGACGCCGCCGGCCTCACCGCGCCCCCTCCGTGCCAGCCCATGAGCCCGCCGCCGGACGAGACCGCCACCAAGGAACGCTTCGGCAAGTTTGCCAACGCCTTCCTCGTCACTAAGAATATTACCGAGGCCTTTACCTACATTTCCGAGGGCTACATTGTGAGTTCACTATGAATAGAGGATATCGTTTGGTGCTTGCTGACCAGAGCCTGTAGAACCATAATCCTGCCGCGAAGAACGGCGCCGCATCCGCATGGGGCATACTGAGTCCCATCTGGGCCTCGCAGAACATCACAGTGTTGCGGACGACATTCAAGGGCAACTATGGGTGGCTCAACTACCGCGCTGGCGGCTTCGGAGAAGTTGTCGATCGGTACCGTTGGGACGCCGGCTGCATTGTGGAACACGTAAGTGTCTCTTCTGTACTTCCAGTCTACGTGCTGCGAGCCTATGCTCTGAAATTGGATCCCAACTAACATCATGTAGTGGGACCAAGGTGAGAAGTACCCTTCTAGTTAGGCAGCATACAGTGTGCTACAGCCTACGTCTGTTTCTGGCTTGCTTTGCCTGCTTGATGGAATCGTGCTTGTTTATGCATTGTGATGTATATTTTTTACTTGGTATAGCTGTACCATAATCTATTTCGTAGTATCTCCGACAATTATGAAATCCTTGAACGTTGATAATGAAACAAAAATGCGTTTTGTCGTGACATAAAATCCAAAAGCTCGAGATATAATAAAAAGCAAAGATGTAGAACAGAAAATAAAGATACGTAGAGATGTACCCCCCAAGAACTGTGATATCAAGATTAAAAAAGAAATACAATTGGAGAAAATGTCGTGCAGTGCCTCGGCCAGCCTGCTTGACTGCTTAACTACCGGGCCAGACCAATGGTGTTGCGGCGACCGCGCTCTTCACGCACACCGTCGCGGGTGCGCGTCGAGCCCGTCAGCCGGCCCCAGTCCTCCCACTCCTTGGCGATCTCCATAAGCACACCACCCATCACAGCGGCACTTGCCATCAGGCCGTGGCCCTCGCCCTCCAGCACACGCACCTCGCAACGGCGCATGGTCTTGCCGAGCCAGCGCACGTTCTCAACGGGGACACGCGTGTCGCGCGAACCGTGGTGGATAATGACGGGGCGCGTAATGTCCACGTAGCGGAAGCCGATCGTGTGGCGCCGCTCGAGGCAGACAAGCAGGTCCACGGCTGGGTTGGCACCTGTCGTGGCGAGGTCCCAGATGGCGTGGGTTAGACGCGAGTCGTACGTAGCCTGCCGCTCGCGGTCAGCAATCGCATCGGCGGCAGCAGCCAACACTGCTGCCTCGCGCGCCTCGCGTGCCGACATCATCGCAGCCGCACCGGATGCGCCGGATGCCGACTTTCTGTGCACTAGACCTGCCGAGCCTACAGCGGCGCCTGGAGAGGCGCCATGCAGCCGCAGCCGGTCCATCTCTTCGATTGAGGTGAACTCTTTTGGTGGGGACGAGCCGGACGCGTCACCCGCACCCCGCCGTGCGGCCAGTATATTCTCCTTGTTGTCAACGGGAAGCGGGTTGTTCTTATGCGCGTCCTTTTCGCGCTCCTTGGCTAGGTTGGCGCTCGACTTGCGCTTCCGCTTCGGCGTCTTGGGGAGGCTCGAGGTGATGGAGCTGCTTGTGGCAGACATGAAGCTGGAGTTGGCCGCTTTGAGGAAGGGAGTAGGCAGGGCGCGCAAAATACGCTGAGACGTCGGGATGGCATTCGTTGGAGGCAGGGGTGTTTGTGCTGAAGAGCCGAACACGGACATTTGAGAGGGAGGAATCCACGGCGCGAGGAGGTGAATGCGACCACGGATATGCTGAGGCATCCGGAGAGCTGTCGCCAGAGCATATATGGCACCCGCCGAGTGGGCAAGAATCGAGAACTTGGTGATTTTCAGAGCCTGGCAGATGGCGTACACATCATCTGGTAGGAATCTTTGGTCAGCAAAGGCAATCAACGAGTACGTCACAAAGTAAAAAAAATAACATACCAGGCCAGCTCAATGGGGTGGCAGTGCCGTCCGCATAAGGCTCACTGTCACCAACACCTGGTCGATCTGGCGTGATGAGGCGTAGCTTGAGCGTCAAAGCAAGCTCGTCATAGAAGGCCATGATGTACCGTGTCAGACCCATGCCGACACAGCAGAAGACGGCGGAGCCCTCACTGTCACCAACCTCTGAGAAGGAAATGATACGGCCAGTCTGCGGGTGACGAATCTTCTGGGATAATCTTGGCGAGCAGAGGTATGCCTCGACGGCATCGTCAACACTGTCTGCGCTTTCCGGCCGCTCGTAGACGACGTGAGTATCCTCGGCGGACGTTCTACCGCTCCGGCTACCCTCGATTACAGAGAGCATTGACTTGTCATCTCTACCGAGCGGGCCAGACAGTCTCTTCAGCTTCGAACCAGTCCGCTTCAGATCGGTCTGGTCAGTGCTATTCCGACCGGAGCGGCGGCGGCCATCCAGGCTGCGATCGCGCCGCCTGCCCTGGGCAACCGCCGGGAAGGGCGCGCCATCCTCCATATCTTCGTCAGGAGAGGCTGTGTCGGAGCCGAGATTATTAGAGGCAAAAGGAAACGAACTGGATTCGACTGGCCGTTGGCTACCGCTCGGCTGCTTCGCCAGAGCTGTGTCCTCGCCACTCTCGCCTCTTCCCCGCATTGGCTCTTTTGCGTAATGTGATGATTCGCCCTTCGAATTAGATTGTGAGGAGTAGTAGGGGTACTGCGTCTGAGACTGAGACGGTTGCTGCTGATGCTGTTGTTGCTGCTGCTCCTGCTGTTGCCTTTGTTGCTCTTGTGTTTTTCTCCTCACGAGCTCAGGGCGTTGTCCAACATCCGAAAATTTGCTAAAGTGGTGCTCATCAAGTTCGTGAATGGTACTGTTCGCTGATGGGTCCTGCTTTTGCTTGGAGGAACGCCGCGATGACCGCTTGCTGGCATTGGGTCCGGTTTTGTGTAGACTGGAATCGCGAGCCGGGATGGGCCGTGGGCTTGGTGCGCCATTGTCGAGGGACGGGCGGGAAGCATCTCTGTTGTTAGGCGAGTCGGGGTGTGTTTCTTCGCTAATAGGGGTTTCGGCCAAGAATGGATCAGCCCGCGGCGCGGCGCCGCTGTTGATGCTCATCCGATCGCTGGCACCGCCAATGCTGGTGCGCTTCTTCTCAGCCTCCTTTTCGCGGAGGCGCTCTTTACTGCTCATATACATGAGGCCTTTCTGGGCGCGCCCTGACTTCTTGCCCCAGCTATCGTGTGACGACCGGCGCCGTAGCTCAGGTACGGGCGACACGGCACCGCGCTCAATGGAGACGTTGCCTATGCTCTGGGCATCCGCATCCCGCGACGCCAAGGAGCCCTTGGACGATGGGCGGGAGCTGCTACGGCCAGACAGCAGCGACTTCAGGCCGCCCGCGTTTGATGGGTCCTTGGCAGGAGATTTAGGCGCGGTAAGTGGCGAGAACCCGCTCGGGGGCTTGGAGGTTCGAATGACGGGAGGACTTGCGGCAAGCTCGTCTAAGGGTGTACTTTCGTCGACAGCGTCAGCTTCGGCGGCGTTGACAAAAGCACCGTAGTCGACGCCAAACGAGCCGCCGGTTGGTGATTGAGGGACGGAGCCGAGATTGTCGGGTGACGTGCCGAAGGGGCTGTCGAAGTGGGAGTTGGCCGGTTTCGAGATAATAGACAGGCTCGTAATAAGGGACGAGATAACTTCGGGAGAGGCGGGCGAGATGGCTGGGCCGTGGGAGGAGGGAAGGTTTCGTGATAGGGACGGCGTGGAGGCAGACGAGGCAATGTTCTTTCGGCGAGCTTGCTGGTGTGTCTGTCGCGGAATTGGAGGTGTGGAGGGAACGGGAGGAATTGCTGGAGCAGCAGAAGTGCTCGTAGAGGTCTCCATGTTGGGCTGTCTCTTGACTGCTTGGCCTCGTGTTTTAGAGTACCTTTCCTGGCTTTCCGTCTGATGACCCCAGATGACCAAAATAGAGCAGGTTAGAGCGTCCAATTCAAGCGCAGTCAATAAAGAGCGTGCTCTGAGTTTAGGCCGATGCGCCAGAAGAAAGTGATATTGGGGCAATTTGCACCTGCATCGGTGTCCACTAAATCTAGTGGCCGAAGTGTTTTGGCGCAGGCACGGGCATCCAATGTAAAACAAATGGGGAGGAAAAAGGAATGTAAGAAGGTCGGGAAGAGGAAGAACCCGTATGGCAAGGAACGTGCAGGAAGACAGGTACAAAAGTTTCGAGTATCGCTGTCGCGCTGGACGTATGTCGCTGGTATCGTTTTGTTGTACTTCGATGAGAACGCGCGCTTTGCCCTGGTGCAGTATTTTGTGTTGAGAAAGGGGCGGACTGTTTTCCTAAACCTGCCAACCAACGATGACAGGCAGACAATATCGGCGGTAGGTACAGGGTGAAAGGAGGGACTGTGCCGACTAGCTTTTTTCTTTTTGCGCAGGCCTTCCGAGCTGTGAGCAGCGGAGTGCGAGGTAAGACGAGGAAAAAGAAAGAAAAGAAGCAAGGTGACCTGGGTCTGCCTGTCAACTAGACAGGTTTTCGACGCGAGGGAGGAAACTGGTTGGAACCGACACGACTGAGATAGGCAAGAGGCGCTGCTGCGTGAGAAAAAAGCAATTGTCGAACTCGTACTTCTGCGATTGGGGTGTGTGGTGTCGCAGGTGGAATGGTAAGACAGTGCGTTGCAGCGGGAACCGCTAGCCCGAAGTGAGGAGCTTTGACGCCCGTTCTAAAACTCGGCATGCAGCTTTGCTGTTAGTCTTGCTGGTCAAAGCGACTGCTGGAAAGGACGCGTCGGAAAGAGGGAAGAAATAAGGCGATACATATGAAGCAGACGAGATCGCAAAAGGTTGCCAAAGAAGGGAAACGAACAAAAAAGCCGGTGGAAGGCCCGCTTTCTCCTACACTTCCATTGTTGTCCAGGGACGAGAGAGATACAGTAGAGTACCAGGGCTCCCAAAGACGTTCCACCAGGTGTGACAGGGCAAGTGAAAAGGGAAATTAAACACAGCAACGGGGCAGCAGCAAGAAAGGAGTAAATCGCAGGCAGAAGAGGTCAACAAGGCCGTGGGCAAGCAGCTAAAATTGTGATGGGGCAAGCTCTGCGCGATGGGCAAGTATCAAGTGGACACTACCTACCTTTGTCGTCTTTGGGTGTGATCCTTGCAATAGAAAAGAGCGATGTAATTCGAACTCCGTAATAGGCCGTACAGGCAAGTTGTCCAAGAGCAATGTGGACGAGGAGAAGCAACAGGCGTGTCTCTTCCTTAGGAGAAAGGTCGTGGTTTTTTCAGTTTGCTTTTGCGGATGCATTCCATGGAGAAGACGTCGGTAGGATTCTGGAAGGTAAAATTGGGGTTCTGTTGGGGGGCTTGTCAGTTTTGTTGATTTGCTTCTCCCTGCACCTACTTGTCATGCCA